GCATGAGATTCCTGGATGGCAAGAATATCAATGTCTGATGTTTTGAGGTATTTTATGAATTTTTTTTCTGCGTTTTTTATGTTTTTGTGTGTCAGACCACGACAGTTGAGAGTCGCAATCCGCAATCGATGATTAGGTGCTCTAATCATCATATTATTCTAAGTGTTGAGGGTTGGACTGAGCAGTTTCTGATGTTTCCTGCCCTTGGGAGTCGTCTGAAGCTCCTTTGCCGCCCTTGTCGGTGACAGTATTGAATTTGCTGGCTGCACTGCCTCTGGTGAAGCGCCTGGTGAGATTGGCGCGCTGTTCCTGCTCCGTTCTGAGCTTTTTGCCATCTCTGCCATCTTCCAGATCTGGTCGTTCCTGAATGAGAGGCTCCTTCATACTGTCATCAGGCATAAATTGCTTGATCAGCTCTTGTCCATTCAGAGTTGATTCAGCTGCATTGAATGATGTCAATGTTTGCGTGTTGTTGGCAGATGTCTGTGCGCTCGCAGCATCTGCATTTGGTGTAACGTCATCATTGTTACTTTTGGGTTGAGGAGTGGGAGAATCAATATTCATGTTGTCCTCATCAGTACCCTCTTCCTCCTCCTTGGTGGGTTCAGGCTTGTTCTGTTGCTGTTGCTTCTTGGCTGACTCAGTGTCTGTGGTTTCCTGGGTCTTGGCTACTACCACTCTAGGGCCAATGGGAGGGTTGGGCTCTCGGGGAATGATCGGAGTAGGTACCTTGCGATCTTTCCTGGGGATCGTAGTGGGCTTCTTGTTGGGGGTGTCAGTGTTATCCTGTCTAGGGCAGTTGCGACTGACATGTCCATGTTGATTGCAGTTGTAGCATTGCGTGTACCTCTTGGCATCAGGACAATCGGCTTTGCAATGATCCGGTTTTTGACAGAGACGACAAAAATCTGGCATATCTTGCCATTTGAGAAGGACCTGACGGTTGGTGCCATTATCCAATCTGAAGTAGATAATTCGATCCAAGATTTCATACGCTGGTTCGTCTGGCTTGGGGGTGATGTTCAGAGTGGCATAGCCTTGTCCGACGTAGTCGCCCTGAGTGAAGGAGATGCCATAGTCCAAGACTTCTCCAAAATGTGACAGTCTATCCTTTATCAAAGATTTCAGGACAGGAACTGGCTCCATGGGTAGTCTGTCTAAACGAACATTAACTATAGTATCATTAGCTGGAAGAGAGGGGAAACCCTTGACAAAGGTCCCATCCGTCAGATTGAAGCCCTGCAGGATTGCGATGTGGCCAGGACTGTCGTGGATCCAACATGTTTCCATGATCTCTCGATTCATATACTTGCGAGTGCGAGATACTTTGCCGATATAATCGTTGTAGCCTTTTCTGAGATGAGCATCTTTGTTGAATGCTTGCAGAGCCTCTCGTAAGAGCTGTTGATTAGGCAAACCAGTAATGTCGATGAGCACCGAGTTGTCTTCAATGCCCTTGAGGAAGGGTCGAACCATTTCCATACTTTTGCTGACGGTGGCGTCCTCGGTCATCAGAGACTGATTCGATTCACTGGTGGCGGTGGAAGGTGTGATGGGTGTCTTTACGATCGTTGGATTGAAGGTCATCGTTGTATGCTTGATGCCCTTCGTTACCTTTGCCCATGATGCGTCAACAACGGTATTTGTAGCCTTGGAGGTGCTACTTTCGGTCGTTGAACCTGTTTTCTGTTTTTTAGCGGGAAGAGCCATGACCATGAGGTACCCCTCATGGTTTTTTGTCGATTTTTGGCGATCCCAAAAAAATGGAGTAATGGCATCAGTAAGTTGGTGGTCGATGAGATCAATTGTATGGTACTATTCTGGCGGTCTAAAACAACTTCTAGCGCGGGAAATCACGGCCGAAGTGTATCTAAGTTTTGCTGTGTGTTGTCTATTTTTGAGCAGTAAGAGGTATTGTAAATACGTTGCTTATGCGTATAGGAACCGCTGCTATTGATTCAAGTATAGAGCATCCAATAAAAGTCATATCCATAGTAACGGATCAGAATTGGGCGACCTTCACGTAATAGATGAGCGCTAAGAACAGAAGTTTCAATAGATACTAGTATGATATTACAATCACAAATGGAAATCAGATACATTGGTGTCGAATTTGAATGCGTTATGAGATGGTCTGCAACAACAGCCAAGACTGGTTGTCAAGTAGGTAGGTTTTGAGCTATTTCTTGTCTGGTCCGTTGTCAGCTCACTACAAACTCTATAGATGACTGATTCAATGGTTTCTGTCCTAGGCACGACACAAAACTCTGCATGATGTTACCTCTCTCTCTTGGCATTCAAAAGTAAAACTGATCAAGTCAATGATACCAAAGTTTAATCAGAAGTGCCTGGATCACAGACATTTGTTCAACTTGAAACATGAATATACCAAATATAATACATGGAAATACAACACTATGATGTATTGGTTGAGTTTATTGAATGATACATAGGATGAATTTGATTTTGCAATGATTGTTTCTTAACAGTCAGCAAATGCAAAAGCTGGGATTGGAGCCGAATGACGCTGCCAAGAATTTTAAAGAATTTTCCTCTCCCCCCCATCTCCAATGTCAAACCCATCATAAGGTAAAATATGCCTTTATATGGCATTTTTATTATACGGGGTGCTTAGGATGTTTTACTTCAACTCAATCAGATCCAGGAAATAAAGCTTGATTTGTACACGGTACATTGGTGGTACGGTTACCATGCCAACTTGATCATTGCAATGATTGCATTCTTCCTGCCATTGGGCTCTTGCATTAGTACATATTGCAATGAATGGCAAGTATTGGCAATTGTGGTACATCAAAGGTTGGATTTCGGCATGTAGTTGAGTTGGAGATGTAGTCACTTTCAACATCCCTTAATCGCAAATGGATCTATTGATTTAATCAATGTTTCTAATTATGTGGCAATATATGACATTCCCAACAGGAGCCAGAAGGAAATCGTACGTTTTTTAACTGTAGCATGTAGCATGTGTGTAAAGAATCAAGCGGAACGATGAATGCCAATGTATATATTCAGGTAAAACCAACAGCGGGCATAGTATTGAATGCTGTCCGGCTTTTACCCCTTGATATTGTCATCATTCTGGATAGTCCACTTGCCAATATACGCAAATTGTATCTTCTGTGGCTCGCACAATGAAATTTAAACAAGCGCATGAATGTATACGGCAGCAGCTACCATAAGAAGGAGACCTCATGCTACAATGCGACAAAGAACAGCAAGGAGTACTTTTTTTTTTTGGGTTTTCAGTAACCAGACAAGAAACATTTCCCGCAAGAAACCATCAATAACGAAAACTCCACTACATTTAATAAATCATCGTCATCATAATGAGACAAAACCACATCATTCATTTTAATCGCTTCAAGGAATGAAGATGTCTTTTAAATGCGAATGACCGTAATTACAACTCATTGTATGTTGCCATGTCTGTGCTTTACTAATAAAAGAACGTACATTATCGATAAGAAGACATGGAGGCATAATGCAAAAGCATACTTATTATTCAATTTAGAATGAACAGGCACGATTGTTCTGGATCTTCTTGTCTTGGCTTCCATTCCATATAACGGTGCTGATTTACTGTTCTTGAATAAAATTTACTACACGATAGGTATACACTCTTCCACCTGTCTGGGTTCCTCGGGATGAACATGTATATCAGTGCTCATGAGCCATTCAAAAGTGTACATCAGCTAGTGAAATGTAATTTTCACAATCCAGACAAATGAGTACCATGGAGACAACCTCATCTACTGCTAATTTGAGTATTGCAATGTACATCTATCCGTAGTCTGCGCTATGATCTTTGCATGTGGATGCTAACACGTCGTTCAAACTAAGCATATATGTCTATCGTGGACAAGTAAAGAGGTTTCAGGACCGGATCCCAGCGGGATGTCTTCATTTCAAAATAATCGAAAAAAAAAATTTATCTCTTCCATACAAAGCTATAAGGGTTTTGATTTACAGTTTACGCAGGTATTTGTGGTACATGAACGGATGAAAGTCTTATTTTTTATATTGTGCGCCACTTTTTCTATTCTTATACAAGACTTGTACATCTGTATTATCGTATTTATATTGATGTTGTGCCTTGTGTGTGTGTGTGTGTGTGTGCGTGTGTGCTGCTGTGCCTGTTGATGCGGAGATTTCATAGAAAAAATTATTCGATTTGAGTTAAAATCGCTATTGAGCATTTGTTAGGACCAGCTGATTTGAAAGGAAGAAGGCCTCAAGCCCACCACTCTGTGATCCTCCTCCCTCATCCCCTCCCCCCCCCTTTATTTACACATCACAATTCCTTGTGTTCTGAGCTAGCTCCATTTAAATGTAATTTGCGAGTGGGGGAGGGATGACGAGCATTCAAACATTGGTCGTCGCAATTCCATCGTCGCGGTTCCTTTTCGTGTGGGCGACCGAGCAAGTTTTGTGTGTGTGTGTGTGTCTGTTTCGAGTGTGCGAGGGATTAGTGTTGAAATGATCTCCCTTTTTTTCTGGAGTACTATATATACTTGCCCTCTTTTCCACAAGATTTTGTTTCTTTCCTCTTATCCACCTTTTCCAACATTTTACATTGCTAAATATTCAATACATTTCTCCTCTCTTCTTTTAGCAGCCCTTAATTATTTCCTCTTATCTTGCTCTTGCAACTCCTCATATCTTTTTGATTTCCCTCACACAATTTTATAGTTGGTTTTATATTATTCGCATATTAACCCAACAATAAACATTCAATACCTTCTCTTCAACATTGGTATGATTTCTTTGCGTCTCCAAAAGTGTAATTATAACTATCGGAGTAGTGCTTGATACTTTGCTTTGTATCTTTCGTTTCCACCACCCTTTTACATATAAATATTATTATTATCCTTATTATCCCTAAAAAAAAAAACCCAACACTCAAAATTTGTACAAAAAACCAACTCCTCATCATCCCCCCCCCCCACACACACACACCTTGAATACCGCCAGCAATCAAAATGTATATTAACGGTTTAAAATATGCTTGCTCAACTTGCATCAAGGTAAATGAAGCTAGAAAATTTTTTCTTGTATTACATTAGCAGTTTATTAATGATTGATTCATCACATTTGTAGGGCCATCGCTCCTCTCATTGTAGTCATGTTGACCGTCCCTTATTCGAGATTCGCAAGAAGGGTCGTCCTGTCACTCAATGTACGTTTTGTAGAGATCTTCGAAAAACAAAACAAGTACATATTAAATGTGCATGTACAGATAAAAAAGGTAAATATATATAAAACAAGAATATAAATAAACAGGAGAATCCTAATAACTAGAGCCAGGAATCGATGCTACCAACAATAACCCATTATTGATTTATCGCAATAGCTCATCGTCCTCTCCTAAATCACTGAATACTACTACTACATCTTCCCCTGTGGCTAATGATATCATGACTATGGATATATGCCAAGACAAAAAGCCAAATGTCGCCGCCGCTAATTCTGATCAATGTACATGTCCCTCGACAAATGCTGCTATGGCTGTTGCTGCTACATCTACTACATCTGCTGCTCCTCCACCTTCCAATGCCGCTACTAGTGCAACATTTAGCAACAATGCCCCCATGATCAAGTCATCATCAACATCATCATCGTCAAATTTAGGGTTCAATCAATATCAACAACAGCCCTCCAATTCACAAGAAGGGACGCATTCTTTGTCAGCGCCACTCTGTCCTACGGCTCCTCTGGTCAAGGATGAAGAAAACCTGTCCTACTCTTGGGCGCTGATCACCTCCCCACTACCCAATCAAATGGACATGTCTGCTGCCTCCTCTGGTTTGACAAATGCTGCTTCCCTCATCTCCCATGCTACTACTACTACGGCTGCAATGGAATCAAATCAGCTATTCAGCGATATGATGATGGATACCGGAGATGATCAAGATACCAACAATAACACTAATAACATGCATCTCGGTTTTATCTTTCATAAGCCTACATCTCAAAGATTTCTGGATGGTCAACCAAGAGTGAGGAGACGCCGCTCCAACAAGCAACAGCAGAAGCCTGCTAGTACATCAGCAACCCCCACTTCAGCCAATCGTCTGCCTGTCAATGCTTTGATTGATTCTTCCAATCTCACCATCAACACAATCACAGACTACAGCCTGTCAACGCCTCCTTCGTCTACAGTGTCTCCTCACCCACCTTCCTCCTCTTCAAATTCGTCGTTGGCTGCTGCTTGCGAGCCAATGGATACACATTTTGACTACCTTACTGAACAGCTTGAGATTCTGTCCAACAGTAGCAACAGCGCCAACAACAACCATGGCCAATTCATGGGCGATCTGGCTAATGCCGAAGAATTGACAGCTATTCTAAACAATGTGTTGAAAGAAGATGAATTGGAATCAGTGTCTACGACCAGCCATCGTTCAAGCGTATCAACGACTGCCACAGCTCCTGCTATCAGCTCTCAAGCCAACCCTCATGCTATGCCTACCACGATGCGCTCTCAATGTGGAAGTTTTGCGCCTCGCTCAACCTGTTGCAAGCCCTCCAGTGCCAGCAGTGGTGAATCAGTTGTGATTACAATTACGCCCTTGTCCACTAACAATAACACTGCAGATAAACAACAACAAGCAGACTATCCTACAACCACACGTATTGTCACTTGTTATTGTGGGAGCCAATGTACTTGTCCTGGCTGCCTGGTGCATCCTGGTAACTTCTTCTTGGGCAGTGATCCTTATGCCGGCCCTTTGATCCCTTCATCAAACTCATCATCATGTTATGGCTCAGATGAAGAAGACTTGTCAGCCACCATTACTGCTTCTACATTTAATAACAACAATAGTAACTATAATATGCCATTTTCCTGATTTTCTTTTTGTAAATAAAACATAAACACAACAGCAGCAATACAGTGTATATATACATAAACAAACCAAATGGTTGAGAGCTCCAAATACAGATGATTGTTTACGTATGATGGACATCCATCCTCTTTTTTTTTTTTTTTCTTAATTTCACCTCTCTCCAAAACACTATGGTAAGCTTTTTCTTAGACTCTATTTGCTTTAATACGCCACCTGTGCACGTAATCTTATTTAAACTTTTTTTGAAAAAGACTGTGCCTGATCAAATGATGCTCGAGGAAACACGAGAGGCTTTTATGCTCTTTGACAAAGATAACAATGGCACTATAGACACATCAGAGCTAGGTGCTGTCATGAGATCACTCAACATGAACCCAACAGACACAGAATTAAAGGACATGATTAACGAGGTTGATGGGAATGGGAATGGTAGTATTGAATTCGAGGAATTTGTTGCCATGCTCTCAAGGTGTGTGCTCTCTCTTTTCGACACACGCTCTATCTACTAACGCATTCTCTAGAAAGCGCCGAGGATCAGAAATTCAAGAGGAAATCAAGGAAACCTTTCGTGTGCTTGATAGAGATGGGAATGGTTACATATCAGAGTCTGAACTACGTCATATCATGGCCTCAGTAGGTAATGTAGACCTTGTAGAATGGGATCACATTTGAGAATCCAGCTCGTGTCTAATCAAATCGGCTGTGAAAAAAAAAAAAAAAAAAAAAAAAAAGGTGAAAAGCTAACGGAAGACGAACTAGACGTTATGCTACGTGAAGCAGATGTAGATGGTGATGGTCAAATCAATTATGAAGAATTTGTAAAGATGCTTGTAAGGTTTTACCAATATGATTATATCGCTCATTTAGTGTCACTTGGCTAATTCGTGCACACTTGTTTTTAGGCAAAATAAAAGCTAAATGATATTTGTATATGTAACATGATTCAATCTTTTTACTTTATAAAATTTATATATGGCCGTTTTCGTTCAGTAAGGAATTTTGGGAATTTGGCAATTCACAGGGTCTATGCGTATACCTAGACTTGTCATGACAGTACAACAAAGGCACCGTTCCTATTCCACAAGATGGCACATCATCGTATTAGCCTGCTACCGATCCTCATGGACCAGAGCATCCAGCAGCGGTGTTTGATTATATATACCTCAATCTTGCGCGAGGCTCAACTGTCAATTGCTACTTAGTTCCATTGTGTACGGATTGACATGCTTTTCGCTAATCCCGCCATATGAAAGACAAGGCAAAGTGCGTTTCACGTATGACAGAGATGAAAAAAACCCTTTGTTATCTATCAAATGAGAATGTCGTGTCACTCCTACAGTGGCAACTGATACAAGATCTTCTCTGTAGAAGCAATGGAAGCAAGAAATAACAATGCAGAAATGGACAGAATTAAGGTTACAGTTATTCTAAATCAATCTTTATGAGGCATTTATCTATCTTTAGGTGGCTATGTAACACATCCATTTTATATTTGTAATCCTGGTGCGACACTTTTTTTTTTTTTTGATGTGAAGGGAATCACTAGCGTCGATGGCCTGACACGTCTGGTATGTTTGGCCTATCAAGCACACATCTAACCAACATGTTACAAACATACTGTCATTCTGAAAGGACATAGAGCTGCTTGGCTTTATGCCAGATGCTCTCTGCTGAAGCATCTGCCTCTTGAGATTGCAAATCCTGTCATACGACAGGTGTAAGCATTATCTCATCAACCCGGGGATACGCTTCAAGCAAGTTGCAAGACAGCGTTTCATTGCACAGTGTTGGTATCAGCTCTTGTACATACGATGAGTTGTTTCTGCCTAAGGTGTTATTATCCGAGAAGCGTGATGTTATGCGGTGTGGCTGGTGTGGATCCAAGAATAATGATTCTAATATAATGTCCTCAGCGTCACCACTAGACATGCTTCAGTTATGAACGCGTCCATGTTATCAGTCTGTGTTGGTCAAAAACCCATTCATTATTCTTTGACATCTGCTTTATCTCTCGTTTCCAAACTAGAATGTATCAGTTAGGCGCTATTTGGTTCTAATCAGCCTTGAACAAAGATTCACTCGATTTGCGATTTGTAGAGCTTTGTAGGTGTTGAGGCGATACTCATGTGATGCATTGTGTGCTATTGAACAAAGTTCTTTGACAAGACATCACCCTTCCTAATCATCAAACAGTATTCGATGTTGTATGCTGCTATGTCTGAATAAGAACGAATGTGAGTTTCGCATGGTGTCAAGCTGGACATGCATTTGGCATGAGTTTTCCGTGTTCAATCTTGAGAGCACTCGTTACTTCCTCCTTTGTCTTTAAGCCTGTAATATTTAAGCCAGGCATTAGACCAACATGGTTTACACTCAAGTGCAATGCATTGACAGGTTGCAGATGGCGAATAGGCAAGGTGAGCGACAATTAAAGATTCCAAGTTTATTGCTTAACCAAATGGGAACTCATCAGTTGAACGCTTCAAACATGTCAGTGATGATTAAAACCCTTTGGTCAATAATAAATATGGCGATATTATCGGAAACATGTAATCTTCATTGATTCGTCTCTCTCCCCTGTACATTCTTCTCGAATTACACAATTTCAACGGATAATATAGATCACACTTCCTTACCTGATGTGTAATTTCACCACACTCAGTGTCTATTTGCTCATGAAAAGCACGTATTTAGTGCATGCTTTTCAATCAGCAGCATTTTGACTTGATAAATGACGTTCGTGGTATCTCCAGCTCCAATAGCGTATTCAATCCAGCCTACACTGCTCAATAGTAATGAAACCCTCTTGGAAAAAAACAAGCCTGCCATATCATCCCGACCTCTTCTCACAGTCATCTCGGATGAATATACATATATATAACACCCTTCTGCTTTCTAAATAAAGCTTAATACATGGACGTTTTAATAACGGCTGGTTTGCAATAATGTGATGGGAGATGAAGGCCCATTTTGTGTTGCATCTGAGATTGTGCCATTGTATAGATATATCATGCAATACGCTGATGTTGTAACACTCAATGCATTTGAGGCAGAGTGAGCATTTACTGCGCAATACTATCAATATGAATTGGTACTGTAGTAACAATGTTATCCCAATGTCAATTAGTTGAATTTACTAAAACGATGTGTATTTTAGTGAAATGAAAGGATCTAATAATAATGCAAAAACGAAGAAAAGTGCTGTCTAGAACCCAATCAAAGCCATCAGACCATAACCAATAGTAGCAATACATAACATGGAAAAGATACTGGATGGCACGCCATTGATCAAAAAGTCTTTGGTGGTCAAATAGGGCTTTCCAAGCTCGTTTTCTTGCGAGATGGCATTCATGTTGGGGAAACCGGAAACAGGGAGACCCATAGCAGCAGAGCAGACAAAGGCAGTTCCCTGGATAGTGTTGTATTAATATGTTGTCCTAGTTACTCTAGTGAAAACTTACCATGACAAGCATTCTAGGTTGAGGATCAGCCAATTGAGAGCCTACTTCAGCAACAATGGGCAATACGATCAATGCGGCCACTGTATGACTAATAAAAGTAGCAATAACAAGGACTAAACAACTGAAAACAAACAGGACTTCAAACGCAGAGAATCCTTGTACCATGGCCTCAATTTGGGATGCAATGGTCTTGAGCAAACCAGAGCTTTCCACAGCCTTACCCAATGCAATACCACCCATGGCCAACATGATGACATTCCACAAAAAGTTATTGAAATCGTCTTTGGTGAGCAAACCAGTGCCAAAAAATGCAATCAGCGGCAAGATGGCAATGACACCCATGTCGCCAAAAATGTGTTCGTAAGAATGAGCCAAACACCACAGCAGAATAGTGATCAGAGTAACCAAAATGACGTAGATCTGTGTACCATTGATAGGGTCAGAGTTTGCACGGATGGTATGGATTTGAGGTGTATGCTTCTCAGGATTGTAATTGTACAGTAACCAGAGCCAGATGATTAAATTACCAATAATACAGAGTGGAATAGAGATGATGAACCATTCTATCCAAGAAGGAGCAGGGTTCATGTTTTGAATGGCAATGATGTTTTGGGGCGAGGAGATGGGAGATGCCATGCCACCCAGATTAGAAGCAAGCGCAATGCCAATGATGAGGCAGGGACCAAATCTGGAGTCGGCAGGCAGTGTACGAAGAATTGGCTAATAGTGAACATGTATTAGACCCGGGTTCTTTCTTCTGCATATAAACACAATCTCTCCCCTAATGAGTCAAACGCCCCCCCCTCTCCCCCCTTCCCCCTTAATATCAATCATCTCCTTACCTGAATCAACGAGAAACATAGAACCGGTGCAGCAACATTACTGATCCACATACTTGCAACAGTTGCCACCATCATGTTCACAATCAACACTCGACTTGGGCGAGTACCAGCCTTGGATAAGACATAGGTAGCCATGGATTTAGCAATACCAAACTTACTTAATGCACCAGCAATAGCAAAACCACCCAATAGCAGCATGATAACAGGGGAAAACATGGCACCAAACACACGTTTTGTTGCATCTGGAGCGTTGAGACGAGTGTAATGACCATCATCAGAACGCATCACACGCAATGTAATAATCAAGAATGGCACCAGCAGAGCAGTAACGAATAAAGGCATGACCTATGTTTGCACTCCATCAGTCATTTGGGTACGTTGAATGGATACTAGATGTAGATCTTACCTCTCCTGCCCACAGCATACTTGCAAAGACAAGGATAGCCAAACAGCGATTCTGCTCCACCGTGTCAAATAGTTCAGCTCGCATCAGTACTATAAACACAACGATACACGCCGCCATATACAAGTAGTTCATCACTTGGTCACGGGTGATGCGAAGTGTACCAAAGGGAGTGTGGACAGCTGAAGGCTTTGCATCGCTGAGACCCACCGTTTGAGTTCTTCTCTCTTGTCCTATCAGATCCCTCCATACAGTGTTTCTCTCCCATACAATGTGCTCTCTCAAATGTGTCTTGAGTTCCTCAATCGCCAGATCCAGGTTGTTTCCAGTAGCCAAAATGGCATATGCTCTTTCTGTCTGTTGGATGCGTTCGTTCAATCTAGCCTTGGTAGCTGTTTTAAATGGATAAGCTTGAGTAACGTAGGTGGATGTGTAGTAGCGCTTGAGATTGCTGTTGGTGATTTTGTCGTATTTTTTTAGAATTTTGGCAAATGCAGTAAGATTGAGTGCTACAAAGGACTTCAATTCGGATAGCAAGACAAAAAGATCTACAGTTCGCTTTCTCAATTCCACAACGTCATACATGGCTTCTCTAGGCCACATGGGCCCTCTTGCGGAATTCGGTGGTGGGATATGAGTGGGAGTCTCAAGAGCTGCAGGATCTGTGCCCGTGACATTCTTGGAGATGATGTTGGCTGGTAAAAACGAATCGCCCTCGACGTTGGATTCTCTTCTAGGTAACTGATTGGTATTGCTTCTTATCGCTCTGTCTTGTTCTTGCTCTGGATCTTGCTGATCACTGGTGGTACTCAGACGATGCAATTGCGCGGCCACAGCTACATCATGGCGATTCAGATATTCAAAATCACCCACCAATTCATCCATCTCATCATACAGCTCGGTCTCTTTCTTTGCATAGAACTTGACAATCTTGTCTAATGATTTGTTGAGTGAATTCACAAACTGGCGATTTTCTTGTTCCACTGGGTTGTCGCTGATGAGGGCGGTCTGTTCACTTGGAGGTATTTCGCCGCCATCTTCGAGATCAATAGATAACCGATGTCCCTTATTAGCCACTCTTTCCTTTTCAATCAAGTAAATTAACTTTTTGAGGTTTGAATAGCTAAGTGAAATTTTGTTTATATTTATATTATTTGTTTTTAATGTCGTTAAAAAAAAAAAACTTACGGGAGATAGTAATCTGCCCAATCTGGCACTGCATTAAACTGTATTTGATGTGAGAATTTCATTCTCCTTTTGTGTCCTTGATTTGATTTATGTACAAGACGTTTATTTTGTTGTAAAAAGAGGTTTCCAGGAAGAAATGTAAAAAGCGAGAAAAGAAGAAAGAAGAGGAGAAATCTGTTTTAGAAGAGGTGGAAGAAAGGGAGGCGAAGGAGAAACAGGAAAAAAATAACAAAACGGAGTCCTAATGCGAAGCAGCAAGCATCTCAATCAGGCTCAAATGTGTGTGATTGATATGTAAATAACAGTGCAAGTAGATCTATGTTTATGTGGTGGGCATGAAGATGAGGGCAACAAGATATATAATAAAAAAAAAAAAAGCCCCGGTTACCTCTTAAAGAAAAAGCATTCTTGGAATTTTTTTTTTTTAACTTGCCTTAACCGCCTCCTGGCAATATGGCATTTGTTGGATCTGTTACACCTGATGAATAGTTATTGTCTGCATTTTTACTTCGGATATAGTTTGGTAGGAAGGCAAAGAGTAGCACAACACCGACGATTATTAAAAGTCCAGCTACCTTCAGAAATAATGAACAGTATTTCAGACTCTTGATCTTGCTCGTATTGAATGTCGAACTGTTTGTGAATGATGGCTCTTCCATCTTGATGACAACATTTTTCTTGCTGTTATTAGTGGTCATGAAATGCTGTCTGAGGAATATAAAGGGAAAGAGAGGAAAGGTTTGCAAAGAGAATGTATCTCAATGATACCAATACGTTGGTTTTCATCACATCTAGCACAGGAATGTACATAGAATTTTAGTCGTTGCTAATGTAATTTTGCAAGCTGGATTTAGCTGTCAAGACAAGATTTTGCTCAAGAAAATAGTAGCTCGTCTAAAGGAAGGGTCTTTCCACCAGGAGCTTTCAAAGCAACTTTCATTAATTATCATTGCCCGCGAAGATCACAAAGGTATTGTTTCAATACGAGCGAGCCATGGATTTAGATATGTTCCTTTCTGATCAAATGAAACACCACGTTACGCTTTAGGACTTTTTTTTTTATTGCGCTCAATACAACCTATAATCGATTAATCTGAGACAGGTGTATAAAACGTATTCAATTGTTATAGTTTTGGCCAAATTACTGTCTCTCAAATTTTGAAGCGTCTTTTTGTATGAAGTGTGAGATTCACGCTTCAAAAGACGCAATACAAGAACTTCCCTACCTCAACATCACACTGAAAAATACGATCAGATAGAGAACTCCACTAGTATATACGGAGGTTTCGCTTTTTTTTTACTTTCGCTATTATGTAAAAGCCCACCATAAACGAATTGTATCTGCAGATCTGACTTTTTATGATACTCCACGTCTGTATTAATGAGAAAAAAATTACCTACTGCTACACAGCATGCTTATATCACCTCTTAAACATCAATTATATGCAAAACACAGCGAAATTCAAATGCATTTAAACAGTGCTTTCTCGCGTTAAAAGCGGTTTTAGACCGCCAGGATGGTACCAAACAGTTGCTCTCAACTAGCACTCACTTGCTAACACCTTTGCTTAACTTTTTTGGGGTCGTCGAAAATCGACCAAAAAGCAAACGATTGCATTTTTCACCTTGAAAATGAAGATTTTTACTATGATATGTATTGAATCAAAATGTTTCTCTCGATCCAGAGCAACCACTGAAACCGCTTTTATTGGGGGTCTTCATATGCAAAATTTCGACTTTTTGGCAAAAAACCTTATTTCATATTTTCTGGAATCGCTCAATAATTTTATTCAAAACATATATTTTACTTGGTACCGTCAGATGCGCTTTGAAAAGCACTTCAAGAATGCATTAGGAAGCTTAGGTGATCATCACAATTTATATAATCGAATTCTAGCAAAATAGATTAAAGAAGTCGAAAAAAAGACAGAATCTATCCAATCCAGAATGGAAAAAATTAACTGAGTTTCAATAAATTTTAGTGGGCGGCTCTGCTGCTGTCTGGCCCAAATGCCTTTTTGATGATGACAATGATGATGACAATGATGATTACGATGCTGATTAAACGGGAACAATGTAGCTGAAAGGGCAATTGATTAGCTTAAATACTTTTTTTTGGGACTTTTGCTTTATAGAGATATCTGTTGTAATGACAATACCTCAAAAAAGTCGCTGTAGATCCTATACAAGTCCCGTATGCACTTGTGGCCAGCTTTATGTTGCCACCTCAAGAGCAACATCAGTGAATAGATACCTCCCCCCTCTGGCTCTGACATAGGATTTTTTTTTTTTTTTACTATTAATTGATTGTTTAAAATCCAATTGTTATGTCAGATTTTTATTATCTCTGATTTGGAATGTCTTCAGCGAGAGCCCGCGAAGCGAGATCGATCGGCTAGTCGTAGTAATACCCGATTTGATATGATCAACGTATGATTTCCGGTCAGTTTCACATTGAAGAAACCAAGACTCTGTGGGATAAAATTGAAAGAATAGAAAATAGTGTTAAATCAGATGGAATTAATCAATAAAAAAAAGGGTATTTATTTCTATTTGTAATTCATTGTCAAAATGAAATAAAAGCGTTGTCTAAATTGTATGATAGTCTAATTAAATAGTACAGTTTGATGAATGTGAAAAGAAAAGATCAACTTTTCTTTCACCATTCTCAAATACGTGTGCCAAAAAATGCATTTAACAGAAAGTGACAGTGTAACCAGAACCAGGAGAACAAGCGTACATGGAGGTAGAATCATCATGAGGATAAGTGTAGACATTAGGACAAACAGCCTTGACAGAAGAAGCAAAGCTGTTGGTACCACAGTCACCACGGCCAGCATGGGTACCGGTACAACAGTACTCGTCGGTACCATAAGCAGAACAAGCAGACTTACAAGCAATCACCTTACCACTGGCATCCTTTTGTTGCAGCTCAGAGGGACAAGAGGGCAAAGATGAACAAGCAGGGGCACCACAATCATAACCACTGGGAGTACCGCTGTTGGGAGCAATGGAGATGGGCAAGTTGAAGCCATCAACAAAGGAAACGTCGTAGTAATCCTTACCAGCAGCACCAGATAAGAGGAATTCAGCAAGAGATGCAGGGGCAGAGCCATCACAATCAGTGGAACCAGAACAGCCTTCTCTAGCCCAGATACGACCACCCCAGGTAGACTCAACGTTGATGGAAGTGGAGCTGCCAGCAGCTAAAGCAGTAGATTTGGGATTACCAACAGTGTTGGTCAATTGGTTGACCTGAATGGGATTGGAACAACGATTCTTGACAGTGATAGTGACACCAGAAGTGGGTGCAGCGAGGACAGCAGTGCTCATGCCAGCAAGAGCGGAAATAAGGGTGATAAGCTTGACCATTGTATATGTAAATATGTATAGAAGAGAGAAGAAAGTTGATGAATGGTGAGATCTGGAGGTTTGTGGATCCCTCTTTTATAAAGATTTGACAGGTGAAACATCTTACTGAGCTGTCAGGTCCCTTTCCATCTAAAATGGATGACAAAAAGTTTTCATATGTAGATCTACAATTTGCCATGTTCCTAAATTTGTGAATTCTGGTTTGCTAACTTTCAGGTTATGAATGGGATGGGTAACTCGCCCTAGTTTTTTTTTTTTTTTTTTAAATAAATCTAGAACTATTTTCACTATGGTCTGGCATCTATTCGTTATGTTTTATAAAAGTTCAATTGTAAGAGAGCTTATTTGTTTGCTGTCAAAATTCACAGGGCAATTATAGACAAACGTAGCCAGTTAAAGTTTTTTCGACATGAGCGGCATGTTGTCATTTTCAAGGGCACATTTGGTACCTTTTTTTTTCGAAACTAGAGGGGGCCAAGCTTTGTGTCTTTTTAGAGTTTATTGGATCACCTATTTTAATGTCTCCCTTCCAGAACCTTTTCGGCTATTCTTTACAGAACATCGCTTCATAACTTGTGATGTCTTGGATCAATGTATTCTTAGGAGTTCCTATTTTTTTTTCCAGTCGTCTACTCTTTATGGCACGAGTTGTAAATACAAATCAAGAAATAAGAGGAGGTGCAAATTGGAACAATAGCTGTCCAAATGCAATCGACACATTGGGAATATAAATGAATAAATGAATAAATGAATAAATGAAACGTTGTACGCAACTATTAGAGTATAGTTACGGTTGGCATGAATGTTTATATGTCAGTACATGGTAACCGGAATAAAAAGAAGGCCTCTTTTCATGCTTGATTGCCCTCCTTTAAAATGCTCTCCTAAACACATGAATTCCTTTTAAACTAGATAATTGTGGAGAAAGAGAGAGAAATGCATACAACTCTTTTGCTCTTCTTCTTTTCCTTCTTTGCTTTTATTTGCTTATCATCAAATCATACACTTGAAATCACACAACAAACAAACATAAATGACTGCGCTAGAGACAGTGTACGCAGTTCATAATTTTGAAGCGGAAAATGATGATGAGCTCAGCTTTCAGATTGGTGAAAGGGTCTTTGTCATACAGAAAGATGATGGATTCGGCGATGGATGGTGGAAGGTATATGTCTATAGGCTCGTTGTTATATTCAAATCAAGGGAGGCTAACGTATAGTCAAGGGCGAGAATGTAAGAGGCCAAGTAGGTTTGTTTCCAATGAATTACATTACATTCGAGCAACCTCATCGGCAGATTACCGATCTCCTTACACCGTCCACGTTTGACTCGACTAATGCCACAACATCCACTAAGGAACCAATGCCCATCGATACCAGTGTGTTGGAAGATGAGATCAGTAAATCACCTTCAGTACGATCATCTTATTCGTTTACATGTCCTGTTTCATCTTCATCTACTACAGGACCGGGTGCATCATCCACACACTCTAACAGTGGAGGTGCAGCACTGCGCAGATCTGTTATCAATGCCTTGTTTTTGCCTTCTTTGAGACCGACCACGCCCGAAGATTGGGATATTGATCAAGTTGAGACATGGCTCAATGCAATGAACTTTGGCAGCATAGCAACGCATTTCAAACGTAAGTGTTTACAACTGTTTGATACTCCTGACTTTTTTCAATGTATTAAACACTGTTATTTGCGCTGCTGCAGTACAAGAAATTACAGGAGATGTCTTGTTGGAATTAAACATGAATTCTTTAAAAGAGCTGGATATTCCTACATTTGGCAAAAGATTCAAACTTCACACAGCAATCAGCGCACTACGAGAAGAATGTGGCTACCAGCCCACAAACCACATGTCAATCACCTCATCGACCTATTCAACTGATTCTCGATTCCTTCAGCAAAAAAATCCTACGAGCTCATCTACATCTCCGAGCTCTGCAAGGTATTCGAACCCCATTTATACCAGACATTCCGCTAGCTATCATTCCAATCTGATGACTCTGGATAAGCAGCATCAGCGCAGTAGAAGTCATACAAGTGGAACGCCAAAAGGTAGTATTGCATTCATTGTCAACATCTCATATCACTCAATCATCGACAGATCAAACATCCCTTCAGATGCTTTCTCCTGTGTCTCCTGCTTCCTGCTATGACATCATGGAAGCCAACAGTCAAAATGTAAGTGCACTGCAACACTGCCACATCTTAGCACTAAATTATCCATGTATAAAAGTATGAAAGAGATCAGAAACTGCCAGTTTCTCCCAGTAAAAAGTAAGCATTGGTAAACGTCAAACCTGATTTTCACTCTTAACAATAAATTATGTAATTAGAGACATGGCGTTGATTCAGCAAGTTCAAAAGCGTCAAACAGTGCTACCCACGGCTCATCGCAGTTCAATGGAAATTTACTCTACTCGAACCACAGACGAAACTGGAGCTGTTACACCCGACATGGAAGGCTGGCTCTACAAACAAGGTTGCAAGTACAAGAAATGGAACAAGCGATGGTTTGTCCTCAAGGGCCCCAACTTGTTTTACTTTAAAAGCCCCAAAGATGTTCGTATGAAGGGTATCATCAATCTTAGAGGTTATAAAGTGGTTCCTGATGAGACTATTCAGCCAGGCAAATACTCATTCAAGGCGCAGCATGAAGAGGAGCGCACGTTTTACTTTTACACGGATCTAGACACCAGTATGAAATCATGGATCTCCAGTCTAATGAAGGCAACGATTTCTCGCGATTTTACTGCTCCTGTTCTAAGTTCAAGTATGATCCCAACAGTTTCATTGGATGTTGCAAGACGGATGAGACCCAGGCCTCCCTCTGTGCTATTGTACAGAAAGGACAATAATGCAAACCTGTCTCCTCGTTCTTATGAAGCTAGTTATGGCTATCAGACTCCCATCTCTGAAAAGAGTTCTTCCATCATTACAGCCGATAAAGACATGGAAGGAGGAGAATCATCTGTCACAACAAAAGAAGAAAGACTGAACCAAGATTCTGGGTTTGATAGCAATGATCAAGAAGAAGAGGGGGAGGACGAGGAAGAAGATGAAGAAGTGGAGGAAGCAGAGGAAGAAAATGAAGAAGAAACAACCACACCACCATTCGGTGAAACATATTCACTCGCATATAAAGATGTTGATGAAGATGAAGGCCATCTTTCCAGCGAAGAATGCCGAGAAGAGCCAAATCAGCCATTGTCTTGGACTCCAGTGGAATACATCCAATGGGTGAATGCTATCAGCAGTTCAACCAAAATCAAGGAACTACATGAACTAAGACAAGGCGATGTTCTTATTGAAATACTGGAAGAATTGAGCGGTAAAAATGTGAAACAACTGCCTCCTTCCACAGTTGGATCAGTGAGCATGATGATGTTGGATAACATTGTAGCCGTATTTAAGTTCATGAGCATGGAAGGTATTGAAATTGATAGTCAATTTGCAATTAAAGGTAAATAGGGCTGCCATACTGTGAAATGCTACAATGAACTCATCATCCGTCTCCCATCTACAGACATCTTTGGTGGTAACGAGGAAAAGATCATGCTCCTGCTGCAATCCATTTTGAAATGGTCGGCTCGCTTAAATGAAATTAGCTTTTAATCCTCATTTGTATCAACACATCACATCTCCTTTCTTATCTAAAGCTTCAGCAGTGCTGGCTCCATTCATTTAATATCTATATTACGCTCCCCATCTTTTTCATTTTGTTTTAATAATCATAATAGTAGTAATAAATCAATTCAGTATCATGATCAGAAAGGTATTTCTACCAGGGCGCGTTGTAATCAACTGACGAATTCATCCGAATACCCGTTTTCATCATCTGAAAAATATAAATGTTGCAGTGCCGTAGCATCTGCTAACAGATCATTTTCCTACTGATTGGTAAAGAAGAAGAAAAATTTTACACATTTTGAAACCTTTTTTATAGCTTTTTGGCAGCAGTCCATTTCATTCAGGGTCCCCTTGATCTAGTACCACAATTTGCAAACCTTGCGTCTGAATATTGATATCAAAAATTTACACAGTCTTGAAAAATTTCTTTAAACAAATGGTTCAATGACTAGCAAAAAACTTTTTTGAGTAATTTTTGGATAAAAAGAAATTGTTTTTGTAACCAAAGACTGATATGAGTTGATTCGCTAACACCATTTAGCTTGCGAGCAATGGGTGGAGTTTGATAGTAACCTCTCTACATTTTTTATATAACAACTTGAAATGAAAAACCAGTAATGAAATTGATGAAATGAAGCGAGCGTCTGGTGGGATATGTTGACTATGTTATCAGATTACCAGCCAGCATTTATTGTAATGTTCTAACTTGATGTATTATATAATTTGAGGAGTACATTTCAATAGATAGATATTGGCCATCTCGATAAAGATGCATTTCATTCGTAAATAAGCTGTCCATTATGAGCTTCTACATCCCAGATGCCGCATTTCGTGAGGGTATTGCTCTTGAATGCTCTTCAAATGTCATCATCACGTATTTCGCCTTGCGATTGCACTTTCTTGACTCTAGCAGCAGCAGATATCAGGCCAGCCCTTCTTGACGGTGTAATTAACATCACCGACGATGTTTCTGTTGCCCTGTAGAGCCGCATTATATGAGACATGTAAAATAAAGACTAAATTAAGCGAGGAGTTCCATCTGCAAACATCTTTTTGCAATTCCTTTATCATTTTTACAACATCATGGCCTATTTTACTGATATCATGGTGGTGATGGTAACGCTTATCGCTCTCAAGATGCGAGATAAGTACAAACAAGCGCAGGCTGATGCAATTCCGGATGATGCCAGTGATGATGCTCCTGATGAAGACACAATCAAGAATTTAGACATCACTCAGCCGTCATTTACAGCCGATTACTCGTAGTGTTGCTTAGTCACTGGTAGTTAATATAAGGTTATACATTCTAAATAAACTATGGCTATATATAATGGCAACAGGCGTTGCTTGTTCGCGTTCGTTCTACCTTTGATAATGTGACCTTCATCATTTGTACGCAACTACATTGACGGTTTGCTTTCTAGTATTTAAAGTTTAGGGAAGCTAGACTTGTTTAAGCTTGGAATCAAACACAAAGTTTTGTGCTGGGATAACATTACCGTATGTATAATGACATGGTTACAAAAGGAATCTTTTTTTTTTTTTTTCCTACTCTCTGCCTTTACATCAAATGATCAAGCGAGATGAATAACAAGATTGAGTGCCTGGAGCATCAATTTAAAGGACGCGAACAAATCATACAAGTATAATACAGGATGGGAATTGGGAAATCCCATGATTATGTATGTAGACTTTATTATTTACAACAGCAGGACAAATGGTACATGTATAGTTATATAGAGGAGGTATATAGGAGATGGTTATTCCATGGGATTGGTCTTGCCATCTTGAGGTCGTTTCTCTCTTTTGCTTTCTCTTCTGCTTTGTAATGTGTCATGTAAATTCTTTCTAATGCTTGTGCTGATGCGTCTGCAGAGAGATGAAGATCTTCCGTAGAGGCTAGTTGTTTTGCTGCCAGGATAAGCGTCAGATATCATTGTGGTTGCCATGGAAACATTTTCGCCATCATCTAATGACATGATGTGTTTCTGATCTTGGACCAACATGTAGTCGTTTTTGTTGTAGTATTGTTGAAGCATGGTTTTATAAAGATGCAATGTATAATGGGGAAAGAAGAAGAAATAATGTGATGCTTGTTAAATTGATCAGCTTAAATACACTTTTTTTTTATTGAGGCGGAGACCATGCAAAATGAATAATGGAGAGATGGAATGATATAAACAATTAATGGAAAAAAAAAGTGCCTTGAATTTTCTATATAAGCTTTTTTGATGGAAAGAAGAAAAGACTGACGTAATTTACATGGATCTCAACTTTCTATTGATTTCGAAATGACAAACAAAATGTCAATACTACTGGAAATGACTAGGTGCCATGCAATGCTTTTCAGTTCCATACCTTCTCTTCTTGTTCTTTTGTGGTGAGGGTGGTGGTAATATATCTGTCAAATCATCGTCCTCCTCTCCGAGTAAATCCTGCTCATTGGTATCACTTTGTGGTACAGTAGCGCCAAGAATTGGACTAAACATTTCCAATTCAGGGTCTGCCATAGCTGATGGTGGTGTGGTCAAAAGTAATTCTTCTTCTAATCCTAATTGCGTCTTGTCCTCCTCTTGATCGCTTGATGGCTGCTCAGCATCGGCATTTGCAGTAGCAGATGTTGATGCTCGCTGTGTTGGTAATACAGCCTTGTGAATGCTGCTCTGTCTTCGTGTTGCCTTTTCAAAAGCCTCTTTTAATCTACGATGTCCTTCCTGCATCAACTTGAGTTTATGCTTTAATTTCCCATTTTCATCTTGCAATGTACTCAAAGCGTGACGCATCTCATTGATCAGCTCCTCCTCTCGACCTGCGTTGACACTCAACACAATCATGGATTCTCGGCCTGTCTTTTTGGGTGCTAAAATGGGCAAAGAGAGCTGCGCGTATTGTTTGAATAATGTTCTGGATCGGCCCAGGATGTTGTAGGGATCATTGGTGAATTTTCTTTGTGTAATGAGTTTCATTAATTTACCCATATTTGTTTCCTAATTTTGGTTCTGCGTTAATATCTCTGGGTATCCAATAAAAAAAAAGCATGATTTACCTTGACCAGATCAAATGTAACATGTTGGAAGCGTTCAATTTCACCCATAATCACATCAGCATCATGGGAATACTATCAAGTTGTCAAAAATCCATACTGATACCCACAGTCCTTACAACTACCTCTTCGCATCGAAATATACTACGTCTCAGCTTCTTTCTAAGGTCAAGGAACGCTTCGAATATTTGATTCTTTGTAGGTTTCGCAGTGTGTTCATTCTCAGGATGGGGATCAGTGGCAGGCACCTTTGATTGCTGTTGTACAGGCTGGTCGTCTTTGATAGGTGCCTCATGTTGTGGGACTGATGTTGTTGGTTCTGGTCTAGACAACAATGCTTGAATTCTGCCCTCCTGTTCCTTGACAAGTGAGTTCAACTGATACAATTCGTCTTTATGCTTTTGCTTGTCTTTTTCCAATTCTGCAATCTAGATGTTTCACCCCCTCGTTAGGCCAAGAAAGTTCAAGTTGAGTCCAAACCGACATATTACCTTTTCGAGTAAACTATGTTTCGTTGCTTCTTGCTCATTTAAATGTATGCAGAGTTTCTCCATTTCAGTCGACAGTTGAGTTTGTTTGTCTTGGAGCTAAATAATTTAGAGTGCATGAGTAATTGGCAGTTGCCGTATACAGTCGACCCGTCCAAAGGTACCTTTACTAAATCTAAGATGCATGTCAATGATTAACAATTATCCCATTTTTTCGGCTACAGGGACACATACCTTGATCACTGCCTTGACTTTGCATCAAATCTTGGATTTGCGCGTTGGTTTGATCGTTCTAGAACATCTGCTGAGTGAACCGCGAAAAATGGAAATTTTCTGCCACAAGTTACCTCTTTCTTCAAAAATGACATGTAGATGTCTTCCATTCGCTTCAATTCAGCCTCGGTTTCTTTCGCGACTTGCTGGCGAACTTGAGATTCTATCGTGGCACATCTTGTTTCTGCGTCAATCCACTACATGACAGCAAAGTTTCTCGCTAAGCACATGCACCACGTTTAAAATGACATCAAAGTGAGTCTACCTTGTTACGCAGCTCATCCAACTGCGATATCAGATTGTCAACAAATGGATCCTCCGTGCCGTCATCGTCCTCCTCCTCTTCTTCCTCATTCTCATCGTCTTCTTCCAAGTCAATGTCGATCTTGTCCAAGTCCATACCCTGGGGTTGTCCCTCTTCATCATCGTCGTCATTCATTAATGCATCAATGCCGTGATACACCTTGTTTCTACGTCGTTTCTTTGACAGATTAGATACATCACCGCTCAATTCCAACTTGGGATGCACGCGACGCCAAGTAGCTACATCCTTTGCCACTGCTGCAAACTTCATGACATGACTGTTCTCGTCAAAGCCAGTATCAAAAGGGTTCACATTCACTACCATCACTGCTTTACCATCGCCTTCAAATGAGCTTTTGAACAGTTCGGTTAATTTACTATGACGATAGGGCACCATGACAGCTTTCTGGATGTAGTATTGCATTCAGTCACTCCTCACATACATCTATAAACTATCTTACCTTGCCAATAGCATTCTTCATCTGATTCAACCTGAGCGTCTCCATACACTGACCAAGCACCATCAATGACTTGTTGATATTGCCTGCCTCTTTCAATCTCTGCCCTGAATTCAATGTGTTGCGATATCTCTCTGAGCCAGCCAGGTCGACAATAGAAAACTTTGAAACTGTAGCGTATACTGGATCTTCCAGCACATATTCGTTCTCGACAATAGGTACTCGTACAATGCGAATAGTGAATATACTATGGCTTCGACTACTGGTGTGATTGGTGATGGTGGAGTATTCTGCTCTGTTTCGTTGACCCTCAAACAAGATCTCATACGCTTCCTGGATGCTCTTCACTTTAACCTCTCTGAGGCCCGCAATATACTTGTGCCCACTGCTGTATTCATACTTGAGCGACAATGCCTTGCGCTTCTTGAGACGATCAGGTGGTATCAGCAAATCATAAATCTTCTCTGTGTATATCTCTGCAAATGAGACCCAAATACCATACTCGTAGTGCTCATCAATGGCAATGGCTGTCTTGTCTCGATTGATTGGTAATCCAGCCTCCCACACACTCTCTTCCTGTTGTAGCATGCGATGATGTGTGTCGCGAAGCATGTCTCGATTTTCGTCTGCTGGATCATCGTATTGTTGAACAAGACTGTGCATGCAAGGTCGAAGTCGAGTCTCACTCTTGAAATCCTCTATGCTGTTGAAAATGACATCCAAAGTTCGAGGAAGAATGCCAGGATTTTGCTTGGTGCCCATGATGGAAAATGTTTTACCAGAATTAGTGACACCATAGGCAAAAATCAGTGCATTTTCGCCATGAAGCACATCATGGATCAATGGCAATGTGGTCTTGTTGAAAAACTCTTGCTGAGATACTGTGTCTGTAAAGATCTTGGAGAATTTATATCGTTCAGGTGCTGTATTTCTGGTGCGGTATGCATTGGATTCCTATAATAAACTGTTTAGTGGTGTATGGAGGGTGTACGCTATGAAGAATTCACCTCGGGTGGTGTCATGGAGATCTCTAAATCATCTACAATATGCAAATAAGGCACGATGGAATCCAATTGAAAAGTAGCAGAATGAGGCCGAATTCTCAAATAAGACTATAGCACACATCCATTAGCTGTGTTGTTTCTAAAGTTATACATTGTCTCATGTTACCTTGATGGGCTCTTTTTCAGGATTGTAGGCAAAAAAACTGTTGTGTCCCCTGCTGGCTGGTTGTTGTTGTTGATGCTGTTGCTCACGAGCAAGTGCAACGAAATCAGGCACTTTGGGTGGTTTAATAAGGGGCCTGGATGGACCAGAGGTACGATGTGGCGTTGTATTGTATCCTCTGTGTGGTGTTCTCGTTCGAGTAGGTGTTCCTTGAGGTGTATTATTACCGTTACCGCCCATGCCTCGTGTGGGGGTGCGTGGTGTTGCTATAGATCTAGGCGTAAGACTATGGTTCGCACTATCATCTATAGTTAATGGAATCGTTCATGCTTTGACTTCAAAGGCTAAGCATACCTGAACATATGTAAATTGTAAGATTAAGCAATGCAAAAGATAGAGAAGGGGTTGTCCATCCTTTTATTGAAAAAAACTTAGGCACATCGGCGGTCACGAGCAATGGAAGTCTGATGGCATGGCGAAGAGAGCTTGTATGTGAATGCCAGATAAACGCTTTTCTCTGTAGATGTCTAGGTTATCTTTCGTATGCTTTGAAAATAAAATCAATTGGTCCTTGGGTTGACAATAGGATGATAGATTTAATATAAATATAATTTTTGTGAGCATCTGTTGAAATCTGGCTTGAGTTGTCTCATTCCAGTATTTCAACTTGACAAAACCCTCGAATCTGTTTATCGAGGATTAAATCGTATAAATGAACACTAGCCGATCCATCTCGCTACGCTCGATAATGGCGTCGCCCTGCGGGCTCTCACCGAAGACATTTCAAATCAGAAGAGATAGTAAAACTCTGCTATAAAAGTACATTTTAAACAATGACTATATTAGGCATGAAGCTTGATTTAAACGTCAGAAATTTGGAGGTACAAATCAATATTTTTTTTATGAAGCATTTACGTTATATTACTAAAGACTTCTGGTTTACTACATCCTCCGTCCGAGTTGCATTTTCTGGCGTCAGAACTGTGATACCATTTGCGGATGCTGCTCTTGAGATGGCGACACAGAGCTGACCATGCGTAAACACAGGACTTTTATGAGATCTACAGCGATTTTTTTGAGAGGTTATCATTGCAAAAGACATCTATATAGGGAAAAACTCGCAAAAAAAACCAAATAAAAAAGGATTCAAACTAATCGACTGTTTTTTTTTAAATTCATAATTTCTAATTAATCAGCATCACAATCATCATTGCCATCAACAGAAAGGCATTTTGGTCAGCCAGCAGCAATGCTGCCGCCAAAATCAATTCAAGCTCAGTAAATTTTTTCTGTTCAAGATTGGACAGATTTCGTCTTTTCACGACTTCTTTAATTTGTTTTATGATATTCGACTATATAAACTGTAATGATCACCCTACGCTCCCTAATACACTCTTGGAGTACTTTTCAAGGCGCTTCCAATGATGCCAAATAAAATAGATGTTTTGGCTGAATTTAATGAACAATTCCAAAAAATCCGAAATAAGGTTTTTGGCCAAAATGTCGAAATTTTGCATATAAAGACCTCATAAAAATGGTTTCACAAGTTGCTTTGGGTTGAGAGAAACATTTTGATACAATACATACCTTAGTAAAGGTCTTCATTTTCAAGGTGAAAAATGCGATCGTTTGATTTTCAAAGAAAATTTTTTTTTTTTTTTTTTTTTTTTTTGGATGATATTTGATTTATTAGAAATAAATTAAACGCATCAAGGGATGGACAAGTGTATGTAAACAAAGTGACGTGCCATATATAAGCTATTTAGAGTTTCCTAAGATTTGACAATCTTATCAATTCGGCGCGGATTTGGCGGCATACTACAGAGGGATCAAAAGGTATATAATTGTAGAGCTGTTGGAAGTGATTTCTCCAAATCATACGCATAATAGTGGCGAAGAAGTCATATATAGTGAACTGCATATCGTAGCTGTATATGAGATAGCGTTCTAGTTTGAGGAGCATAATGTTGTTGTAGACGAGGCGAGGGTCAGCATTTTTGGGATAGCTGAGGAACTCATTGAAGGTGGAGTTCCATACATCGATCTTGTGAGCACAGCTAATTAGAAGATGTTTGGCATCTTCTACTTCGTTGCATAGATCGCAGTGATCAGACTCTAAATTGGGCAAGTGTCTTTGGAAGAGGGCGAGCTTATTAGGGGATTGCTGATGGAGCATCCGGTACCACAGATTACGAGCCGAGTAGTGCATGTCGTTTTTATAGAAGGCTGTCCATTGCTTTTTGGAGATGTTGTTGTTGAAGTGGCGGCCAACGTCTAATGTGTCCAATGACTGCATGATGAAACGAACGTTTTTGTTTGAGAGCTGAAGGATCGATAGTTGTTGGAAGCGAAGTGATGCGGCAAATGGTCTCAGGTCGATACCATCTTCAGTGCTGTTGTTGTGTACGAATGGTTGATAATGCAACTCTTGTCGTAGGAGGGCTTTTTCAAGCTTGAGCCAGGTGTTTCTCTTGCTACATGTGGACTTGGGAACAAGTTGAAACATGGCTTGCTCCGAATTGTATTTGAAAAATTCCTGGACTTTGCTGGTTTTGGCGGTTTCACACTGTAGAAATTCAAGTTCTTCCAAATTTTCATCGAAGGTGAAGATTGCAGTGAGGGGGAGACTCAGGATGGTCAGCGCGCTTGGCCTCCGTTGCCAACCAATACACAGTGAGCTTCGTTGGCGGCAAATGTCCATGGCACCGAAAATTGAGTGGAATGGGTGGAACCCATTCAGCGTGTTCTTGTATCTCGCTGCTTTAAAGAAGAGGGGCACTACATGGTCGGGTGTGTCATGGGCTAGGCGGAGAGCGTTGGTCAGGAGCTGGTAGGTAAAGTCCGGGACCGAACCCTTGTTTCCTTGAAGGAGCACCTTGATATAACGAAACTGAAGAGCATGCTGTTGAGCTCCAATGTCAATCAATCCTAGGCCGCCTTGATCTCGCGGTAGGAAAAATGAGTTTCCTTTCAGTGGCGGGAAGAGGCCAGACATCACGAATTGGTATATAATGGACTTCAGTTGCTTCAAGACATCCAGAGGTAGCGATACAATGCGAATGACGTGCCATAATTTTGATAGGATCATATTGTTGGCGATGTTGGCTTTACCGTACAGAGACACATTCCGTTGACTATATATCGCCACCGCCGCTTTGACTTTACCAAGGAGTTCAGACACATATACATCGCGTTGATGGTTGGAGAACCAGATGGGGTACCCCAAATATTTGATATACCCGGGAGAGTGGCTGTCATACCATTTCATCTTGAGCCGGTTGATGATGTGATCTTGGACTCTGAGGCCTTCAGACCCTTTCATGCTACCGCCGTGCAAGGGAAATGCCACTGACTTGTCATAGTTAATCTTGGCATTGGAGGCCCGGTTGTACGTCTTAAGTCTTCTTTGGAGTTCAGTTAGTTCTGAATGAGATTTTACATACGTGAGAACATCATCCGCATAAGCTAAGACCTTAACGGGAGCAGGAGACACCCACGGGATCTGCACATTTTTGGGTAGTTTGGTGTGCTGAAGACTATAGCCTGAGATTGCAGTGTTGTTGATGATGGATAAGAGGAACGGTTCAATAGCTAGATTGAATAGGACAGGTGAGATGCTATCACCTTGCCGAATGCCTCGTCGTTGTGCGATAGGTTTCGTCAGAAAACCGTTGATGTTGACATGGATGAAGTTATCGAAAAACAGGTTGAGGATGCAGGCGACGAATTGTGGTGGAAATCCAAACTTCAACAGTACTTGTGAGAGATACTGGGGGTGGACTCTGTCATATGCTTTGGCGTTGTCCAGCATGATTCCAGTGTATTCGACAAAGTTGGTTGCATTTCGCCAGCTGGCGGATGAAGCGTTATCCATAATTACCCTGAGAGACATGCCGTGATCACCGATATATCGACCTGACAAGAAGCCGCATTGATATGGGTTGATGAGTTTGTTGGCTACTGGTATGACACGAGAGTTCATAATACGAGTAAAGACTTTGCAGTCGGCCGCAATCAATGTGATGGGGCGATAATTGGCGAGATCGCTCCGGTCCCCTTTCTTAAACAGAAGGATAATACAAGATTCCTGCCATGATTTGGGAAATTTGGCGTGCTGGATAGCGTCATTAAATACTTGGTGCACGATGTCTCGGCAGCTAGGGTGAGATATAATGAGATATAAGATTTCATACCCGATACCATCTAATCCTGGGCTGCTTTCTTTGGGAGTTCGAGCAGACCCTAGCAGAATGTCGTCGTAGTCTATTAATGCGGTGATCTGGTTGGCGTCGTCGGCTGACAGAGTGGTGTCGATGTAGTCCAGCATTTTGTTCAGGCAGGTAGAGTCTATCCGTTCTTCGGTGTACAGTTTCTGGTAGAATCGTTCTGCGGCGTTCAGCTTGGAGGCAGTGTCGAGACAGTCGACCCCAGTACGAGGGTGCTTCAAGTTGGGGATGGTTCGCTGATCAAGGCGTTGTTTACTGGTCTGCTTTATGTATCCAGGCGACTTTTCACTATTTTCAAGCCATCGTTTCCCGGCCTTAAGAAGCTGAATATCCACGATTTCCTGTTGCAACTTGGCTAGCTCGTTCTCCACATCCTGCAACAGTAGCCTCAAGCAAGTAGTGTCATGTCTGTAGCGTCGTATCAAATTGTTCCTTTCACTTTGCAGTGTCTTGATTCTAGCCTTCCTCCAATGATCGTGTGTTCTGGTGAACTGAATAGTAACCTGTTTGGCCTTCTTTTTAATAAGATCCCACTTTTCTTGAGCAGACAGAGAGCTGTCGAGTTTCACCGCAACAAATGTTCTAAGCTCGTCGTCTAGTTTCTGTCGATACTTATGGTTCTTGGCGAGGTGAGGGTTCGCTCGCCAAAGTCCTTTACCGCAGTTAGTCAATCCAGTAGTATATGTTTTGGTCAAGAGAGCATGGTCTGTCCAATCTGGCCTGATAAACGAGTTAGTGGCATCACTCATTTTGGAGGCTATGTCGTGGCCTGCAAACATATAGTCGATGGTCGACATGGTGGACCCACGCCGAAAGGTATACGCATGAGGTTCATTCTTTGGATTGAGACAATCGGAAAAGTGGGTGTTCAAGAAATCGGCAAACTGCTTGGGTTTCCCTGCACGGTGAGTATGATGGTATGTGGTGGTGTCGAAACTGTAGTTCATATCGCCAGCTATGATCAATGAAGGGATGATTTCAGGCATGCTTTTGAGGTGGCTGGTGATTTGGCCAAAAAAACGGTTTCTGGCTCTATAATCGTCTGCATGTGCATAGATATTAAGTATATAGATGGGTGGCATATTGTTGTCAACGAGTGAGATTTTGGCTAAGATACCCCTTCCTTCGTTGAAAACGTGCAATTGTTGTAAATTTAGAGCTTGATTAAAGTTGATTATTCCACAATGAGTGGTCCATATAGCTTGGTGGTACTGGAATTGGTACTTAAAGTTGGTGGTGATGCTTTCGAAGGAGTGTGATTGAGCATTAGTTTCTTGACATAGTAAAATATTGCATAGTTCTCCTTTGAGATGCCGTATAAAGCTGTTGGTAGCAGCGATGTTGTATTGTTTGTAGAGGTTCCTGCAGTTGATGGAACCTATCCTAATATTGACATTTTTAGTTTGTGTTGTCCCAATCATTAGTTTATAATGAAGTGGTTGTTGATGAGGCGCCATACGCTGCATCCGCCGTGCCATGAGGCTCTTGTTGCTTGAAGAGCTTCTTGGCATGTCCTTCTTCATCCGATCCCATGGGGGTGGAATCCATTGCATTCCTCTTGTGGGATGTCTCAGGCGTTGTATCATCCTTACGGCTGGAGACCGGTGGTCTGACATCACGAAGATTGTAACGATTCCTGAAGTTAGCTGTGGTGAGACTGTCCGAGTCCTCCTCTCCAGTACTACTGGTGTCTTCGTATTCAGATTCGTCAGAGCTTGGCGCGACAGGCTGGTTGGCCGATTGATCCTCCTGGGTTGCACCCAGTTTGTCATCCTTGAGAGCTTCGCTGTTTGAAGAGTCAGCAGGAACCTCTGTGCTAGAAGTTTCAGTGATAACCTCTGTGCCATGAGGCTCGATTGTCTCCTGAATCGCTTGCATAGGAACGTCTTGCACAGGTTCAGAAGATGCCGCGGATGCAACCGATTCCGTGTCACTGGTGTCCATAGAGGATTCGCCTCTAGTCGTTGCCTTCTGTTTGTTAAGGTACTTCGGCTTGGGTACTTGCATTAGCTCTAGAAGATCAATTTCTCTTCCAGTAGGCTTTGGAGCGGGAGGGTTCCCCTGGGTGTCAGAATTGCGACGGCGACGGTCTTGGGATGGTTGGTCCTTCTTCCTATTCCAGTAAGCCTGGGGGCAAGTAGCAATCAGATGCTCAAGGCTACCGCATTTATGGCAGGCCTTCCTTTTCTTCCTAGGACAGTCAGCCTTGACGTGATCATCGGTATGGCAATCCGAACAGATGGGTTGCATGTTTGCCCATGTCAAGCGGAGATTCTCCTGCGAGCCATCAAGTGCGACCTGAGGCTTCAACTCGGCTGCATAATGTTTGGATTTGTCGATATTAAGGGTGACGAAGCCGCGTCCAGTGAACCAATCCCCATCCTTGGAGTGGCAGAGCCCGACATTGAGGATATCACCATATTCTTCAAAGGCTTTGATCAACAGAGGTTGGAGTACCTCCACCGGCTTGTAAGGAATGGCCGAAATGCTAACTCGAAAGATGTTGGCATGCTTGTCCAGGGTCTTGTTGACTTGGATAGTTGCACCTTGGAGAATAAACTCTTTCTGCAAGGCTTCCATACAATCCTCTTCTGTGGGGAAGTTGATTTCAATGACTTTGTGATTCTTGCCAACCACACGGTGTCGAATACCAAGACCTTTGGGATATTGTTCACGGAGACAGCTTGATAACGATTTCTCCTTGAAGTGCATGCCGACGAACTGTACACAGTCGATGATCAGAGAGAAATCATCCTGGGCTTCAACGAAGGTGGACGTGAAGTCAAGAGCTTTGCCGATAACACCATTATTAGAAATGGAAGGGGTGATCTTGAATGGAGTTCTCTTTTGCGAGTTGATATCCTTGAAGAATGAAGCATATGTAAACATATTGTTGCCTGGATTATGGCTGGAATCCAGCGTAGAGCCACCAAAGTTGGTGGTCCTGCCTTTTTCACCTAAATTGTGATCTTTAGCGGAGAAAGCCATGATTTTCAAAGAAAATCATGAGGTACCCCTCATGCTTTTTGGTCGATTTTTGGCCCTGTTTTTTTGGTCCCCAAAAAGTTGAGCAAAGGTGTCAGAAAGTTACTACTACTCAAGTGCAATTGTTTGGCGTTATTCCGGCGGCTCGAAAAGGTCTACATGTCAAGATATAAAGGCATGAAAGCAATCAAATTTGGCTGTATTTTTGCTTTATGACTTTTATTTACACTTCATGAATCACATTTCTGGTAGCTGAAGTCTTCTGGAAGGGCAATTCTGCAGCCTGCGCAATTTCTAATTCGAATAGGAGGCATATTGATTTTGTCAAAGCTAATTCATGCAAATCTTGATGTGTCATGTTGCTGGTAATAAGCTTATTAACAATTGAAATAAAAACTTGAAATTGCTGCTTACTACTATATACTATGATTTTGCATATTCTCTTTGCTACAATCAAGCCCTCATATAGATCAATGTTTACCAAGTGTTGGATAGGACACTGATAGGCCATTCAAATGTCAAAGGTCAAAGTGTACTTGTCTGTACAACATGTAATACACTTTGGCAAAGAGATGTAAACGCTGCAAAAAAAAACATGATGTCCATTTCTCTTTCTGTCTGGATCGACAATGCAATACCCGAAATCTTCAGAAGAAACAATCGATAAACGTTATATTCTCCCGTCGTCGTAATAAACACGGTTTTCCTCTTTGGGATTTAGATTATTACAGGTAAAAAAAAAAAAAAAAAAAAAAAGTCTGAATGATCATCTCCATTAGTCTTAAAACTGACTCTTTCCTGTCTCGACTTCATTTTTCTCTTTGTCTAAAAAAAAAAAAAAGGTAAATATACTGTCCAAAAATTAGTTTTGGTTCGTCCAGAAAAAAATTAACATCGTCTGAATTTGAAGTGTAATACTGTAGGAAGCAACTACACTATACATTGCGAGAAATGGTTTGGTACAACTCTGGCTGGCTAAAACGGCCTAAAAGTGGTAATAAATAGGCATTAAAATTACTGGTTTTTGTGTGATTTGAGGCATGTTTGAGCATCTGCAGAAGGAGTAATGAGCAGTTTGGCATCTGCTATGTTTCGTTATGGATTGGTCAGAGTCTCAGGAACGTAATGATTATATACTTGGCCAATACGTCATTGCTTTTATAGAAGGTGCGGCATCTGGGTTTGTATGCCAATGTCAAAGCAATATGTTGCAAATCAGCCTTTGAGGGCTTGTCTACACCAATTTTCAGCACTGATCTGTTAGTAGAGGCAGCTTTCCACGCTGACAGTAAGGAATCGCTCTCTTTTCATCTATGGATCCATGGGATTGCAATGATTTTCAGTTCTCGATTCAGCAACATACATCTGAGTGGCAATTAGCTGCGAATTTCAATTTGATGTCTCTTAAGACTGCCCGAGCCTCAACGAAATATATTCATGATATAATAAAGCTATAGCAAGACACTGCAGGAGCAGCTGATGTGGTGTATCTCATCTTTCAATACATTTGCTTGTTCGCCACTGATATGTATACTCGTGTGCCAACTGATTTACAGATGATTCGATTGCAGCCAATTGCAACCAGCCAAATTATTCGCTGTCCTTTTGTATGTGATTTAATTGATTCATCCTTTGCCCACGCGCATTATTTTTTTCCTTCTAGTTGCTTCACTTTTTTTTTTTTTTTTTTTTCCCTTCTTTCTACAACATTACAACTTGATAATGCCACCTCAACAACCGCCTCAACGTAACGAGATTGTCGAATGGTATAATTCTATTCCGCCCATCACAAAAGCACTTTTTACACTATCCATTGCCACCACAGCCATCTCAACGTTTGGCATCATTTCACCATCATCGCTCATCCTTTACTGGCCCAACATTAGAAATAAACTCCAGGTAAGCAAAAGAGACTAAACCAGTCATTCTTCGTACTGATCTTCCTGTATGTCGCAGCTGTGGAGACTGGTAACCTGCTTCTTTTTCAACAAAATCAGTCTTGGATATGCGTTCAATCTATATTTTTTGTATCGCAATTCACTACAATTAGAGAATGAAGTCTTTCAAGGACAGCCCGCCGACTATATGTTCTTTCATCTCTTCACTTCAGGTTTGCAGCTGACTGCATCGAGCTTATTTGGCACCTATGTGCTGAGCGATGGCCTCTTGCTCTCCATTGCCTATCTCTGGGCTCAACATCATCGTGACATGCCAGTGACATTCATGTTTGGTATCCGATTCAAAGCACTCTACTTACCTTGGGCTATGATTGCCTCGGATTTCTTGATGTCTGGCGCTATTCCCAGAGCCTCTGTTGCTGGTATGGTGGCATCTCACATTTACTATTACCTGACATCGATATATCCAAGCCAAGGAGGACGCCGTTACCTTCAAACACCTGAATTCCTAAAGAGATTGTTTCCTACAAATAGTAGAGCATTCCGTGGTGGATTTGGACGTCAAGATCAGGCATCTGGAAGCAGTACATCGGCAAATAACAATACCAACATGTTTGGAAGACATACTTGGGGAACTGGACAACGCTTAGGATCTTGATTTGATGAAATAAATGTAAAAACGCATGATTTTTTCGGTAGTACTCTAAATACATGTTTGATTCGATTGCTACGTCACCTTTTTCAAAATTAAGGGCGGGGTTGTGTGGGTCTTGGAAACCAAACAGGGTTGATCTTTTATGTAACTGCAAGAAACGAAGAAGCCTTCCTTTCTAATTGATACATTTTGGCTTGTTCATATATAAAAAATAACCCCCCTACTCTACAATGTTTTCTCGGCTCGCCTTAAACACAGCAAAGCGTTCAGTACGTTCGCTTGCTAGACCTTCCAACCAGGTAATATGTCGACATTTGATACACCTCATCTTCTGACCCCACACAACTGCACCTATACATCTACACCCACTTTTACACATGTTTAACCAGCACTCAACTAACACCATTTGATCATTAGGTCAGATTTGCTTCTACCAAGCCTACCGTCGCTCAAGTATGTTGAACCATTTGTATTTCGATCCCTGACACTAATTCAATCTTGAGCAGCATCCTATGCAATTCGGTTTAGTGACAGGCGCTATCGTTGGTACCACAGCAGCTGCTTACATGTATGCTGATGTCTCTGCCAACATGGCTGATGAGGGTCTCCATCCTCCTAGCCATCCCTGGCCTCACAGTGGTCCTCTCGATACTTTTGATCATGCTTCGTAAGTAGTCAATCTATTTCGCAGCCAATCCGCATCCCATACTCAACCATGTTGACAATATCTGTAGTATCCGTCGTGGTTATCAGGTTTACAGAGAGGTTTGTTCAGCCTGTCACTCTCTTGATCGTATCGCTTGGAGAAATTTGATTGATGTCTCTCACTCTGAGGATGAAGTCAAGGCCATGGCCGAAGAATTCGAATATCAAGATGGACCTGATGATAATGGTGAGATGTTCATGAGACCCGGCAAGGTAAATGTCATGAAAGGAAGGGAAGGCGAGAGATCAACTCTTGACTCATTGGAATCATAGCCTGCTGATTATATGCCCAAACCATACCCTAACGATGAAGCTGCTCGTGCTGGTAATGCTGGTGCTTTGCCCCCAGATCTTTCATTGATTACCAAGGCTCGTCATGGTGGTGAGGTATGCCGTAGATCAAAAGAGACCTACAGACGATGTGGAAAGCTAATCTATGCCATATAGGATTACGTTTTTGCTCTTTTGACAGGTTATGTTGATGCCCCTGGAGGTGTTGAAGTTCGTGAAGGTTTGAACTATAACCCTTACTTCCCCGGTGGCGCTATTGCTATGGCTCAAACTCTCTTTGACGGTGTTGTCGAGTATGAGGATGGCACTCCTGCCACCGCCTCTCAAATGGCCAAGGATGTCTGTACTTTCCTTGCTTGGGCTGCTGAACCCGAACACGATGACCGTAAGAAGATGGGTATGAAGGCTACCATTATTACTGCTGGTTTGGTTGCTTTGTCTGTCTACCTCAAGAAATTCAAGTGGGCTCCTCTCAAGACTAGAAAGATTGTTTACAAGTAAGTCATTTTCTCTGTAATGTACGATATAATGCCCTAATCTAACGTCTATTGTATAATAGTCCTCCTAAATAAATTCAAAAAGACACCTTGTAGCAAAGAAATCATAAAAATCTTATTTAATCCAAAATATAAAACTATTAAAAAATTACAGCGCTCTTTATTGTGTATTGGGAAAGATAGTTTGCATAGACACAGACAACACTGAAATCCGTGTAGTCGAAGCAGGCTCAGTAGTGCGGATGGCAATGGCTGGGTATGATGACAGGACGCCTTTATTTATAAATACTCTATGGTCATCTAGTAAAAAATGATCTGATGATGAGGAGACATAGCCTCGTTGTCACTGCTTGCTGTTTGTGTAAGCCATTGTTCCAACTGGGTCAGTCTTGTAAGCATGTACTGTAATTGCGCACCAAGGAGATCTGAAGTCTCCTTCACATTTGCGCAGTAAGCGGAAACATTATGAACCAGTTCTAGTATCTTGCGGAACTCTTTATTGACAACTATGGATGCATTGGCCACGACCTTGATTGTGTCAGTAATTTGATGATTGTGAGTAACGAGTTGTCCCCTGATGTCTGCTTCCATCTCGTTCATTTTTCTTTCCAAAGCTGCACGGTTGAGTTTAACCAACGTCTTTAGAGTAAACTGGTCTCCCATTGATCTTTGAACGCAATCTTTGACTGTTGCATTGATTTGGTCCACCTTTTGAGACAAGTCTTTGATTTGCTTTTCACACTCTGTGGATTTTGCTGCCGTTTGTTGTGATGCCAATTGAGCGGTCTCCAGAGCAAGCACACGAGGCAGCAAATCATTCAAGGTCTCTGTTGCATCCGCAATACCTCGAACAGCAGCCGAGAGGGATTTCATCTATGCAGTATCAAAAGCATAAGGACACAGACAGAAACATTGCACTGTACCATATACCTGATGCGTCTGATTCACTCGACTGTGATCCAGTGGATGTATCTTTTCCTTGCCATCTATACGAGCCTCTCGACTCTGAATAGTAAGTTCCAAGAGAAGACTCTTGCTGTCTAGGATAAGCTGATGGGCATGCATCTCTTTTTTGAACTTGAAAGTCGCTGAGGATCAATCAGTGTGTCATTCACTGCTAACAACTGCTTACCATGGCCTCAAACGCTTCCATTCTCTCATGCAAGTCTTCGATAGTTGATTGCTTTGTACTATACTGGTGATGCATTCTATCACTGGCTTCTGCAAGTCTCTGATTGACGTGAGCTTCAATCGTGGCACGGTGCTCCTGCATCTTGGTCTCAATATACTCCTGCGCAGCTATAATAATCGGAATGAGGTCACTCTACCTCACTTGAAAAGAGTCTACCTACTTTTACTGTTTCCCTTCTTGGGTTTCGCCTCTATTCATCGTAATAAGTGAGCGGTTGAACGGCATGACATTGCTGTGTACTTGCCTGTAAAGAAAGAATGAGCTACATATAGCGTTGGAAGTAGGGTCACCAGGAAGAAGCCTACAAATGAAGCGACTTGTACGAAAAGTTTGATTACAAAAGGCATATCCATTATGTTTAGAAAAAAAAAAAAAAAGAGGGTTATCAGACAATCGCGAGAGCTTAAATCTAGCTTTTATATAACTGGAGATCGAGTTCATTGTTTTCAGATCTGCATGTCATTTACAAATGCTCATTTATGAATTCATGTCACATAGAAAGGTTGATTTTCTATTTGCAATGACAACTGTTGTCGTCAAATGTAAGTTTTAAGGGTGCACATTGCTGTACTGTCAGCATAATAGGCACTGTATAGAGGCCAACAAAGCACGACAAGACACGTTTCTGTGCTTTGACTTGTAAAACCGTTGCTGAAATAACTTGAATTGCATGAAACTATTTGAAGTCTGCTGGCTGACCACAGACCAAGCTTATTGTGCATGCTTATTCATAGAGTTCCCTCGGTAAAGCTCATTGTAATATAGATATCAGTCTCGTGCTTTGTATCGAGACAACAAAGAAAAACACTATCTATGCGTTTCACTTTATTTTAGAGCGCCAGTACTCGTAATGATGACAGATAGCTCACAATATACAATCATAGATCTTTGATTCCTTGTTGCTTCCTTGAGTGTACCTCAATCGATTGAGCTTGGGCCGGTACAATTAGCAATGCCGCTCCATTAGCCGCATGTTGATTGTTTGTGCGGTTGTAATACCCAGAATGAACCCTTCTTGGACATCATATTTAGATAGCGTCATCATATTCTCAATGCCACAAAGTTTGGTAAGCTCCAACCACCAAACTACGATAATTAAGATATATGAGCGCCGTTTTATTGATACTATTATTGTCAAATATATTCCATCTCGAAATGCTAAGCTTTACTACATACACAGTAATGCAACTCTGATAGGAAGCAAACAATCAATAAGGCGATTGGCATTTGATGAATATTGACGATTGAAACCCTCTGCTGTTGATCCATGCTATTGACATTGAATACACCTGTAAAATCCAGTCTACACAGAAGATGGCCTCGGCTCTCCTCGTCAAGATCTATTTATGCAAAGGATCGATAAATATAGCTATTAAGCATCAGGTTGGAACGACAAACTAAGCCTACTGCTTACGAGATCAGGGGCAACTGACGCTTTGAAAGTCAGTGGTGGTTCCGAGTCATCATGCTCTCCCTGTTGGCTCAAACCTCATCTGTCCCCTTCCTCATCCAATCCATCATTGATTCACAGACAAAGATAGATCATATTATCCTGCTGGACTCTTTCCAGTTCTAAAGAAGCGTACAATCACTGGTCTAAACTGAATCGATAAAGTCCGTTAATTAACTGAAACACATCTACTTTATTACAAAATGATTTAAAAATATAGGTCAAGCCCAAGTAGAAACGAATAAACAGCGTGCACAATTACTATAAATCGATCAAAAACCAAAATGTAGTAGAGCCCCTGCTGCGAAAAAAAAGGCGGCATTTGCTTGTACTTGTCATGACGAATGCGTTTTCAATACGACATCTTATCGCATTGACTCCATGTGCTGTAGTTTTGTGATCAAAACAACCTACGTACTACATGTTACATCTTGATGTTAAGTCGGCGATCATGTATGCATGGGAAGACTCCAAGGTAAAAACAAGAATCTGTTGATTCAATTACATCGGACCTCAATACCATAGAATGATGTGATATTAGGGAATCCATGTATAAATACCAACCCAACCCATACAATGCTCCCCATTTCTTCATCTCTTTTATATATTCAATACCGCGTCCATAAAATACACTGACAAAAAGAAAAGCCATACTATACTATCCTTAAAAACATTTTATTGAGCTTTCCTTTTTTTTTTTTTCATCCATTGTATCACAGTACTCTCCTTTCATTTCACCTATATATTCCCCCAATATACTAACAAAAACAATACCATCACATTATGAACACTGCAATGAATAACGCATCTTTTGGTTTCGATACTTATAACTTTATGCCTGCTGCTCCTTATACACCCACCAAGATGCATTACTATGACACACAATTGTATCCTACTCATGCTCCTGTTACACCAACAGCCCCTACCACAAGATTTGACACATACGACTCCATTGTTGCTATGGCATCTCAGGTTCCACAGCCCGTCGTACCTTCTCAAATTGACATGTACAATAGCATGCCATCAAGCCCCGAATCCGCTGCTTCCTCTGCTTCTTGCTCTCCTTTGGTAGTCTCTTTCAGTGCCTCCAACACACATTCTCTGCCTAGCTGTGTCTCTCTGACCGAAAAGATCAACGAGAGAATTGCTCAAGTCAACAAACTTCCCGACTCTTTCTTGCCCGAATTCCATCAGTATTCCAAAGAAACTTACGAAAATGGCGGCTCTTGCATGAAAAAGAGACGTCGTCGTCAATGTTCTTATGATTCTGAGGACATGGATGGCCAAGAAATGCAACATCAAGGTATCTCTGCTGCTGAAATGCGTCGTCAAGTGCACATCCAGTCTGAGCAAAAGCGAAGAGCCCAAATCAAAGATGGCTTTGATGTTTTGCGTCAGCATTTACCTGGTTGCGCAAACAAAAAGATGAGCAAGGCTGCCTTGTTGGGTCGTACTGTTCAACATCTTCAGCATTTGAAGAGAAACCAAGCTTCCATCTTGACCGAAATTGAGAGATTGGTTCAAGAAAATGAAAAGCTGAAATCTGCTGCTGCTGCTGCTGGGTCGACATCTGCTCCTCCTGTATCTGTAGCACAACAAAGAACCTTCATCTAGTTTCATTCTTGTATACAATATGCCATCCTTTCCATCATCAATCTTTTTAATAAAAAAAAAAAAACCAAGTGTACAATGAAAGAAAAACGGTTTTGAACGGAAAGGCGCCTGCTTTCCTATTTGATTGCCTGTGCCTGGATGCTATGATGGGGCGTCAGTGGATGCATAATAAGCATGAGCAGCGTTTCCTGTACCTGCAGCTTTAGAGCAGGGATGTTATTTCACTTTAAATAGAATCGCTGCTCTTTGAAAATCTCATGTTCGGCGTGCCTGGTATCAAAGGAACAACCATGAATGGCTTTTTGAGCAAATCCATGTTGATCTGACTGGACCATGACATGATGAATCATTCAATTGAATCAATCCTTATCTTTGATAACTGACGGTAAATGCAAAACTGAAGTGCCGGATATGAAGCATCGGCTGAAAGCTAGACCAGTCTGTTATATTTCAACCTGATTGATGTGTGATCCAATATCCTGGTTTAGATCAGAAGCTTGTGATACGAATACAGACCATAACGTGACTCGATACACCCCCAAACATGGAAGCGTAGAGTCTTGTTGTATCGTATATGCAGCAGTAGATAGAGCGCATATAGTTTTTACCCACCAACCATTTCTTTCTTTTTTTTTCTTTCACTTTTTTATACTTTTTTTTTTTTCTTTTGACAATCCAACAGAGAAGTTATCCCATATCAAAACTTATCTCGAGGAAACGGTTATTATTGGTAAGTAGATCAATGTAACGTTATTCATGTCCGAGTTATATTTAACACTGGCTTCAACATAGAATGGGACGCAAAAAGATCAAGATCCAGCCAATTCAGGATGAGCGAAACAAGCAGGTAGTGTAAGTGAGGTATCATAAGGCCATGTTAGCTAAAACAAAATGCTCTCAAGGTTACGTTCCTGAAACGTAAACATGGCTTGATGAAGAAGGCTTACGAACTCAGTGTCTTGTGTAATTGTGAAATTGCATTATTGATTTTCAACACCAGTGGCAACTTGATACAATATTCCAGCAGCGATATCGATCAAATCATGATGAAATATACAGAGGTATGTTGTATCGTATAGCAATACATTGGTATATCTAACTTTATAATAGTACACTGACCTTCATGAAACCAAATCAAACCTAGACGTAATGTACCCTTGCTGATAGCATAAACAGATTGGTATACTAAGGCATTGCTAATAGTTTATCAATAATGAAGATGGCTGGGAAGAAGGAGATGAAACTATAGAACACGAGCCAGAGACGCACAATGAAAAGGATCAGAGCGTTAGAAAAAAGACATCCCCTGCTCCCCACCTCACCTCCCGCCCTCCAGTTGCGATGACACAGCAGGAATTGCCCCATCCAGTAGAACAGCCAAATCAGCCATTACAGTCTCTACCGCTACCTCCTCCGATGCTACCCTTTAGAGCGCACGGAGACCCTTCTTATGCCTATGTCGCACCGCCTCCGTCGTTCTCGGATAACAGCTACGATATTTTTTATGCTATTAATCCAAATTTTGTGCCTCCCGTAAGTACAGTTTCTTTGTTCCTGTAGATCGTGATGCTGATGTTTGAGTAAATGTAGAATCCATTTTTACATCAGGGGTACGGTAGTGTGCCTGCAATGCCACCGCTACCACCGTCACCAGCACCACTACCACAGCCATACGCTTACGGCTATGCACCTGTAATGAATGGGTACATACCGGCACCCACATCTAACAATCATCCAATACCGTATTATCAGCAAGTACCATTGCAAGCACAGGGGCATTTGGTGCCAGTACCACCACAGCAAGGCCCACAGCAGCAAGGTCAAATGTCTACACCTATGCCGCCACAAGAGAAGCTGTTACAAGCTACCAGCAAACGGCCTCCTAATTTACGAGTAGAAATACCCAAAAATGATGATCATGCAGAAACACAAGAAAAACCACCAGAGCAACAACCGTACTCGTATCAGCCACCATCAGCGTTATTTCCACCGCCCTCTGCTCTGCCATCTCAATTTGCTCGTAATCTACCATCGCCATCTACATTTTACCCAGAATTCTATACACATCACAATGAATTACCAAGCCCACTCTTCTTTGTAACTACACCAGTAGCTGGAGCATCGTTTCTGTGGCCATCAAGAAATTCGTCTATAAGCGGGCCTTCACCTTCGTCAGGTGTAGCAGGGTCAGGGGGAGGTCCAGATTACAAATCATCGCCATTAGCGAAAAGGTACGTAGATGGTTTGGTTAGACAAATGAACCGCCTTTACTCATTTCTTTGTGTAGAAATGATACCAAGACGCCATTAGCAAAGAGAAATCATGGCTCAATATCCGGCAATGATGGAGCTGGAGGAGGAGGAGGAGGAGGAGGAAGGGATTTCAAGAAATCCAAATTATCAGAGTAAGTTTTTTGGAAATTTGCCCTGAACAATAAAATTGTTGCATTCAGAGCATTGTGAATTTCATTATCTGTGGAAATAAGGGGCAAGTAGAATTGACAGTAGGAGGGAGTGAGTGTACTGGTATTTGGAGCGTGATAGCATGATCGACAATGCAATCATTTCTTTGAGTTGATTCGTGCTACCAGGTTCCTGAAGTAGCGAGTGTCTCTCCTTGAGTTGAAAATCTAAAAAAGCATTGCATGCCATCCATTCATCCAGACAGTAACACAGCCTCAAACTGGAACGCCGCTAGGTAACATTTGCAATCCGGGATTCCTGGTATACCAAACAATTCTTGTGCATGGCATGGTACTTTACAACAGCATGTCTCGATCTTGCGCCGTATAACCCTCGTAAACGAAGCTATCTAGTCAACACTATATACAGACATCTTTTAAACATTATTTGATATAGTCTACACCACTACCAAAATGATACAAGGCAAAATCGTTGATGTGGGGTTAAAGCACATGGGGCCGTGACTCTGGAACGGTCTACCTGACAGAATGGAAAACCAGCAATCGTACCATTCAATTTGGCTCCGGAGCTTGTGCCAGTATTATACCTTCAGTAAAGTTTAACCTTACCCGCGGTGCATCAAAACTAAAATTCTGATCTGGCCAATTTATTCATTGGCGATCAATGTCACTGCATGCTTCTTAGGCTACAGAATTTGCATAAACGCATGAAATGCCAGTGAGCCATCACTTTTGATTCGCTTGATCCACAAGAAGCAGATCCAGGAGTACGATATAGCAGAAGAGATATAAAAGATGGACATGTCCTCAAATCTAAATGATTACCGCTCATGTATAATATGTTTGTCAGGAATGTTTAATGATGGAATCATGCAATACATATACATATATATATGCTTGCCCTTTCATCTGGCGGAGAATGTATTTACCCTTTTGGATTGACTTTAAATGTGATTTGGTACCTTGGATAGTATAGATGAATACATATACTACTCTCTTATGATCAGACATCCGCTGATTACATCCACTCTTGAGCTCAAATTTCGACTCACTTGATTATCGTGCCTTCATCTACCCTGAATTCCAAGGGTATAATACTATAAATATGGACACTAACATTTGAATCTCCATAAACATCGATAGACTTTTTTTTTTTTTGTGTCTCACTGGCCATCAATATTTATCACGCCACAGAAACATGAAATCGACCGAATAAAAAAAAAAAATCGTATTTAAAGGAACAGGCACTGACAAGACCCCTTCTTTCTTCCCTCCTTCTTAAAACCGAAACTAAAGATATTCCTTACATTTACACAAGATGACTTCTCCCATGTCTTCCAAATACGCTATTTACCAAAGCGACAATGCCATTGTAAATATGATCCACCCATGTTACACTGAAATCAACATGCTCACCTAACATTGATTACCATAGCGTGCGAAGGGTCCTATTGGTGATGATGCTCCCATGCGTTTAAGAATGGAAGCCTATGTCAAGGATCTCCAGAGACGTATCTGCGAAGGTATTGAGGAAGTCGACGGTAAGGGTAAATTCATCCGTGATGCCTGGCAAAGACCTGAATTTGGCGGTGAGGGCATTACCTGTGTCATGCCTGGTGGTGATGTGATGGAGAAGGCTGGTGCCGCGGTCTCTGTTGTCTACTCTGAGCTCTCTCCTGAAGCTATCCGTCAAATGCGTGAAGACCGTGGTAAGGATATTGATTGTGAAGGTACTGTTCCTTTCTTTGTTACTGGTATCTCTCTTGTCATGCACGCCAAGAACCCCAATGCTCCTACTGTTCATTTGAACTATCGTTATTTTGAAGTCATGAACCCTGATGGTACTCCCAAGTTCTGGTGGTTTGGCGGTGGAGCTGATTTGACTCCTGTCTATCTCTATGAAGAAGATGCTGTCTTCTTCCATCAAATCTACAAGGAAGGGTGTGATAAGTTTGACAAGGCCTACTACCCTGAAATGAAGAAGGCTTGTGATAAGTACTTTTTGAATGCTCATCGTGGCGAGGAACGTGGTATTGGTGGTGTCTTCTTTGATGATTTTAACTCTAAGCCTGCTGAAGAAATCTTTTCCTTTATCAAGGAGCTCGGTGATCGTTTCTTACCTTCTTATGTCCCTCTCTTGCAAAAGCGTAAGGACATGCCTTTCACCGATGAAATGGTTCACTGGCAACAAATCCGTCGTGGTCGCTATGTTGAATTCAACTTGATTTGGGATCGTGGTACCAAGTTTGGTCTTGCTACTCCTTGTGCTCGTGTCGAAGCTATCATGATGACTATGCCTCTTACCGCTCGTTGGGAATACATGTATGAGCCCAAAGAAGGTTCCAGAGAAGCTGCTCTCGTCGAAGTTTTAAAGAACCCTAGAGATTGGATCCCCCTCAACTAGATTGCTACCTAGACTTGTAATTTCTTAATTCTATCATTTTTGTACATTTAATAAACCCTCTTGCATTGATCATTTCACCTTCATCCGGGGCTTTAATCGAGCAGTAATCTTGATCCGTCAAATTTGGAGTGGTTACAGCCTTTAAAATATCATATACTGTTGAGAGTATTATTGCGTAGCGCTATTGATTCGTCTAAATGAGCGAATCAATGTGCTCAAACCAAGCATGACTCCTTGGAAAGTGTGTTGAAACAAGTTTCAATTATGATGGACGATATGTAAGCAGTTGATTTATTGACATGCATATGATAAAACCGAGCAGATTCTTCGATGCCATACATAAAACTAAATGCAGAAGCGGAGCGTCTGAATGTGCGCCATCTACAGCAAATTTTACAGTGTAAACATACACGAATCACTGTTTACCGACGTAAAACTCCAGTGATTGGCACTTTTGAGCAAACAGCATCTTTTTAAGTCCATGCTCATGATATTGTGAGTTTTCGCTAAGTTTCACTAGACATTTTAAGGAGCCAGCAATCTATCAAGAAGCACTGAAAATGTCACCGCGACGCGTATTGGTTATTTTTTTTTTGTCGTAAAGGATAAGTTGGCGTAAAGCTTTAGTCCTCTCCTAGTGGGCTTGGTATGCACGCTACGCGTCTTATTCAGTATCCCTTTTATGCTATACGAGTGTTTATGCTTCGGATGGCTCTCTACCTTTGCTTCCCTTCGGTGAGAACCAACCTGCACAGCGGCATCTCACGCTACCGATTGCTCTTGCGTATCTTTTCAAAACACTGCTACTTATATTTTGATCCTCCACTTACACATAAAAACCCCTTTATACTATCTGTGGATCTGATTCTTATGTGATGCTCTACATCCATATAGACGTTGCTACTTCATATACGGGCAAGTTGCATACTGGTATTTCCCCTTTTTAGTCCTCAGTGTCCCTGATACAGCAAAACCTCAGTGCATTTGAGCTGCGCTCTCTTGCGTTCAAGGCCGTTTTAGGTGGTCAGAATAGGACCAAACACTTGCTCTCATCTGACAGTTACTTTCTGACACCTCTTTTGATATTTTCGTAAATTATTCAAAAAGTTTATTCAAAATATCTATCTTGCTTGGTATCATTAGATGCGCCTTGAAAAGCACTCCAAGAAAGCTTAAAGACGCATAGGATGATCATCATATGTTATATAGTCGAATTTGCCAAAATATTTCAATCGAGTCGAAGATCCACAAAATTTGGCCAATCTGAAACAGATTATGAATCTGAGTTTAGAATCAATTTTGGCTGGTGGGGCTGGCAGGCAAACTCAATGCCTTTTAATCATGAAGGCAGTACAGTAATAAAAGATGCTTTTGAAGCGAATGGAGAGTAAGAGGAAAATTACATAGCACTGTTGTTAACTATGCTGTTTTCATTGCATTCTATATTTAATAACGCCCGTACTTGCCGTCGAGCCAGATGTACCCATATTTATAGATAGATTCATGCACCGTAACATCTAATTGGGTCGTATGTTGTGTTGATATATCCCGTATGGGTATCTTTTGGTGAATAAGAATCAATTGTATATTAAATCTGTTCATTCAGCTTGTAGGCTACTTTGTGGCAAATGGTACGTTCTATTACAGTGTAAATAGCAAGGCAAGGCAAGGCAACATCAGTTTGGGATGTTTCATTTGACGAGCCATCACATCGCTTTCGTACCTGATTTGATAGATAACCCCATTCAATATTCATTCAGCTAATCAATTCGGCTCATAACAGCTTTGCCAAGTGTTCTTCGCTGGTTTACTGCTGCCAAATTGCACATCTGATAACATGTTTTTCCTCCTCTTCTCTCCTGACGCCATTCAACTACCGAACATGCGACAACAAAAATGTAGGGTGATGATGCTATTTATCCAAATACACTTTCTTCGCTTTTCTTTTTCCCTTCGAATATCCCTCTTTGAAAAAGAAAATGGCAACTCTAGCAAATTCATCAGCGAAACAACATTGGAGCTACTTTCTAAATGGTCTTGAGCAAGCATCACAATGGCCCAAGACATTCATCTCCTTTTACACGTAAGAACGCAAGAAACTCGGACCCATGGATGATCGAAGTGTGTATTCAACTTCTCTTTGTTAATACTACAAACAGATCTTCAAGCATCCAAAAGGCAATGCTGACTACATTCTTGTTGAACGGCGTTGTCTTTTTGGGCGGTCAAGTCTTTCTAGAGACATTCTATCCTACTTCAAAGCTTTTGGGATGTTCCTATGTTGTAAGTTTCATGAAAGAGATAGACAATGCCGAATTGACCGAGATGATTTGATAGAGCTTGCTGGGTGTTCCAATGTATTTTGTATTGCTCGGCGTCAATGGCAAGTTCTTTGGTAGAGTAGCTGAGAAAGCATATCAGATTCAAGCGAGACAAACCAAGCAAAATGTACCTGCACCAACCACTGTTTCAAGTTTGGCTTCGACTATCTTGACCACTATTCTATACATCAATTGCGGCATCTTTGCAACTCTCTTATCCAAAATACCTCATGTCGGTCGCTTGCTGTCATTCTTGATGAATTGCATCATCTTGTCTTATTACTGTTTTGAGTAACGTATCTCTTCCATGAACGAGCGGTTAAGTTTGCATGACATGTGCTTATCATCAAGTTGTAGATACCAATGGGTATATAAGGGTTGGAACATTGAAAAGCGTTTATCTTATATGGAGAAGCATTGGTCTTTCTTTTTAGGATTTGGTAAGTGTGCTATTAGATCAAGAGAGAGAGAGAGAGAGAGAGAGAGAGAGAGAGAAAAGGATGTGGTCTGGTTAACCAGATTACGATGGCAGGATTTCCCGGAACCATCTTTACCTTTTTCCTTTCCTTCCTTCGTTCGGGTGCCGTATTTGCTCTTATTTACCCCTGCGTAAGTCCAGCTGAACAGCATACATCAAGCTAGAACATTAACACACGTGCGCATAGTTCATTATCATGGCCATGATGGCTGTACCCAAGGCAACTACACCCTACAGTCAAACCATGGCATCAGGCGCAGATGCTCAATCCGAATGGACATTGCCTAACCGCATTCCCGTCTTTTATCCTGTTAGAAAGTTAAACGATGGTGTGATTTTACTTGTTCGTTTGGTAGGTGGTGTTCATGCCGATTCCATTGTCAGCGAAAAGAAGAATGCTAGTATCAAACAAGAATAAGTGTGTATTTATTTTCAATAAATCTAAGCGATTTCCTTCTATCAATGTGTATAAATGCATATATATATATATGTGTGTGTGTGCTTGGTTTGCTGTTTCTCCATCTACTTGGCAGACTTTTTTCTCTTTTTGGCTTGATGCAAATCTTCAACTGCCTTGGTGTTGGATGATCCAGGTAAAAGTTCATGAGCTAAAATGCAATGAGTCAATGGAAACTACACAAAGTAGACGCAAACACACTTACTCTCATTCTTCATCAGACGATCCACCAGATCAGAAATAACACCGCCAGTCAAAAACTTCATCGAGACACCAGCAGGTAGAATAGGCTGCTTTAGCAAATGATTCAGCTTGTTACGCAAGCTCTGTGCCTTCACCCTGCCCTTGTGGAGATCCTCTGCTGACTTTTGATAGCCTTTACCCTGCATCGTATCCTCATCAAAATCAACGTCCATTTCCTTGGCCATATTACGCATCCAATTGACTTCATGTGTTTGCTTTGATTCTTGATGTAAAATAGAGTCAATTTCAGCAGCCAATTTGACACGTTCCGTCATGGCTCTCAAAATGTTCAGATCCACAGGGAAAGTGGGGTAGTCCTTGTTCTTACGCAATGTCTGACACAACTTTTGATAAATTTTCATTTCTTCAGGACCACACAGCAACAGAGAGACACCATCACGGTTAGCACGAGCTGTACGACCACTACGATGAACGTAGATTTCACCAGAGCGAGGTAATTGGTAGTGAATGACATGATCCACAAGAGGAATATCCAGACCACGGGCAGCGACATCAGAGGCCACCAGCACAGCCTTGGGATTAGCCTTGAATCTGTCCAGGCTCTTGAGACGCTGCTTTTGTTGCATTTGAGCATGCAATCCCAACACTTCTACGTTCAGCAGCTTGAAGATGGGCACCAAACGACGGATCGCATCAATGGAGTTGACGAAAATGATGGTGCGACCAGGATAACGCGTGACAAAGTAATACACATACAGATCCTTGTCTGTATTGACACAGTCAATCTTGGCTTCTAGCAAACGAGAGGCGACCACGTTCTCTGAAGTCATATCCACAAGTGCAGGATCCTCATCAGCAAACTCGATACGACGCAACAGATCCTCCATGGTGTTGGTGGCCTTGACAGGCAGCTTCTTCTTTTTAGCCTTGACATTGAATCGAAGATCTTTGCTGAGCGTAGCGGTATAAATAAAGGTTTGATGCTTGCCTAAATCCTGGGGCAATGTCTTTTTGGTGGTGCCTTCATCGACTTCCTCAGGCCATTCCGTGGTATCTTGACGCTTAGTCGACAGGGCATTGAGCAAACTCGTCAGTTCTTCAAAATGGCCCTTTTCAAGCATACGATCAGCTTCATCCAAAACCAAGAATTTGATGTGTTTCAGCATATCCATGTATTCAGGGTTGTTTGAAAAGATCTCCCAAAGACGACCGGGTGTAGCCACAATAATGTCAGGCTTCTGCTTGACCAAGCGCTCTTGCTTTTGAATAGACATACCACCCACAATAGCCACCACACGCACATTGCTGAAAGCTGACATTTTATCAATGTGGTCGCGCACCTGGATAGCTAATTCTCTGGTGGGCGTCAAAATCAAACCAGCAAGACCTTCACGGGCAGGATGTGTAGCCAGGTAGTTGATGATGGGGATACCGAATGCAAGTGTCTTACCAGAACCAGTTTCAGCAGAACCAATGATATCACGACCTTCCATGGCTAAAGGAAGAGAGTTCTTTTGGATAGGTGTAGGTGCTGTAAAATTGTTGTATTTGAGAGCATTCACCACAGATTCGCATAAATTCAAGTCTTTCCAGGCAGATACATCTACACTTTGGTCGACATCTTCCATTGTGGGGCGAGGCTTTTTGGCTTTCGCATCCTCTTCTACTGCTTCCTTGGATCGATCTGCCTCCAACTCTGCTTCAGCAGCTTTTCTTTTAGCAGCTAATCGCTCACGTTTGTTCAATGGTTTGTTTTCGTCTTTGATGGCAGTTGCAGGTGTCTCGGCTTGCTGAGCTTCCAACTTTTCTACTTGGCTTTGCAACTTTTCTAGTTCCTTTTTCTTTTTTTCAAGCAACTTTTGTGCCTTGGTCTTTTTCTCAACCACCTTGACATCCTTGACTTCGGTGATGGATGGGTCCTCCATGTCCTCGTCCTCTTTGTCAGCTTTGTCCTCATTTGCATCGACGTTGCCCTTGTTTTCTTCGGATTTTGCCTTGGCAGCCTGCTCTTCGTCAAATGTATCCACATCGTAAAAGGTGCCTGTTTCTTCCACGCTGAGAGGAGCAGTAGGTTGAGCCTTCTTTCCGCTCTTGCGGTTCTGTTTCTTGACTCTCTACACAACCGGAAATCGTGTAAGTACGCAATCCTACAAATCCAACCTGTCATTTGATGACAAACCTTAAATTTAGCGACTTTGCCGCTCACATCATCCCCTTCGTATTCTACTTCAACATCACTGATTTCTTCCAAACACAGAAATCCACCCGCATCATCGCCCATAAACATATCAGTGCCAGAAGCTTCGTTCCAGTCCCAGGTATCAATGTCGCCGAGATCCTCATATTCAATCACACCATCCACACCTTTCTCCAGCTTGTCAGTCTTTTTGGTGGCATTGGCAGTCTGTTTGTTGCCTGATTTCTTATGAGTGGGCTTTTTGTTCACCTTGTTAGGCGCTTTGGTGCTGTTGCTCTTTTGAGTTGTTTTGGCCATGGTCAATCGTAAAGCAAATCAATTCAAGATGAAAAAAAAAAAAAAAAAAAAAAAGAAGGTTGTATTAAAAAATTTTCTAGTTTTTGAAACTCTCCACTGTCACCTTTCTGGTCGATTTATGCATTTGGAAGAACGATTGGTGGCTCAATTTGTTGATCTAGGATCACTAGCCATCGGTCATCATGGTTGTCGCAAGGCAGACATGTCTTTTATTATATTACTGGACGGTGCAAAAGTTGTCAAATACCTTGTCAAGAAGCCAATGTCTTGCCATTAGTCCTCTCATATGGCATTTGATCTCGAGTCAGCTGTATAAAGCAAAAAAGCTTCAAATGCACTACTGGCGCCCACTTTGTTAAGAGATATATCTCTTTACGTTCACTCGACAACATGAAAACACAGAGAGCCCCTCTAAATCTAAACAGGGAATAAATTCTGTAATTGGAAAGCAACTTGCAAGCCGCAGCAAACTTCTTGATGCCATATTTCAATGGTACAACAATTGCAATGTAGCACAGAGAATCAAATGGTTATAATAATCGCAACATTCCCATGTTTCTTTCTGTCATTGTCTTTTATATACAAAAACGACATGTGTTGGAATCAGTTGCCATTTGAAATCTTGCAGTGTATATTTCATTTCTGTAATCTCGCTTACGAGCATCATCCTGATAAAAGAGATGCTTTTATCGATCTGCAACTGGTATGTAAAAGCTGGCATAAAGCAGCTTACGAGGCACTCTATCAAGACGTTTATCTGGCAGAGGATCATGTAAGATTTGGTGATCTCGTAGCATTTCAGGTGGGTCCACTGGTTAAACGGGTCACTTTTCTATACGACTTTTCAAACAACAAGAAAGCGTCTGCCATTGTCCAATCCATTACAAAACACTGTCCCAATATTGAAGAGATACATACAGCGTCTGATACTGAACGCAGTCTGGTGTGGCCGTTGCTTTTGTCTGATGGCAGCAAGATAACGAGGCTTAGGACTTTGGGTGAAGAGGGCTGCAGTGTCTTTGATGCTAGTGTATACACGAATGTTGCGCTCAAATACAAGGACAGCTTTACACAGCTATACCTCTTGAACAACAATGCCAACCCAAATATTCGGATGAACGGACTGCATCCACCACTGGTAGGTAATTTGAGCAAGTTCACCGCCTTGCAACATTTGATAATCAACAGCCCATTTCGTTTCAGTCATAGCAACTTGGATAAACTGCTAAACGATTGTCCGCCATCACTATACAAACTTGTATTTGAAAAAATAAGGCTGGAAGAAGAAACACCATTGCCAGCTAATATTGAACCAATGGCACATGTAAAGCAACTCAGCATCAGTCAATGTGATATCCACGGTGCCTCGTTACTGTACCTTGCTCGTAAGCTGAAGGGATTGGAGGAGTTGGAGTTGGATTATGTATGCAGTCAAGCATCAGACAGCTGGTGGAACCAACTGAATGCATTTTGTTTACCTGCTCAAGTGTACGAGATTGGCATCAGACTAGAGCACAGGCAGATACTCTCTCAATTGAGTAACTGCTTTAATCTGATCCAAAAGAGCATTTCAATGCAAAGCATCAACGGCGGCAAAAGAGAATTACACATACACAGCTTGGAGGAGGATGACTACCTTGGCTTGGTAGGCTACAATGTGCGACTGACAAGAGCAAGGAATGCACAAACAGTTGTGATTGACCCTTACAACTTTGACAATGTATCCATCACTGATATTTTGAACCTAGCAGAGCAGTATTTGCCCACCTCTATTCGAATCGAGTTTGGGAATGTAGAGGATATCTATCAAACCTTCCTGGCAAGAGATGCTGACGATGAAAGCAGCAAACAATTTTTGCCAGCAGAAGAAATCAAAGATATCATGATACGACAGCATAATGTGGACATAAACAACAGCTGGGAGATAATCAATAGAGCGCACCATCTACTCAGTCAAGGACAACATACGTCGTTGTATTTCAGGAACATGCTTTTGCTTCATACCGAGCTACCCGATCTGGCCACGGTCGAAAATCTGTCTTTCCTGTCCTTTGACACTTCCATCCTACAACATGATGCGCTTTCAAGATTATCCAGTGTGGTGCATAACATTGACAGATTAGAAATTTCCTCTTGTGCCATACTCATGGATGAGCCTTATATTCTTAAGCTATTTTTCCCATCTACAGCAATCCGCTCCTTATCCCTGATAATACGGCCTCTATTGGAAAACAATGCATACCATGATCGATACTTTCGAAACTGCTTTTTAAAAAATTTGGAGTCACTTGAAGCGGCATCCCTGGATGGTCAGTACACATTGAAAATAGAGACTAAAAAAAAGACATACATTCATCGAAGAAAAGGAAGCGAGATACTGGAAAAGGAATATTCAAATGTTGACACCACCACTGCTGGAACAAGAGACAATTTTCTCATTTGGATCAAGTGCTTAAGCTTGGATGAATTCCGCATATCAAATGATTGGGATAATGAGTTTGAAAAGCTACATTGAGATAGATGATGCACTCGGATATATTGATGATGTGAATAAAATGAAAATACATATGTATTAGTCTGCTGAAATGTACTGAAAATTCACTGTCAAGTGTTTCTTGTCACTTGAATGCCCTTCATTAGTGACCTAGCATTGTGGATCTGACTCTTTTACAACAATGCTTCTGCCTACTAGCTATATTACTGAGAATAATTTATGCACAGGTGAGCACCACAATAATATGTGCATTACGTCGTCTTTCAACTTGTTGAAAATATGTAAAACACAGCTACCTTTGAAGACATTCAAGTAAATGCTTACTATGTATCTCTGCTCATGCTCAATCCCTATAGACTGTTATGCAAAGTATTATTAGAATACAACATTACTAGGGCTATTAATATTTGATCTATATTCTAATTGATTCTTCCTCCTCAGCATCGTGAAATCAAAATACATCAAATAATAGAAAAATTCAATAATCGTAATGAACAAAAGTATGCAATTGCATCTTCTTGTTTTAATATTAAATAGAGCAAGATTTAAATTGTGTCCGTTTTGTTGTAAATATCTGATAAGTACGTGAGAATAGATGTAGGTTCATTCAGTAAAAATCAGATGAAGAGGAAAGGGAAGAGCGAATGTCTACTGCTATTTATATGTATGATTTATGGATTGCTTACGCACCCGTCTAGAATGGTGTTCTCATGCTAAGTTTTAGTGTGAATCCTCACTTATGCTAAATGGTAATTATTTCAGATATAGATGATCAGTCTAAGTATCTTTAGTTGCTCTTGGCAACGTTGATTACTTACATTCCTTATCTGCTATCGTTTGACATATACAGAGTAGCTTACTGAAACTTAGCTTATGTGAACATCATGGTTATCGTTTACATGTTGATACAGTTTATTTACATATGCTTCATATGTGCATAGTTTATTACTGAATTCAATCTACGACATTGTGATTCAGGAACAGTTATATGTGTGAATACAACACGTTTGGATACCCTTTTATATAAAAACAAAAATCATCATAAATGTCAGATCAATAGCAGATCAACTAGTTGAAACCCTTCGCCGTTTGAACCCCTGAGCCAATCAAATTGCTTGAAAACTCCGCTGATCTAAAAAAAAATTGCGAGGGTTTCCCCCTGTTTTGATGTGAGGCAAAATTTTAAGCGCCGCTATATATAGCAATATAGCTGTTACTATCATCAAATTTCCCTCAGGTGCTAGAACATGCCTTACTTACACCACCTAGCTTTTAAATTCTGGCATTGAGACTCTCAATCATCACTAAAGTAAGTAGCAATAACCAAGTGGAGGCAGCCTATCCATCTCCTAGTCTCGGATAAAGTCTTGTTGAGCTTCAGCGATAGGCACATCCACCACAACGTAATAAAGAGGTATGCTTCAAAGAAGCATAATAAAAGAAAAAAAAAAGGAAGAACAGAACATAATACTGTACTATAGAAGTATAGTAGTATGTAGGCAAAGAAAAGGAACACTCACACAAAAAGGTGAGTTAAAAGAAAAGCTTAACAACAAGTACAACATCAAAGATGCTCAGAACAGTTCGTTATTGTTGCAACAAAAATGCATACATGAGCAAAGTGCATGGTAATAGTCGGATGTAAAGCAACACAAACACATACAATTGCAAGAGCATTAGCAGTATTTTAAGTATGCAATACAACATAGTGACTAATGTTGTTGTGTGAAGCCACAGAGGTAACACAAACAACAATCCACGGCCATATAACATAGTAGTATTACAACCGTAATACAGATATATAGCAGCACATCATGCTTGTTGTTCGTACATACGAAGCAACAACATTGCAAGCATGCGTTGAGCTGATCATATCACAGCCAACAAAGAAAAAAGAAAGCGCAACAAGTCAAGCATCATGAATGCATTATCATGAGAAAGGAAGCAATGATAAAAGCGTCCAGAGAAGCTTTACATCATTGCAACCACAAGAAAAAAAGCTACTTACCACTTACCACCACCACAGATAGACCAGAAGAGTATAGGCAACTACCAGAGATAGATCAGAGAAAACAAGCATACAACATGTGCAGTAAACCAGGAGATACCATATTAGCAGCAACAGCGGCAACACCAGCATTATAAAAGAACCAAAGAACGAACGCCATTAGCAGAGATCAGACAAAGACCAATGAAGTTACTTACCACTTATCACCGCCACAGATAGACCAGAAAAGTATAGGCAATCACCGGAGACAGACCACAGAACGAGCATGCACCAAATAGAGTAGTAGACCAGGAAAGACCAGATTAGCAGCAGCAGCAGCAGCAACACCAGCGCCATAGAAAAACCAAAGAATGAACGACACCAGGAACCAGACAAAGACCAAAGAAGCAACCACCAGACATGGTAAACCAAAGAAACAGACAGCAGAGATAGCAGACAAGTAACGGCAGCACCACTCATGTCAAACAGGCAAAAAAAAATTTCAAAACCTAATAAACAAATTCAATTAATTTTAGCTCTACGCCTTCCAGTGCTCGTTATCAAATGGTACCTAATGCATTTCACTTCAAAGAAGCAATATCAAGCGCTTTTAACAGTGTAAGGCCGTGGTATCAGAAGCTAGATTGTTATTATCAATCAAACGGCTTCCAAAACAGCCATGGTTTGATACTAAACGCGTTATGCAAAAAAAAGGAGGGTATGGAAGAATGAGAGGACGTCCTATCCGACGTCACAACCAGTAGATTTGTTCTCAGCCCTCTGCCGTCGTGGCAGCCGTAATTGCGGCAATCTAATTTGAATTTGTGTAGTAGTGGGTATTTTTGTGTTCAAATTTGATTTGATCTGACATCTTGTAAACGTTTTTATCAAGTTTGACTAAGAAAACTGTCGTTATCACACCCAGCTTTCTAATGTGACTTTAGAGGACTAAAGAAGCCGCATCGAATGGTGCTGATTATATTCAGCTTTCAGATCGAAAATAATGAGCAATATGCAAAAATATGAAAACAGGTTTTCTGTGATTATGTCAAAAGTTAGCATATAAAAGCCTCATAGAAAGAGCTTCCACTGTTGCATTCCGTCTTTGCGATTAATTTGATCTTATATGTGTCATAGGAAGAGTCTTCATTTTTGGGGTGAAAAACGCGATCATTTGATTTTCAGAAATTTTCCCTTACTAGTACACATGAAAAGAATGGGGATTCCCATGGATTTGCAATGACCCAAAAAATTTTGAGATAAAGCACTAATAAGTAAAGCGTGGCCAAGGGGAGACGTTTGGCCCTATTCCAAGTGTCCACAACGCTTTGTAGCATGAGTTATCCATACTTCAAAGTGGCTAGATTTGGACAGAATTTTGTGATGAATTCGTAATAATAGTCGACGATAATAATCAGTTGTCAACTGTATCTAAAACGAAAGCAAACACTGTGACTAAAAAAGGTTCAAATTTATCTGAATATATTAGAATTTGACCAATTTTTTCTGAAATATCCTAAAAATGTCTTAATCACTCTGAATTTGTCCAAATCCCTTTGGAAATATTCAGATAAATTCATGCAGATGAAAGTTAATAAATTAAGCTTAGAGAAATTTGGAGAAATTTAGAAAAATTTAGATATTATCCAGCGATTTTTACCACGAAACGATCTTCATCAGAAAAACGAGTAGTCATCGCTACGCCATTTTTTTTCTTATTTGTCAACTGCTTGAGATTCTTTCTTGTAAGGGAGTCGTGCTCCATTTTTTATTTAGAGTTCTCTGAATGTCATAATAGGATAGGAAGAAGAAAGAACGAAGATATATTATTGCAGAGCAACTGTTAAGCACAAAGAATAAAAGGATTATTATTTGTAGCTTATAAAAAATGTTCAATATTATAAAAACAAGAAAAGACTTATTTGAATAAGATCAGACACAAAAAACTAAAGATTTATTGATGAAGACAAGAGTTATTCTATTTATACTAAGTTCTGAATGCCAAAGTAGCAATTTATCTTGTACAACGCTTATCACATCTGGTGAACCTCAGTATTTAGATAGCTGAGATGCACTTTAATTATCATAGCTTGTCCATGTTGTTGCACAACACAGACATATCTACCCATCAAGAATACCTTAATCTTTATAGACACTTGTAGCCCTTCCGGCACAACAGTCCTTCTTTTTTTTCATAGCTGTTACATGCAATATCCAGCATAATATTTTCCGCTTGTTTTGCGACTTGATTACATCCATGGATTCTCTTCTTGATCATTTGGATCCTTCTCTCCAAAACACGGCAACTGTACTGAGGCATGGGGCCTATCTTTCGAATCACCATCGTGATATGCTCCAAATAATGTTCGCTGATCGGAAAGAATTTTGCTGAGATGTGAAGACAAAGAAATTGGTGCCACTTGGTGACCAGTTCTTCCAATTTTTGTATCTCGCTCTCAGATATATCCTGCTGCAAGCATACTGAGCAAATCAGAGATATTGTACGTAGGGCTTCCTTGGCAGCTTCAGAGACAGTAGGATCCAAATGGCATAAATCAACGTGGTCGATAAGAACTGTGGGCACAAAGTACTTCAGGAACACCAACCAATCTACTCCTCAATCCGTCCCTCCCTTGCTGAAGACATCCATGAAATTGCCTTCGAAGATCAAAGGTGATATGCTTGCAAGTTGGTTCAAGCAAATGCTGATCTTCTCTATTTGTCGCGGTTTCAAGCGAAGAATTGATTCCTTGTCCGTAAACATTTTCTTGATTCTTGGTGTCATGTTTTGTCCAAACAAATGAAATTCATCCAAGCCCACAAATGTTGGATCAATGAATGATGGCAGGTTTCGAAACAAAGAAGGCCTTTCGATACCAAGTTCTAGTGCACTGGATTTGTATTCTTCAATTGTTAGCAATCGTAGTGGTCGATCTTCATCATTAGCTGCTAGTTGAAAAGAAATAACACCATTTTTGCTGATGCCAATGATCGCACAAAAACGGCAGCCTTGAAGCAACGTATGGGATGCGAGGAAATTGAGTTCGCTGACGCTGGGGATATCACCAAAGGATCCCATGAGGTGAACTTTGAGCGAGATACTTGTTGAGTTGTTTCTCTGCACCTGTAGTCCATCACGAGCCAATTTTTCCAATTCGTTGACAAGGTATTGGAGGTAACTGTCTAATCTCTTGGTGTTTGGGATAATGGCGAAATCAATCAGGAACTCCATTTTGTATCTATAGGCAGAAGGAAGGCTCAAGATTTGTATCATGACCAAGTTCAACATTGCACCGCCTTTTTTGTGTGATTGGAATCCATCTACGTACAGGGACAGGTCAATGTCGTATCTATTGTCGAATAGATGTCTGTTGTTCACTAAATTTTGCATTGTATCGCCCTTGAACCTTGCTCTGATGGATGAATCCTCGTCATCAAGCACTCTGATGAAGTTTGGATTTTCGAACAACGTGGCAAGTTGTGGACCAATTGGTAGCATCTTGATGGTTCTTCTGGGGCTACCATCAATATTGAATCTCTTTTCAAAGCACACTGGACATTCGTCCCCATCCTCTGGTGGTTGAAAGGCATAGCAATACCTGATGCACACATCGACTGTATAAGGTGCAAAAGAAGTGACCCTTTTCCTAGCAGAGCTGGCCTTGAATGTTGAGACTATAGGCGTTGCAACTTATCATAGTAAATGTTAGCGCTTTGAAACAACCAACTTTGTTATGGTTACTTACAAGGATACGTTTGGTTGTGCCATTGAACAAGTCTTCGGATGCTTGAGTTTGTCAAGTTTTCTTCCCTGAAGATCTTGTGGATCTCAGTATTTTTAGCATCCAGTGGTGGTAATGCCTCGCAACTGTCAGACATCTGATTGTCACTATAGTTAGCGCCGAGTCCATCAGAGTCTCCAAAGTCATATTCTCCATCGCTACCAGGTTCACCATCGCTGTTTTCTTGCTGACTGTTTCTTTCAATGTAAGATCCAGCCTGAGTATCATGTTCAGTTCTTGCTTTCTTTCCTTAATACTGATTAGTCTACAGTTGTTGTGTCATTTGAAGAGTGCCAAAGTTTATGCTGTTTTTCATGTCTATTGCGAATTCTTCGACAACACTGGGCACAAAAAAATGGCATCGTAAATAATATTAGAAATAAAGGTTAAACACAAATCTGTCTGGATTGTCTTTTATGCTCCTTATATTGCATGCGTGTCAATCTGCATGATTGAAACATCAATGTCTGTGATAGCGGGTGCTATTAATTATTGGAAACATTACTAGACCAGTTTTTCTCTGTCTTTCATAGATTGTTACGCATTTATCGCAATTGATACAACCATCTCGAAGCACTGCTCTATTTTACACTTTACACTAATCACTTATTCAAAAATGGATCAAGCACAACAACCATTCTTGCAAAGATTGGAGAACATTCAACAGGACTTGTCCAATCTTAGCAAACAGGTCAAGGAATGTAATGACAACCAGACCGAAGTAAAAGCTATGCTGCAGCACATTGTTCAACAATCTACCTCTTCGAGCACGACCAATGTTGCGAGACTAGATGGAGTGATATGCCGTCCAAGCAAAGCAGACAACAAACATCTGGAGGAGCTTTCTGTTGAGCTATGCATCAACGTCCTTGAGGAGCATCGATTAGGTGGGGAAAACCTTGATGGCAAGAAAGTCTGGGAGCTTGTCAAAGATGCAGCATACAACCAGGCAAAGAAAGCTGACAGGCAGTTCCCGAATATCACTTTCAGCAAGCTGGACGACAGGTTTCAAGCCTTGTTGGTCAAGACCGTCATTAACGATGTAGCCAAAAAGGGCGTTGACATCTCTGGGTTCTTCAAAGATTGGTTGCCGCAGTTTGCTGTCTCCAAATCATTGTCTGGCATAATCGATTACAAATACAGTGCCAGGCCAAGCAATGACACCGCAATTCACGAAACCCAATTCGATGATGATCTGGTATTTTCTGAGGGATGATCCCAAGCACAATCCGAAGAAGATTCTGTCGACGATGACGAAAATTTGATTGTAGACAAGATCAATTTTCATGTTTCTCGAAATACTGGATCACAAAAGTAAATGCTGCATAGAGAAAAGTACTCTTTGATACTAATCGTAATATTATAGAAGAATCAGCACGCAACATATGCCTCTAGTAGAACAAGTAATTAAGCTTTCATAGATATAGCGCAGTAACTCACATTTCTTTTCCATTTTATAATGTGCACTATCACTATAGCCAATGCAGCCATCTCCAGTATCAAAAAATGTATCTGCATCAAACAAATCAAAGGCAAAGGAATATGAAAAGCACAGAAGATATTCATCACCAGAAACGCAAGATTTGCAAAGACAGTAAGTCTCTTATCATCGCCCTGGAGTTAGCCATTTTATGCTGATATTCTCTCTATCTCTTAAATTGTAGAAACATAAAGGTAATCATAAGGCATTGATATCATAGATGGAGCTACTTATCTTTGTGTTTTAGGGACCCAACAATAAGAGAGTGCGCAAGTCGTAAGGAATTCTGATCTCTATGCTTATTCTGATTAGGCTACGCTTCGTTGTTATTGCCCGTAATGTAATATCATCATGTTTCTCTGTAGTAGTAGCGCAATTATTATATGTCAAGAAATAAACAATGGTTTCTATTGTAATAGCACTAAATGCTATTATATATCTGATTTATTTTTTTATGAATATTTTGCAAACCACCCTAAACTACATGAATTTTTTGAATTTTTCTGAATTAAGTGAGCACTTTTCCGAATTTCTCTGAATGCCATTCAGAAAAATTTCGACAAATTTGTAGAAATATTCAGCAATATTCAAATCTTTTTTAGTCACAGTGGAATGATGATCCATGGTGTAGTGAAAACAGGTTTAAATAGATTTCACAAAAAAAAATAAAGCAATAGTAAAATACAATGGAAATCAACTGTATTTTATTTGTGTATAAAATGAACTGAAGATCCTGGTGTTGTAAATCTAAAAGTACGTGAGAATGGATATAAGTTTATTTTCGTAAAATCAGATGAAGAGGAGAGGGAAGAGTGAATGTCTACTGCTATTTATATGTATGATTTATGGATTGCTTACACACCCGTCTAGAATGGTGTTCTCATGCTAAGCTTTAGTGTGAATCCTCACTTATGCTAAATGGTAATTATTTCAGATATAGATGATCAGTCTAAGTATCTTTAGTTGCTCTTGACAACGTTGATTACTTACATTCCTTATCTTCTATCTTTTGACATATAGAGAATAGCTTACTGAAACTTAGCTTATGTGAATATCATGGTTATCGTTTACAGGTTGATACAGTTTATTTACATATGCTTCATATGTGCATAGTTTATTACTGAATTCAATCTACGACATTGTGATTCAGGAACAGTTAGATGTGTGAATACAACATCTGGAATTGAGTAAAAAAAGAAGAGTATTTATACATTTGCAACTAGCTTGTAGGATTAGTGATGATAGAGAGCAATAGATGCTGCTATTGCGATATCTGGCAAACGTTGCTGATGTTTGATTCAAAGTGGTAATCAATGCAAGAGCACTGGCCATAAGGGTCGATTTGAGTAACCTTGATGGGCTTGGGTGAGCTATCGTCATAGCATGTTTTAATGTAACCTTGATGGTTTAAAGTGTGGTATTTGTTATTGAAGTACGGAACCCTTTATCTGGGATATTGTGCAACTATGGCAGCGGGGCATAGTTGTCATATTCGAATATGCTTGTTATTGATTTGATTCTATTTGGATAAAGATTCCATCACTTATTACGACCACCATGGGCTTGATTGAATACACTGTGATCAGGAGTGATTCATTCACACGATGTGCGATATAAGCATGCATCTTTGCTTTAGTATTTTTAAATGGGTTTTTGATTTACATTTGAGCGCTTTCATTAATAGATCCAAATAACATGAATTTGAATGAGTGCTATTTGATGAACTTTGGTTTTCAATTAAGTTGCGTTTGGGTGGCTATTTCATTACATGATCTTTGTCTGGTCTTTGTTGGGGCTTTGTCTGATCTTTGTTTGGTCTTTGTCTGGTCTTTGTCTGGTCTTTGTTTGGTCTTTGTCTGACCTTTCTCTGGTCTTTGTCTGATCTTTCTCTGGTCTTTGTCTGATCTTTGTCTGGTCTTTGTCTGATCTTTGTCTGGTCTTTGTCTGATCTTTGTCTGGTCTTTGTCTGATCTTTGTCTGGTCTTTGTCTGATCTTTGTCTGGCCTTTCTCTGGTCTTTGTCTGATCTTTCTCTGGTCTTTGTCTGGTATTTGTTTGGTCTTTGTCTGGCCTTTCTCTGGTCTTTGTCTGGTCTTTGTTTGGTCTTTGTCTGGTCTTTGTCTGGTCTTTGTCTGGTCTTTGTCTGATCTTTGTCTGGTCTTTGTTTGGTCTTTGTCTGGTCTTTGTCTGGTCTTCATCTGGTCTTTGTCTGGTCTTTGTCTGGTTTTTGTTTGGTCTTTGTCTGGTCTTTGTTTGGCCTTTGTCTGGTCTTTGTCTGATTTTTGTCTGATCTTTGTCTGGTCTTTGTCTGGTCTTTGTCTGGTCTTTGTTTCGTCTTTGTCTGATCTTTGTCTGATCTTTGTCTGGTCTTTGTTTGGTCTTTGTTTGATCTTTGTTTGATCTTTGTTTGGTCTTTGTTTGGTCTTTGTCTGGTCTTTGTCTGATCTTTGTCTGGTCTTTGTCTGGTCTTTGTTTGGTCTTCATCTGGTCTTTGTCTGGTCTTTGTCTAGTCTTTGTCTGGTTTTTTGATCTTTTTCTGGTCTTTGTCTGATTTTTGTTTGGTCTTTGTCTGATCTTTGTTTGGTCTTTGTCTGATCTTTGTTTGGTCTTTGTCTGGTCTTTGTTTGGTCTTTGTTTGGTCTTTGTCTGGTCTTTGTCTGATCTTTCTTTGGTCTTTGTCTGATCTTTGTTTGGTCTTTGTCTGGTCTTTGTCTGATCTTTGTTTGGTCTTCATCTGGTCTTTGTCTGGTCTTTGTCTAGTCTTTGTCTGGTCTTTGTCTGATCTTTGTCTGGTCTTTGTTTGGTCTTTGTTTGGTCTTTGTCTGGTCTTTGTTTGGTCTTTGTCTGATCTTTGTCTGGTCTTTGTCTGGTCTTTGTTTGGTCTTTGTCTGATCTTTTTCTGGTCTTTGTCTGATTTTTGTTTGGTCTTTGTCTGATCTTTGTTTGGTCTTTGTCTGGTCTTTGTTTGGTCTTTGTCTGATCTTTGTCTGATCTTTGTTTGGTCTTCATCTGGTCTTTGTCTGGTCTTTGTCTAGTCTTTGTCTGGTCTTTGTCTGATCTTTTTCTGGTCTTTGTCTGATTTTTGTTTGGTCTTTGTCTGATCTTTGTTTGGTCTTTGTCTGGTCTTTGTCTGATCTTTGTTTGGTCTTCATCTGGTCTTTGTCTGGTCTTTGTCTAGTCTTTGTCTGGTCTTTTGATCTTTTTCTGGTCTTTGTCTGATTTTTGTTTGGTCTTTGTCTGATCTTTGTTTGGTCTTTGTCTGGTCTTTGTCTGATCTTTGTTTGGTCTTCATCTGATCTTTGTTTGGTCTTTGTCTGGTCTTTGTCTGGTCTTTGTTTGGCCTTTCTCTGGTCTTTGTCTGATCTTTGTCTGGTCTTTGTTTGGTCTTTGTTTGGTCTTTGTCTGATGTTTCTCTGGTCCTTGTCTGGTCCTTGTCTAGTCTCTGGTGTCGTTTGTTCTCTGGTTTTTCGATGGTGCTGGTATTGCTGCTGCTGTTGCGAATCCGGTCTTTCCTGGTTTACTGTCTTTGGTGCATGCTTGTTCTCTGGTCTATTTGTGGTTGTGGTAAGTGGTAAGTATCTTCTTTCTTCTGGTCGGAATGATATAAAACTTCTTTGAACGTTTGTATTATTGCTTTCTTTCTCGTGATAATGCATTTTATCATGATGTTTACTTTGTTGCGCTTTCTTCTTCTTTTGCTGGTTGTGTTGCCTCTGTGGTTTGACATGAAACAACATTAGTCATTATGTTGTAGTGCAAATTTATACCACCATTGCTTTTGCAGTTGTACGTGTTTGTGTTGTTACTCTACATTCGACTATTTACCATGCACTTTGCTCATGTATGCAATACTGTTGCAACAACAACGAGCTCTTTTGAACATCTTTGATGTTGTATTTATGATATGCTTTTCTTTGACTCGCGTTGTGTGAGTGTCCATTTTTTGCCTACATATTACTATACTCCTATAGTAATATGTTCTTTTCTTCTTGTGGAATACATCCACTATGATCTGCATTCCGACAGTTCATCCAGTTACCAGTGTTGAGGATATAGATCATCTCTGAGAGGCAAATGTATTAGGCGTTGTATATTACATAAGAGGATCTGAGAATGAGCTGAGATGCATAGTAGAAGTGAGAGGTCTTTATTCAAGCAGCACGAAGGAACGTGAGTGGTGCCATCAAATGGCTAATCTATATCCTGGTTCCTAGAGAGTGGTAGCCTATGGCCTTTCGTCCCTGGAAGGGGGTTTCAATTCCGACAAATGTTCTTCCGCCAAAGCTATTAGGAAGAACATTCTATTCTGGATCATCTTTGTTGTTTATCCTTGACTGGTGGTTCATGAGTTCTTATACAACACATCCTCGTTAACTGGTTCAAGGCTTATACAATTATCCCGCATTCAAGATCAAGGTCCTATTGCTGCGGCACTGTCAAATAATAACTATAAATACCTTTGATATCTACACTAATTTTGATCCCTATTCAATCTTGGAATAACATAATAAATATATTCAGTTCTAATTGTATTTACTCTGTCTATATTTCGTTATTCTAAACATACATACAGTTTATATCTAAATCTGGTTGTTTAGAATAACGAAATATAGACAGAGTAAATACAATTAGAACTGAATATATTTATTATGTTATTCCAAGATTGAATAGGGATCAAAATTAGTGTAGATATCAAAGGTATTTATAGTTATTATTTGACAGTGCCGCAGCAATAGGACCTTGATCTTGAATGCGGGATAATTGTATAAGCCTTGAACCAGTTAACGAGGATGTGTTGTATAAGAACTCATGAACCACCAGTCAAGGATAAACAACAAAGATGATCCAGAATAGAATGTTCTTCCTAATAGCTTTGGCGGAAGAACATTTGTCGGAATTGAAACCCCCTTCCAGGGACGAAAGGCCATAGGCTACCACTCTCTAGGAACCAGGATATAGATTAGCCATTTGATGGCACCACTCACGTTCCTTCGTGCTGCTTGAATAAAGACCTCTCACTTCTACTATGCATCTCAGCTCATTCTCAGATCCTCTTATGTAATATACAACGCCTAATACATTTGCCTCTCAGAGATGATCTATATCCTCAGCACTGGTAACTGGATGAACTGTCGGAATGCAGATCATAGTGGATGTATTCCACAAAATCAATAACAAGCATATTCAAATATGACAATTATGCCCTGCTGCCATAGTTGCACAATATCCCAGATAAAGGGTTCCGTACTTCAATAACAAATATCACACTTTAAACCATCAAGGTTACATTAAAACATGCTATGACGATAGCTCACCCAAGCCCATCAAGGTTACTCAAATCGACCCTTATGGCCAGTGCTCTTGCATTGATTACCACTTTAAATCAAACATCAGCAACATTTGCCAGATATCGCAATAGCAGAACCAATTGCTCTCTATCATCACTAATCCTACAAGCTAGTTGCAAATGTATAAATACTCTTCTTTTTTTACTCAATTCCAAGATCTTCAGTTCATTTTATACACAAAATAAAATACAGTTGATTTCTATTGTATTTTACTATTGCTTTATTTTTTTTTGTGAAATCTATTTAAACCTGATTTCACTACACTGCTATTTATATGTATGATTTATGGAGTGCTTACGCACCCGTCTAGAATGGTGTTCTCATGCTAAGCTTTAGTGTGAATCCTCACTTATGCTAAATGGTAATTATTTCAGATATAGATGATCAGTCTAAGTATCTTTAGTTGCTCTTGGCAACGTTGATTACTTACATTCCTTATCTGCTATCATTTGACATAAAAAGAGTAGCTTACTGAAACTTAGCTTATGTGAATATCATGGTTATCGTTTACAGGTTGATACAGTTTATTTACATATGCTTCATATGTGCATAGTTTATTACTGAATTCAATCTACGACATTGTGATTCAGGAACAGTTATATGTGTGAATACAACACGTTTGGATACCCTTTTATATAAAAACAAAAATCATCATAAATGTCAGATCAATAGCAGATCAACTAGTTGTAGCCCTTCGCCGTTTGAACCCCTGAGCCAATCAAATTGCTTGAAAACTCCGCTGATCTAAAAAAAATTTGCGAAGGTTTCCCCCTGTTTTGATGTGAGGCAAAATTTTAAGCGCCGCTATATATAGCAATATGGCTGTTACTATCATCAAATTTCCCTCAGGTGCTAGAACATGCCTTACTTACACCACCTAGCTTTTAAATTCTGGCATTGAGATTCTCAATCATCACTAAAGTAAGTAGCAATAACCAAGTGGAGGCAGCCTATCCATCTCCTAGTCTCGGATAAAGTCTTGTTGAGCTTCAGCGATAGGCACATCCACCACAACGTAATAAAGAGGTATGCTTCAAAGAAGCATAATAAAAGAAAAAAAAAAAGGAAGAACAGAACATAATACTGTACTATAGAAGTATAGTAGTATGTAGGCAAAGAAAAGGAACACTCACACAAAAAGGTGAGTTAAAAGAAAAGCTTAACAACAAGTACAACATCAAAGATGCTCAGAACAGTTCGTTATTGTTGCAACAAAAATGCATACATGAGCAAAGTGCATGGTAATAGTCGGATGTAAAGCAACACAAACACATACAATTGCAAGAGCATTAGCAGTATTTTAAGTATGCAATACAACATAGTGACTAATGTTGTTGTGTGAAGCCACAGAGGTAACACAAACAACAATCCACGGCCATATAACATAGTAGTATTACAACCGTAATACAGATATATAGCAGCACATCATGCTTGTTGTTCGTACATACGAAGCAACAACATTGCAAGCATGCGTTGAGCTGATCATATCACAGCCAACAAAGAAAAAAGAAAGCGCAACAAGTCAAGCATCATGAATGCATTATCATGAGAAAGGAAGCAATGATAAAAGCGTCCAGAGAAGCTTTACATCATTGCAACCACAAGAAAAAAAGCTACTTACCACTTACCACCACCACAGATAGACCAGAAGAGTATAGGCAACTACCAGAGATAGATCAGAGAAAACAAGCATACAACATGTGCAGTAAACCAGGAGATACCATATTAGCAGCAACAGCGGCAACACCAGCATTATAAAAGAACCAAAGAACGAACGCCATTAGCAGAGATCAGACAAAGACCAATGAAGTTACTTACCACTTATCACCGCCACAGATAGACCAGAAAAGTATAGGCAATCACCGGAGACAGACCACAGAACGAGCATGCACCAAATAGAGTAGTAGACCAGGAAAGACCAGATTAGCAGCAGCAGCAGCAGCAACACCAGCGCCATAGAAAAACCAAAGAATGAACGACACCAGGAACCAGACAAAGACCAAAGAAGCAACCACCAGACATGGTAAACCAAAGAAACAGACAGCAGAGATAGCAGACAAGTAACGGCAGCACCACTCATGTCAAACAGGCAAAAAAAAATTTCAAAACCTAATAAACAAATTCAATTAATTTTAGCTCTACGCCTTCCAGTGCTCGTTATCAAATGGTACCTAATGCATTTCACTTCAAAGAAGCAATATCAAGCGCTTTTAACAGTGTAAGGCCGTGGTATCAGAAGCTAGATTGTTATTATCAATCAAACGGCTTCCAAAACAGCCATGGTTTGATACTAAACGCGTTATGCAAAAAAAAGGAGGGTATGGAAGAATGAGAGGACGTCCTATCCGACGTCACAACCAGTAGATTTGTTCTCAGCCCTCTGCCGTCGTGGCAGCCGTAATTGCGGCAATCTAATTTGAATTTGTGTAGTAGTGGGTATTTTTGTGTTCAAATTTGATTTGATCTGACATCTTGTAAACGTTTTTATCAAGTTTGACTAAGAAAACTGTCGTTATCACACCCAGCTTTCTAATGTGACTTTAGAGGACTAAAGAAGCCGCATCGAATGGTGCTGATTATATTCAGCTTTCAGATCGAAAATAATGAGCAATATGCAAAAATATGAAAACAGGTTTTCTGTGATTATGTCAAAAGTTAGCATATAAAAGCCTCATAGAAAGAGCTTCCACTGTTGCATTCCGTCTTTGCGATTAATTTGATCTTATATGTGTCATAGGAAGAGTCTTCATTTTTGGGGTGAAAAACGCGATCATTTGATTTTCAAAAATTTTCCCTTACTAGTACACATGAAAAGAATGGGAATTCCCATGGATTTGCAATGACCCAAAAAATTTTGAGATAAAGCATTAATAAGTAAAGCGTGGCCAAGGGGAGACGTTTGGCCCTATTCCAAGTGTCCACAACGCTTTGTAGCATGAGTTGTCCGTGCTTCAAAGTGGCTAGATTTGGACAGAATTTTGTGATGAATTCGTAATAATAGTCGACGATAATAATCAGTTGTCAACTGTATCTAAAACGAAAGCAAAGAGCTTCTTTACTACAGGGCATCTAACTAGTTTAAATATAGTAGATCCCTGGTCAATGACTACTACGTTGAGATGGTATATAAATAGCAGGCTACTGGGGCCTTATGGATTGTTGGTATAGCTTATTGAGAGGCCACCAAAGTCGATATGTTTCATGTAGTGTAGGTGGATCTCGATATCTTGACATTAGGGAGATTGAATCTATTGTAGTTCCTGAGGCACCCGTACACACACAATTGACTGGACTTGTAAACATAGATGTGATGTGATACGATAAACATCACCTATGTTGCTACACTGTAAAAAGCGGCTTGAGGAGAAAGTGAATGTACCCTAAGATGCATGCTTGTATGCAACATTTGGCCGAAAAATAAGACGTAGTCGGTTATGTTGCTATACAAGTAAGTGAGGAATAGTTCTGTCTGATGATCCAGATGTTTTGCATCATACGGGACACAATTCTCAAGCGATGGACACTTTATTCTGACTGTTGATCCACTGTGATTCGCATTCTGATAGTTCATGCAGTTTCCAGATTGAGATGTAGACTGTGTATGCACTGGATTAGATGTACGACGATACAAATTTATACTACTATAAGAAGAAGGGTATGAATTTTAGATACGCTAGTACTATGAGACTCATACTACGGTATATACCATGTAGGCTATAGATGGCATCACGGCCATGGAATGCGCTATATAATATTAGAATTATATTTGTTGCAATGAAATCAGGTTTAATAGATTTCGCAAAAAAATAAAGCAATAATAGTAAAATACAATAGAAATCAGCTGTATTTTATTTATGTATGAAATGAACTGAAGATTCTGGAATAATTGAATAAAAAAAATGAATAGTAGCTATACATCTGTAACTACTAGCTTGTAGGATTAGTGATGATAGAGAGTAATATGTGTTGCTATTCACTGGGGAATGGCGTTATCTGGCAAATGTTGTTGATATTTGATTTAAAGTAGTAATCAATGCAACAGCACTGGTCATAAGGGTAGTACGTTTGTTGTTGATTTGATTTTATTTGGATAAAGGTAATATCACCTATAATTATATCAACCATCACGACGGGTCTGATTAAATACACTGTGATCAAGAGTGATTCATTCACGCGACGACGTGCGAGATAAAAGTGCATCTTTACTTTAGTAATATGTTTGAATAATGATGCTTTGATGCACATTTGAGCGCTTCATTGGCAGATTCAAATAACATGAATTTGAATGAGTGATATTCGATGAATTCATTCATTGTAAGTGCCTTTCCTCAACTGGAAATGCACAGGGTTACAAAGCTATTCACTTTCACATTCTTTTAGTCAAATAAACCCATTGAACAGCCACTACCTGTTGCGGCATTGATTTTGGGCTACTACCTGCGATAGATAAGTATCTTAACAACAGTGATTTTGTTTTCAAAGTTGGGACCACCATTCAAAATCGAATTTTGAAACATTGATGCTAGACATTTGACAGTAATAGCATGTTCCTGTACCAGTGTTTGCCCTAAAATGACAGTGCAATATAAAATCACGTAGTTTACAGAAATCCATCATAATAGTATAAAATGCTTAATTAGACAGATACCAGTGAATCAAAGGGAGACAGAGTCAGAGACGGCTAAAGAGATTTAGAAGATACAATAGTTCCTGGATGTTTGGCATATCTTTGTTGCTCTGTCATATATGCTTGTAGGATTGATTGCTTAATCACGAGATGGTAAAAGCTGAAATGTGTAGGTATTTCACAAATTCCATAAGTAAATTGTAGAAGACGATGCAGAGCATTGGCTGCAACAATTAGAGATGCCATTCTGCAACGGGTTTATTGCTTTGATTTCCATAAATCTAGCGTGAACGAGAATAGTCATGACCTCAAGTTTTCGAATAACGAAAGAGCGGTGCATGATTACTTTTCGACATGCAACGATAATTTTGATTTGGCAAAAGAAGAGGTTATTACAGAATAGCCATAACGACGCACGAGAGTAAATCCCAAAGACACCATAAATTCTGTTTCTCAATGGGTGGTCTGTACTTGTTCTATGTTGTTCTCGTGAAGCACCTGCTCCAACAAGTTGCTCTGAATGATTTGAAAATAAGGAGCAGTTTTTGGACATGATAGTGTGGATTTGGCATTGAACAGGATGTGGATAATGGAAGCAAGCTAATAATCAAGCAATGCCTAAGCCAACAGGACATTTTTGATACAAACTTCTTTGCTGCCCTTCCAAGTATATGCATATGTCAAGCATAAACATATGCCATTTTACAACATCTAGCTTGAAATGTTCTCTTGTAAGGTTGTAATCCATTATTTTACAATTATGGTCACCAATATAGACCATTTGGGTGACAATCAATTAAATATATTTAGCCATAAATTAGTCGAACCAAGCGTGCGGCATTGTACTATTTACACCGCCACAGTGCAAGGATACTCAGCTTTTGCTAGAATGCAAATGTCGATTGTGAAAATAGCATGCACACATTTTGACTTTACAAGAGATTAACTTGATAGGATGGTGCCTGGCAAAATGGGTGCCTCTTCCAATTTCTGTAATAGCAAAGATTATGAGCAACATGTCAGACATACTCTCACGTACAATCATCATTGAATTGCTATGAATTGCGCACATGTGGTGATGCATTGATCCTGAGCCTCAAAATATAAGCAAAGGCTGTTGCAGTAGTACATGATATAATTAATTGCGTTATGATTCATTCTTACGTTTGGCACTCTTTATTGTTGATGCTTTTTTTAGACAGAGTGTATGTAAAGCAGGTACACAAAGCTGCGGAAGTCATTGATGTGTGTGCTACCCTGATGAATTTATTTAAAGCAGCCGCGCACTACTTGCCATGATTCACGAAATTACGGTACCTGTTCCCCTACCTAACTTTATAAATACGCATTGTAAAGCTTGCACAAACGGTTTGATTTGGTTAAACTAGTTGTAAGAATAAAGGAGGTGGCTCATCATCTCACAATAATGTAAGCCAAAGCACAAGCATCTCTAAATATAAATGTACACATATAAACAAAAGGAGAAATCCTGAAGAGAGAAAGATCACTAAAAATGGGTTTTTTTAGTCTGAAACATTGCTCAATATGGAGGGTTGGATAGCATCTTTGCATACATTCAAGCATTACTTGATCGGCTCCTCGTTTGCTTTGTATATAATAATAAAAAGAGGGCTACACAACCACACGTGAGGAATGCACAAGTTTAGCGAAGAGACATTTAAAGAGAGAGAGAGAGAGAGAGAGCGAGAGTACTATCAGATGCACTATAAACAAAATGTTTAGATCAAGTGAGATGAGCAAAGATGGAGAGGTAGGAAACTCTTTTTATGACGATCTCGGTGGCAGTTTATAGGTAGAAAGAAAACCATGTTACAGACATGGAAGTGGTAGAATCCTTCTATGCAAACTAAATCATAATGAAAGGAATTCCGGGACCGATGGCTGTAACGCCGGTTCATTTTATGTGAATACGATGAATATCCAGATTCATACCATTATTCAAAACTGTCAAAACAGGAAATTAGCGAGCTGTCTCTTACTGGCAACATTCTCTCTGCATTGTATACTGCAAGCTCAAACGATAGATAATATACACAAACCAAACTGGAATGAAGTTCCCCTATTCCACAAACCAAGCTAAATTGCATTGTGTTACTATTATTATTTCTTTATAAAGCCTATGACAAGAATGTATTTGAATCAACGTCTTGAATCTGAACAAGAATATTGCGCTGTACAAGTTTTGAACATAAAGCAGGCTTTTGACGCCATTTTTGTTGATCAAGTACATGACATGCTTATTGCATTCTGATCAAAGACATAGGCTGCAGCAAATAAAAGGGACCAATGATCAATGAGTGATTTGACATGTTGCTGTTGAAATGCATTCAGATTTTATTATTTGCATACTTTATGACAAAAAGGAAAAATAGAGAGTATTTGTTATGAGTAGAATGATGATGCTGGTTTAGTTGAAGATGGACTTGAGTGATCTCATGATTGATTTACGCTTCATGTCCTTTGATGTGGGTGCAGTATTAGCTGTAGTGGGTGCAGTATTAGCTGTAGTGGGTGCAGTATTAACTGTAGTAGGTGGTGATGTAGCAGACACCATGCTCATGGCATGAACCGCTGGCTTTGATTCAATGTCATCTTGTTGATCTTCAAATGAATCTCTTGGAGATGGAGGGGCTCTAACAGGATTTAAGCTGGATTGCATAAGTGCTTCTTGGATATAACGATGATCTTGAGTTGCTACCAATGCTTCTTGAAACGTGAACCATCTTCTCTCTCGCTTCTTTTTTTCGGGGAATTTTTTGGCTACTTCATCGATTCTCATTTCAAAAATCCAGTGATGTGCTTTCAGATGTCTCTTCTTGTTTGTGCGTTCTTCAAATACACCTAGTTGCCTTGTGATTGTGCCTTTGATGCCAGCCTCTTCCCATGTCTCTCTTGTAGCAGCATGCTCTTGTGTTTCGTCTTGCTCCCAACCACCTTTTGGTAAGACCCAAGCGTCCTTGTTCTTTCGGCTTGAGATGAGTAACACTCTGTGATTTTGCATATCTAATGGTATACAGCCAGCCACTTGTCTGATGTTATTTGAATCAACGACATCTTGGCCATGTCCATGTCTTGATGATTTCTTGGAGTAATTGGTAAATTCATGGTTGATCTTTGCATCGAGCGGTGGGGTAATTGAGCGCATTTCAGTAGATAGAGTCATTTTGATATATATATATATATATTAATAGAGAAGAAAGAAGACGAAAAGAAACGAGTATGATGGCAAATATTTATAGCCTTTTTTTTAAAAGATAGCTTTGTACACCACCAAAAATGAGGGTGGGGGGGGAGAGAACAATAAATTACACAGATCAAATGTGGTTCCTAGCCACACAAATGCAAATAGAAACCTTCTTCTTCCAGTTAAAGTTTTTTTTTATGGTCTCAGTAGAATCAATGGATCGACATTAAAATTCCAGTCTTGGCAAACAGAATCGATAGAATGTCATTTTTACTTCAGACAGCTAAACTGAGTTTCCACAAGAGAACCAAAATGACTTCATGGAGTAGATCTCGAAATTCTATTCTTCCATGAAAACTACCGTGAATTGAAATTACAGAGTTCAATTGATTAATTATAGCATGTACTATTGATGCACAAATACGGTGATCTATTAAGGTTGTGTGCTACCTTGTAATGCATGTTCACATAGGAGTGTAGATGTTTACATGTTTGTCTCTTGGCAATTGCTCTAAATAGCTTATCAAAATCAAATGGCTGACTGGATAATTAATAAACCCAAGTCGAAAAGCACTAGAATTTGTAAGAAATCGGATGCTGCTTGAATACGCCACTTCATTTGCTGATATCATGTTGCAATCAGGCTCGGTTAAACACATTAAGAGTGTACGCTATAAAACTTGACGAATTAGACATCCAAGCAACTACGAAAGAACTATGATTACACATCACGGATTAATCCAGTCTCTTGGCAGTGCTGTTTAGCAAAGAGCAATGTGACAATTAGCCATTGAAGAAGCAACAACGGGTTTCAGTACCAACTGCCAAGGATCTGTCATTCGCTCACAGTGTGCAGGTTACATTCAATGTAATCTATCGATTTTTAATCTGCAAAATGACATTTATTGTCTAAAAATAGGAAGGCCGAAAAAAGGCAAATAAATACATATATGTCTTTGATCTGTATATCCTTCGCTTAAACGGTCAAGTGCTAACGGATCCATGAATCAGGTTCTCATAATCAGGATTTAGAAATGTGCTGTGCAACTCAATCTTGATTTAATAAGCGTTGAACATCCCCTCCTTTATTTAATTAAATGGATGGTTTCAAAAGCAGAATAAGCTATCCAAGACAGGCATGTATAGTAAGGACAATGCGAAATATTCTCACTCCTGGTACATTGCTTGTTTGATCTCTACTTTTTCCCGTATTGCCGTATATGCTGCTTTGTTGTCTGGTTCATCCAGATCATGAAGGTTGCAATGCTATGTGGATGATCGGTTCATTCATCAGGTTTCAGACATTAGTGTGCTATGACACTCATTCACGATCAAGATTGTTGGATCAATAACAATACAATGCGTTTAAATATTGCACAAGGCTGTGTTTACCTTCTCAAAAAGTAGCCAAGAGCCATGTATGGTGCATTTGATAAAATTAAATGTTGAGCCAAAAAAGCTATTTATATTATAATTTGCCCTTATCGATACATAAAGGCATACATTTGAGTGCACTCATTCATTGGTCCAACAAGCGCATTTGCACATGTGGGATATGCAAAATCATTTGATTTGCTGATGGCTCAAACAAGCCTGATCTTGGAGATGCAGGGCCAAATGTCACAGATATGAGCAAATCAGAAAGTGTATAAATAAAAGCTTATTTTTAGCTGTTATCATGCACCGCATACAGGATCTTATGTATTCTAGACCAAACAATAGCCTCTAAATGATCATTATAAAAGTGATTATCTACTCTACCATCACATTCTCAGGTACTTGGCTACTAGTGGCAGAACTTTATCATAGAGAAAACGTGAATCAATAGCTTTGTACGCCCGTAAATACATTACATGAACGCTATTTCGATAAGCGATATTGTTGTCAGTGGTACAGTAGTTTCAAGATGTAGTAATTATAGAACCACTGCATCGTTATGTGACGCTCCAGCTGAGCAGTTGCAGAAATCAGAAGGACAAAGAAAGAAATTGATGTGCTTGTTTTGCCTCATGCTGGTTATGCACTTGCCGTTAGCTGAATGCTTTGTGTAATCAGTCTAAATATACACTCAGAGATACATATGCCAGAGCATTCAGTAATAGAAACATTTAAAAGCTCGGAATTACCGTGTCAATCATAGTAGCGTAAGCACCAACATTGGCCTTGTTGGGAAAACACCTCTGACTGGACTTCCCAAACGCGTTAAATATAATAGAATGCAGCAATCAGTCTACATCAAGAAACACTCGATGCTTGATTTTACATTCCCACACTGTCTTTATTGTATGTAGAGCAGTGTCTTTCAACGTCGAATGATTGTTTGCCTTTGCTTTGCATTGGTGGCAAGCAGCCTTCACGGTAGTCACTTGTGCTTCTCTTTGTCTTTGTCCATGTCATCAAAAACGCTGTGATCTTAACTAAATATCCTACTATTAGAGTACACTATGCGACAATTTTGCTAACACATGAGAGCTTTCACTGGCTTGTTTAAGAAGCTTCACAACTTTAATAAAGGTGATGACTCATATACGGGTCGACAGTATACTAGCATCACCTCAGACTACTCAAATCCATGTAGATCACAGCCAAATTTGGATACATCTGAGCCCTGATTTCTTGTGTTAAACGCTGTTTTAAATCGCCAGAAGGGCACCAAATAATCGCTCTCAACTAGCACTTTCTTTCTGATACCTTTGCTCAATTTTTTTTGGGATGGCCGAAAATCGACTCCAAACCATGAGTGATACCCCATGATTTTCATCGAAAATCAAACGATTGCGGTTTTCATCCTGAAAAATGAAGACTTTTACTATGGTATATATTAATTCGAAATGTTCTTCTTGATCCAAAGCAACCTCTGAAACGAGTTTTGTGCAACCTTCTTATGCAAAATATCGATATTTTGGCCCAAATTGGCATTTCATATTTTTCGACATTGCTCAATAAGCTTATTCAAAACACCTATTATAACTAGTACCATTAGATGCGCCTTGAAATGTACACCAAGAAAGCTTAAGGAAGTATGAGATGATTATTACAAGTTATATAGTCGAATCTTGTAGAATAGATCGATTGAATCGATTTTGATTCAAATTTGACCAATCTGGAACTACAAGGTCAAGCGGGGCGTGAATTATGTTTTGCTGGTAAACTTGATGTCTGTCTCCTCAATATAAATACAAACGATGTTGAGTGGCAAAAAAGGGAATTATAAATCTGTGTCTATTCAAGTTAATTACAAGCAGAGGAGGTATGAGTAGATGGTGAGTATGGCTCGATTAAAAAATCAAAAAATTCTCATCATGCGGCTTAAATTATAGCGTGTTCCTAACGTAGTCTTTTTTGCAAGACATCATAGCACCAACTGATCATGTCTTTATGCAGCAGGTTTGGAATCAATACTCAAATGCTGAGATGCTCCACTTGCAATATTAACTATTATACCCAACAGTGATGTTGGCTTGCTTGAATGACAAGCGCTACGAGTAAATCATGCTGATGCATTTGCGCTACGTTATTGAAACCAAGACACAAGATCTACAATTCTACAGCTTTTCAGCATCAGAGCCATTAGTTTAGAAATAAATTTACCTTCATTCATATGTGTATGATTGCAGAAAAGATGAGTAGCAAGCTTGAATAGCAATGCAACACCATAGAGGGATAATTTAGCTGACTAAAAACCTGCAAATCAAAATCAAGGCGTGCAATGTGTGATATTACACACGCAAAGAAGGTTTTGGTCGGCAAGGTGGTTAAATCTTTACACGCATCGGAAGCTACTACCGCATTAAATCTTCTGTTTTCGCGAAAAAGTCAAATTGGATCTATGAACGACGCATCATTTTAAGCGTGAGATCTCCTGAAGCTCCAGGTCCACACTAGTATTTGAGTAGCACCCACGTCTTGTTTGGCATGGCCATTTCGCATGTCTCTACACTACGACATGCAACGCAATGAGGCCCTAGGAATGACATTAAACCACACTACTCCAGCTATGAAAAATTAGCCACTGATTGATTATCATACGCAGATGAAATCTTATCATCATAGAAACCCAGTTGAGAATCGGATCTATCCACATTAGCAGGCGACAGGGCCATTGTTGACTGTGTTCTTGAATGACTGGAACAATGCAATTGCTGCAATTTTATATCTGTTATGCCGAGCAAGAGTGATTTACTCTACTGCGAGTCCAAACGTGATGTCTTGAGCCAATCTCTTATACCGTCAAAAGCAGCAATGTCTACTACAGCTTGCAGGATCCCTCCATCTGATGGCTGTCTTCACACACGTGACTCATACGAGATGTTGGCATGGTGTAACTCGATTACAAGCAATTTTGTTGGATAAAGCTACATGTGATGATTTGATTTTTAATTACAAGAGTGTGTGAGTTGTGGATTTATTTTCTTTTTCTTCTCTTTGCCTGTTGTTACTCTTTTACTCTCCCCTCTCTCTCTCTCTCTCATATTTAGTTCATGTTTAGACAAACAGTAACTCACCGCATCAAGGCGGTTTTACCCCGTGTTACAAGCACCATTGTCCATCATGCTAGCAGCAGGGTGATCCAACCCTCCATGGCAGTGCGCTTGACAACTGCACGCTACATTTCAAGCTCTGCCAGCCAGTCCATTTGGATCCCATTTGATAGAAACTCATTGCCTGAAGACGATCCTCGTAGAGGAGAGCAATTTGAAGATGAAACAGATGTCGTGATTGTCGGTGGTGGACCATCCGGTCTCGCAGCAGCTATCCGTTTGAAGCAGTTGGCCAATGAAGAAGGTAGAGACTGCCGTGTCATGTTGATTGAAAAGGCTGGTGAAGTGGGTGCTCATACACTGAGTGGTGCCGTTCTTGAGCCAAGAGCTTTGGATGAATTGATTCCTGATTGGAAGGAAAAGGGGGCTCCCCTCAACACACCTGTCACTAGTGATTCCATGCGCTTGATGACCAAATCTCTCTCGATCCCATTGCCTCATCCTCCTCAAATGAACAACAAGGGAAATTACATCGTGTCCTTGAGCAATTTCGTCAAGTGGTTGGGCGAGCAAGCTGAGGAATTGGGCGTCGAGATCTACCCTGGATTTGCTGCTAGTGAAGTGCTCTATAACGAGGATGGCAGCGTTAGAGGTGTTACACTGAATGATGTAGGTTTGGATAAAAACTTTGAGCCCAAGGTAAAAAAAAAAAAGACGAAAAATTCCCACGATGGATTGAAATCTCACGTCAATTTCCATGTACTGATCTACCTTTTGCATATGTAGGATACATATGAAAGAGGTATGGCTGTCAAGGCCAAGGTCACCCTCTTTGCTGAAGGCTGCCATGGTTCTCTTACAAAGACATTGGCCAAGAAGTTTGATTTGAGAAAGGAAAGTGGACCTCAAAAGTACGGTATTGGTATCAAGGAAGTATGGGAAGTCTTGCCCGAAAAGCACAAGCCTGGATCTGTTACACACTCTGTCGGTTGGCCTGTTGATGCACACACATATGGTGGTAGTTTTATTTATCATTTCGAACCTGAGCGTCATCTTGTCACGATTGGCTACGTTATCGGTTTAGATTACTCCAACCCTTATTTGAATCCCTACAAGACATTCCAGCAATTCAAGCATCATCCCTCTGTCAAGAGCCTTTTGGAAGGCGGTAAATGTATCTCTTATGGTGCCAGAGCTCTCAATGAAGGTGGCTACCAATCGATCCCCAAGCTGGTGTTCCCTGGTGGTGCCTTGATTGGCTGTACTGCTGGTTTCTTGAACGTACCCAAGATCAAGGGTACTCATACTGCCATGAAGTCTGGTATGCTCGCTGCTGAATCAGCTTATGAAGCTTTGTACAGTGGATTGGAGCCCGACCAAGAGAGTCAAGTGGAAGAACCTGTTTTGCTCAACACTTATGAGGAGAGAATCAAGGATTCTTGGGTTTACAAGGAACTGTATGAGGTGCGCAATGTTCAACCCTCTTTCCACGGTCCTTTGGGTCTTTGGGGCGGTATGTTGTACTCTGGTATCGACACACTCTTCTTGAAGGGTCGCACTCCTTGGACATTCAAGCACAAGAAGGCTGATTGGGAATGTATGAAGACTGCTGGGTAAAGTAGCACATTCGTTAATATAAGGCTGAACATTATTTCTCACGCTCTTTTTTACATGTAGTGAATCGAAACCCATTGATTATCCCAAGCCCGATGGTGTGATTTCATTCGATTTGCTGACCAGTGTATCTCGTACTGGCACTAACCATGCTGAAAACCAACCTGTTCATTTACGTATTCGTGACAAAAATATCCCCGTTGAGAGAAATTTAGGCATCTTTGATGGCCCTGAAAATAGATTCTGCCCTGCTGGTGTCTATGAATACGTGGATGACGAGAACAAACCTGGAGAGAAGAGACTTCAGATCAACTCTCAAAACTGTATTCATTGCAAAACGTGTGATATCAAAGATCCTTCGCAGAATATTGATTGGACTGTACCTGAAGGTGGAGGAGGACCTCAATACGTTTGGACTTAGATTAGGATGTAGGTGTGCTTTTTTTTTTTTACAATAAAAGAAAAAACGTGTATCGACTTGGAATCTATCAATGTACTATCAATCAAAGACCTTGTTTCATGCTTGGGTGCTCAGCACAAAAAAAAAAAAAAAAAAAAGCCGTTTTGTTTCTTTTTCAACAGAATCCCACCTACTTTACTCGACAACGATGAGACTTTCATGTAGTATCTGTTTGGAGAAAGTGACAGAAGACTCGGAGTTGGTTTCGTTGACAGTGTGTGGACATGTATTTGATGCAGAATGGTAAGTCTACGTGCCGCATGATAAGAGCAATAGTCTCACAGCGCGAATCCAGTATCACACAGTGTATGCTCCTCAATAGCAAGTGTCCCTTATGCAATCGAACCACCTCCAGCAGCCGTCCCGCTTACAAGCGTGTTTATTTCTCTGCATTTGATGGTGATGATGAGGGCAAGGATGCCTTGATGGCTGCCAAAGAAGAATTGAAGGTTGCTAAAGATGCTCTGGATACATTGAATGAAGACTACGATGGGTTGGCACTCAAGTGGACAGTGGCAATAGACGAATCAAACGCAATCAACCGTGAAAAGACGCAATTGGAAAAGGACATCGCCCTAAAGGACGTGCAAATTAACAAACTGACTCACAACTGGCAAGCATCCAAGGCACGCAACAAGGACGACATTGATAAAATGAACTTGGAACTCATTGCCAAACAAAAGTCTATCAACTCGTTGATCAAAAACTTGGATAAATCCAACAGGCGTATCAAATTATTGAAGGAGGAGCTGGATGCTCTCAAGCCCCATGGTATCCAAGACAATGTTGCTCCTCCCAAGTCAAGATATCGAGACCAAAACTTCAAGGCCAAATACCATGATTTGAACAAGGAGCATAAAGCATTGAAAGACAAAATGGGCCAGCTTGAGAAGAAATTCATTGACCTGACGCTCGCGCCGCCTGAGCCACCCTCATCCATCTTACCATCTAATACAAAGGCTCTTCAATCACGAATTCAACTGTTGGAGAAGCAGCTTCAAGCAGAAATGACCACGGGAGACAAGCTTCTCAAAAAAGTCATTCAATTCAAGCAATTAAATCAAGATGCAGTCAAAGAAAAGGAAGAATTGCAAGTGAAATTGGCTGACGCTAAAGCCACGATTGCTTCATTAGAGCATGGCATCGAGAAGGTGGGCAAGTAACTGACTGTAATGCACTGCCTGAGGGAAGCTTGAAAAAAAAAAAAAACGTTGTCCAATAAAACGCTGTTATTTGTTGTACACCTCTTATTTGATGGTTGCACTCATGTTTAATGAAAGTTTTATTTTCGGATGGTTGAACAATAATGCAGTTTGAATCTGTAAGCGAGACGCAACACATCCTACTCGTCAGCCATTGTGAGTGTGCAAAAACAGGTGTACAAAAGAGTAGAATCCTCCAGTTGCAACCGAAGGCTTCTTTGGAAGCATCTTTTATCAAAGCTTGATTACAAGATGAAGGGGGATAGCGGTGACACTGAAGCTCGTTTTGGCGGCATTCATTTTTTTTTTTTTTTTTTTTAATGTGCCTTATTAAGGATAATTTTCGATGGCTACACCGCCATTTTACCACGATGCTTCTTTCTAAGGCATTGATATTTCATGACACACTGAATGGATTTTTTAATACTCCATTCCATAATACCATTGAGCGATTTAAATTAAATATACTCTCATGTCCCTTTTATTGCTGTATGCCATCTCATGGTTGATGCATGCATTGAATCAAGCCATGACATGCAATCCTCGAATATGAAATCGAGTACAAGATGATTGCAATTTTAAGACTTTTCTCTTTTGATTCCTTGGCTCGCACATGCCATCCTCTAAAGCAGGACTAAGATGATGAGTATTAGAAGGCTGATCATTAGCAGAGAGCCTACTAAATTAATACGGTGTAATATAGAAGTTCACATCAAAATTATAGCATGGTATATTCAAATCTGTTGTTCAAATCACTAGCTACCCAATAACAGAGCTTGAGCCGAATATATAAGCTATAATTCACAAGGCGAATTACAAAAAAAAAAAAAAAATAGATTTAAATAGTTTGAGCCATCTTGATACTGATATCCACTTGTTCTTCTCTTCTTTTCCATTTTTTTTTCTTGACCAGGAAAAAAATAAACCAGAAGCTTTATCTATCACAACATCATGACCGTCAGCGAACAACAACGTTATTTATTAGTCAAGGCATCAAAGGCCATCTTGTCTCCTCAACACACCCAAGCTCCTGCCGAAGTGCTCATCAACCAAACTACGGGTAAAATTGTTGAAGTTGCTCTCGATAACAAGACATGCACTACTGCTGTTAGCGAGGATCAGTTGGAGGTCATTCAGCTCGACGATGATCAATTATTGATGCCTGGTTTAGTGGATGCTCATGGTAAGTTGTGAGTGCGGGGTAAAAGCAGATAAGGGAAGCTGAATCAAGACAATTTGATTAGTCCATTTGAATGAACCTGGACGTACCGAATGGGAGGGTTTTGAAACAGGTACCAAAGCTGCTGCTGCTGGCGGTATCTCCACCGTCATTGATATGCCCCTGAACGCCATTCCTCCTACCACCACTGTCGCTAATTTTGATACCAAGTTGAATGCAGCTCAAAATCAATGCCATGTCGATGTTGGATTCTGGGGCGGTGTTGTGCCTGACAATGCAAAGGATTTACCTGCTTTGATCGAAAAAGGTGTACGTGGTTTCAAGTGTTTCTTGATTGAAAGCGGTGTGGATGAGTTTCCTTGCGTCAATGAAGCAGAGGTCCGTGCTGCCATGGATCAAATGGTCAACTCGGATCGTGTCTTGTTGTTCCATGCCGAAATGGAAGGTTGTGGAAAGGTAGAGACCAAGCACGAAGAGCACGAGGAATTGGACAGTCGCACCTATGCTAGCTTCTTGAACTCACGTCCTCAATCGCTTGAGACCAACGCTATTGACATGATCATCCGTCTTACTCAAGAGTACCACGAACAAGGTAAATCTGTCAACACACACATTGTTCATCTCTCTGCTGCCTCTGCTGTCCCTGCTATCAAGGCTGCCAAGGCTGCTGGTGCTCCTCTCACTGTGGAAACCTGTTTCCATTACCTCAACTTTACCTCTGAAGCCATTGAGGATGGTGCTACACACTACAAGTGTTGCCCTCCCATTCGTGAAGCTTCTAACCGCGAGAAGCTTTGGGAAGCTTTATTAGATGGTACTATTGATTACGTGGTAAGCGATCACTCTCCTTGTACTGCCCAACTCAAGAAGCAAGATACTGGTGATTTTGGACAAGCTTGGGGTGGTATTGCAAGCGTGCAATTTGGTTTGCCTGTGCTCTGGAGCGAAGGTCGTAAGCGTGGTGTTACGTAAGTTCACCATCTTATGTAGTAGATCAAAAGTAACTCATCCATACTCTTTCTTAGTCTTCAACAAATCGCTCACTGGCTTAGTTACGCACCTGCCAAGAGAACCAACTTGAACCATAAGAAGGGTGAGATTCGTGTTGGTCATGATGGTGATCTTGTCATCTGGCGTCCTGAATCCACATTCGAAGTCAACGTCAATGATGTTCACTTCAAGAACAAGTTGTCTCCTTACATTGGAGAAACCTTCTATGGTGCTGTTGATCGTACCATTGTTCGTGGTTCTACTGTGTACAGTCGTAAGGCTCCTGGTCTCTTTGCTGAGGTTCCCTTTGGTCGTGCCTTGCTCGAATAGATAATACACATTTTATACATATATCCCCCCCCCTCTTCTCTCCATCTCTCTTTCTTTTTTGTAATTAGAAAAAAAAAATAAATCCTACTGTAGTTTTGTAATGTGAATAGAATCTGTTTATTCGACAATAATCTTGGTTGGTGTGTCTTTTGCGGATGCTAGTCCAATGCGGTATTCATTAAAGTCAAATGTCGTGTAGATTTGACGCAAAATATCGAGACCCAAATGCATTTCTTCTGAATCATCCTCTGTATCTTGTGGGCCCCAAAGACATCCTGTATGTTTGTCGTCTTTATCAAAGTACGGGATCACAAGATGGGAGAGTGGAAACTCGACATGCACTGGCTTAGGGTCTGTCTTGGAGTCTTGTTGATGTGAGAATGAAATGCTCAGCATCTTTGTAGTGTCATTTCCGAATTGGCAATCAATGATATACGAGTTTGGTTCGTTTTCCAAATCCATTTTGTCAGGATCTGAACCGGTGAGTGCCCTGTAGAGTCGGTTGTTGTAGCCTTGCTTTAGTTTAGAGAAAGGGAGAGCTGTGGCAAATTTGAATAATTCGTTCTTGTCGCGTAAGAATCTCTCCTCGTAAATGACAGATGATCTTGGATCCGCTTGAGTTGGAATGTCGGGATATGCAAAAGTACTGTCAACTTGATCATTCAACAATGTCGACTGCGATTCTAGTTCATACACCTTGAACGCTTGGCCAAACACCTGCCAGCGGATATCCTCATTGGGTCCTCCCGGACGATAGACTGGGATGAAATGAGGCGCTTCAGTAATGCGATTCTCATTGAAGCCACCTAGAACAAATTCGCCTTTGATAATGCCTCTAAGTGGTAGACTACCGAAATACAGTGAAAAGGCCTTGTCAATCAAGCCCTTCTCAGCCAAATTGCGAACAAACGAGGTATACGGACGTGGCATGGACACAGACTTCAAGTTCTTGATGGCTCTTGTTGATACCGTTGAAGACACGCCCAAACCAAGCACACCTTCAGGCACAAATTTGCTGCTGTCTGTAAAATCCTTGAATACTTTATGCGACTCAAAGACGGGTACAAAGTCTTGTTCTACAGTAAGCTGTTCAAGAGTTATGGTATCCGTGCCCAAGAACCCTGCGACATAGCTCTTTTGGTTCGTGGCGTCAAAGCTGTAGAATTGCTCATACCCATCGCCCGCTCGTTTGTATTCTTTGGATGCAGCGGCGCCGAGATTGTTGAATCGAGTTCGCTGGCAATCCACACTAGGACATTCAATGCCGTGAACCCAAGTCAGTGTACTGAAAGAATGAGATTGAAAGTTAATTTAGAAACTGTCTAATGCGTCTACAAAGCACATACCTGTCAGTATCTAGAGCCACAAGAAAGCTTTGTGCAGGGTTTCCAACAGTGATACTTGTGTAGTACTTTTCTGTATCATGAAATAGATCTGTGATAATGACTTTGGCAGCAGAGGTACAAGCGAAATGAGCATAGGCAAATGCAGACACCAGGGCAAGTTTTGTATACAACATGATGGATGATGGTGCGCCTGTTGAGAAAGAAGCAGAGTAATATAGCTTGATTTTATACAGCACGCCTCTTCAGGCACCTCATGCCCTGTCCAAATATGTAGGATTCCATAGAATACAAATATGCGATACTTGGCAGCTAGGCAGTTTGTGCTACATAATTAGAGTGTAGTACAAACTGATCAAGCTTTGAAATCTCAGAATGCGCATTGTTGCATGAGTTTCAAGCTACCGTGTTTCCCGGATCTTGCTTTAGAAGGTCAATAAAACTAACGGCTGAGCCAGCGGCGTTCAGGCAGAATATAGTAGTTTTGGCGCTGGGTGATGAGCCACTCGCCATTAATTCTGAGATGAGATGAGATCCATACATACGGATACTGCCATCTTGAGCAATCGATGTTTATCATAAAACATGGCATGATGTTGAGTTGTGTATCGGCTTTTAGTAAATCTTAGCTTCTAGGCTTTTAGATCAGTGCAACAAACATGCAACGTGTATATATTGTACAAAGCCTGATGTATTTGTCATGTTAAAAGGTGTTTATTGAATGTGCAAAGCTTTAAGCATTGGTTTTAAGACTAACTCTGGAAGAACGATCCTTTGGTACAGCAAAACCAAGCTTGCCATGGTCAAAATCATGTACCAGATAAAAGTAGCGCAGAAAATCTTGACCCAGCATCATGTTACCTGCTTCAGATTCTTCTGCTCCAAGTGTCCATTGACATCCACACGTGTCCTTCTTTTTAACAAAAGCACTGATGGGGATATCCAGATAAAGAGGGTTAGGGTCAGCCACAGCGTCGGGCTTCTCATGGCTATGCGAGATTTGAAGGCGTAGATAGATGTCTGACTGCAGATAACTACAATCAATGTCCCAATCTTCCCCTACTGGATCTTTGGTGGCACCCGTAATTAGTTTGAACATCTCCTTGGTATAGCTGGCATAGAAGAAGGAGTATGTTGTACCCGTGTCAAAATCAAAAGCAATGTTGGGAGCAGTTTTGTTCTTGTCAGCAAAACTCCATTCCTTGATGGCATTGGTGGCATTTGAGGAGGGCTGGCTCGCTGCTTGGGTTACATTTAGTAAATGATCATCTTGGAGATGACTAGCAGCATCTCTAAAAAGGCTAAAGCCTTCAACATACAACGCGTACTCTTCAGGCAATCCAGAAGCTGCCAACATGGTAGAAACAAATTCAGGCTGCTCTTTGATATGCTCCATTTCATAATCACCTATGAGAATATGACCATTGGAATCACCATGTTTTGTCTCGGATCCTAGATACATGGAGAACATGCCCTTGGAAATAAGCCCTTGCTTCTTCATGTTGCTCAGAGGCGTGTCGTAAAAACGCTCTACGATTTTGGTATCTGTACCAACGATGCGGGTATCGATGTTGCTGGGATAGCCTAATCCAAACATGCCAATGCTATTGGTATCCTTATTTTCATCATAATGCAGTACCCCGATAGCCTCATCTACCGAAACGAACTCTTGGTTCTTGATCTGGATGGATCCTACTGTAATCACATCTGTGCCCATATAGCCTACAATAAAGGAATTATCAAGATACAGATAGTAGACCTGCTTTAAAGAAGACTGGTAAGATGAGGAGCTGATTTCTTGGTTAAACCTTGAGGGGCGACATTGCTCTTCAGGACAGCCATTGCCGTAAACCCACATAACATTGCTATAGTGTGTAATATTTAGAATTTTGATTCACAATGCATGCTTTTTGAATATGCATATCACAGACCTTCCCGTGTCCAGCATAAAGTAGAACTTTTGAGGTGGATCACTTGTACCAATGCCAACCTCAATGAGATACTCGGTTGTGTCGTAGTAGAGTGCCCCTTTCCAGGTTTTATTATCTTCAACCCGGAACCTCTTAGAAGAGTTGCGAGTATCATAATCATCAGGTACATAGACTCTCTTTTGGCGAGAGATCAACGGAAGAGAGATAGCAGCCGGTGATGGTGGAGGACTGATAGGAGAGGCAGATGTAAGATGACAGAAAGTCAAAGTGGCAATGCAGCTTAATGCTTTATACAGTAATTGTACCATGCTACAGAAAAAGCTTGTTAAAGTTGACACAAGTCTCTCAGAATGGTCTTTTTATATAACTGACATGGAGGCAGACCTTGTGCTCGGTAACACACATGTAACGATCACAGTTAGCCTCAACGATGTCCGCACAACAGGAAACTCAATTTGTATCTATCCCAGAAGCCATGTGGATTATTTACTGTTACGCCATGCAAGGCTTTTCACTTGTTTTTTTTTATGTATCTCGCCGATAGTCGATATACATGTACACTGCAGACATGATCATGCCATTTTGAAACGAGAACTTTGCCCCACAAACGACATGCACTGGTTCAACGCACCCGGTAAAAAGAGCAGAGTTATAGGGGCTTTGAGTGATTGTTGTTTGGCGATACACGAATGGCTATTTATTGGCTCTCATTTGCTGCTACCTCTTTGACTTGGCGAGGTCGTTGTTGTACTTTCGTTACATGAGGGCTCAGATCTTTTATTTCTGCTCGTTGCTTTTACTCGCAATGTGGTATCCTTTGTTATTATATAACAATAAAGAGTGTCAATTACATCTTGAAAGCGGCATTTGGACAGACTTTGATTAATACCGACTTGATTTTGATGTAGAACTTGTTATTAATGCAAAAAAAAAACCCCCCGTACAGGCACACACAGCCTGTTGGTAGTGCCTCTCACCACCCAAAAATATGCAACATTTGGACATATGTTTGCTGTAATATCTCGTGTTAAAGACCGTTTTAGACCGTCAAACGAGCACCAAACAATTGCTCTCATCTGGCAGTTACTTCCTGACACCTTTGCTCAGCTTTTTTGGGGACCAAAAAAACATGGGCAAAACTCGACCAAAAAGCATGAGGTACCCCTCATGGCTTTCATCGAAAATCAAACGATCGCGTTTTTGACCTTGAATAGGAAGACTTTTACTATGGTATATCTTGAATCAAAATGTTTCTATCGATCCAACGTAGCCCCTGAAATCATCTTTGCGGAATTTTGATATGTAAAATCTCGAGTTTTTAGCCAAAGACCTCATTTTATACTTTCTGAAATTGCTCGATAAGTTTACTCAAAAAAGCTTGTATGATTAGCACCATTGGATGCGCTTTGAAAAGTGCTTTAAAAACCCATTAGGAAGTACTTTTTTTTGTAGGGGAGACGAGCTCCAGGTTTTATTTAAAGTCCTTTAAATGTCATACTGAGGGATAGAAAAGACTGTTGGTGGACCCAATGTCTGCAATGAAGGGGAATAAGATATTTTTGAATTAAGTTGGGAAAGAAATCTACTACTAATAAGGTGCGACTCCTAGAGCCAATACAGTCTTGCGGAAATCGTCAAAATATAGATAATGGATAAGAATACAAAACACCAAACGAGGACATCAGTACTACGTCAAAAAATCAAACAACTTGCGTTCACCAGGATTTGAACCGGGGATCCTCCCGTTGGCATACGGGAGTTCTACCACTTCGCCCTACCACCAGGGGCACCCATTAGGAAGTACGGGGTGATCATTACGCTTTCTATAATCAAAACTGGCAAAATAGATCAAACAAGTCGAAATTGAACACGATAAGGCCAATCTGAAGCAGAACATGAGCGGAAATTTAATTGCTTTTGGCGGTGGCGGCCACCACTACGATTACCATAGTAGTAGCTGGTTTCTCTAATAATAATGATGGTTTCAATCGATGTGTGTGGAGCTAATATAATAACGGGAAATTACGAATCAAAAAGGACTATAGTCTAGGCTGGTCACTTGACTGCATAGATAAATTTTTGGATCAAATAACAGGTTTGCAACGAGCCATCATAGGCATTTATTGTAATGAGAGGTTAAATGATCATTGGATATTGTACAAGCTAAGATAAACACATCTGAAGAGGGGGGGGGGGTATTCATTGAAAGAGCCATCCACCAACAGTATCTCGAAGGATGTCTCTCTTTCGCTTGCCTCCACCAGCAGCATCACCATCTCTTGTGCCCTCCTGCTGCTCGCCTGCTCCACTAGTTGCTAACAAATCACCCAGCTTCCATTGTTTTGTAGCATTCTGTAACAATCCATGCCATCCCTTATCTGACTGATGACGACTGCTTGCGTTCTGGTCTTGGTTGTTGTTGGTAGCACTTAATTGAGCCAAGGCAATTTGACTAGGTGTGTCTGCGTCCAGCTTTCTCCATACTGTCAAGACATCACCGATGTTCTCTGCAGGGCTTAAGCTCAATGCCATGGACAAGACATCTAATCGGCGGCTGACATCGTCAAATGCTTCTACTTTGCCTAAATTGAAGCAAATCTGCCATGCGGATTGATTCGCCTCGTCATAGTACTGCTTGTTGTGATGCTTTGTGGTGTCCTTATTAGTGGCCTCCATGGTCGTGATTTGACAGAGTCTGTAGGATGCCAAATAATCTCCTTCCACAAGAGCTGCACTTGCCAACATGGCCAATGTCTTTACCTTGGCAAGCAAATCGTTTCCAAAACCCAACTTACGCACCAATTCCAACACTTGCTCATGTCGTTGATACATGCCAGTTCGATTGTTGATCAGTTTTGAGATGAGTTCCAGTCTGTTGTGTGATTGTCTAATTTGAATGGGCATAAGAGTGATGCCAGGACGGTCTTGCACCTTGTATTCGTGGATGAGGCTATGCGTTGCTTCAATGAGATCCATTTCCTTTCTGATTTCAGTGGTGGGAGGAAGGATTTTGAGACATTCCCAAGCTTGCTTCATGCTGCCAGAGTTCATATTACCAGAGGTGGCGTTATCAAAGAATTCGCGTTCGGCATCAATCACCAAATGTTCCGCTTTTGTAATGTCCATGATCTTGTTGGATCCCAAGATAAGTTCCTTTGCCAATTTGAATCCTACATTGGGTCATATTTATCGTTAGTCCACGTGTGTCTACTTGTAAGTACGAGCTTTTACTTACGACCACATCTCAATAACGAACTAAAGAATATCTCTAGGATTTCCGCAGGATCCAATTTTCCAAACACGCCTTGACCATCCCCTTTCAAACGAAGCATGTCATCCAACAGTTCACGCCAGTCATCATCACGATCAAACTTGACACCGCCGCTTTCGACACCGCCCGCAGCTTGAGAAGACATGCGCACACATAATTGACGTTGTGCTTCCACTGATTGATCCTCTAAATACCATCTCAAAGGCACACTAGCATTGTATCTTGCCAAGGTTTCAGCAGAGCCCAAGTGGTTCTGCAACGTATCCATCATTTGAGTCAATCCGAAAGCGCCCACTGTTTGAAGCGCCATAAAAATGGCCATGGCTGATGTTGCGTTGGGTATCATAGCTGCCATATCTGTGGGGTCATTGGATGTGTCATCAATCTCATCGAATATAGGCAAGCACTCAAATAAACGCACCAGGTACTCCATGGATCCATTGCCAGAATAGACAATGGCCAACACCAGTCGAGACAAGTCCAAATCATCCTTGATAATGCGGTCTTCTACAGCAATGGTAGGTTTGGAATGTTCAAACACCACACAACACCAGTCTAAATGAGCATCCACCACAGCAGGATCCAGCAGCCAGCGGTAAAGCAGAAACTCTTTTTTGGTGTGGTCATCCTCCTCCTTATGGTCACTGCTGTATTTTCTCTTCTTTGCCACTGCTATCCAAGGTAATGCTAGTCTCAACATGTCATCCACAATGTTTGCTGCGTCTGTTGTGCTTAGTAGTCCCTCCAAGATGTCGTAACTTGACATGCGACGAAATCTTTCCAAATCCACATAGGCTTCCTCTCGATCCAATGTTGCTTTTGCGCGATAGATATACTTGCAAAGCCATTCGTATTCTGACACTTGGGTATCAATACCAGAGACACCCATCACACGTGCATATCGACAAATCTCCAACGCATTGCTACTCAGGCCAATGGCATCAGCAGCATGAGCACGCTCCATGTACCAGTCTGCAATGACAGAAGCTGATGTAGGGTACGTGGTCGTCTCTATGCCTCCTTTCAATCGATCCAGATACTCTGCTTCTTCTGGCACTTGTACATGAATCAACGCTTGCATCCAATCTTGCTCCACTACGTCCTTTTGATCTCGCCATGGCTCTTCCGGCCAAGTATCTTCATGGTCATGTGTGACGTGAGGTAAATCAAACGAGGTAAAGTCTGCTGTTTCTGGGATTTGAGATAGGATAAAGAGACGGTGTGGAAGCACATCGCTGCCGTGGTGCATAAAGATGGCGTCTAGAGCGACATGGTTTTCCGAGCGAGCGTACTCGATGGCTTGAGCAATCAAATTGCTGTCTCGAAACTGGCTGTACGCTGTTGCAAATGAAGCGTTGCCGGTTTGCTGGTGCGTGGTGGATGAAAGACTAGGCCACATCTTGTTGAATGTATTAAGGCGATCCTTGTATTTCAAAAGCAATGCTCGGCATCTCAACAGGGTCTTGTCTTGTGCTGTCAAGTTGTGTGCTGCTTTGGGTGTATCGAGCTTCTTGTCGTTGATGATGGGGGTGGTGAGTGCCTTGATACGTGCTTCAGCAATGTCAAGGATTTGTTGCTGCACTTTAGGTTCATTGATACAGACCTCAAGACATTGGCCGATTACCCACGCATCATCCTGAATCAGGCTCAAGAGGTCGACATCTTTCGGTTGCAATTGAGAACCGCGTTCTATAATGCGTTTTGTCCATTGGGCTTTGTAGACGAGGCCCTTGTCCAGTTGCAAATCATCTGCTAAATCAAGTGCAGCCTGAAAGTTGCCTTGGTTGAGGTGGATAAGAAAGTCTCTCGTGGTAGGTTCTGTCATAGTCAGTGTTGTTGCTGAGAGAAGAAGAGAGAAACAGAGACATCAGATGAAGATGGAGCATTAATCAATGGACATTGCTTCCCGCCATGATTGGATGACCACATGTATAGTTGTGACTCTTGGGCTTGCCTTCCTCAAATAACCAACAATGGAAAAGCAATGAAAATTGTTTATTCATTTCATTACAAGCATTCAAATGAGTAGTTCAGACATTCGCGATATTTTACAGATTGATGCTGCAGCAGAACCAGCACAAAAGAAGCAAAAAGTAGCAGAAAAGAGACCTGGTGAGTAAAGGGGAGTGGATGAAAGAGAGCAACACGCTTGTAGAGGTCTTCTGAAAGCTTACACTTGGGCCTGTAGATGGTATCAGTCGAGAATTGTATTCGTTAATAGGTGGCGCACCACCCGTTGCCTTTGTCAAGCCAACTTACAAGGCAAAATATCAGACAAAGAAAAAGGCAACGCCATGGTATGCCCAGTGTGTGTAGATGCCAGTTTGATACTGACACATGGAATAGGGTCTATCAGCCATTTACAAACCCTGCTAGAGCAGATGATCTAGTCCTGAATCACTGGGTCAAATCAAACGAAGCAAATGAAGGCAAGTTGCAGTCTACACTGAAGACATACCATGACATACACACACATATCTAATGACCTTTCTAGACTACGCCTTTGCCAAATTCAACAAAGTGATTGACATCATTGAATACACAGACGATGATTACGAAAAGTACCTCACAGACACAGATTGGAGCAAAGAAGAGACAGACTACCTGTTCAGCCTGTGTCGCCAATACGACCTTCGATTTCCAGTGATTGAAGACAGATATCAGTTCAACAAGGCGAGAACCATGGAGGATTTGAAGGATCGATACTACTCCGTTTACAGAAAACTAATCTTGCAAGGCAAATATCAATCAGGCGAGTACGTCTCAGATCGACAATCATTAGCAGCGCAGTACAATTTCGACAAGGCCAGAGAGGTGGAGAGAAAGAACGCACTCATCATGCTGTTCCATCGCACCAAGGAGCAAGTGGAGGAGGAAGAAGCCCTGTTTGTGGAGGCCAAACGTATCGAGCAAAATGAGGCGAAATTAGCCAAAGAAAGAGAGAGTCTGCTGAATTCACTGCAGTTGGAGCAAATCCAGCAAATGCCATCCACGCCTAATACTCCCCATTCCCTCAACAGCCCGGGCATAACATCATCATCGCCCGGAGGAATCGGAATCACGGGTGGTACAGCAGGTGGAAGCGACTTAAAGGTGAGTTGTTTTATGAAAAAGGAGGGGGGGTAAATCGAATGATGTTTTTGCCCATTGATGCTTACACGTCATGACATGTAGAAAAAGAAAAAGTCGATTCACGACGATAGCAAAAAGGGTCGCAAGCTCTCGAGCGCTTCCTCGTCTCATCATCTCATGGATGGTAACGTATATCGTGAGGCAGCACAAACATTAATTGAATTAATCAAACTTTTTCCTTGTTTAGTGGATGCTCATGAAAACAAGGAAAAGAAGCTTACACCAGGTGTATATATTCGAAGCCAGAAACTGCCTATTGTGAAGCCTACTATGCAACCTAAGGTGATTAAAGTACTGGAGGAATTAGGGATTGGTAAGATGGTAGTTTGATGAGATGGTGCTCTTTGTATTAACCTCATGCACACTCTCTGCTAGGCCCAAGACCTATCATGCCTACTCAAAAGATTTGCCTCAAATTTGAAAAACTACAAAATGCCATCCTCAACATGTTTGAACTCAAGAAAGTAGTAGATAAAACTGAAGTTGAACACAAGGTTAAGGTAACTCAAATGGAGAAGTTTTTTTTTTTTTTTTTTTGTGAGGTTGCAAATGATGATAATGCTTTTAAACAAATAGAAACGATCTGGTAGTAACGCAGGATCATCCAGTGGACATCGAGAGAAGAGAAGAAAATAAAAAAAAAGCAGCTTACGATCTCTTCCACTCATGTACATACACACTGGCTGGCTCACATACACACTAACTACAAATAAAGTAGTATCACAAAATATAAATGGAATTAAACAGTTTTTCCCTTTTTCCTTTCTTTTCATTACTTTTTATTTCAATTTTTACATGTCCATTAAAGAAGTACATTTTCCAAAGGCTTTAAACATCATCAGACCCTCTTCTCCCTTAATACAACGCCATGACTCTTCCTATTCTTCATCCACCGCTTCAACGTCTTCTTCACCATCCACGCTCTCCAACACCTCATTCACAAATCACACCAATCCTACTATAGTCAACCCCTCCAACTTTAGCTATTTTCAGAATAATTGGGCTTCGTTGAAATCAACTAATACGGTCGGGGTGAATCCGCATCGATTTCTACAACGGCCAAGAAGTAATTCCAACTTGTCAAAATCGACGTTTTTCTCTGCATTATCACCTTCATCTCAGGAAAATCAACAGGAGGATGATGAAGATGATATAAACAGCAGTATTGATGGGGTGGATGAAACAGAGGATGAAGAGGAGGAAGAGGAGGAAGAGGAGGAAGAGGAAGAAGAGGATGAAGAGGATGAAGAGGAAGAAGAAGAAGAAGAGGAACCGGAAGTCAAAGTAGTGGCCAAGATCAAGCATGGCACGATTATGAATGGCAAGGGAGAGTTTGTCAATAAGGGCAGCAACATGACAGAAGAAAGCGCATGGCTAGACGAAGCAAGAGCGAATCGAAAGGTGAGTACCGCTGAGTGTATCACTGTTTTTGTGTATTGATGTCCAAAATATAATAGATTGCCGATCTCGAGATTGAGAAGGCATCATTGTTGGTGTTAAATACGACTTTGGAAGCTAAACTGCGACAACAAACAGCACAGATTGTCGAGCTGCAGAAACGATTACAAATGTAAAATACTCGACATGTTATTAATAAATTTCATGTAAGGCTCATGTACACCATGTTTAATAGGAATGAAGGGCCCCTGACACCCGTATCAGACAAGCACGTGGAAGATGTAAGTGAAATGTATATATTCTTTGTATGTGACATGTCCCACTCATTCATTGTATGTCTAGTTTCTGTTTGATGATGATGAGACGACGGTGGTGCAGCAGCAGCAAGAGGATCAAGAGATTGAAAATGACCAAGTATTTCAGCGTATCAAATCCATGCTGGAGGGCCTGATTTTACAGGCTGAAGTTGCATTACTTCAAAAGACAAACAAATCGGGGAAAGTGTTGCAAGATTACAGCCATGGCTCTGCTTCCATGGAGAAGCAATTCCATGTGCAAGGTAAGCATAGTGTGCTGAACTAATTGCCGAGAATAATGACTCAACATGCTTTTGTTACCATTAGAAACATTACACAAACTAACAGTAAAAACTTCACCTTCATCCATCGTCGATATGCACAACAACCATTACACACCCACCAAGAGAGCATCGTCTCCTTTCCGACGTGTGTCAGATGCTTCCTCAGTATCATCAAGAGGCTCATCTACCAGTAGCGTCAAAATGTCTCGAAATTTATCTCGTCAATCATCACCTCCCATCTTGGTATCATCACCCAGACCTTTCAGCCCTCCACCACAACAGCAATCACAGAAGAGAGCTTCTTCTCCTCGTCATACATCTCATGTGCGTAAAGATCTCGAGAAACCTAAATGGCATTTCTAAGACACACAAGGCACCTTGATCTCACTCTTATGCTTTTATACAACACAACAACATGTCAATTTCAATATAAGCCAACAACAACATCAACGACACAGTGTTATACATACTTATATACCCCCCGCCTTTCTATGACCCCCAAAAAATACACAAACGATCATTTACTACCAACAACACTCATTTACATTTATATCTGTCATCCCATGTATACTTGATAGAAGATGATAACCATGTAGCATTACTATTACCTTTTTCAGTGTATCATAACAACAACAACAACAACAACAACATTTTCACATTCCATTCCCTTTTCTGCCATACCCCACTTTCTTTGTCCAACATGAATAAAATTAACACTTTAGTAGGAAACACACATCACTGCGGATTCGTCATTGCAGAAAAAAGCGGATGGGTTTTTTTTTAATGAGCCACATGCTGTGTTTAGCTATTTTTCATGCTAGATGTCTGGTGCCTGAATATCAACTCAAACCTGACATTGCTGCAGAGGTACTCTTTGGTTCCTGACAGGGACGATTCATGGCGATGCTATATATAGCGGCTATTGCATTACTGCAGGTTGTAGAGAAGCAAGCAATGCTGGTGCTCCAGAACTATCATCCTACATCAGAACAGTAGGAGTTGATACACCAATCGTAAGTTGCATAAATGACACGATAAATGTGCTTCACATTATTTGCTGAACTCAAATTGCGCTCTAGCAAATGTGCAATGAAAAACTCTAGATGGCTCAAAAAGAACTCGTCAACAAACATCAATAACAGAAAAGCCTCGTATTCTTTCGAGTTTCACAATCATGCACAGCCTTGAAATGAGATTTCTTTATTTTACAAAATGTTATTTTACATGCTTTGATATGAATTCGATGCGGTGTTTATCATTTACTCTTGCTTTCCAGGGGCAACGCTTTGAAGGGGCCAGCTATAGTTGGCATTGGAGCGATCGTAACCATACTTTTTCATGAAATCATCCAATTCAGCAGGACCTCTTGAACCGTACTTGTAGTTGGATAGCTTGATGTCTTCGTGATGTGCATCAATCTTGTGCAACAAGGGAGTAAAGATCTTCCAAGCAGCTTCCAATTCATCATCACGGACAAAGTTACTGTGGTCGTTTCTCAGGACATCCAAGATCAAGGATTCATAGGCATCAGGGATAGCCAAGTCGGTATAACGGCTGTGGTAGGTCAAATCGAGTTCAGTCTGAATGGTTTGATAAGAGAGACCAGGCTGCTTGTTGTTAAACTTGATATACACAGCCTCATCGGGTTGAACACGCATCACAAGCTCATTACGAGCAGCGTTCTTGTAAAGAGATCCAGCAACGTTACGGAACTGAATACGCACCTCCACCTTGGCTTCGTTCAATGCCTTACCAGCCTTCAACACAAATGGAACACCTTCCCAGCGCTCGTTTTGAATAAACAAGACGAGAGCAGCAAAAGTAGGAGTCAAACTATCCTTGTTCTTGATGGTCTCATCGTCGAGATAACTGGGCTTACCATTAGCAGCAACGTATTGGCCGAGAAGAGCATCATTGACAGAGATAGGAGGAATGCACTTGAGCACCTTGACCTTTTCGTCACGAATGGCTTCAGCATCAGTGGAGATGGGGCGTTCCATAGCAATCAAAGATAACACCTGCAACAGATGGTTTTGCATGACATCACGAATGATACCAAATTCATCAAAGTAGCCACCACGTCCCTCGGTACCAAAGGGCTCCTTGAATGTGATTTGAATATTGTCAATGTTGGAGCGGTTCCAGATTTGAGAAAAGAAGATGTTGGCAAATCTGACCATCATGACGTTCTTGACCATTTCTTTACCGAGGTAATGATCGATACGGAACGTCTGATAGTGGGGTGTATTAGTAACCATATTCAAAGATCCAGGCATCCATTCCCTTCTTCTTCTTCTCCTCCTCCTTCTCCTCCCCTGCCTCCTCACACACACACAAGTCTTAATTTACCTCCTCTTCTGTGAAACAAGCACCCAATTCCTTTGCAAGATGTGCAGAAGACTCGCTGTCTTCACCAAAAGGCTTCTCAACCACAATACGGTTAAGACCTTCCTTTGCATAAACGTTCTTCTTCAAACCCTTGGCAACAGGGATAAAGACAGAAGGAGGCAAAGCCATGTAAAAGACACGGTGTCTTCTACCAACCTCAATCTTGCGCTCCTCTTCGCATTCATGGACAGCCTTGTCCAATTTGATAAAGGATTCATCTTCATCGTATTGGCCAGGCAAATAGGACAAAATGGATTTGAACTCCTCCAATTGTTTTTCATGATCCTTTGACTTGATGTAATGAGTAACACGATCGATGAATTGATCATGGTCCATCTTGGTACGAGCATAACCAACGATACGAGTGTTGCCAGGCAAGAAGCCGTTTCTGAATAACCCAAACAAAGCAGGGAAGGTCTTCTTCTTTGCCAAATCACCCGAGGCACCCAATACTATATATATATACCATAAGCGGGAAAATAGATTAATATTTCGGGAAATGTAAACTGGGTGATGGTGATATGATAGACGCGTAATAAAGCATTATGCACTTGCTCACTCTAGAGTAACTTACCAATGATGGTGACAGCACCGTGGAGCTCCTCACACACTTGTTGACGCATTTGTTCGATAGGATCCATGGTTGCAAAGTTGTTTAAATGTTACTGAAATTTGAAAAACGTAGAATAAAAGATATAAAAAAAAAAAAGAGAGAAAGGAAAAGAGAGAATTGAATAGGAAAATATGGCTCCTTTTATTTTGTTATCCATGCTATATCGCAATGTTTATGTAAGCGGTAGGCTAAAGTCCTACAGGAAAGTACGGGTTGTATATGATATCAACATGAAATTAGTAATATTTGAAACCTAAAAATCAGCTACACAACATGCGGGGCCATTTAATTGAACCATTTCAAACTGTACAGCAGCCCGTTGATGAATAACGTCTTTATCATATTCCAGCCTGTAAAAGCCTCGCTTTCGCTTGTTGAATTCTTAGTAAGCGTCGTCTTCTAGATTACAACATGTATCTCTGTACAACGCATTACGATATTTGACCAAAAACAGTGTGATAAAGACAGGTCAATGCCGCTGGTTGCCTCATATCTTTATCCCCCGCAATCTAAATGGGTCTCGATAGAGTTTCGGGACATGGTACATCTTTTTACTGTTATATCCTGTCCTATTTAATATAAAATGCTGGGTTGCACACGGATGAAATAGCAAGTAAATGGATCATCTCTATCCAACGCTAGGGTCAAACTATCGATACGTTGATGCAATGTAAAAGCGAAAGCTTTCGGCTTGACGATGGCGGCGACAAAGCCTAGCTTCAAGCTGTCCTAAAATATTTACCCATGGTTTACACTACTACTCTTGTGGATGACACATCTCAATACATTTTGATTTCAATTCAGATGAATAATTCGGATAAAACAGTGCGTGTTTTTCCTTCAGTAATGCAAATTAGCTCTAAATAGTTATCCTCGCTTCGAGTTTGAACCAAAATAACAAGGGCAACGTCTTGATTGCTTGTTATTTCACCCTGTGTATCGTGAAATGACCAGGAGCAATGAAAATCTCACTAAATGAATATCAATTTCTGCATCTTTCCTGGTTTCTATCAAGAGGACATCAATTTAAACATAATCTGAGAGACGTTATACATAGGATTCCATTGCCCTTTGCAAGTTGCTTTTTTGGATATGTACAAGCCAAAGAAATGTTTGCGTGTTGTGCCTGAAAGTAGGAACAAGGATATTTCGATCAGCTTTGCGAAAAGCAAAGGCTTACCATGATCAGCTAGTTGCCAAGTAGCGCAGCCCTACATTTTGAACTGAACAGAAGCCTGTTATAAGTATTGAGCCTGTCAATGGCTACGCCATGGCCCTAGGTGAAGTGAATTCGGCTTTGCGCCATATCAAGCGTATCAAATACTCAAGATGCATTACATGCAAGAATAATAAAAACATATGAATATACACCAGAATGTCGCTCTTGAATAACGGTAAGAGTCATCCGTAACGGCCTGTAACTGTAAATGTGACACTTCCACGATGCTCAAAGACTGAGGATAGCTTTGATAAGGAAGATAGTATACTTGCATTGCTTGTTACTGCTCAAATATATGAAAACCACGGCGTAATCTAGACGCCTTTGTGCCGTGTTTTTTCACGTTAAAAGCTGTTTTAGACTGTTAGAATAGCACCCAATATTTACTCTCACCATGCATTTACTTCTTGGTGTCTTTGCTCAACTTTTTTGGGTTCGTCGAAAATCGACTCCAAACCATGAGGGATACCTCATGATTTTCATCGAAAATCAAATGATCATTATTTTCACCTTCAAAATGAAGACTTTTACCATGATATATACTAAATCAAAATTTTTTTTTTGTATTTAAAGTTGATATATACTAAATCAAAATGTTTCTCTCGATCCAAAGCAACCCCTGAAGCTTTGTTTATGAGACTTTCATATGTAAACTCTCGACATTTTTGACATAATTGTTATTTCATATTTTTAAATAGTGCTCGATAAGTTTGTTCAAAGTATTTCTTTTAATCAGCACCATTGGATGCGCCTTAAAAAGCACTCCAAGGAAACTTAAAGAAGCATTGGATGATTATCATATTTTATATAGTCGAATCTGCTAAAATAGTTCGATCGAGTCGAAGATCACCAAGATTTGGCCAATCTAGAACGGACTATGAGTCTGCGGTTGAATTAATTCTGACTTATGGAGCCGGCTGGCAAACTCATGCCCTTCTAATCATGAAGGTAATACAGTAATAGATGCTTTTGAAGCGTATGAAAAGTAGATGGAAAATTACATACCGCTATTGTTAGTCATGCTATTTTTTCTTGCGTTCTATATTTAATAGCCCCAGTCTATCAAATTACTTGTCAGATCAACTTCTTTCCTTTTTGAGGCTTTGAAAGTGTCTAGGGACTGAACATATATTATGTTATGATGGTATGTTTGATGGATACGTTCAATAGTGCAAGTTGCTCATCATATGTAATGCGAATTCTCACACGAAATACGAAATAAACACCAAATAGCCATAGTCGATGGTAGAAGCGGTGTAATGTAATTATATGAAACTGAATCTCTGGTGATTTCTGTGGATGGATTGCTATAAAAGGGTTTAGTGTGTGCGTGGGGCTCGACAAGCATTGGGCGTGATGGTGTATATGTGTATGTTGGATGGAACTGTATAAAGCTGTGATACTTGTCTGATGAATACAGTTGCACATGCCAATTACGTAACTTATTCACATAATACAGTAGAATAAAGATACGTGTTCCATGTGTATACTACACAGCATGCTTGATTGATGTTTTGTAAACAACGTATCCTGTTTTTTAATAGCTGTGCTACAAGACACACCAATCCACTAGAGTTATCCATTGCCATACATTTATTTATATATAATCAACAGTTTGTGTCCTTGAAACTCTTGTTATATGATCAATAAAAAGTACGCCAACCCACTTGCATGTTTGATACCAGTCAAGTACAAGATGAGATGCTACTAATTTGTCTAAATTAGATGAGAGGAATCTGCCAATACACAATATTACACCTAATGACTTGAGTGCAACAAATACACCCTCTAAGCACTGTTCATGATGACATCTGATGATAATCGTGATTTATTTTTGCCATTACAAAAAGATAGAATTAGTTTCTTGTGCTCTGGACCTCTCTTCAATCTCTCAATGACAGCTGTCTGTGGTATTTGTGTCTCCAATGCTGTGGAAGAAAATTGCTACATCTTCATGCCTGGATGTGGACATGTATTTGATAGAGCTTGGTAAGACCAAAGACTTGCTGGTTACAAAATCCAACTGCTGAAAGTCTGAAATAGCATCATGAATAGCTTGGGTGTTGAGTATACGTGTCCCAAATGCAAAAGCAACTACCTGCTTCCTTCGCCCTGTAGACCATTTCAACTTGCTGGCAGCGCGAGTTTTATCGAACACAAAGAGCTCCATAAGCATCTCATGCATGCAAACTGTACCATCACTCAACTGAAAGATGAGCTAGAAAAGACCTACGAGGACTTGAGCGTAGAACAACGCAGCAGAAAAAAGAGCAGCGAGTCCCCCATTGACCTCAATCAGCAACTAGTCGCATTACAAGAAAAGTATAACAACTTGAATTCCAACGAAATAGGTCGCTTGGCTGTTGCTGCGATATCTGAGGAGGAAGCATTTATTACCGTTGATCTAGGATCATCTGATATCCAAGCTACATCAAGACCTAGGAATCCAGTGCCAGCAAAAGAACCTGCCAAAATATGCGAAGAAAACATTGCGTACCTGCAATTACAAGACGACAAAATCAAAGCTGCTCGTTCATTACAATGCTCGAATTCAGGAACTGGAAGCTAAACTGCCAAATGCGCAAGGAGATCAAAAGCAATCAATGAAACAGCATCTCAAAATGAATTGTGAAAGCAAGGCGATTGTAGAAAAGCTGCACACGTTACGGTATACCTCGCTCAAGGCAGCAGCAAACATTGAAGGTTCACAATCTCAAGCAGATAACAATGTAGTGAAGCAAAACGTTGTCATTTCGAAGCTCAGTGCTTCTATCAAAAAGGCCAAAGAGATGTATGACGTTTCCATAAAGAAGAAGCAAGGTAACATCAAAGTTTATGTTGACAAAATCTTCGAATTGGAGCAGACGTTTATCAGACATTTCTAATTTCCAGCTATTAAAAACAACATACCAAGAACACGATAAACGGCTCCCAGACGATAACCAGATGTATGCTTATTCTACGGTCTCAAAAAAAAGCTCAAAAAGGTCAAAGCAAAGCGTGCTATGCTCAACAGGATCAACAGGGCTATGAAGCGAGAGAAACTACAGGAAAAATTAGAACATGTATTGACACAAAGCAGAATATATCGTGACAAAATTGACCCGCATGCAACTATTATTGAGCTAGCTGAGCAAATGAATCAACAGCTGGAAGCATTCTTGAATGAATAATGTTTATTGCTAGCATTAATCATTAAATAAATACCACAATCATAGTATTCTTTCAGAGACCATGTGTTTATTATTATTGCTAGTAATAGTTGGATGGGAGATTAATCAAGGAGTAGAAAGTAGTTTATAGGTGATATGTTAATATGTTAATATGTACAAAAAAAATACGCATGATGTGCTAGGGCGATATTATACATGTTTAAAAACCTGAGAGGTGTCTAATGGTATCTGATAATACTGGGATTGATGCGACAATGACACCTAGCGTACCAAAAATAGCAAAGGCAATAGATGCCGTGCCACTAGCAATAGGATTTTTACTAATGAGATAAGCTGTGCCCACGCCATGAGAGCAACAGCCCATGGAGATGCCAATAGTTACATGATCATCTATAGGAAATGTATTAGCATACCTTCATTATAAAAGTGTTTCTCACCATATTACCATCTCGAACACGGGCAAGTTTCAATAAATATGGGCCAAAGAGAGGGCCCATGATACCAGTAAATACAATGATACAAGTTACTACACTCTCATCAGCACCAAGCACCTTGCCAATTACGATACCAATAGCAGTTGTCACTGATCTTGAAGCCCACACCAAACTATCAGCTGGTGTACATCCAATACCGCGAGCAAACAAAGGGGTGACAAACATGATGAGAAACGCCATGGGAGCAATAGATAGCACGATGATGAGCCACTGTAAGCCACATTTAGTTACTTGGTATATACATCGATTAGCAGTAAACTTACCTCGCGCAATGATCCAGGTCTACTTTTATACACATTGAAAGCCAAAGAGATGATGGAAACATCCATGGCCGCACCTAAAATATCGCCACCACCCGGCCAGCCAACATTGGTCTTTTCTACGAGTGAAATAAATGTAATGCCGGTCTTGTACAGATTTACGCCATGCTTGATATCGAATCCTTTGACTCGTTCAAAATAGGCAATACCAGCCATTGTGCAAGCAGACGTCAAAATAATGGGATGAATGATAATTCTCAATCTGGCCGGTAAACGACGCGAAGCTGAGTACAACAGCAGTGTCATGGTGAAATACAAAAAGAGTCGAAAGAATGGCATTGCTGGGTTGTCTTCTGGCAAGGGCAAAAAAATAAAAGCGCACAAGCTAAAGATGATGAACAAGGTGAGGTCGTCAAATGTTGATTGTTGCATGCACCATAAAGCAAATGAGTGGAGTGGACCATGTTTCTTTGGCCTTGTTGAATTGATCGGTTCGTAGAAAGCGTTGCTATTGCCTGAGCAGCACTCTGCTATACCATCGCCGACAACAGCATTGCTTGAGCTACCCATGTGATCTGCTCTGAGAGATGCGGATGACGGAGAATGATTGAGTGTACTAGCGCAAGAAGCAGCGTCGTCGTCTGAAAGAGGTCGAATGGGTGTATCGAAAGTAACAACAGAAGAGACTCTATTCAGATAAGCGCTGCCTGGCATACCAATCTCCACATCTTCTTCGTCCAGTGTTCTATTTCGATGCATCTTGGTTTTCTCAGTATAGCTGCTAAGCTCCATAGGTGCTGCTAAATCACCCACATCTACATCAAGGTCCTTCTTTTTATGTTTTATCGAAAAAGGGGTAAATAGCACAAGGCGTAGTCCACGAACTATAAATGTACACAATACGAAGCCAATAACATAGGCAACGACTAGTAGGTGAAATGTTAGACGATATGTATACAACCCCAATGCTATAGATCAGACACTTACGAAACACACAAATCATTCTGCCCACTTCATCTCCAGTAGTAGGTGGATTATTGACGATCTCTACTACAGCAGGCACAAACATGATGTTCATGCTTCTTAGCGCAAAGGACGAATATGGATCAATAAATAGCACTAGTTTATCTGTGAATTTGGGACATGCTGTATGGGAACACATGAGCAGAAAGAACAAGACAATCATGCCAGCAACATTGGATGGGAATCTGTGCATATTTGGCATTTGTTGTAGGACTGCACTGACAGCCCAATTGTACATGAGGCCAATACCAAAATATAGAATGTTGCACCCCCATCGAATAGCGTCTTTCTTTATGCTGGGCAATGTTTTGACATAATCTGGCACTTGCTGGCCAAAGAATCTTCGAGTGGCTCCAGAGATTTGATCCGCTTCTCGGTTCAATTTTCTTAGATATATATTCGATGGCATGATGGTATATATGATATATAGAAAAGGTAAAAAAAGAGATGCAAAAGAAGCAAAGAAGAAGAGCAAGAAGAAGCTTTTTTGAAAGGCAATACATATCGGAGTAGGCAAATGAAAAAATGCGATATCAGCAGAGATATTATCTATAGAGTTGGATTGATACGGCATCTCCGGGTTTTACGGGTTGGGATTTAGTTTTGCTTTTCTATTTCTGCACCAGTGGATTGTATCTCATGATACACTGGTATATTGAATATATATAAGCAGGCAAAGACTTGTCTAAATGCACGATATATACAAATAGAGTGTCTGTGCACACTAAAAATTTTAATTTATCACTGATGCTTTTTGACAGCACTCACCAACACACACAAGTATACCCGTCTAAACAGGTTTGTGGATTAAAATGGCTTAGATCTGCTTTGAGTCACAACAACAACCAATGATGGCATATAATGAGAAATATAATTTTGCTTAATTTGGGATTATGTCATATGGCAGTGTCCATCTGCACCAAGTCTAACTATACAAGATGGTCCAACTTTTTGAAAATCCAGGTATATTTGTAAATCAAGATAGTATATTTTTATATCTTTAGAGTGTATTGGATCGCTGCACTTTGCTCAAGGTAGGCACAGCAAAAGGCGATGCATATGCCATTTTAGAATTCTAAACATCTACATGAATCACGCTTTTTTTTTTCTACACTTGACAATGGCGTCTTAATCCGACGTTTTCCTGAACATTTGCATAAACTCACAATTAAAAAGATAGCAAGGAACACCCGCACCTCTAGTAAAAACTGCTCGTCTAGACTACCTTCATAATTGATAAATGTTAGAAGAGGTGGGAAACTTCACCTTGAATATTCGTACGCTGTCAAAAGGGAATCACAAAGTTATGTTTCAACATGGAAATCAAACATCACATGTTACATTAACATTCCTTATTAGGGTTTTTGATAAACCAAATATGGGGCTTTTTGATCTTATCGGCCAATCTTATAGATGAGATCCCTCAGGAGTCAAAAAATCCAGAGCTCTCCAGTAGGAATATCCCATTGACGAATTACAACACATATTGAGTGAGAAAGCCATAGTGGCTACAGTAAGTCTGATTGATGCTTGTGTGGCGATAGCATTAAGCCTTTGACATTGTTGCACTTAATTGATGCAAATGTAAACCTACATAATGGTGTTATAAATTAGTGATATATGTATATTAAGCTATATAAAAATCGTTGAAAGCATGCATGTGAATCTACTGTCACTAGATATTATCAGTCCTCCTTACCAAGTGATGCAATTTATGTACTATTCACGCCATTTTGTTTGCTACTCTTGTGCTTTTCGCATGATTTTTTTTTTTTTTTTGGTTACAGTAACATTTACCACCAACCAGCAGCCAAATTTTAATTGACGTGCCGACATAGTTCTGCTCCAGATTGGCCAAATGTTGATAACTTTCGACTCGATTCATATATTTTTCCAAATTCGACTATGCAAATTGTGATAATTGCCCCAAACTTCCTTATGCTTTCTTGGTGTCCTTTTCAAGGCGCATCCAATGGTAATAATTAAAACAGGTGTTTTGAACAAACTTACAGAGCAATGGATAAAAATATGAAATAACGTTTATGGCCAAAATGTCGAAATTTCGCATATAAAGATCTCGTACACAAAATCTCAGAGGTTGCTTTGGATCGAGAAGAACATTTTGAGTTAGCATATGCCTTAATAAAAGCCTTCATTTTTGGTGTTAAAAACGCGATTGTTTAATTTTTGGCGAAAACCATGAGGGGTGTGCCTCATGGATTGGAGTCGATTTTCGACGATCCCAAAAAAAGTTGCTCAAAGATGTCAGTAAGCAGCCGCTAGGTGAGATCAACTGTTTGGTGCTATTTTGGCAGTCTAAAACAGCTTTCAACGCGAGAAAACACGACTCAATTGCATCCAATTTAGGCTGTATTTTGTATAGATTTGAGCAGCAAGAGGCAATACCAATATGTTGCTTGTCCGTATATGAAGTATCTACGTGTTTACAGATGTGGAACATCACATAAGAGTCAGATTCACAGGTAATATAGAGAGCTTTTATGTGTAAGTGGAGGGTTGAAATGAAATAGCAGTATTTTGATAAGATGAGCAAGGGTAATCGTTAGCGCGAGCTGCCACTGCGCAGCTTGGTTCTTACCGAAGTGAAGCAAAAGTAGAGAGCTATTCGAAGCATAAACACACTCGTATATATTAAAGTGAATAAAATGAGGAACTCGAATTTGAACAGGATATACTTTCCTTTAGGACACCGAGAAATATCTATGATCAACTCAAAAGTGCGTGTCTTACTCTTCTACGATGTTACGCGTTTGAATCAAAGTTGGTATTTCATATTCAAGCAAACGGCATAGCAGCACCGCCTCTTGCTGCTCAAATCTATACAAAATACAGCCTAAATTGGATGCAATTGAGTCGTGTTTTCTCGCGTTGAAAGCTGTTTTAGACTGCCAAAATAGCACCAAACAGTTGATCTCACCTAGCGGCTGCTTACTGACATCTTTGAGCAACTTTTTTTGGGATCGTCGAAAATCGACTCCAATCCATGAGGCACACCCCTCATGGTTTTCGCCAAAAATTAAACAATCGCGTTTTTAACACCAAAAATGAAGGCTTTTATTAAGGCATATGCTAACTCAAAATGTTCTTCTCGATCCAAAGCAACCTCTGAGATTTTGTGTACGAGATCTTTATATGCGAAATTTCGACATTTTGGCCATAAACGTTATTTCATATTTTTATCCATTGCTCTGTAAGTTTGTTCAAAACACCTGTTTTAATTATTACCATTGGATGCGCCTTGAAAAGGACACTAAGAAAGCATAAGGAAGTTTTTTTTGTAGGGGAGTCGAGCTCCAAGTTTTATTTAAAGTCCTTAAAATGTCATGCTGAGGGATAGAAAAGACTGTTGGTGGACCCAATGTCTGCAAAGAAGGGGAATAAGATATTTTTGAATTAAGTTGGGAAAGAAATCTACTACTAATAAGGTGCGACACCTAGAGCCAAAACAGTCTTGCGGAAATCGTCAAAATATAGATAATGGATAGAGTACAAAACACCAAACGAGGACATCAGTACTACTTCAAAAAATCAAACAACTTGCGTTCACCAGGATTTGAACCGGGGATCCTCCCGTTGGCATACGGGAGTTCTACCACTTCGCCCTACCACCAGGGACGCATAAGGAAGTTTTTTTTTTTTTTTTTTTTTTTTGTAGGGGAGACGAGCTCCAGTTTTTATTTAAAGTCCTGTAAATGTCGCTATGAGTGATAGACAAGACTGTTGGTGGACCCAATGTCAGTCATGATGGGGAATAAATTATGGAAAGGAAGTTGGGAAAGAAATCTACTACAAATAAGGTGGGCACTTAGAGCCAATACAATCATGCTAAGTTGTCATACAGAGATACTGGATAAGAGAACATTCACCAAACGAGGACATCAGTACGACCGTAAATAATTAATCAAAATGCGTTCACTGGGATTTGAACCGGGATCCTCCCGTTGGCATACGGGAGTTTTACCACTTCGCCCTACCACCAGGGGCTGTGCATAAGGAAGTTTGGGGCAATTATCACAATTTGTATAGTCGAACTTGGAAAAACATATGAATCGAGTCGAAAGTTATCAACATTTGACCAATCTGGAGCAGAACTATGTCGGCATTTAAATGTTTTTTGACGGCTAGTAGGGCAGGCTAGCAAACTCAATCATGAAGGCAATAATAGATACTTTTGAAGCCAATGGAAAATAGGTGGCGAATTACATAGTAATATCTCTATTTTCTTTTGAAGACTTGCATCTAATAATCCCAGTCCACCGAAATACTTATAAGATCAACGTCTTTCCTTTTCGAGGCTTTGAAAGTGTGTAGGGACTAAAAAATTATTACGTTATTATGATGATATAGGCTTCTCTAATTCCAATCCTTTGATGCTACTTGATCTTCGGACTTAGCATAAGCTATCTTGGCAAGGATCGATCTATATCGCTTTTCTGCATTCCTTGTGCGTTTTTCTATAGTTTCTCTAGTTAAAGATCGATTACAAAGATTGTTAAGGTATGACAACACATAGTAAAGCACTTTTAAGTATTTATTAGTATCGCATGAATTCAGATGACTGCATTGGGTCATGCCGTTTTGAAAGAAAGCTCCTACAAAATTATTCAGGCAAAAGATTTGTACTACTATTTAGTTACATGGAATCCAGGTATTCTTCGAAGAAGCACATTTATGCTTTTAGAGTTAATTATCAGAAGAGATGGACTATTCCAAGCAGATGAAGCAAACTCTATAAATAAGATATCGTTTAGCATTTCTGAGTGGAAGCTTTCTAAAATTATTTACACGATGGAAGCGATGGATTTTCATATCTCACGACATATTGCTTATTGGATCATAGTGTCTTCATTGAGGGATGATATGAAACATGGCAATTCATTTCTCACCGTTGATCGCTATGAGAAAATCATGACACTATTTGCAAGTGAAATACTCTTCATTGAGATCAACATGTAGCTGGATTCATAAATAAACAGCACTATCATGTACCTGCTTCTTGAGTGCATGTGCGTACAAATCAAACCAGTATTTACCAAAGCACTGGCTCCTGAATGATAGACGTGCATGGCCATATAGGGGCCAGTGCATACATGGAATCATCTGGTATCAGCAGCATGAAATTACTTCCATAGAGTTGTATTATTCCCAAGGAGAGCGCTATATAGCACTCAAAGAATATGCGTATATGCGCGCTGATTGATATTTTGCCACGACTCCTATTGATGGTTTATGATAATGTAAATCTAGTTACCTTGGAACTACAACAGCGATGATAGGGGTATGAATATCAATTTTTCCTCAGCGATCATATCCGCCGATCCTCTTCTCAACTATAAAATGGGTCTAGATCGATGCCAGTGATGTACAACAACACGCAATTTATATCCAACAATATGAGTTGTTATGTTTCTGATTGATCTCCTGGGAAGGTGGGAAACAAAGGGTGCAGAAAGGAGAAGGGTGCATAGGGGGGACGTGAATTGCAAATCAAGGGGAGATGATAATATACACAATATTTATAGTTTTCCTGTAGCGATCTGTTTGATAACAGCAATTGTATTGAGATTTGTTGAGACAACAGCCATGTCAACTTGAGTGGTATCGTTCTGTGTTCATGCGTCTGTGCGCCCTTGAAGTGTTTGACAAGGGTACCACAAATGTATGCATATTACAAATAATAAAGCATGAATCTGTCAAACACATTACTATTGTTGATTTTTTTTTTATTTTGTTATTATCACATATTAGTTAAAAAAAAATATTTTGTACGAGATTTGAAGGAGTAAGATGAGGGATAAGGGGGGGGGGATAGATAATTATGTATCAAATGATTAAAATTTATACATGTATATAAAAAAAGTTGAAATGAATGAGAGTGAGAATTTAGAGAAGAGCGGCAACGGCACCGACAACAGCGACAGCAGACAACACTTGGGGAAGGGTCTTGCCAGCAGCAGATGTAGCGAGTTGTTCCTTGGCAGAAACAGCCTCCTTGACAGAGGCAGAGGCAGCAGCAATCTTGGATTCATCAGCAGAGGCAGAGGCAACAGCAATCTTGGAGTCGTCAGTAGAGGCAGCAGCAACAGGGGCAGATGATCCAGAAACTTCAGTAGCCTTGGAGGCCATCTTGAGTTGAGATCTGAGAGACTTCTCCTTCAATTGGACCCATTCAAGAAGACCGAATTGAGCACCACCGGTGGAAGAGGCATTAGGTCCAGGAGCAGTGACGGCCTCGTACAAGTTTTCAGTGGTTTGCTCAGCGGTCCAGCCAAAGATGTTACCAGGAGATCTTTGCTTGATAGAACGATCCCATTCAAGATCAGGGTAGATGAAGTTATGGCGAGCTTCGACATAAGCCTTGAGAGTATCATAGTTGAAGATTTCCTCGACGGTGGTCTTCAAGTAGTTTTGGAAAGTGTCGTTAACAGTGGGGTTGGAGAGGAACTTGTTGATCAAGAAGGCGTTAGGGAATTGCTTGACCCAGTCTTGGAATGACTTGTTGACAAAGTCCTTATCGAAAGGAAGGTTGACACCGAAAGTAGCATCGAAATCTTGAGCAAGATAGTACAATTTGTTTTCGTTGGTATCAATGTAGGCACCATCGTTGGTTTGTTCTTGCCAGTAAGCATCCCAAGAACCAGTGAGGAATTCCATGACCATGAAACGAAGGAATTGATCGTAATCAAAGTATTGAGCAATGGCTTCGACTTCATCATCCTTGGAGAAATCGACAGCAGCGATGGCCTTGGCGAAAGGAGCAATGGCATCTTGGTCAAGAGGAGACTCTACGTTGGGAACAAAGTTATCGTAACCAGTGGCAGGGTTGAAGTCAGCACCGGAACCACCATCATAGAGGGGACCCATTTGCTCAGGGGCTTTACCACCATAGAACATGGCGTTAATGTAAGAATACATGATAACATCATCGAGCATGTTGAAGGTACCCATTCCCTCCTTGTTGATGAAGAAACGAACAAGATTGGCTTCATTGGCATATGTACCAATGTTGCGAGCAATATCAGCATAGAGCTTTTCACGGAGTTGAGTGGGATCTTCTTCCATGTGTCTGATCTTGAACCAGTTACGGTCAGCATAAAAGGTATCTTCAGGGAGAGACCAGACCCAAGATTGTTTGGCATCGTTGTTCTTACGACCAGGTCTGTGGAGACCAAAAACACAGTTCTATAGAATATGATGTTAGGTGAGATGAAATGACACAGAGCAAGCATCAACTTACCTCGATAGACTTTACGGAATCAGGGCCAATGAAAGTGATCTTGGCCTTGTAGGTAGTCTTGGGAACATTTTCAATCAAATCCTCCATCTCGGACTCTACACCAGTGACAAAGATGGAAGGAATATAGTTTGAATCCCAAATAGGATCAGATGTAGAGCCACGGGTCCAAGAACCGTTTGAGAGGATGCTAGGTAATTCGGGAATATTGGTAGCATAGGTCACTTCACGCTCAAAGAATTCGTTCTTGGTAGCATCACCGCCAGAGAAAGAACGAGTAAAGTTTTCAGCCTTACCATCAACAACGTACTAAATTTGGACATGTCAATTTCAGATTGCAATTGCAACAGATGCGACATTGAATGCTTTACCTTGTAAGACGAGTTATCAGGCAAATCAGCAGAGCCAGTGTAGTAAGGGACATCAGCATCAGCAGCCTTTAAGGCGGTCAAAGTACCATCAATGTTGACTTGGACTTGCTTTGAAGCAGTAGGGGCAATGACCTTGAAGGTGACATTGGCAGCATTGACAGCGGATAAGAGTGCGACGGCGACAAAAGCGAGAGATTTCATGTTAGATAATAATTTCCGCTTCGTATAATAAAGTAAAAAAAAAAAAAAAACTAATGAAAAAGAAAAAGGAATTGAGATGCGGGAAATGCTAATTGTATTTATATGTGTTTTTTTTTTTTTTTTTGTTTATTTATTTGATTTTTATTATTAGGTTTATGAATCTCCCCTCGTGTACTAAAATAAGATATTTTCGCGGAGACTGAGAGCAAAGTAAAAAATGAAACTGTCGAGTAAATAAATATAGAATTCATTCCAAACTTTCGCTCTTCAAGAGGCACTCAAACCCAACAAAGAAATAGGAGTTTCAAGGCCATACCGATGAACCTCAATCATTGCCCCTTTTTTCCCCTCTTACAAGCACATCACATCGCACACTCCTCAATATGGGTATGTGTGTTGTGTACCCCATCCCAGCGACATCTGAGGACACGTGCTGTTGATATAAATGTAAAATGTAGAAAATGTCGAAACAGAAAACACCAAATCATCGACACTACATGTATTTATAGATACCATCAGTTTTTGGTTTGGTGCAAACTATTTTCGTATGAAGATGTATCCATTTCACTTATGAAAATGTGCTTGCAAAAGAGGGATTGATAGCCAACATGGCGTGTTTCATTGCAGAGAAAAAAGGTGCTTCGAAATTTATGAAACCAAACGTTACTTGAAAGTGCTCATCACTTTTTTGGACAATTCACAATATCATGCAAGGGAGAAAAAAAAAAAAAAAAAAAAAAAAAAAAAAAAAAAAAGTGACACAACAACATCACCATATACCATGGTAAAACGACAACAAACTTTTTTGCTTCATCTTAAGTTCGGAATAATAAAAAGGGGCAGCCCATCAAAGATGGCATCGCCTCGATTGAGCATTTGCCAGGAAAAAACACACTTGCAAAGCCAAGTGGAATATATTTTCGGGTGTTTTTAGTCGTAATGTAAACAGCAACACCATCATATCGTCATTTTCAACTAATAAATCCAAAAATAACTTTCTGTTGGTCAAAGCGGGTATAATCTCTCTCTGGTTGACCTTTCAACTTTGTTTCAAAATTCGCTTGGCATTTTCAACGTCTAATGTGTTTTCACATCTTCTCTTTTTTTCTGTGCAGTCAAGATTTGAGTTTACCAACTTTTCTAGCATCGAATGCTATAAAGAGGAGGGAGGTGTATCTGCGTGTCATTGCAATTGCATTACATGTCAAGGGTAATAGTTGAATCGACATCTGGCTTTCAATGCTATTTCGACGTACAAAGAAATAGCATAGGGTTTGTGTAATGTTGCGTGTATTTTCAATGCGCATGTGAGCGCTCGAATAACAAGTACCATACTATTCCCTGGCTATAAGGATATTAGGGAATGGAGACTGAGTTTGCGGTGAACTCTGTACCAAAACTTTTTTTTTCCTCTACTAGGATAGCATAGAAAAATAAAACGCTTTCTCGGTTTCCATCACTCACATCCCATACGATATACCTTCTATTCACACTTGAATCGTTTATTGGCTATCCATATTTCAATCAAAAGACATATCTCATCATTATATCTATCGTAATAAACAAGACAACCTCTCACTCTAACTTCCGTATACCCGTTTACCCCTTTTTGAATATATTTGATAACAAAATCATGGATCGAAAATCACGTACATCTCGCTCTGCAAACCTGGATGATACAAATGAAGAAGTCAACCTGTGGAAACAGATATGCATTGCGCTTGCAAAGCTGGAGCATGTACAAAAAGATACAGCCAACGTTGTAACTGGCATCAATAACATTCACACAGCTGTGAATATGGAGCAAGGTAAATATTCACATCATATATGCAATGTAAATGGAATTGATCATGATTAAACACAACGTCTTTATATATATAGGCATACCAACTGTTGTTGGTAATAAGCTCATGGACTTTTACCGAGGTGGTATAGACTTGTCAAACAGTGAATCAAAGTAGGTACTCTTGTATATTTGATTTGAAATTTCTAATTTTACATAATGTGTCATCTTAGAATCATCCACGATATTATAGAAAAGGTATCTGTTCTCATTGCGTTACGAGATGCATCGGAATACAATCATGGTGAGTTGATTCATCAGTTCATATTTTCTAGATTCATGCAAACTAATTATCGTATCAGTCATTGATGGAAAACGAAAAAAAAGGAAAGCTGATAACGGAGACGACTCATCATCATCGGCTGCTTCAGGCACTCACTCTGTTTCATCCAAGAGATCTAAAACGTAATAACCACATAAGTATACGAACCCTATTTCCTCGAAAAGCTGATCTCTTTATGCTAGACACCACAATCTCCTGACACATGGAACATCTGTTGCTGCCAGGCAGCCCAAGCAAAAGGATAAGAATGAAGAGTGGATTCTTGCAGTGGTCATTAGCTACAACCACGATAAGAACAGGTAAAACTACACCTATAGGTTCAACTCAATCGCTCAACCAGATGCATGTATAAATAGATATGAGGTGGAAGACGTAGATCAGGACGAATTTGGCCAAAAACAGTAAATATGTGATTAGTCTTGTATTTGGCATTATAAATAACAATTGACGTATAGACGCTACATGTTACAGCCCCGAAATGTGATTCCTATCCCGAATGTCGATGAAGCTAAAGGCTTGACTGAAATCAACACGGGGCAGGATGTATTAGCACTTTACCCGGGAACCACTTGTTTTTATAGAGCTAAAGTAGCTGCTCCACCCTCCAAGGTGAGTTTAGTCAATGTTTTTCAATGACGGATAGGTATTCATCAGGTCTATTTCCATAAAGAACAAAGACATGAGCTACGGTGGGAATTATAAAGTGCAATTCGAGGATGATAACAATGAGTACAAATACGTTATGCCAGGGCACGTTTTAGAGGTGCCAAAAGTCAAATAGGAAATTCCGCTTTAGTGAACTGTCAGTGTTATTTTTAGATTTTTAAATAAAATGAAAATATCTAAATATGTGATTAGAATCGAACAAGGTGGGTTTTCATGTGGGTCCATATTTGCATGTGTATATATCGACTCTTGAATTGCTTTCATCAGGCCATTTTTTTTTGTCTGCCGTGTTTTCCATGTGCGTTGTCATGGTAACGATCAACAGATGTCTGTGCGCTTGCTTGATTGTACATGTATGCTTAATTTATGCTATTTGACATGATCAGATGCTATAGCATTGCGCATTTTGTGGACTAGCGTATCACTTTTAAGCACTCTAATACATAAACATGCACCGTGGAGGTTGCCATTTAGTCGACAAAAGCCACACATCTTGTTGGGGGTAAAGAGGGAAAGGGGAGCGATGGGAAATCATAACATTCGCATACTGCATATGGCAACCCAACGATCTGGTTTTACAATTCGTACCATGTCGTACTCACAATCAGTGTCTTGTTCCCGGCCCCGCGACTCTCTTTATGATATATTCATGATACCAGAACTTTATGACATAAAAGTATACTCACCGCATTCAATGTGGTATGCATTTAGTGCCATGAACATTAGCACGAGCTTTAGCTCGAATCATTCTTTTGCCTTGTTGAGATTAAGAAGGTATGTAGATTCAATTTGAAACAAAAAATGCCTCACAATCCCTTCCAGATGAATGCTACGCATCGCCGTTCGAATCACGCACATCAAAATGTTCAGCAAAATATGCGCTCAAACCATGGTATTTGCGAATTACCAAAGTATACCAATGGCGATATATTGTATGACGAGGGTATTGGTAAGCATTGCAGCTAATCATCTAACTTTCCCCCCAAAAAAAGTGGGTGAAAGTTGCTTTATTTAAAAAAAGAATACAGAAGTATTCTATTTCCTTGATTGAGGCACAGGTGTCCTTTGTTCCAAGCATAGAAAACCCTGCTATCAACTACAAGGTTATTGCCAAGACTTTTAGCAGCAGGCAATCTCCCATGTATATCATTCGCTAGTAATATAATTAGAAAAATGCTGGAATAGTGGGGTCCAGCGCTGTCTTGATGTCAATGCATATGTAGTTTCACTCAAAAGATGTTATACCCTCGCGTTCCTGATGTCTTGGTTTAATGTGAAGGAGGGACGCGGAGGAGAACATCCATAATCATGTATCATGATTAAAGGGCCAACATTTCAGCCAAACAAATCCAGCCTACCATATCAAAGCATATAGCATTGACACAGGCATTTGTAGACAGGGGTTACATCAGAATGAGCGACTTTAATTTAGCATGAGTATACAATTTGCAAGCGTATTGAATTCATGCTAATAAGGTTCTACTTACTGAAAGCTGCCAAATCAAGGGAGAAGCGTGTAATTCAAATGATTGTGCTTGTCGATCTAATTTATAGTTGATGTTTGACCAGCACATAGTTGGGCTAATTGAAAGTAGTATTGATTTACATCAGACAGAGCTAGCGATGGCTTAAATTCGAGCAGCATGAAATGCATACTCCTGAAGTTCATGAAATTATACAAACTCCATTAAAATGGTATGCAGCGCAGCTTATTGAATCATTCACAGCAATTACCTGTATGCAACCTAATTGACAATCCAGCAGACAATCACCAAAGCACACTAGTACCACAGCTTTCTTTGTATACAGTGCTCCAGACTTATTAGAGCGAGGGAAATTTGAATGCTGCCCAACGCCGATTTTATACCACTATTACGCAAACAAACAATCGACAAAACCACATGTAATGGCAGTGATGTTGACTGACCAGGACACAAGGGTCATGTACATGACCAATAAATTTACTCTGAAGCCTCCCTTTTACGATGAAATCAGAGGAATTGAGTTGGTGAATAGATGCTCACTCCTTGTATTTTATTTTTCACCCCTTGTTTTCTTTGTCTCAAAGACGCCCCCTTATTCTCATTTTCGTATAATAATCATGCATTCATTCAAAATTCTCTTCTTTACTCTTGCTCTTTGCTTTTTGTAAACATGAAAGAGCAAAATAGCTTCATTCAGTACAATTCTACATCTGCAAATCACCTATTCAAACGAAAATGCCACCAAAAGCCTGTCCAAAAACCGGCAGAGGAGGTTCAGCCGTACAATGTTGTTATCAACAGATCATCATCCAACCTGACAATGAGTACCTTGGAAAGTTACAGCCTTTCCGATGACGAGGACGAAGAGGACGATGAGAATGACTTTACGCCCACCCCCTCCACGTCTTCCTGCACACTGAAATGCGCCAACAAAGAGGAGCCATGGCGCCTGAATCCGCTACATTTCAATGGTGACGAGTACTTTTTCCAAGATCGAGATGAAAAACATCAGATGGATGATACTAGCAACTGTTCTATATGCATTGAAAGGTACATATAAGAAATTTTCTAAATTGATAGCAAATGCTACGGTCCGTAATTAACCAAATGACGCTGACATACAGAGATTCATATGGTTTCAAGCGGCCTACACAATGGGTGAAGCTCAAACACTTGCATCAATTTGATACGTATTATCAACCCATTTTGGACAAGCAACAGCTGAAATGGAAGAGAATGATTCAGAATGGATGGCCATCTGTGGATTCAATAAAACGTAATATATTAATGCTTGTTCGCGCCTAATTGGCAGTTTCAGACGATGCTCACAGATGTTATTAGTAAAAAGATATGCTCGACATGGTATACCCAGTGAATTTAGAGGCGAGGTATGTATAGCTATAGATATATCAATCCAAAGATACAGTGCTCTGATGCAGACGCATAACAGGCTTGGCTACATTACAGTGGGGCCAAATCAAAGATGGAAGCAAATCCAGAACTCTATCCAGCCTTGGTTCAGACTGCCATGCAGATGGGCGAGAACAACGAGCATGCTGAAATCATCCAGCGAGGTAGAGTATTCCATAATTCACTTTGGGTTTGTGTGGAAGGTTCTCAACCCTCTTCAAAAGATCTTCATCGCACATTTCCCGACAATTCAAAGTTTGCATGTATCACCTATCACAACAGCACCACAATGGTAGAGACCGAGAGCAATTCTAAACTGCAATCACTGCGTCGCATTTTACTGGCGTTTAGCCTGCACTCGCCTCAAATTGGGTACTGTCAATCACTCAACTATCTGGCTGGATTCTTCTTGTTGTTTTGCAAGACAGAGCAGGAGGCATTTTGGATGCTGGTCACCACGGTGCACGATTATTTACCCGAAAACATGTACGATGTCACCATGGAAGGCGCAAATATAGATCAATCCGTCTTGATGATGTTGGTTTACGAGCATCTTCCCGAGGTTTGGAGTAAAATCTCGGTCTCGTCTGGCTACTTTTGGGAGGATAATAACAAGAAGAGGGGATTGCCGCCGATTACACTAGTGACAAATCATTGGTTTCTGACCATGTTTATTAACATATTACCTATTGAGGTAAAAGCACTGAAACATTGTGGAGGATCTGCAATATAATTAATCACTGTTTAATATAGACTGTGCTTCGAATTTGGGATTGTTTCTTTATGTGAGTGTTAAAAGCCAGTATCATGAAGGAAATACTTACTCTGTCTATTATAGTGAAGGGTACTCTATCATGTTCCAAACAGCATTGACCATCATTAAAATGAACAGTGAAAAGATTGCTACATTGGAAGATTCGATTGAAATATTTCAAGTGCTGCAAAACATGCCAAGGAGATTGATCGACTGCCATCAATTTATGAATGTAAGCCTATAGGCCATGATATCATCTTTTGTGTTTCTAATCATTGAACAGAACGTGTTTTCAGCCGAGAATTCTTATTCCAATCTTGATGCTATTCAAATAGCCCAAAGAAGAGAATTTTTGAAGGATCAACACTGTAAATAATATATATAGCCTGTAGTTTCAAAAACAGAAATAAACAAACAATCATGTGTGTACATAAATACTGTATGTGTACCCACTGTGTGTGTGTGCGTGTGTGTATATTTCTGGGCTGAGAAAGTGGAAGTGATGATATATTTGCTTTCTTTTTCTCCAGATATAATCGACGAGATGAGCAAGCTATCGAAAACACCGCCTTTGAAAATTGTCCATGTTAAATATATATCTCAAGGTACGAGATTTCACAATGTACGCTGCCTTGAGATAGACTGATCGCCTGGTAGTTCAGACACATATAAACGATCCCCTATTATTCCGCAACAAAGGAGCCAGTAAAAAGATACGACAGGAGCTCGCATTATTGAAACAACTTGCCCACATGGAACTTGTACTAGAAAAGATCCACCGACTCGATATATGGAAATCCAAAGTACAAGTGCCAAGCAAAACCTTGCGAGTAATGGAAGCTTCTATTTTGTATAGTATAATCAGATTAACCATTTGGATTATTAGGACCTGCATCAAACAGTGCTGCAAATCCAAGTGGATATTCAGAATAGCAGAGGCATTCTCGACACTTTGCCTGAAACAACCGTAAAGCAAATATATCCGCGTGCTTCACAATTACTATTTCATGATTCGGATGAAATTCGCACTCTATCCAACAGCAACGGCAGCCAATTGTCACCTATTCAGCATTTAGATCAATTATATGTTACTGCATCACGACTGTATCACGATCTGAACCATTTGCAAAACCTCAAATACATTGCCTATCAATTGGCGCTGCTTTACGTACGTGTTTATAACTTCGTTTACACTGCAAAATGGATGCTGAAATAGGTCGCAACTTTTACAGCAATGTGTGAATAGGCAAGGCATTTCGTTCGTAAGCTACAAGATGCGAATTGAACAGAGATTCGATGAAATCAAGTTAGCTACAAAATTGGAGCCAGTATACCTTGATCCTGGGCAAAAAGCTTGGTATGGAAAACATCTGATGTTCTGAAATGCATATTAATGTATGCCGTATGTTTAGGTTACGTGAGTTAGCCTTGGATATCATTACTCAAGCAACAGACACATCAAGCATCATCAAGTGCGGTGGACAACTATTCAACACCGTGCAACAAATAAGTATTTAGATAGTATAAAGTACTATCTGCTTACTATTTATACCAAAACTTGTTAGTTTAATTTCAATAAAGGTGACATTCAGCTCATTGATGTTGACTGAACAAAATGATAGTACTTTTGATGCGCATTGTACAGCCTGTATATACCAGAAGCCTAATTTTCATATTTTCAAGAGTAAATCTGTACCAACCCATCTCTAATACAACACGCCGTGCCAAGCTAAAAATTACCTATCGTTTGAAGTCTTACTCAAATCCATAGTATCAGTTCCTATGGCTCTACAGTGCCCAGTAGATTAGCCCCTGCAGAAGTGTCGAAGAACGATCGCTCACGGCTTGCATTTGATAATGCAATTTTTAAGCAGGGGAATATACATACTTTAAATTAGAAAAGTTATTATTCTTGAATAAAGCAAGCTACAGTTGTCTAGTCTTGACAGAAAAAATTTTCAACATGTCAAGTATCTATTGATAACTTAAAACCAACAAGTTAATATGGCCCTTTTCATACGCTCCAATTTTTAAAATGCTTGGTCAAATGCACACTTGTGAGGTGTACGCATGCGGAAAGTCAACGGAGCTTCAATTTCTAATATTCTGAATGATGATCTATGGGATTCCAAAAACTATCGACCTTAAGATTACGCGTTTCTTGATAGTAACCACCCCTTCAAACTTATATGAAGCTTGTAGAAAGTTCAAAGGAAAATACAATGGTATCCATATCATGTCTCTAGTGTACATTGTTCATCAGATATCTGGTGCGATTGTTTTTGCGATTTTTTTGACTGTTTTCAAAAGATTAATCGGTATCTGTCATCAAAACATTTTGTTAAGCATTACTAAACATTGTAAACCAAAAAATTTCCTATCGAATGAGCTATTGCTTGAAGCTCTGGCATGACTCTGTCATGAAATATTGAAAATATTGTCCTGACCAAAAAATCGTCAACAGATTTTTTGCTTGCTATCACACGTAGATTTTGAAGAAAAATCCATGATTTTGCATGATACTCTTTTTTGATCATATCTCGGCAAATACTCACTGGATTCGCACAAAGCAAAGACCATTCGATAACTCTACGTTATATCTATTATAATGTGAGGGTTTTAATTACCAGGTGTACGTTCCCTTCATACATTTGCTCAAAATCTTATATTTCATGAGCTATAAGCAGGGGATAATCAAAACTTTTTTATTATCCTACAATAACCATACCATCGTATAGAGAATTGAAAAAGAAACAAAAGCTACTAAGCTTTAGCCTTGCGTTCACTTAGTAAAATCCAGCGGTACAGTCCTTTGAAAATTGTTCATTTTTACTATCTTTCCTCATTACTCATGCACATTGTCCTCAATAACCTCAAGTCAAACATCCTCTACTCAACCAACGTATTCTCTACAACTTTTAATAGACATATGACCCAGGTTTATATACCAATCAAAAAGCTTTACTAACAGCATCTGTCCAAAATTTGCATATTTCTCAAATCTCCAATTCCTCATCATCAACGCATTCTATCTAAAATCTAATTGCACCATCATTTTCTACGCAAAAAACTGTCATAGTAACTTGCTACTTTCAAAGCTCTAGCTCGAATTTCCAAATCGAAATTCAGAGAAATTATGAGAGAAAAAAGAGAAAGTAAACCAAGCAGAGAAAAGCTATACGGTAACATTAGGTTTATTTGCAGCAGAGCGTACAGATTTTTTCCCTCAGGGACCTTTGTTTCTGTGGACAAAAAACCTTTTAAAAGAATAGCAATTAGTGATCGCGACGTGATGGGGCAATAGCAACAGGCCGAGAGGTACGGCATCAAATGAGAGGAAAGAGAAGAAACGTATGAAAGGATCATATTGATACATCCTAAAAGTGTAAGGGCATCAAAATTGAAAAGAAGGCGGTTGTTTATGACAAGCAACAAATTGAGACATTACAGCAGCAAGAGTAGCAACTGTACGTCAATTAAGCATCAAAGTCTTCTTCTCATGAAGGTGACGAACGTATTCAATCGTCGTGTAGACAGCACAAACTGAAAGTTTTTGATGTTTCTGTGACCAAAACAGAAATCTGTTATACTAGAATAGTGTTGAGCCAAATAATGACACTCTTCTTCAAGAAGATATATTTATTAACCTTTCATAATGATGGGGTCTACTCAAACAATGAGAAGCAATGTTATATACGATAAGATTGACTATTTGCTCGACAAATAATCGTATCATTACTAGCATGAGTGAGCAAAAGATTTCAATAGTGGTGCAAGCTTTAAAATGCGAGAACTCACTGCAACATTCGATATAACACGAAAAGCCTTTTAGCGTTGAGAGTACAGCCAGTCCATCCATTTTCTCTTCCTCTGCTTCATCTACTGATTGAGATTGCATAATATACGCACTAGCAGTGTTTGAGTATCTGATGAAGGAAAAGGGCCTGTGCTATTAACCTCGTTATTAGAACATGATTCGTCATGAAAACAATACCAAGTTAATTTAACTGTTTTCATCAATTCAGGTACTGCTTCGTCGTGTTATAAACATGTTAGTTCAAATGATTCAAAACTGGAAGCCAGGCGACATTGAAAATGGTACGGAGAAAGCATCGAAACTCGGTGATTATATCAAGGTACGATTGTCAAAATGCATAAATTACTGTATTACGACTTGGACTTGAAGTTAATTGTGTCAATGCAGATCTCAATTGAATAAAGCACCTTGGTTTGCTTATTGCTTGCTCTCTTGACAACAAAGTTTATGAAGGAAAAGCCATTTATACAATTTTAACTTACTTGGAAACCCTACAATTTGCGGTATTATTGCTACCCATGCCGGCTACTGAATTCAAGGAAAAATAGCCATCTTAGACATGAACTGAATGCCATTCAGCGATACCCAATATTCTAAAGTGTGTTATTCAACAAACAAGCACTGATTGTCTCCAAATGCACTAATTGCCATATATCGATCTTTCCACCACTGTCCCTTAAAATGGCCGTAGTACACAATAGATAATGTTTGTATGTTGTGCATGGTAAGGGTGCTGATATTATGTAGAGTTACAATATGATTTTAGCAAGAATTCCTTGGTTTGGTCATTTCTCCAAATATGTCATTGATATCATGGGACATGTGGCATTCAGTCTAGTGTTTGACAACCTTGTTTTCTTCTCTTTTGCATAAAATTTTTACGTTCGAAACGGACGAAAAAAATTATCTTTTTGTTTATAGAATCAACAAACTTTGTCGCAAATATACACTGGCTCCTTTCCCCACATGAAGCGCTTGATTCACTTACCTCTACCATATTGAATGACAGAACAGCAGAAAAAGAGAAGATCAAGATCGCCCTTTCCTCTGTTCCCCCCCCCCTTGAAATATGCGCTGTCTACTGCATAACAGAAATGACGCTCGTTTCGAGTTCGTTTTTGTATGTATCCATATGTGCGATATAGCAAGTATAGGGTGGGAAAAATGGACTGATGTATCCAATTCGGGAAAATATTGTTCAGGGATATAGTTGTCCTGTCTCGATTGGTTTGGTTCCTTTGTAAATGAGCATAAATTTGTTCCATCACATTGTTGTCCGACAGTTGTGTTTAACAAGATGTTGCTGATTAGCGTTGTTTTGATAAGAGCAGAGCGAAATAAATCCCCTTATTCGACACTTTTAGTGGGTGCATATGTTGTGTGTGTGTGTGTGGCTAGGAGGTTGTTGTTGTTATAGATGTGTGATATGAGGGTGCCCGGGTCTCCCTTTGGTGTGTGTATATATAGCTGTGATCATCTCCATCTCTTTTCATCTCTTCTCTTCATCTCTATATCCAAACTACTAAACAATGTCTCCTCCTCAAGAACCTATCCATATTGACTCTGCTTCGTACACATCTTCAGCGGATCTCCATTCCAAAGACGATGACTTCAAGCTGTCTGATCTTGTCCAATCTATCCATCATGTACTGGGCGATGAAGGCCTTGACTCTGAACGTATTGATGCACAAAAGATTATCCAGTTGATGGAGAAATATAGCTCGAATGCTCTTGACTGGAACCAATATACACTGTTTGATCATTCCAGAGCGTATACACGAAATTTGATTGACGATGGCAATGGCAAGGTGAGATGCAGCTGGTGATTATATCAACAGTGCTGAATAACTAACATTCTTTGTCTGCAATTTATAGTTCAATCTAATGATTTTAGCTTGGAGCAAAGGTCAGAAAAGGTGGGAAAAATCTATCACATACCTGCGTATAGGCTATCGTCACTAAACATTTGTTGTTTGTTTCTTTTTTAGTCCCATTCATGATCACTCAGGATCACATTGTGTTATGAAAATCCTTGACGGAGAATTGCAAGAAACTCTCTTCAATTGGCCATCATCAGGTGAGCAGCAAGACGAGGTTCCCGTATGTGCTGATATCACCGAGAGCTCGGCAGCACCCGCATCCAATACTGACCAACACTTGAATGGGCAACCATTGGCTATCTCCAAGAATACTGTGTATCAACCAAATCAAGTCACCTATGTACATGGTAAGGGTCATCACTGCCTAGTAAACAATACAGTCAGATAAGCTAATACGTAGTGCTACTAGATAACATTGGCTTACATCGTATCTCTAATCCAAGCACAGAGCGAGGCGCCGTATCTCTCCATTTATATACACCACCTTATCAAATGTGCAAGACATTTGAGGAAAACACTGGCAAAGCACGAAGTAGCGGTGTTTGTTCATTCTATTCCGTTAACGGTCAACGCATCCAAAAGTAAAGCGAAATGTCTGACCAACATGATATCAATAAAACATGAAATATAAAGAAAAGAGAGTGGAGAAAGAAAGGAAGCATTCCCTTTCTCCTTTTAACATGTAATAGCTTCATTTCTTAACCACTTGTATACTCGAGAGATGGTGAAATCGTCCGTACATCTCATTGGATAGTTACAACATGAAGTGCTCATTGCTTCCTGTTACACATTTTATTGAGTCTGTAATTTCATAATTTCATACCAGCGAATAATTTGCAGAGCTTTCCTTTCTTCCTGTGCTTGGGTTCAACTACTGGATTCACGGTCTTGTCTGTAGTGGCTTTTCCTTTCAATTCCTCTTGAACATTGGCCATTTGGTTTACTAGTTCATTCACCCTACTGATGATGGGAGCATTGGCTGCAGTCATGTCACATAGATCCTTCAAAACCTCGTAATGTTTTGTCAAAGCGTTCGTTTTCTTCATCAATTCATTGTATTTCTCTTTGTAAGCCTTATCGCAATCCTCTTCCAACGGAAGATACAGTGTACGGACATGTATATGACGATAGTTTTTTTGGCAAAGGGGACATTTAGTACTACCTGATAACAAGCATTCCTCGATGCTAAATCACAATGTTAGATTTTGTGCTAGAAAAAGCTATTCGAGAGTGCATACCATTGTTCTCCAAAGCAATGGCCGCAAGGCAATGCTACAATTGCAGTGTCGTTAGTCATGTCGTCTAGGCAAATACAGCAGATCAGGCTTGGATGCATGTTGTTTGTGTGGATTGGAGTAAAAAGGAATAATTCGTGTTTCAAACCTGCTATGATTTCATCCTTATATACAATGTTAGAATAAAGAGCATTCATACGCTGCTGATTGTGTCGATCTATAAAGAATTCATCTCGGTGTCAGGAGAACAATGAAGCATAGTGAGTGATACGTTATGGCAACATCAAGGCACATTGTTAGACGATGAGCTCACTGATTTCATACCTGTTGTCCTTGTAACCGGTTGTCAGACCAACAAGAAGCTTAGGCTCTGATGTGGATTGTCTCTGAGATATCTGGACCGGTATTCAAGCTCGTATGTATCCAAACGCTTCAATATCAAGCATGAAATATAAAAACTCTCGTTATCTGCTGACCAAATTACAGCAGTTTCACTGCAAGAGCCACACAACTACAGCTTTCAATAGGCAGAACACACAGATTGATAAATATTCGAATAGTATGTAACATTTCACTTGCATCTTATAGAAGCATCCATGGAGAATTACACAAAACTTAACCTTAGCAATGAATGATTATCATGTAGAAAGTATTGTATGACACACTTCAGTGTACAAATTAGATATTGTTGTTATTAGATTTGAAATTAATTAAATAGTATATATATAAATGAATATTATTCTGTTTTGGATATCATAAATCAAGCCCGTGTGTTTCATCAAGGAGTCAAAAGCTTGCTTAAGAGCTTGCAGCTCTATTTCTATCCTCAAATTCTAAACGCTTGTTAGGGCTGTTGTAGATGGTAGTAAGGATACTGAGAGGGAAGGCAATGCAGGTAACAAAGATGAGACCACGATCCATCTTGCCATCAGGATTACGGAGAGCGTCCATGACAGCCAAGATGATGAGGCCCAAGATTTGAGAACACATCCATAACAAGGAACTGGAGATAGCTTCACTGATGGGATAAGATGCTACAAAATAAAGTGTGAGTTACCATCAATGAACAGTGTAACATGCGTAAGCTTACATTCAACAGAAAGTTCAAGAGCAACTGGCAAGAGAGAAAAGGTAAAGAAACCCAAGAGAACACAAACTGCCATAATAGCATCGTACTTTCCGGTTTTAACTGATGAGAGAAAAAAAAAAAAGAGATGCATGTGAGTATTTTTCATGGAGAATACAGAAACCTCATCAACACTCTTACCAACAAAGTAAAAGGCCAAGTACAAGGCACCAATAATGGGAACATAGATTTTGATAACAATCTTGTGACGACCAGTCTTATCAATGAATACACCAGTGAGAATAGCACCCACAAGACCAGCAACGATGAAGGCAGCACCGAGATAACCAGCATCATCGACACCAATATTGTAAGGGCCAACAATTTGAGTTAAAAGAGAGGTAAAAGCTGAAGCCAAACCACACAAGATGCCAAAGGAAACCATGATGATGAGGAAGTTCCAGTTGGTGAACAATTCACGGAGGGATTGAGCAAATGTGAGAGCAAACTTGTTCTTGGATGAGGCACTGTAGGATGGAGGAGTCTTGGGCTTCTTGGGGATGAAGAACACAGGAAGGGCACAACCGGTAGTAACACAAGCAATGACAAGAAACTATAGAAAATTCACATTTAAGCAATCATTCATTACGCAAGCTGTGTAAATTCGCACTTACGCCCATATTCATAGTAGAGGCATCGGTGACAATAGCAGGAATAATAAGAGAAGCAATGGCCATACCAATAGAGTTGGCTAGACTGTGGGTTAATCTCGTGCACTATTGATGTTTTGAGACTGAATCACTTACTGATACCACCGACCATGGAAGCTGTACCTCTGCCATCAGCACTGAACCACAAAGCAGCATACTATGGATGGGTTTACATGTCAGTATGCTTATTACTATCATAAATCGACTCCAGACTTACGGGTGTGCAGACATTCAAAATGAAAGGTTGACCAATAGCACAGATAGTCTATTGTGTGTGTGTGTGTTAGCTCAAGATGGATCAAGAAAACCCTATTGTACTCTCAACATACTTGACCAATGATAGCCAAGGCTAATCTACCAGTAGGGTCATGTACAAAAGAAGAAAAGTAACGCAACCAAGCACCAATAGCTTGTAGAACTGCACCGATAATAATCTATATGTTATAAATTAGTTTGAGCACAAAAATAGGCTTTAGCGCTTAATTACTTACACCCATCTTAATGGACCAATGTTCATAGACCCAACTGGAAGCAGGGCCGGCGACGAGATAGGTCAGCATAAAGACATTAGAGAACCAATTGATGGTAGTCAAGCCAATGTTGTTAAAATACTGACTAGCATAATCTGGAACAGGTGCAACTGACAACCAATTCAAAGAAGATGCAATGTTGGATAAAGCAATGACAGTTAACCCAAAGAAACGAATCTTGTAGGTTTTGAAAATGAATGATAGCTCTTCTAAATCTTCATCACCGTGCCATGATTTACGGTCATCGAGCTGATGTGCTGCGTGATTCATCTTATTGTGCGAAAGCAGCGAGAAATGTGAAGAGGAAAGGAAAGGAAAGGGAGGTGTAAGTGTGATGTATAAAAAGGTTGATTTTTGATTTAAATGTTTGTGTGTGTGTGTGTTGTGGTCAAAATCACACAGACAAGGTGACACACAGGTGCGCAATAGAGTTAACACTTCGGTCGTTGAATCAGGGTGTGAACACGACACCTAAAAATGAACATTTGTGTACATTGAGCATCATAAAAGTCTTGATCGAACGGGTTTATTATAGCGTCTATATGTCGCGGAGATCGATGATTTCTAGTGGAGAGACATCCATCATTCGTATCAACTGTGGCTCATTGCCAATATCCTATTAAAGTGCGTGAGTCGTTGATTTCCTATTGCTATGAGAAAATCATACGGTGTAGAGTGTCATTTGATTAGCTGATTCATGAGGATGGAAAGGCTCTTTTATCTTGCAACTGGCTATTTCTTTTAGTCCATTTGGTGTCGTTATACGGAAGATACCAAACCTAACGATGAAGAGAGAAAGAGGGCATTAGTTTCACATCCATCAGGGAAGCTACACAAGGATATTTGTTTGTAGTACTCTGGTGTGTGATTCGGAGAACAGACAATTGCTACAGCTTCTAGCAGCATGAGTTGGTAAGAGCACTGTGTATGTAAATCAACAGAGCTCAGGAAGCATGTTTGAGAGGGGTGGGTCTACAAATTAGTTTTGCATGAATGAGATCAAGGGTCCAAATGGTGCTAAAGAGATGCAGCCTTTCTATAATAAATTGCGTTCACAAAGCACTAATACATACGTGGATCCATCCTAGCGTAATTAACCCTCTTTCATCCTGATATTCAAAGATCGCCTCTTCATCTTTGGTTGTACAGGTATCACTTGTGCCCATTTGATTAGGAATTATTAAAGATGTTACAAAGAATTGATTATTTTTCTGTGTATGTGCGTACAACAAATAAGATTAGCATACAATGTCATTATCATGATAGATGAGCTGTGTGCACAAACCAATTTTCCACTGAGTATACCACATGTTTCTACATTGTTTTTCGTATTGAAACGTGCAAGCGATAGAAACTTTGTTTGTATGTCCAATGGTATATTTAGAACTCGAAGTTTAGTATTGCCTATTTGTAACCAAATCAATTAGTGTAAGCATAATCTCCCCGCTTCTAGCCCCCCCCCCTCCTCTTTCTTCTGCTGCTGCTAAATACTTTACTTGATCCATAAAACGAGTCCGCTAATAAACTTGCATTGGACCCTTCTTCTTGATGTTCTTTGTTTATAAATAGCTGCAGTTTGGGCGGCAGCGGTGGTGGAGTATCTTTATCAAGCTTGATCTTGGGTGGTATAGGTGGAGGTGGTACGCTGCTGTTTTTGTTTCTATCGATGAGATGCTGACTTTTCTCTCCGTTACTAGGTGTGCCTTTTGTTTCATACACTGGGGACGTACCTGGTTGAGTCTGAGTATTCCCATTCCATTGGCGACCCTGATCTGCTACTACTACTGGCACCAAATGTGTATAAGCTCCGTTTATCAGATCCATCAGTGGACGTGCCAAATCTCACCTTTGATTGTTTTGACGTTGAGTGCCGATGTCTTGTGGTTTTGTATCGAAATGAAACTCTTCTTCCAGCCTTAAGCGAGGCTTTTGTAATCGTTGACTCTGCTCTGAATGTGTCGTCCATTGCTTGGAATCATCCTTGTTGACGTTGCTTTCTTTTTGATATAAATGATAGCTCTCATGAACAGCTTCAATGGCCGGCCTTAGCATTTCAACAGCGTCCAATGCTTCAATGCAAGTCTAATGAATGATGTGCACTCCATTGTGAGAATACTGATTTAACCACACAATCAATTACTTGCCTTGATTAATACTTGATTGCTCATATAATCAAATCCAGGACGATGACCGAGTTCATTCAGTATAAGACTATACAGTTTCCCAGGCTGTTGATACAACGCTGCTTCTACTCTCAACAACCAACTTACTTGATGTACTTCATAAAGTACAAGTAGGCTTGCTCCTGGTTTTCTTCTCTGTAATAAATTCGAGCTTGCTTCAACATCAAATCGGCTGAACTGATATATATATCAATGGGTATACAGTCGTCAGTGTGAACTTTTGCCATGGCGTTCAGCTCTTTGATCGATTTTGGTGGACTCGTGGGTGGTGGGATTGGCGTCATTACTGCTATTGAAGTGAATGACAAGAATATGGGTACTGAATATATCTACTATGTGTTGGTGTGTATAAAAAGGGCCAAGAAATCCTATAGGTTTTTTTTCAATCTTGCCCTCATTAATAACAAAACGACTGCTGTTTCTTGATGTGTTCATAGCATTGAGCGTAGCATACTTCATGAGTTTTATCTTTTCTACAACTAGCATTATGCCTAAACCTTCAGCACAACTTCCTTAAGCCACTGTATTACGGCTATTTATCTTTCATGTACAAAGAGCTAAGCTTGGTGAAGTGGGAATATTCAAACCTGGCCAAACCTGCTCGACATTTATAGGAGAGAGCTGATTTATGTCTCCATATGCAATGTATCTCGAACGAATGCCACAGACAATTGAAAAAGGCCATCCGAAAGTTCCTATGAGCAGCATTTTATCAGATTATTATCAATCTGATGTTGATTTGAAACATAAATATTATTTTGTAGCCACTCGAGAACTACGCCTCTCTGGCTCGCCTCAGCTCCCCGAAATGTACAGTTTCACTGTACCTGAAATTGCCTTATCAGATCAAGTATATAAAGAAAGGCTTTGAGCCTGTTTGTTCAGACAATTGAATTATAAAACGCACAATCCTTGGATAAAGAATGGTAAACAGACAAGCAACGTACATCTACATGGAGTAGTCATTAACGTTGCCTTATAATCATTAGTCTTCTTTGCCTGCTGCTCGACCTGTCATTAATGTCTACTCTATCAACAAGAGTGATATGATTACAAATGCTATTCCTGTCCCCTCCGTCTACCGTGCTCCTATCCGCCCAGACATTGTTCGTTTTGTCCACACCAACATGGCCAAGAATAAGCGTCAGCCTTATGCTGTCTCTGACAAGGCAGGCGAACAAACCTCTGCTGAATCTTGGGGCACTGGTCGTGCAGTTGCTCGAGTTCCTCGCGTCAACGGTTCAGGTACACATCATGCTGGCCAAGCTGCTTTTGGCAACATGTGTCGTGGTGGCCGTATGTTTGCACCTACCAAGGTGATGCGTCAATGGCATGTCAAGATCAACTTGAATCAAAGAAGATTTGCTACTGTCTCTGCTTTAGCTGCTTCTGGTCTCCCTTCTCTAGTTATGGCACGTGGTCATCGTATCAGTAAGATTGAAGAAGTTCCTCTGGTGGTAGAAGACAAAATCGAGTCTTTGGTCCGTACAAGACAGGCTGTTAATACGCTCAAGTCGATCCATGCTTACAGTGATGTCGAAAAGGTCATTCGCTCTCGCAAGACTCGTGCTGGTCAAGGTAAACTTCGCAATCGTCACTTCCGTCAACGCCGCGGTCCTCTCATCGTCTATAACCAAGACAATGGGATCGTTAGGGCTTTCCGCAATATCCCTGGTGTCGAGCTGGTCAATGTGCGTCATTTGAATGTGATGCAATTAGCTCCTGGTGGTCATTTGGGTCGATTCATTATCTGGACTGAAAGCGCTTTTGCCCTATTGGACGAACTGTACGGCACCTACGAGACTCCCTCATCGATGAAGAAGGATTATCAACTGCCTGATAATATCATGGCCAATCCTGATGTCGCTCGTTTGATCAACTCGGATGAAATTCAATCTGTGGTTCGTCCTGCAATGACCAAGCATACCAAGAGACCGTTCACGCAAAAGAAGAACCCGCTCAAGAACCAAGGCATTATGAATCGCATGAATCCCTATGCTCAAGTATTGCGTCGTGCTGAACTGCTGCAGTCTAACAAGAAGAACCAACAGCGCCAGTCCTCTTTCATCTCCAACAAAAAGTGTAAGTAGGCCCTCACTGCCAGTCTATACATAACTAATCCGTCGTACCATAGTTGCGAATCAGTTGCTTGTTTGTGCTTAAATCTAGCTTGCAAGTATCAATCAGAATGCCGATTATTGAGTTGGCTGTGTAGCTTTGGATAGATTTCGACCAACTTCATAATTCATAAATCGTCTGAGCCATGTGGTTGTAAGGCTTTTTATTCTTCCTGAAACCTATTCTCTATAATAAAAAAAACACATTCAACCTGTCGTGCATATGTTGAACCTACTTATAATGATCCGCTTGGCTGCTTTGGATTCTTGGTCATTTACTAATACTGTAGATTGATTAATGCATGTGTTATTAATGCCTCCGCAGCAGCGCAGCTCTAAACAGCAGCTCTTCTAAAGCTTGGTATCATTGCCATGGCAATTTAATGAACCTACTTCTTTCTGCACTAGGATGGCGGATCAAGTAGATCCAATAATTTAGTGGTGTTTGTAATGTGGTCTTACTTGTCAAGTCATATAGATGGAAACTATATCTTTATTGCATCAAAAGCCTCTATAGACAGCTCGCTGTATAAGGTTGTCATATTATAATAAATGGTCAATCCCTAGACACTTTTACAACCCTAATACGGAAACTAAGTTTCTAGGCATCTGCCAGGCCTGGTTCATATGAGATTAATGATTTTACAATCAGTCAACAAAAATCACTGTTATTTCTACCCTTTTTCCTCTGCTCAATGCTGTCAACGTTTTCTCTGAACGGCAACCCGAAGCCTCAGAGATTTCACTATTTACTGCAGACATGTTATGCAGCCCATGAATCGCCAATAACCAGACTAATGTTATTAAGTATAGAATGCAAGAAAATGGCATGATGAACAATAGTGCTATGATTTGTCACCTACTTTCCATACGCTTCAAGGGCATTTATTACTGTATTGCCTTATGAAAAGGGCATTGAGTTTGCCAGTCAGCTCCACCAGCCAAAGTTAATTCAAACCCAGGCTCTCAGTCTACTTCAGATTGGACAAATGTTGATAATTTTGAACTCGATTGAATTATTTGTGCAGATTCGACTAAGTAAAATATGATGATCACCCTATGCATCTTTAAGCTTTCTTGGAGTGCTTTTAAAGGCGCATCCAATGGTACCAAGTAAGATAAATGTTTTGAATAAGCCTATTGAATAATTTACGAAAATATGAAAAGAGGTTTCTGGCCAAAAAGTCGAAATTTTACATATCAGAGTCCCACAAAGATGATTTCAGGGGCTACGTTGGATCAATAGAAACATTTTGAATTAATATATATCATAGTAAAATTATTCATTATCAAGGTAAAAAACGCGATCGTTTGATTTTCAATGAAAACCATGAGGGGTACCTCATGCTTTTTGGTCGATTTTTGGCCATGTTTTTTTTGGTCCCAAAAAGCTGAACAAAGGTGTTAGGAAGTAACTCCTAGACGAGAGCAATTGTTCGGTGCTTTTCTGGCAATCTAAAATGGCCTTGAACGCGAGAAAACGCGGCTCAAATGCACTCAGATTATACAGTATTAGGCACACTCTTGACTAAAAAGAATAAATATCTGTATAATACTTGCCCGTATATGAAGTAGTTACATGTATATGAATATAGAGCATCACATATGAATCAGATCCACAGATAATATGAAGGGTTTTCATGTGTAAGTGGAGGATTAAAATGAAAGTAGCAGTACTCTGATATGATACGCAAGGGCAAATAGTGGAGCAAGCTGCCGCTGCGCAGATTGGTTCTCATCGAAGCAAAGCAAAGGTAAAGAAACATCCGAAGCATAAACACTCATATGATCAGTGATCTTATATCAATCAACAATTAGGGCTCTTCTAACATTTTAGCTATATTAATTTTGCGATGTTAGCCAAAGGCCCGCGGCAGCGCGAGCCGTTTGAGTGTAGGTTGGTTTCCACTGAAGTGAAGCGCAGGTCAGAAAACCATCCGAAGTGTTGAAAGGCTCGTATGATCTAATAAGATTTCAAAGAGATAGGAAAGAGTGGTAGTCAAGCATAAAATCTCAGGTACAGCCATTTCAAAGCCAAAAATTAATTTAAAGCCCGATGTAAAAATTTTCCTCATTTGGTTCATTTGGTCGATTTTGAGGAATTCAATTTAAGATTTTGTCAGATTTCTCAACAAATTACTAGTTAACAACAGGTAGAAAGATATACAAAGTAGGAAGTAGCTTTTATATCGCATCAAATAGTAGAAATTTTAGAACAGCTTTGTACACAAAATCTCGAGTAAATTGGGAAAAACCAATATTAAGTTTTTCGCCAAAATCTCAAGATTTCTACTATCAAGTCGATAAAAAAAGCTTTTTAAAGGAAAGGTTAGACTTTTGTGAGCATTTTGAGCTTAGGAATACCTTAAGAGAAAACCTCAATTTCAATGCGAAAAACGCGATCGTTTGAAAATGCCGAAAAACCATGAGGTATACCTCATGGATGATGGGCTAAAAAATCATCGACCAAAAAAAAATTGGGTTATTGGTACAGGAACTATCTACCTGATAAGAGAAATCAATTGGTACCATTCCGAGCATCAGAAAACGCTTGAACGACGAGATATAAGCTTCCAAAAACATCAGGTTACAAACAATTTTTGTAGTTTTATCCCATTTTAATGGAGGTTTAAGACATGGCATGCGCACAGCTATAAAGCATATCCAATTTTAGGTCTTAGAAAATGGTTTTCAACAGAATCCTGATGTTTATTCATGATACAATCGAATTTTGTTTGCTAAACAGAGAAATATGCCATGCTATTTTGCGAGCGCTACACACTGGCAAAGCACGTCGCAGCAGAGATACAGACATGTTCAATAAGTAGAGTTGGGTCTTTGCAACTACACTGTATTTCATAAGTGGAGTATCTAATAAATTACTTGGAGCACTTGCAACATCCTCAAATCCGTAAATGTCCAGTATTTCATCAGGCCCACATTTACTACGCCACCCCTCACCAGACTTTGCTATGAAGGCCTTTATACAAACACATCCTTTGCATTTTAACATGTTGTTTGGTATGTCAACTTGAATCTTGATTTTAACTTCTTGGCAGACTAGCCATTTCATATGAATATTGTTTTTTCGGTACAGCTTGTCAAGTATATGTTGACTAAATGTCGTCTGGTATATTAAGCTTGGCGTATTTACGTCGAAAGAGTCATGTATGAGAATGCCGATTTGCACTATCGAAACGAGCAGAAAATGAAGAAGTTTATTAAGCACTTGACTGCAAAACCACATTGACGCCAATTCACCTGATGCACCAGCAATATATGCCATTCTGTTTTAGAGAGAACCTTTCAACACTTTCTACTGCTAGCAGAGTTCATCATGTTCTTTTTGATAATCACACCGTTCATATAGCTTGCTAACCTCCTAAATGTTTCAAGGTAGATTGCCCTAAGGTCAAATTGGATTTGAAATTTGATGAGGAGGAAAAAGTATTCAAAGGCAACCCCGTTAAATCCACAACTCTCGCATCCTTTAGAGAGATGTTCTCTAAAATTAGAAAGTACCTTTTTGACGAACAAATTAGAGTATTGAAAAAGAAGCAATTTGGGTGTGCCATTAAATCATTGTCACTAATTAACGTACCTCTGATAGACATACTGCTCAAATGCGTGTGGAGTGTTGCGATTGATGGTCAGGCACCTTATCAGATTGTTTGTAATATGGTTTGATTTACGACAGTTTGAGATACAGGAACCATACCTTTTCATATGATAATGGAGTCTCTGAGGTATGTAGATTCCCAATCTTGCACCGAGAAAGAAGAGGCTCGATTTGTAAAGAAAGTGCATACGCTGGCTTCATCCACAGACAAATGAAGCCAAGTTGCTTTTGTAATATTGGTCCATGTAACACATTTTTTTTGTGTATCATTACCTGATTCGTTGAACCCCAGCTAAATTTTGGATTGCTTCTAGTATAGAATGGGCCTTGGACTTTTACCCTCTCTTTTTTTCCTTTATTTTAATTTTCCTTCTTTTTCTGTTGATTACCATCATTTGGCATTCATTAAGCAGTGCAATCTCCGCTTATAAAACATCATTTTAAGGTTGCCATTACAACATCAACTCTATCATTGATCATTACAACAGAAAATCAAGACAAGACACCAGCGAAAAGATGGCAAAAGATGGCTCTGCTGCTGCAGCGACTACAGCTGTTCAAGTAGGCAAGTATCTATCTTATTTGTTTGTGTTTTGATGAAGCAGCAACAACAAAAAAAAAAGAATATAAACAAATTCAAATGTAGCACTTCGAATTAGGCCATTAACCGAAAGGGACCGAAATCAACCTCGTTTCGCCAATATGGCCAATGACGATGTATTGAAAATCCATGACAAGACGGTGCAAGTTGTCCCTCAAAACAAACTATTCACATTTGACCATGTATTTGGCACTACGAGTACTCAGAGCGAAATCTTTTCAACATTGGGAGACAATTTAATTCGAAAATTCATTGAAGGTTAGTGCTGTTCCTTTTGTTTTCAGGGGTGGAGGGGAGAGTAAAGAAGTCATTGATGATAATTGAATTTGTATAAATATAGGTTATAACATCACAATTCTCGCCTATGTAATTAGCAGCATACAACTGGCCAATAAGGGTATTAATAAATCTATATCATCCTAGGGCCAAACATCTTCTGGAAAGACGTACACCATGGGCACAGCAGCCAATGGCAATAGCCTGAATTCAGTAGACGAAGGCATTGTTCCTAGATCCATGGCACTCCTTTTCGACTTACTACACAACAACAACAACGATACCTCGAACAGACCCATTTCACCCACACCATCGATATCATCATCTACATCTACATCCAACAAGAGTGGCAGTCGACTCAGACCCAAGTCGAGGATCGCCAATCGTAGTAGCCATATACCACATGTTAGTAACAATAGCAACAACAATAACCCGCATAAAACCAAGTTTACGGTCAAAGTCTCTTTCATTGAAATCTACAATGAAGACCTACATGATTTGCTTAATTCTGCTCCGATCGACGAATTACCCCCTATTACCATCCGTGAAGATACTAAAGGTCGAATCTACTGGACTGGCGTAAAGGAAGTATCTGTGCATAACACGGATGATGTATTATAGTAAGATACAATTTCATCATCATCATCACATTAAAGCTAAATTAATTTAAATAGTTATCTCGAGCAAGGTACCCAAAACAGAGCAACTGGTGCAACAGACATGAATGAGAAATCGTCCCGATCTCATGCCATTTTTTCAGTATCACTGAAGCAAGAGAAATGGATCCCTTCAACTACCACCAGTGCAGGCGACGGCAATAAAAAGGCACGCCCTACCAGTTCCATGAGCATGCGGTCCGCGACACCCATGTCTAATTCACGATTATTCAATGCAGCGAATAGCAATCAGCAGCCTGAAGATGGTGAATGGCTGATTACAACATCCAAATTCCACTTTGTTGATTTAGCAGGCAGTGAAAGAGTAGGTTTCAAGGCAGATTATGCTGACTAGATTCACTGGACTCACTTTAAAATACATACAGCTGAAAAGAACTGCAGCAGAAGGCGATCGTCGTAAGGAAGGCATTAATATTAATGCAGGCTTGCTTGCATTGGGCAACGTTATTTCCGCATTGGGAGATCCTTCGAAAAAGAATGTGCATGTACCTTATCGAGATTCCAAATTGACTCGCTTACTGCAAGATTCATTAGGCGGCAGTGCGACGACACTGATGATTGCGTGTGCTAGTCCTGTGGAGTACAACTTGGCAGAAACACTCAACACATTGCAATACGCCAACCGAGCTCGAAACATCAAAAACAGATCTGAAAAGAACCAAGTGGAGGAATGGATGACTACAGAGAACATTGAGCTGTTGCGAACCATGATTGGCAAACTGAAAAACGAGCTGAACTACCTCAAAGTGCATAGCGGTAGTAAATCAAGCAACACTGCTCACCCACAGCACTTATCTGTCACTGGTACGGGCAACGAGGACATGCTAGACGATCTCTCCAGTACGTCATCTTCCATCACATCACCATCACTGGAAGACACATACCATGAACAACGGTTGCTGATTTCCGATTTGCAGCGGCAATTGGAAGAGCTGGATGGTGAAGCATCTGTCACTCGCGAACGCAATCGTATCGTCGAGAAGGAATTACAGCGCATTCGATTACTAGAGTCCATGACACGATCCAACAACAACAGCAACAAAGAGGAGCAAGTTGACTTCCAGCATCTCGTGGAGCCTGTGATTGAAGAATACGAAAAGAGTGTAGCCAAGCTCGAATCCCAATTAGCGCTCACCCGAGCTGCCCTCAACCACGCTGATATGGGGTACGAGGAACAACAAACCAAGATTGGTCAATTGGAAGGTTTGCTTCGTACGCAGGAACAGACCATCAGTGAGCTGCGCCTACGTCTTGGCAAAATATTGGAGCGAGAACAAAACAACGAGAGTTACATTCATGAGCTAGAGTCCAAACTTATGAAATCTGCCAATGAAACGACCAAAGACCAGGAAATGCTCAACGAACTCAAAAATCGCATCATGAAGTTCAAAGAAACGGATGAAAACACAGAGCAGTACATTCTTAATCTTGAGCAAAGACTGGCAGCTGGGGACGCAGAGCGTGCTCGTCTGCAAACATCTGTGGAGGATCTTGAAGCCAAAATCGAAGCTAAAGAGCGCACCAATGTCGAACTGTTGAAGCGATTATCAAAAACAATATCTAATACCAGCACGGAAAAGTTGATTTTGAAGGAACTGGATGCAGTGAATGCCAAATACAAAGAGTTGGAAGGCGAAAGAGACTCGCTGCAGTTGCAAATTAGCCAACTGCAAAAAGAGGATCGTCGCATTAGCAGCCATAGTTTAGCTGAATCCAGGAACAACGAACATCTGAATTCCAATGATTCTTTGCAAGACGAACTGGACAGCAGACGACTATCCAACTCGTCCGCTTCCAACAACAATGGCAAACTGTTCAAGAATCGCAAGAGTTTTGCAGACGAAACAGAAACAGCATCGTCAGTCGCTGCCTTGAACTTACTACAAGCTGAGATACGACTCAAGGAGGAAACGGAGAGAGCTAACCATTTGCAATTGACAATAGACCGTTTGCAGTACGACCACGCTGAAACTGCCAAGGAGCTGGATGAAGTTTTACAACGCTATCACGAGACATTGGAGCAACTGGACTTCTTGGAGCGAGAATCCTCGTCCACCACTGCACACACTGCTGAGAAGCTGCCTGGAGGTGCCCCTGCGTCGTTGGATTTGAGCAAGGAAATTGCACAGGCAAAAGAAGATGAACACGAGCAAGAAAAGAAGCATTTCGCAAACCAGATTCAAGATCTTCAGCACCGCATTCAATTACTAAACAACAAACTGGCTATCAAGGACTCTGAGCTAGACATTGCGCAAGACCGTGCTCAAAAATTGGAGCAAGAATTAGTGGTGGCCAACAAGCAAATTGATATTCTTCGACAATTGCAATCAGAACATAACGCAGCCGAAGAAGTGGAGCATATCCTTGACAATTTGCATAACCAGCCTTCCGAGCAAAGCCATATCGATGATGAGTCAATCGAGACTTTAAAGGCTTTGCTCGTCTCCGAAAAGAAGCAATCCTCTCATTGGAAGTTGGCCCATACTGAATTGCAACAAGACATGGAGAAATTAGCGCTTGATTTAGACGGCAAAGAGCAATATATATTTCAACTCAAGGAAGACCAAATCGATAAATCCGAACTGAGATCTCAGCTGGATGAATCCAACCAGCAGGCCATATCGCTCCAAAAACGCTTGGCAGAGACATTGGCTTCTCTTACAGTACTGAAGATCTCGCATGATAGTCTACAAAAGAAGCTACAGCAATTGACAGAAAAGGATCAACCCGTTAAAGACCAACAAAAGACATCTGTTGCCGCCAACGACGATACGATTGCTACGCTTGAAAAGGAGCTGTCCAGACACGCACAAGAGAAATCCGATTTGTTGGATAAACATCAGTCTGAGCTGGCAGTTGTTCATCACAGCATGGAGACCAAGATCAATGAAATCAATGCACTTCTCAAGGAAACCACACTAGACAAGAACAACGCATTGCAGAGACTGCTAGCATTGGAACAGGAACTCAAAGATCAAGCCGAAAGTGCTCAAAACAGCAACTACTTGGAGCAAGAAAAAATACTAGAATCTCACAATGCGCATATCCTGCAACTCACACAGCAATTTGACGTCTCCAGCAACGAACTCAAAGCGCAGATCACTTCATTGCAGCAAGAACTCGATAGTTCCAAGGCAGAACATCGACATTTGGTTGAGAAACACGATGCAGAAATCGCAGAATTAACAGAAAATTTTGAAAAGGATTCACAGCAGCTACTGAACCGCATATCAGAAGTGGAGCGGGAGCTGGAGAAGAACAAAATTGTCCAAGAACAATTACTAGCGGATCATGATGAGGAGGTGATGGAGCTATCCAAGAATTTCGAAAGTGCTACGCGCGAGTTGGAAGAGCAAATCTCAGTGCTGGAGAGTGAATTAGAGACATCAAAGGATTTGCATGAAGAGATTCTGTCAAGCCATCATCAACGATTGCGAGAAATGAAACTGGAACATGCTGAGACTACACAAAATCAGATTGAACAGCTACAAGCCGAGTTGGAGACGTTGAAATCATCGCAGCAAGGCATTTTAGAGACACACGCTAACAATGTCAGAGACATGAGAACGCAACATGAGCAGCTGGTCTGCAGTTTAGAAATGCAAATTAACGCATTGCAATCCGAGATGGAGCAAGTGAGCAAAACACACACAGATCAGTTGAAGGACGCGTATGCTCAACACGAAAAGCGTCTTGGTGATACAGCGAACCATGGACAAAGTCTACTACAACAAGCACAGATTGAACTAGATGCCCAGAAAGCTGAGAATCTTCGACTGACTGCATTTTTGAAAGAACAGGAGCAAGCATCTTCCGCAATGTTAGAAACCATGCAAGCATTGAAGAGGGAACACCAAGACCGACTCAACGCCATCAATGAACAGCACAAGTATAGCTTGGATCAGGAGATTCAGCATGGTCGCGACTTGATAAAACAAATACAAGCAGAGCTAGATACACACAAGGGTGAGAATGAGAAGCTCTCCACCGTTTTGAAAGAGCAAGCGCATTCGTTGCAAGCCCTGGAAGAGTTGAAGAAATCTCATAGTGACAAACTATCACTTGTTCAATCTGAGCACAAGGAGCTTTTGGATCAACAAATCCAACTCGTCAATCACTTGCAAACTAAGCTGGAGCATTATAAATCAGAAAACGCACAGCTGTCTATTACACTCAAAGAGCAGCAACAGGCTTCAAAAGATGAGTTGTTTGCGTTACAATCCAGATTGGTCAACTTACCGCCACCAGTATCTCCCACATCACCACTTCCACAACAGCAACAGCAACAGCAACAGCAACAGCAACAGCAACAGCGGCAACAACCAGAGATGGCGCCTGTACCTAAAAGCAACAACAGCGATCGTGTATCTACAAGGATTGCTCTTCTGGAATCGCAACTTGCAACTGCACAGACCGCGCACACAACACCTCTCAAGAACCAAGTATCTGCTTTGCAAACTCAACTTGATAATGAAATTAACAAGAACAAAGACCTTGTGTCCAAATTAGCCACACTAGAAACATCATTGAATGCCAAGCACCAAGAATTGTTGGCTGAGCTAGAAGCACAACATCAAAAGGAGATATCAGATACCGTAGAGGCAGCACTTGAAAAGCAAAAGCAGGAATTAGCCAGTACGGCAGCGGCACATGACACAAATGATGAGTTATCACTGCAGTTGGCGTCTTTGAATGCAACAAATAATCATGTCGATGGTAATAAGCACGTCTCGCAACAGCAACCAGAAGACGGAGCAGGAGAACAGCTGATGGACACAAACAACGATCAAAGCACAAACACAACAACAATTAAGGAACTGACTCAGGAACTTGAGATTTTACGCACAAGTTATTCTAAAAAAGAAGATCAAATGCAGCAACTACGGGAAGAAAACTCGGAATACACTCTTTTGTCAACAGAGCTGGAGAAAGAAATCAACAGAATGACACATGAAATTGAAGACTTACAATTTAGTGAAGAGCTAGTACATCAGCTATTGCAATTATACGATTTGAGTGACCAACATCAACTGATGGATACTGTCTTGGAGGAACGAAAGCGATCTGCCATGTCTATACAACAAGCAAATCAAGCTAAAGCGGATGCCGAAGCTAAAGCTAAACAGGTGGCGCAAGAGATGGCACGAGCGGCAACTGCGGCAGCGACGGCATCGACGGAAGCAAGTAAAGCGACGCAAGCTCAATCATCTGACACTAATAATGACAATATTGACGGATCGGGAGCCATTTCACAACAACAAGGCCCCTCCTCCATATCTTCTTCCTCTACCAAGAAAATGCAACAGGAATTAGAGAAATGCCGTCAGCAAATCAAAGAAATGGCCAGTCGACAAGAGATGTTGGATTTGCAGGATAAACTGACCGAAGAAAAGAAAAAGTATGAACAATCTGAACGTGCTAGAAAGAAGTTGGAAAAGCAGTTGGAGGAACTTTTATCGAAAAAGTCATCCTTCATGTGTTTTTAAAAAGGATATTAATGCTTGTATCACTATGCTTCCCTTCTCTTATACCTTTCACATCATGTAATCAATAAAGAAAACTGTAATTCAAAATCATCTACTGTTGTGTATCTGTGAGAAGAAAGAAAATTAAGGTTTTGGCTCTGTATTTATTATGCTATTTAAACGGAAGGGATGAGCAACCAACATACAAACAATCATTGCAAATACAACAACTGAGCACATCTGTGCATTGACCACGGAGTTTAAATATTCCCTAGCAACCAGGAACCAAATCAGATAGTTTCCATAACAACCAGGAACAGCAGATCAAATGATGCTATGGATCAAAAGTAACTGATTTGAAGACTGGAAAGCAAGAGAAAATGTATCACTTTTTAATAAAGCCTAAAATAAAGCATGTCGTTTGATTGACAAACGCCCATCAAGTTTTTTTTTTTTCTTGTGTTAAGCCGATTGAAGTTTAATCAGAGCTAAATAGTAAAAAGATGAAGGATGACCTACAAATTGACTCAGGTCCCTCCTCGAAAAAAAAATACACACAATGTCATGTGTTTAAAAAGGGAAGTGGAATAAAAACTCGTATATGAAAAAGGGATTTATTGACATTAAATGATAGCAGAAAGGAAAAAAAGAAGAGGGGGATGAGATCAAGTGATGGGATGTAAACAACTTTTTTTTTTTTGTGTGCGCTGATAAACCGTTTTTTGTAATTCTTGTTCTAGATGCAAAGCATCTTTTACTACTATTTTCACGCAAAAAAATCACACGTGGCTCTTTCTGTTTTGCATTTGGGATGATCTGTTGTTATCCCTTTTTAAAATACTTGAACGTGTTTATTATGCATTCTAAATGCATCTTCTTTGTAAGAAGCATCTGAGTTGCCGGCCCATTGTACACTACATACATAAAAAGTACCCAATTTTCTATTATTGGAAGGTTGCTGATGTGCAATGATGGGGGAGAAGGGGAAAAAAAGCAGGTGATATTTTATTTTATACATAATACATCAAGTATATATACAAGCAAGTCATCATTTCTGATCATAATTCATGCAAGCAGCTAAATGTACGATTTCTACACCCAAACAAATAAACAAACCCAAAAGATGTGCACATTCAACTGAATGGTTGCAGTAAAGCCTCAATGTTACAAAAAACTGATGGTTTGTCAATCTATTTAGGCCAGTGAGAATTGACTACATCATCTGCTACTTTATAGTGTCGAAAATGTAACATTCATTATATCAATGAGGCTCTTGAACATGGATTAGTCAATCAGGGATATCCCGCCTTGAATGTCTAACACTACATGTCTGTGTATATACGCATTAGATGTAATCGATTACCATTCTAAATGTACAATATACGCTCCCGCCATGCCCCGTCCAAAGCAATCTTCTTCTCATCATGGAAATGTAACCCCCCCCCCCTACTTTCTTGTACGCTCTTTCCTCCTTTTTGCTCACCTTTTGAATTTAAACTTGAGAGAAAAAGTGTCCCTTGATGTTTGCGGAGACATTGTGTACAAGCTGGCAAAATTGTTTGTTTTTTAAGGGGTAGGGCTATGTAATATCAATTCAAAGAAACAGGGAAGCTTAGTTCCCTCATCTAGCTGTATTGTACTTGGCTTGATGGTGATGGGTTTCAATTTGTTTGTCATTGTGTCATCAAGCCGTGGGTCACATTGAGCATAGTTTCCTAATCTACTACATTTGATCTTCTTGGTATGATATATACATTTGTTTCGCAGTATTGTGCATAGATATGTCTGATTTATAGATGCATTTCAGTTTCGAAATTACAATTACAAAATGTACCAATATACAATCACTCGTCCAGGTACAAACACAAAGCACACACACACACACATTACATACATATTTGAAAGTAATCAGCTGGCCCGTGCTTTTTTAATTACCTAAATTTATTAGCCATGTAATTTTGACTCGACTTGACCTACCCATTTTGAAAGAAAAAGAAGCACTTTTTTTTTTCCTTTCTTTCCGGGATACCAAGCCGAGTTTATTATTCAAGATAGAACGTCAGCCGATCATGAACTATATGGATTTCAAGTCTATATTCAAATACATGTTATGTGTATGTGTGTGTATTTGATATGCAGTAGCAAGATGTTTGTTCTAAATTAGAATTAAATTTAACCACAAAATTTTGTGCAAAATGCAGCCACTTTAATTTGAGATCAGTGGCAACATACTGTGGTAGTAGTAGAGAGAATAAATCCCCCCCTTCTTCTCTATGAACGAGGGATGAAACATTTAAATCTTTGCTGCTCACAGCCAACTTTTTCTTGTTCATACTATGTTGTCAATACAAATCACTCCTTGTCTCTCTTTTGCGACAAAGAGAAGAGAGTTATTTTTGGCAAGTAAAAAATTGCATAGATATCAGTGTACAAACTTCAATTAAGGCTAAACAAGTGTAATAGAGTGATATTCTCTCTCTCTCTCTAAATATAATTGAATCATCTGTCTCAATCTTGAGTAACATCAGTTGCTGATACATACTTTTACATTAGACTCCCATTTTGACCAACCAAGTTATTCAAGCACCTCCTTGAAAGTGAGATCGGACGAGATTCCTTTCATGTACTTGATATAAAGCTAATTGATTGTACCACTCTACTTTTTCATCTTTGCAAGTCAAAGATCTATCAGGTGCAATTCTACAAAAGCGTATAAATAAAGCGCTTTTTTGCATTTTGATGTCGAAAAAATAGACATCCTTCTTCTCTTTTTCCTAGTTTTTCTTCTTTTTACATATTCTCATTATCTATCAAAAATGACAAGCTCACTTGCAAAGGTACAGTATATAGATGTATAGATGGCTGCATATCACTGACCATCCATGGCAGTACTCTGAAACCGCAGCAATGTCTTTTTCTACTTTGCAGCAACCACCACCAGCACAACATCGCATCAAACAATTTTGTCCTTTGATCATTTATCACAACAACCCTTCAGAGCAGCTCGAGATGAAACTGAATGCCAATAAACATCATGACCGCACAGCCATAGATCGCCATCGTGATAAGACCAATGAGATGTTGGAACACAAAGCACAATTATGGAATGAAAAATTCAATGGTTCTTCGACTGGCTTAGTGGAATTTGAAGCAGGTAATTATTCTCTTTTGTGTGCTTGTGTGTGTACAATGTAGTACAGAAGAATCAGTGCACACACGCACACGCACACACACACGCACACACACACACACACACACACAACTCAGAATGAAACTAACTCACATTTGCATAGGTTACTTGGATAAAGACATTAAAGTTTCCCCAAGTACAAGCACTACATCAAACATCAGCTCATCAAGCTCAAGTTCTGGTGACAGCATTGCTACTATTGAACATCCTGCTTCCTACCCATCAAGAATGATGGATGTGCCTACTATCAAAACGACTGCTACCACCACCTGCACTGCTGCTGCTCACAATTACTACACTTCTATTGAAGAGGAAAAGTACTATCCAATGATGAGCAGGAAGCAATCAAAATCCAAATCAACTTCTTGTAATATAGCCACCTCACCTATTATTAGCCCAACATCTACCGCTGCCACCACTTCCAGTTCATCTACAAATACCAAAAATGATGCCAGTGCTGTAAAAAGACGCAGAGGAAACCTTCCTAAAGAAGTAACTGAATTCCTTCGTAAATGGCTCATCCAGCACAAGAAACATCCTTATCCCGCTGAAAAAGAGAAGGCTGATTTAGCTCGCCACACTGGCCTTACTGTCAACCAAATCAGTAACTGGTTTATCAATGCAAGACGCCGTATCTTACAGCCCATGTTGGAATCTGAAAACTTGACCGCTCAAATGATGGCATACCCAGAACTCGTCAATCAACAACAACATCATCGTTCACCAGCGGCGACGGCAAGTGCTTTCACTGAACCTCCAAGACGTCGTAGACATGATTTCTATACTTATCAAAGAGATTTTGTCAGTCCTACCATGGAACATCCTTCTCCTCCTCCACTTCAGCACCACCACCAGCACCACCATCACCCATCCATGCACCATCATCATGAACAGCAGCAATATCCCCATCCCCATTATTACCCTGAACAAGAGCAAGAACATGCCAGCAGATTCCGTAGAACAAGACTGATTGATGCCAATGACCACTACCATCAATTATCGATGCGATAAGCCTGTTTCCCCAATTGCTACACCCAAAAAAAGCTTATATCATATTTACCCCCATCTATAGTATATCCCCACTCTATATTATATCCATCTTATTACCTTATTATTATAATTACTACTAGTATCCGTATGATCTATTATACATTATCCCCCCCTATCTTTTTCTGTATATTTTCTTTTGTAATCTTTTTTTTTTTTTTTTACTATGTGTATATTTTCTTTTATTATGTAATTCTCTTCTTTCAAAACTTTCCCTTTTGCCGTCTATCGCCCTCGTTTCTCACCTTCTCCTATGATTTTGTTATATATAATAAGCATATAACTATGATGTATGATGATGATAATGATATAAATAAAATTTACTGCATATAAGCAAAATGACAAGGCAGATGATTTAAGATTTCAAATATATCAGAATCAACAGATTTCAACAGACACTAGGTAACCATGGCTCCCGATCATTCATTATTGACACACACACACACACTGGCCATCAATTTATAAATTTAACTGTCAGTGGTAGAACTAGGCTCGATGAGCAAGGACTCAGCTTTTTTTTTTTTTGGTAGGTGTCTTACATGTCAAATGATGAAAGGTTATTAATAGCCATGAATGTGCTTTTGACTCTCGTTCTTTTTTGAATATATATATATATATATATATACATTGGACCGATCCATCACTACCATGTCTTGCATATACAGTAGATGGCCCATGTCCTTTCAGAGACACAACAAAATGGAACAAAATGTGATTACAAGTTGCACAATGTATACCATTCCATATACATGTATGTAGTACTGTCTGACAAAAGAATGATCAGAGCTAGGTGGGAAAATGCTTCTCTTGGGGTCACAAACACACGACGATACTAAATATTTTACTAGTTAAATCCGAAGCGCTTTGCAAGTTGAAATGCTCCTTGAAAAAACTTGTTATTGTTTGTGTTTGATGTAAATCTTTTTCTTTTTAAACATTTTCTCAAATGCTCCTTATTACCTCTATTTGTGAGTCAAGCTCTCTGGCTTTGCTTTACTAATCATTTTCCAAGTTACACGCATTTTTCTCAATGGGATTCTATTTTAGCTCATGTGCTACTTGAGGAATGATTATCGCCTTCTATTAGAGCAGCAGTTTGACATTCTTGTTCATACGATTACAAGTCATCGGATCAAACGAAAAACGAAACTGATTTTTTGAGCACTTCACATTTGGGTTCTGAAAGATGATAATATGGATTAGACTGTAAATCTATTTCAGTAACAGACACTAGTAACAATTTCAATCGAATGTCATATGAAGAACCAAAAACAGAGCAATAAAACAGGGGCAACTGAGAGACACAGCAATTAGGTTCATCGGCAAAAGTCAAATCAGGAGAATTCGGCTTGTTCTGAACGAGAAAAAGCATTAAAAAATAAGGCCAATGTTGTACAATGCGTTCTTTAATCACCCCTATAAATGAACAGAAAAGAAGATGGTCATTCGAAATTATAAATGTACCCTTGCTCTGACTCTTGATGTTCTTGAAATATGATTGTGTAATGCATGATAAACAAGAAAAGTACAAGGGTACATTTTCTCATTTGGAAGAGCATCTTTAAAATATCTAGGATGAGGAAAGCAATATAAGCAACAAAGAGTAAAGGTCTGTGCGTACCATTTGTACAGTCTGTATAAGTCTGCTCCAAGTTGAATTTATTTCACTCAGCAGAAAGTTTGTACCGATCATGTATGTTTAAAGAGCCCATGCTCCTCTATCCTGCCTTCGTTGTTTTTTTTTGCTATTGTTGATTAGCAAAGCAAATCGCATGAATCTTCGGAGTCGAATATCAACAGGCACCACATCAATATACTATGTGGATCTGTAAAATAGAGTATGCTATCCATCTACTGTACATTGATACGTGTGTAAAGGTACTCCCATCTGTCATATATATCTATCTATCTATTGCTTCAAGACAAGGGTGTACACAGTAAGAGCTAGCATAGTATTTAAATGAGCGAAGCAATGTTCTACAAGCCTCCACCAACTAACAAATCAACAATGACGGGAAAAGAGCGATGATGTAGAGATTGTTTATTTGATAATGACGCTGATTAATGATGAGCAGAACGCATACTACTATCTACACGTTACAGTACAAAGAAGGATATTAGGGAGTAAGACTATGAGTGATACTTGTTGTTGTTGTTGTCGATGGTAAATAGTAAATAAATGCAAGTAAAGATATATGTGTTGTGTGAGAGTATCTACTCGGATGCTTCAAATATAGTGATTGCGAGAACGATTGGGGGAGGCGTACTGATTGGTGTGCTATGGTAGTTTATATTTGATGCTTTAATAAATGGATGTTTGTGATGTCTTCTTGATTGGCACAATGGGTCCCATTTTAATCACTCGCTTCATCATACTCTTGACTTGATTTTGCTTTCCCTTGTTATGGTGGTTGTTGCTGCTGCTGCTATTTTGGGATGCATTGTATTCCTCTGCAGAGTAGAGCGTCTTGTTGCTGTGAGCGCAAGTGTCACTGCTATTGCCCATGATTGTACTATTGGTAGTGGTGTCAGATGCTGGCAAAGGAGACATTGGATGTACGGGCTCATGATGGTAATGTTGCTGTGGCTGAGGCTCTTCTGGAATATGGTCATGTTGGTTGTGGTGCATACCTTGAGATTTAGGCTTTCTGAGATTGAGCTTCATATGAGATAAGGACGAGTTGATGATCTTCATGTGTGATTTGTTGTTGGCAGCCCCGTGATGTCCCTTTTCATTGCGATTGATCTGAGTTGCATTACCGTCGTAGTAATTGGAGGCAATGTTGTTGCGAAGCAATGGCATGAAATCGTCAAAGGCAGCGCTGATTTGAGTTTCGATGGGATGCAACTTGCGATGAATCGACTTTCCTCCTCCTCCAAACAAGTAAGAATTAGCAAATGGATCCTCAGGAATTGGCTCAATGGCTTTGCTAGCTTCTGTTACCAAACGAAACAAGACAGGAGACTGAATGGCTTGTGAGGGATCCAAATGCTTGGAGAAAATCGACAAATAGGGTTCTGCAAATGAGTTGGTAGGCTCTGGTTCATAGTCGTTCTCCAGCATGGCATAAAGAGCAATATTGGCATTGGATACCCAATCATAGTTTCGCTTGTGAATCTTGGTGATGAGACGGTTGTAAGACTTGGTCTTGGCTCGAGCAGCTTCAGATTTCGACATGGGAAGTATCTTTGCAGTCATGGCTGTGGATGGCCAAGCGAATCCTGAATCGACCCTGAATAAGAGTCGCTTTTTTTCTCCATGGATCGTTTTGGAATGCTCAATGATCATACGTGTCAAGAAATGGCCTGCTTTCTCTGCAATGATTGGATCGCAGTCGGGAGGTCCTAGAGTCACTTTGCCCATGGCTTCGCCTAAATGATAGGCATCCATTTGATTGTCGTCCTTGTATCGCATTACTTGAACCAGAAAATTCAAGAGCTCCACAAGTAAGTTCTGTCCTCGCTTTGATATGAATCGAGAGAGATCATCCAGCGTGCAAGCTACATGAATGTATACAAGATGAGTCTATGCGATCATTCAAGCACGCTGTATACTTACTCTCGTAATTGATGGTTCGCCATACCTTCTTGGGCACAATTCTTTCTTGACAGCACCATAAGGTATCTTGCATCAACGTTGCAACAGAATGAATGCTGACATGGGTGAGATCATCCGCTGTGCAATTCTGCTTTCGAAATACTTTCAACAAGAGGACACTGTTGGGGACTAGATGGAGCAAAAGAAGTGTGTCAGTAGGAGAAGCTTCTTTTTTTTTTTTACTCGAAAGTATATAATAGGAGGCAAAGGAGAGAGTGGGCAAGTGAGGGGTGGAAAAGAGAGCAAACCAGTGAGATGTTTGATTCAATGTACACACCCACATCCAAATGCGTTCATTGAAGTAGACACCAACGCTTATGTAGCAGGAGTAAATAAGACGCTGATTTCAATCATCAAAAGGAAAGTGTCGAGTAGAATAATGAGGGATGAGGATCCCCCCTCCAATAGACAAAATAGAAAAAAGGCGGGGGATAGGGAGTGGGATGGCATGAAAAAAAGCAGAGCATAAACACACTACTCACCCGATTTGCGTAATATCTTGCGCTCTCGTAAACCTAATTGTATATATACATTATGATGGTTACATTTCATGATCGCCAACGCTTGACAATTTTGGCATTTGATTTACCTCGTCTTCGGATTTCATCCATACATATCCGGCTAACTTGCGCTGCAAACTCCAATGAATACATGCTCTGCTTTGAATTTCCAATTTCAAGAAAAAAGAAGAGAAAGAAAACTAAATTTCAGAGAAATCAAGTTTATATACATATCAACTTTTTTTGTCCAAACTTCTGCTTTGACCAGAAAAGAAGGGACCCCCTTTGATCTCCTTTCTATAGAAGTTCTTTGCCTTGTACATGAGGACCAAGGAGCGTCTCCAGTTGCTAATGTTGTCCTAGTTGCTGTAGCTTGTTTGATCTAGCAAGCCATGTATCCATAGCGATGCATGAATGATGGTTTAAAGTAGGATGTCTGATAAAATGCGCATTTTTTTTTACGTCAGCGTGTAGTTTCTGTAGTAGATTGGTAATTGTAGTTGGCCCAGCTTGTGCAAAATACAACCACCAAATTTGCTTCATTCAAACCAAGCTAAACTTGGGTTCATTATCACTTTTTTTTTCCTTGCAAAATTTTTTCTCTTTCACTTTCTTTTGTTTGAGCAACTATGGACGCGGATCAACAAGAAAAGGCCACTCTGAGCTATCCATCAGAAGTATCTCATGTGGCTACTGAGGATATCAACATGGACCCTCCTGCTAATGCCACACCTACCGAAGAGCAACAGCAATCTGACATCACAGAATCTACAGAGCAACAACAACAAGAAGCAACTCCTGCTCCTGACGCTGAAGCCGTTGTTAAAGAGGAACAGAAGGAGAAGGATAAGGAAAAGATCACAGATGGAAAGGAGGAATCTCATCATGAGGAGGAGGTCGTCACTACCATGACTACCAGCGAAGAGCAAGACGCAACTGAAGAACCAAAACACGCGCTGGAAAGAGCCTCAACATCTCCAATTGCACCAACAGAGCCTGCTACCTCTATGTTAACAGCAGAGCAGGATCCTATGGATGTCATGGAAACGAGCGCTGACACATTTACCACAGCAGCATCCATTACAGATCATCAAGACACTGAGGAATATTCACCCATGGAGGGTATCGCCCATCAAAAAGATGATGCTGCTGGCCAAACAGCACCAGAACCAGCGTCAGCAACTGGGAACGATGCACCTCCCTTCTTGAGCGCGCCTGCTTCATGGCAAATTCCCGTAGCCGCATTACACCAACAACAACAGCAGAAATCAGAGCAACCTCAGCATCATCAGCCTACTATGAGCAATAAAGCCATCATGAGAAAAGAACGCTATGAATCTCGAGTCAAGGAGAATAAATATGATATTGAGGCTTGGACATGGTTGATAAACGACGCTCAACAAACTGGCGACTTGGAAGTGATTCGTGACATGTATGAACGTTTTCTGAATGTTTTCCCTACTTCGGTAAGTGTTAATGCGAGAAAGAGAAGGAGGGGGGGGGTTATTCATGATTGACATGAAAGATGGAGATTTGTGTGCATACATGTGTTCTGACACGATCCATTAGCCAAAGCACTGGCTTGCTTACCTGGAACTCGAGTTGAAATACTCCAACTTTAATGAAGTCGAAGCATTATTCACCCGCTGTCTCAAAACTGTGTTATCCGTCGATCTGTGGAAGTTTTATCTTGGTTACATTCGTCGCATCAACTCTGGCGAAAGCGGCTCCTCTGTCACCCCTGAAGCAAGGGCCATCATTGAAAAAGCCTATGAATACGTCTTGAGCAATGTGGGGATCGACAAGGACGCTGGACCCATTTGGGCAGATTATATTTACTTTTTAAAGTCTGCAGAGGTAAATACGTGCTTTGCATCCGCAGAATTGATGTTAATGCGATATCTAGACTTCAAACACTTGGGAAGAACAACGTAAAATGGATTCCATGCGTCGTGCCTATCAAAAGGCAGTGACAATTCCGTTAAACAATGTAGAGCACTTGTGGAAGGAGTACGACCAATGGGAAAACAACTTGAATCGACTGACTGTAAGTTGTGTGTCTATGGTGCCATTTGCAGGACACTAATGCGATTTGACAACAGGCCAAAAAATTCTTGGGGGAGAAATCATCCGCTTACATGACAGCTCGTACCGCCTTGAGAGAAATGCGCTTATTCACTGATAATATCAATACTAACATCGTATCCTTGCCTCCCAAGTGGACCGCAAACGAACTGGCTCAGTTGGATCTATGGAAAAACTACATTCAATGGGAGAAGAGCGATCCTTTGCAACTCGAAGACGACACAGCTGTCATGGATCGTGTAGCATACACTTACCAACAAGCATTCCTCGTGCTTCGACTCTATCCCGAGATTTGGTATAGCTTTGCAAGTTACTATCTAGAACTCAACAAACCCGAGAAATCACTGTCCATCCTGAAGCAAGGTATCGAGATCATGCCAACCAGTCTCTTGCTCAATTTTTCCTACGCTGAATTATGCGAATCCAGACGTCAATTGGATGATGCCCGTCAAGCTTACGATCAGCTCGTGACAACGCTTGACAAGAATATTGAAGAATTGAAGGCCACTGCAAAGCAGCAGATCGACAAACTTCATGAAGAGGCAGAGGCAGAGAGAGCGTCATTGAACTTGTCGGATGATATTGATGGTGAAGTGAGAGAACAACTTCGCTCTCGTGAAAAGCATGTCAAGAAGGAACAAGATGCAATTGAAAAGAAGCTGAATGATCAAGTAGAAGTGATTGCTCGTGGTGGCTCTTTGGTCTGGATCAATTATATGCGTTTCGCTCGTCGCACCGACGGTATCAAGAGCGCTCGTGCCCTGTTCTCAAGAGCGCGTAAAGCCGCCAATTGCACCTACCATGTGTATGTCTCGGATGCCTTGATGGAATATCACAACTCGAAGGATGCTGTCATTGCTGGCAAGGTGTTTAGTTTGGGTCAGAAATCATTTGCAGATAACCCTGATTTTGTCTGTGAGTACTTGGACTTTTTGATCGAGATGAATGATGACAACAACACGCGTGCTCTGTTTGAGAGAACCTTGGCTACGATGCCAGTAGAAAAGGCAGGTCCCATTTGGCTCAAGTTTCTCGATTATGAAAACAAGTATGGAGATCTTGCATCAATTCAAAGTGTGGAGAGAAGACGCATCGAGGCAATGGCAGCCCCTACCGTCAACACCATGGAGTCCTTCCTGAAGAGACAAAGCTATTTGGACATTCGCAACATTGAGGATCACGAATTAGGTTGGGTCGCTCGCAATCAACTTTTGGCAGATGCAGCAGCAGCCACAGCTGCTGGCGGTGCTCCTGGTAAAGACGCAGTAGCTACATTACAACAACAGCAATTGCAACAACAGCAGCAGCAACAGCAGCAACAGCAGCAACAGCAACAGCAACAGCATCATCATCCACATGCCAAGGATCATCAAAAAAGACCACTTTTAGAACCTGTGCATCCTGAAAGATTTCCTCGTCCAGATCTCAATCAATGGCAAGCATACAAACCAGCTGCACGTCCTGCTAATGCTTCACCTATCGTCACGACTGTGGTCCCTACTGCACCCATGCCAGAGCCCACACCCATTAAAAGCGAGCCTCTGCCACAACAATCTGCCATTGTACCACCACCACAACAACCCACTTCGCAACAACCCAGTTGGCATAGTCCCAATGTGATGGCACCACCTCCTGTACCTATCACTGTCAACACACCTTCCGTAACTCCATCTTCTTTGCCTGATGCAGTTGCTTATTTCGTATCCAACTTACCTCCAGCACAGACATTCAATGGACCCATGATTCAACCTGGAGAACTTGTAGACCTTTTGCGCAGTATCATCATACCCTTACCACCTCAACAACAACAGGGCAGCAATGTGCCTCCTCTACCTCAACAATCACAGCAACCATCTCAACGCTCCAACAAGCCACCTATGCACCAGCAGCAATCATTACAAAATAGAGATTCTGGTCGTGGTGGTGGCCACAATTATGGTAGAGGTGGAGGTCGTGGAGGATACAATAAACGAGGTGGTGGAAACATGCCCATGCGTGGTGGTAAGCCAATGAAGCGTAGAGGCGGTAGAGATGATTATGACGACGATTATCAACCTCATAAAGGTAAGCCATTCGCTAGACATGGACCCTATGACAATGCATATTGATGTTGTATTCGTGTAGGTATGGGCCCAAACAGACCACCAGATTTCGATGTGTTCAGACAAAGACAAGCAAAGAGACACAGAGATGACCCACCATATTAAATGTTATTCTCGCCAAACACTGTTTATAAAATGCAAAAAAAAAGACCTCGTAATTACAAAACTCAACCCCTTTTTATTCCTATTCCATTTGCTACAGAAAAGAAAATCAATACGTGAAATAATGATTGCCTCGATTGCAACAACCTCCCCATCATTGTAAAATAAATAAATATAAAAAAGACATAGAATTGTCTGCGATCACTGTTGGTATCATCATATTCATAATTGGATTCCAACGAATATTGTGCAAACCAACTTTTATGTAATCTGACCTCAAGCAAGCCCAGTAATGTAGATGGCATGGGTCAATCGTCTGTGGTTATCATCATCCACTCGCAATCCACTTTCCATGACATTCACAAACAGCATAGGTGAAAGGAGAGCATTGCTTGTTGCCAGCAGCCGCCGCTGTCAAATCCATTCAAACCCAGGTCCGAATTTCTACCCCAAGATGGAAATTTTTGTTTCATTTTCGACTTTTCGTAATTCGACTATATAAAATGTGTTGATCATCCCATGCTCCCTTAGGCTTCCTTGGAGTACTTTTCAAGGCGCATCCAATGGTACTCATTACAATAAATACTTTGAATAAAAGTGGCGAGTAATTGTAGAAAGTGTAAAATATGATTTTTGGCGAAAATGTCAAGATTTTACATCTTGAAGTCTGACAAAAATGATTTCAGGGGCTGCTTTGGATCAGCAGAAACATTTTGGTTTAGTATACACCATAGTAAAAGTCTTCATTATCAAGGCCAAAAACGCGATCGTTTGATTTTCAATGAAAATCACGAGGGGTACCTCATGCTTTTTGGCCAAATTTTGTCCATGTTTTTTTGGTCCCCAAAAAGTTGAGCAAAGGTGTCAGAAAATTAGTGTTAGTTGAGAGCAACTGTTTGGTGCTAATCTGGCGGTTTGAAACAGCTTCTAACTCGAGAAATTACGACTTGAATACATCCAAATTACGCTGTGTTTTGCGCATTTCTGAATACCAAGAGGTAACCTTGGTATGCTGTTTGTCCGTATATGTGCTATTGCCATTGGTACATATATGGATGATTGTAAAATCAGGTTAGAGGTCTCAGCTGGAACTTGTATCACAGGCATATCAACATCATCCGTCAATATACAACTCCACAAGCCAATGCTGTGGAATCAAGCATTAAGCACGGTTTGAGAATGCAAGCTAAATGTGACGAAACTTGGCAATCAATAGCAATGAGGCTTTAAAAGGATACATGAAACTAATGTTACCAATTAACTAATTTTAGTAAACCTATTACAAATCAACAGGTGGTCGAGAACCGGCGAATAATAATGCCCATTGTCAATGAAACCATATCTTTACTACGGCAAATTACTAATCCAAATCGCCGTAGCAGATGCAGACGATGTAAATCCATCGCGATTCAAGAAAATAGGAAATATCTTGATTCAGTATACTTTATAAACAAAAATATGTAGCGATCGACTGAATGATTATTTTATTTTGATCATTTGATAAAATAAAGGGGGAAAAGTGAAGAGAATGATTTTGATTATAACAAATAAATTTCCTTGCTGATGCGAAGTAAGCAAAAGGGAATGATTATTTTTTCAGTGTATTGAGGGGTGAAAGAAAAGGGATCGCTATTTATTGACCACCACGAAGACGAAGGACCAAATGAAGAGTGGACTCCTTTTGGATGTTATAGTCAGAGAGGGAACGACCATCTTCGAGTTGTTTACCAGCGAAAATAAGACGTTGTTGGTCTGGGGGAATACCTTCCTTGTCTTGAATCTTTTGCTTTACGTTTTCAATGGAATCGGATGATTCAACTTCGAGAGTGATGGTTTTACCAGTGAGAGTCTTGACGAAGATTTGCATACCACCACGAAGACGAAGCACCAAATGAAGAGTGGACTCCTTTTGGATGTTGTAATCAGAGAGAGAGCGGCCATCTTCGAGTTGTTTACCAGCGAAGATAAGACGTTGTTGGTCTGGGGGAATACCTTCCTTGTCTTGGATCTTTTGCTTTACGTTTTCAATGGAATCAGATGATTCAACTTCCAATGTGATGGTTTTACCAGTGAGGGTCTTGACAAAGATTTGCATACCACCACGAAGACGAAGCACCAAGTGAAGTGTAGATTCCTTTTGGATATTGTAGTCAGAGAGGGAACGACCATCTTCGAGTTGTTTACCAGCGAAAATAAGACGTTGTTGGTCTGGGGGAATACCTTCCTTGTCTTGGATCTTTTGCTTGACATTCTCAATGGAATCGGATGATTCAACTTCCAATGTGATAGTCTTACCAGTGAGGGTCTTGACAAAGATTTGCATACCACCACGAAGACGAAGCACCAAGTGAAGTGTAGATTCCTTTTGGATGTTGTAATCAGAGAGGGAGCGGCCATCTTCGAGTTGTTTACCAGCAAAGATAAGACGTTGTTGGTCTGGGGGAATACCTTCCTTGTCTTGGATCTTTTGCTTGACATTCTCAATGGAATCGGATGATTCAACTTCCAATGTGATAGTCTTACCAGTGAGGGTCTTGACAAAGATTTGCATACCACCACGAAGACGAAGCACCAAGTGAAGTGTAGATTCCTTTTGGATGTTGTAATCGGATAAAGAGCGGCCATCTTCCAATTGCTTACCAGCAAAGATAAGACGTTGTTGGTCTGGGGGAATACCTTCCTTGTCTTGGATCTTTTGCTTGACGTTCTCAATAGAGTCTGAGGACTCAACTTCGAGAGTGATGGTCTTACCAGTGAGGGTTTTAACGAAAATTTGCATATTGATTTTTTTTAGTAAAAAAAAAAAAATATAAACTAAAGAAAAAAAGAAGAAGAGATAGAAAAGATGAAAAACTACGCATATTTATATTCACAAGAAATCACGATAGAAAGAACTAGTAGGCTGCGGCATTGGCCGATATGATTGATTGGTGCAATTTCTCATCTTGTTTAACTGACGTCGTCATTGGGTATCGCCTCAAATGTGGGATTCTTGGGGGACTTGAGCTGCTCCTTGGATGCAGGATTTATATTTCCAAGAGTCTCTACCTATGAGATTCAAGGATTTCGTTCTGATTTGGCATCTCTTTCATACACATGTCTTTATATCTGTTTTGCAACTTCTAGATAATGAAATTGAATTCATGCTAATCCATATCATGATTGAACTCAGTGGTAATCCCCGCATAAGGAGAAAAAAAAAGCGAAACTCAAGGAAACCATGATTAAGCAGTGTGTTTTGTTTCAATTCTTTGTGTTCATCAGTCTGTTGAGTCATATGGTTACATCTTGTTGTGCAATATTCCCCCTGATGAATTGGAGGGAAATCTCACATTGAATCATTGCATTTTTCTCTCCCTCTCTCGAACCTTCCATCCTATCCAGTAACCACGATAGACTTGAGGATAGAGCAAGTTTATCTGCCTTTGAATGTTTATATTACACTGCAAATACGCATATATATAGAATGGGAAGGGGAGAGAGAGGGAGATTTCTTTTTTTGATTAAACACCCATGAAAAAAAAAATCGTTCTTGTCCTCCTTTTTCAGCCATTATTCCGTCATTATCATCACAAAATCTATTGAATGAGATAGCACATCTTGTCTCCATTGTGTGTCTGTATCCATGTTCGTAAGCAACCCACGCTCACTACGCACTTACAGCATCTAAAACTGACACATGAAAGTGTGTGTATACTTGACGCGGTGAATAATCAAAACAAACTGCAGATCCTGATATTTGGAAACATCTAATTTAGCGTACATGGGGATGAGATGTCGGCTCTCTAGTCATACATGGTCCTCTATGATCTCATTGAACAATCACACAAACAGCATCTTTGTGTTCCATTGACAGTTTTTGACTCAATGATATCATTTTAATCTATTTCAGAAGGAAAAAAAGGGTTCTTTAAATCACTGGATGTTTGGAAGGGCTATCTGATGAATGTTAAATAGGAGCTTCTCGATGGCAGGTTGTGCATTTTGCTCTTTCTGGAAAGCTTATTTGGTTTCTGGCACGTTCACGAATGTGCCTGTATGCGTGTAGTGGATCTTGTAAGCATGAAATGTGTTACCATTGATGTTGTAGTTCATATGCTAAGCAACTGATGGTCATTCTGGTCAACATTCAACTGCGAAATGCCAAATTTTACAATCCTTATTCTGCGCGATGTCTTCTTGTGATTCTCATCTCTCTCAGACTATCAAAGCAACACTGACCGACTCCTCCGTCCTCGCTAACTTGGTTGCAAAGATGCCTTGAGAAGGATCTTCATTGCCCAGTAAAAGCAGAAATGAAGATACAAGTAGAGACATGTACAAACTTGATACGACATTAAATGCCGTGCTTTTTTGCGTATATCGCACTGGGTGCTTTGCTTTCAATGACCCACCGAAATTCGTCAAAGAAGAACATTGACTCATGCCTTTGATTACTGGCCAACATTTACCCTTCTCTTCCATGATACAGAGCAGTATGTACTTCAGGCCACACTACATTGTAGATCCCACCAGTTCTGACAAACCAAAGTTGCATGATTTTCAGTACGAACCCAATTTAGCGAACCGCACCAGCATTTCATGATGATTACGGTGCTTGCAAAACGTCACAATCAAAGGGATAGGAGTGGAGAAAGCTCGAGAACCCCAAAAAAGACCTCTCTTTTCCTGTATTGTGCTCAGCAAAAAAAAAACAAAAAGCGCATCATTCATCATGGCTGTTATCCAAGAAGCGAACGACGACATGTCTCAACAACCTCATAAAGAAGTTGTAGTCAACACCAGCATTGCTGAAAGCGAGGCTGAAGAGTCCGAGGTGGATGAGGAACACGAGGAAAATAATGAAGAAGGTAAAGTCGTAAAGAACAGTACGAGATGTGCTGGCGTATTCATGCTCTTCTTGGTTTTGTGTAAAAAAAAAGGTCTTTTGGATGAATATCCTGATGATACAGAGGTAATAGCGCAATGAAATCAAGCAGACACGAGTACTCATGTAGACATGACGCTTAGGAAATTGACTGTATTCATATGAGAGTGAGCAGCATCCCAAACTTGGGAGTGGAAAGATTCAAACAGCTCAAGGTAAGGCATGGATGGGAGAGCTACTTCCAGTATGGTCTCCAACACTTGGGTTATATTAGGCCATCTGCCTTCGCCAAAACTTTATCATCGATATTGAAGGCCTCGATTCCTTGAATCAATTGAACGAACTGGACTTATATGACAACAAGATTTCTCATATGCGAGGCTTGAACAACCTAGTCCAATTACAGTAAGTCGATATTACACAAGATAATGCTATAGTATGTACTCACACTGGGCTGGGTGAGTAGCAATCTGGATCTTTCTTTCAACAAAATCAAACATATCAAAAACATTGATCAGCTCACTGAGCTCGAAAACCTGTACTTTGTCAGCAACAAGATCTCCAGAATTGAGAATTTAGACACACTTGTCAACATTACTAACCTTGAACTCGGTGCTAATCGTATCAGAAAGATTGAAAATCTGGATCACCTTGTCAATTTGACTCAGTTGTGGTTGGGCAAGAACAAGATTACAAAACTGGAGGTAAAATAGCAGAGAGAAACACCCTCTGACCCACACGAAGCTCATGTCTTCTGACTCGTAGAATTTGGGCGCATTGAAAAACTTGAGGTCATTGAGCATCCAAAGCAACCGATTGACCAAGATTGAGGGACTGGAAGAGCTGCATAACTTGGAGGAATTGTACATGAGTCATAATGCCATTGAAAAGTTGGAGGGCTTGGATAACAATGTAAGGTTTTACTGTTTGCATTGATCTGATGCAGATGGGCAGGGCTAATTGCATCCATACTTATAGCTCAAATTGAACACATTGGACATTGCCAACAACCTACTTGTAACTATCGAGAATTTATCGCATTTACCCAACTTGGAGGAATTTTGGGCAAACAACAACAGATTTGACAATGATGTGTATGACCAAGTTGAGAAGGAATTGGGGCCTATCAAGACGTTGCAAACGGTTTATTTGGAAGGCAACCCAATGCATCTCAAAAATAGAGCCACTTACCGCAACAAGATCAAACTTGCTTTACCCAACATCAGACAGATTGATGCAACGTAAGTAAGCTTCTGTCCGTGCACTAACCTATGCTAACTTGCGCTCGATAGACCTGTCCGATAATTCCCTTTTACTCGTCTCCATAAAATAAAGCAATTTGATGTACACAGTAGTGGCTTGTGTTGCTCCACCAACGCACATTTTTTTATTCTCCTCCCCTGCTGCACCGAATAATTTTCTCTGGTTCATGTCCTTTTTACTTTGTGTTTCTCTCTTTCTAAAACCCAATTCTTTTTGGAGTACTTTGTATCATTATAGCCTGTAAATTGTTATGCTAGAGACTAATAATCCGTACATGTTTGGCTCATCCACGACTACCACTACGACCACCACCACAGCCCCAAATCAATCATCGCCAGTGCCTCCACAAACTTCCTCTTCTACGTCTGTGGGAGCAGGAAACTCAAGCACTCATCAGATGCAGCCATCAAGACCAATGCACCATCATAGCAACAACTTTTACATGGGAAAAGGAGGAGAGGATAACTACTACCACAACCACCAACATGCATCAAGAATCAACCCAGCTTATATTCGTCATCCTGAAGAACCATCGCAACAACAATCATCACAGCAACAACCCATTCATTATACTAGTACATACAAACCCACCAAATCCATTAATCAAAACAATAATATAGCCCATCCACAACACAGCGAGCCAGACACATTGAACAACTTGGCAAGGCCCTCGGTGCATGTGTATCCACATCAACAACCGCAACATATAAAAAGTGAAGCCTCTCCCCGCACGTTGCCTGCTCCAACGCCACCACCTCCACCACCATCCTCCTTTATGAAATCCAGAAAAGCAATGGAAGAGCCTGACTGGTATGAACGTGAAAACAAATCACATAGACCTTCTACTTCTAGCAGCACCACGCCTTCTCTCCTTCCCTCTTCCACTGCCAGCGCCACTACGACCACAACAACGCTATCACACACAGCACCACCCAGTGGCGAGGTGAGTACTCTGGAAGCCGGCGACAATAAAAAGATCAAGCGACGAAAAGAAATGACTGGCATCATGGAAGATTTGAACAAGGATTTTCTGAAAAAGAGAGAAAAGTAAGTTGCGAGCAGGTAATGCGTTCCAGTGAGATATTCACAGCTTTGTTTATAGGCTCCATGTGGAGAAATTGCAAGCGATTAATCAGGAATTAAAATCTGCTCATCAAGGTACAGCTATTTAGACTTGGTTTGATATTCTCATTTACTGAATTTCTTGATAGATACACATCCAAGCTATTTAGATGGTTTAAAGGATTTGGAGGCGATGAGAAGAAAGACGATCAATGATGGCGTTTTGTTTAGAAAATATCAAAATGAAGTGACAGACAATCAATTCCAATTAGAAATATACCAGGCTGAGGAGGAATATACAGTGAGTGGGAAAATAGTGATGGTGCCATTTTTATACTAATATCACCATGGCAGGCCGAAATTCAGGACATTCGAGAGAAACTTTTTGCTAGCTTGGATGAAAAGAGGAGGAAATTAAAGGAAGAGAAGGACAATTGCGATCTGGCTTATGGTAAAAAAAAAAAAAAAAAAAAAAAAAAAAAAAAAAAAAAAAGAACTGCGTCAATCTGTTGGATGCCATGCTGAACTTGTTTACTAGATGTTATACTGGAATCCCAGTCTAGATTGCATAAACGAAATTTGCGCAAGAGAGAAAAGGAACATCCCGAGAACAAATCCAGCAAAAAGAAGCAATTGACTGGACCAGCACTTGTTTTCAAGCTGAAGGACGATGATATTTTGTCTGATATTCAAGCTATGCGAAATGTAAAGTGAATGATACAAGGGGAGAAGAAAAAGAAAACTCACACATGTCGAAAATTTAGGGTTTATCAGCATCCAACAACAGTAGCACTGCCATCACTACAACCTCTGGCACACACAAAAAGACGAATTCATCCAATAAGAAAAAGTAAAAGAAATTATTTACCCGTGATTTTATCAATTGATTTTCCTCATATATATACACACACACACACACAACAACAACCAAATCTCATTCAAGTTATTTAATATCATCCCTCTCCTGTCAAAAAAAAGCTTTTGCTCTGCCTCTCCTCTCTTCTTTTTTTTTATTGATTCAAATAAAAACCACTGTAAATATTTCTATTTTCTAAACCTTCCATTATTCAATGATGATGGATATCTTTATATCGATCCCGTTAATCGGAGTCCCCATCTTTTTCCATACACATTAAATGTTCCAAAAAAAAAAAAAACGTAAGATGTTGATGGTTATCGATCAAAAATCTTTATATAAATAAAAGAGCAGTGAGAAACAATAAGTGCCACTTACCATCGTCCTCTCTTTCTTCTCACGACATATTTCATAAATCACACAATCATGGCAGCATCCAGAGCTACTCGAATTAAGCTGATTACATTTGATGCGTACAACACTTTATTCAAGCCCCGTGGCAATTTGACAGCTCTGTATGCTTTGGAAGCATCGCATCATGGTATTACTGTTTCCAAAGATGAGATCAACAAACACTTTGGTAGATTGTATAGACAGCAATTGGATCAAAAGCCATTTTACGGTATCCATCAAGGGCTGTCTGTTCGTAATTGGTGGGAGGAGCTTGTGTATACGACCTATGTGCATGCTGGTGTCTCCAAGAAGGGTATGTATTATACTCTTGATCTAATTGGTTGCATTGCTCAATGTATACATGTATAGATCTCGATCCCAAGTTTGACAAACTCTTTACTGGCTTGTTCAACCGCTTTACGCATCAGCAGTACTACGACCTGTTTCCAGATGTCACACCCACCTTGGAATTTTTGAAAAAGAACGGTTTCCACACGGGTGTGATTAGCAATACAGATGAGCGCATCAGTACGTAGAAAAAACATATACGATGCTTATGCAAAATCTAATATTTTGGCACTAGTTCCTGTGTTGAAAAACCTGAACCTGGACAAGTACTTTAATTTTATTCTTTCCAGTGTGCATGCTGGTGCTGAGAAGCCATCTAGACACATCTTTGACAAGGCTCGAGGACTCTCTGGTCAACGCATTGCACCAGATGAAGTGCTTCACATTGGAGATGATGAGGAAAAGTACGTACAGCTTGTTATCTAAAGTTTGATCTTTATTTTTCTAATGTTCCATCCAGGGATTATCAGGGTGCAATCAATGCTGGAGAGAATGCCGTGTTTCTAAACAGAGGTAAGCGCTGCATGGAGGCAAGAATCAAAGAACAACGAGCTTAACCTTTTATGTTTTCCATAACAATGATGTAGAAAAAATACCCTATGAAGATACCCCAGAGAACATTAGTGCTTGCAAAGCAAAGAGTGCAAATTTTACAAGTATCTTGTCTCTGAATGAGCTGTACCCTTTGATGTGTTCCAATTTCAAGCCTTAAATTATCTATGAAAACAAAACCTTTCTTATTTATTATTAAAATTGTAATGTATTCTAGTATACGTCTCCACGTTTCGTTGTGATCATTGCATGGTCGTGAATCATAACTCTAAATTAAAAACTTCATTACATAATAGTATGTCAATGAATAGGAATTCCCGATTGTATATGTACCTGAATTGATGCAAAAGTCAATGGTGCAAATGCATCGCCATCAATACAGAGCGAGTCATTGCCTTGCCATCTTCTGTGTCCTTGGTTATTAGTGAAGCCCAGCCTGACATCTCGCTTGTTACTGCTCTGCTTAAAGCTCTTGTATAGTGACAAATCAGTGTGATGCATAAATAGCGGCTGGCCCAGAATTTAAAATAGTATACATCTTTCACCAAAACCATCTCTCTCTCTCCCTCTCTCTCTGTCCTTTCTTTCACGATACTTTCTCTACAAGCAGCCATGTTTTCCTTGAGGCAAAAGTGGAAATCAATTGGGCAAAAAGACATCGAGCCAGCAAAAGAAGACGCATCCAATTCATCATCAATCTCCAGTGCCAGTGGCCAGCCCTCGCTGCAGCAGCAGCAATCTATTTATCAGCACGCACCAAGTGAAGTATTTGATATAAAGCTGGAAGCTGGAGGTGGCAGCGCTGAGCGTCTCAGAATCCCTGCCAATGAACCATCTTCTCATGTATCGTCAACTTCAGACCATTCAATAGCGAAACAACCATCCACAAAGCCTATCGACATCAAGTATTTTGTACCTAAGAACATTGAACCAGAAGGCTTGTCTCAAAGTGTCATGATATCTGACCATGACTACATACACAGACAGCTAGTAAAACGCTACAAGAGGAACGAAGGTCATGGATTAACCTCCCAGCACACAGCACTTTATCAGGAAACCATACAAGAGTCAAGCAATGAAGACCTTGGCTACCTATCAACAGATGATGAGTACAACGAGGAGGATAGCCTTTCTGTTGCTGCGGCAATTGCAAATAGTCTCTTCTCCAAATCTGCTCCTTTGTTATCCTCAATGTCAAACTACCCAAGATATGCATGGTCTACCATTGCGCTTCCGAATCAAGATCACAACACCAAGAATGATACCTTTAGCCCATTATTTCCCATTAAAGAGGATCAATGCAGCAGCAAGGCAGAGCTTCAGTTGAATAAGGATCAAGTGGAGGTATATATGAATCAGGACTTTGATGCCAATGGGGAGAAACAATTGGAGGCAGCAAATGAGAAAGAATCGAAAGAGTGGATAGAAGAGGCCAATAAGTGCTATGGAGAGGTATCAGCAGAGGAGAGGAAGCTTTTCCTTGATCAACTTTGTGCTGCAAACTTGGAAACTCCATGGGACAGAGCACACAGAACTGAATACGCCGTCGAGAGATTGAAGAAGAACGAGTTTATTCATGCCTTGTTCAAACGCCATGCTGTTCCTATGAAGGTGACAAACATTTCTCGAAATTTGCGCTTCAAGCAGATCCAACACCGCCTTCACAACCCCAATATTTTAGTAAGTAGATAAATAAAAAAAAAATGCCATGATGATATAGACTGACTGCACAAATTCATTTAGTACATGCAATACATACGAAACACTCAAACGGTATTTGCGATTTTCAGATGCTATACCGAGATGATGAAAGTGATTGACCGCTTGAATTGTACAAGTATGTAATCTAGAATTGAACACATAAAGCATTGTTTCTTACTTGTTGATGTTTCACCAAAGCAATCTCTGGCAAAAAGATAGTGTGTCGCCCAAGCAGTGTAAGTGTTTCCAGTTCAAATCTGACTTGTGCCTTATAATCTCATACTGTGCAAACTATGTAGTACGCGGAATACGATAAAGCGTGTGAAGATGAACTCAACAGAAAATTCAGACAAAAGAAAATGAAAGCAGCCAAGAAAAGTGGTAAACGCAACAAAAAGGCAAAAAAATCAAACAACAAGTACCAAAAATCAGCAGCATCTAAACTCGCATATACCAATAACAATGCAAAGCAGCAGAACAATGCAAAGGAGCGTACAAAGCAACCTAAATTGAAAAACTATATCAGTAGCCATCATCTTTCTTCACCGGCATACTTTTATCCCTGTTACTGTGTTCAATGCACCAAGTTATTCCCTTACTCTGCTAAAAATTGAGTCGGGTTCATGTGAATTGACGAAATGTGGAGTGTCGCGTTTTATTCAGTAGGCTACACAGTCAGTATAGTACAATAATGAACATCCTCATTTACTTGGTATAAAGCTTGCATCTGAAAAATAAAGTAAATTATCGATCACTAGTTTGCATGCTTATTATTAAATATTGTTTATAAATACAAGTGTATCTACGCTTCGGATGGCTCTCTACCATGGCTTTGCTTCGGTGAGAACGAATCTGCGCTGCCGATTGCCCTTGCGTATCTTGTTCAAATACTGCTACTTTCCTTTCAAATCTCCACTTACACATGAAAACCCTTTATAATATCTGTGGATCTGACTCTTATCTGATGCTCTACATCCATATACACGTAGCTACTTCATATGCGGGCAAGTAGCATACTGGTATTTCCACTTTTTAGTCCTTAGTATCCATAATACAGCAAAGTCTGAATGCATTTGAGCTGCGTTTTCTCGCGTCCAAGGCCGTTTTAGATTGTCATAATAGGACCAAACACTTGATCTCATCTGGCAGTTACTTTCTGACACCTTTGCTCAACTTTTTGGGGATCAAAAAAAACATGACCGAAAATCGACCAAAAAGCAAGAGGTACCCCTCATGGTTTTCATCGAAAATCAAACGACAGCGTTTTTCACCCCAAAAACAAAGATTTTTTCTATGATACGTATTAGATCAAATTGATGGTAATGATGAAATGCAATACTGGAAACTCTTTTTCTGGAACTTTTATATGCTAAATTCTGACATATTCGCAAAAACCCTGTTTTCATATTTTTGAAAATTGCTCATTATATTCGGCCTGAAAGGTGAATGTAACCAGCATCATTCGATGTGCCTTCATTGACTTTATATAGATGCATTAGAAAGTAAAGTATAGCAACGACAATTTTCATAATCAAATTTAGCAAAAACGTTCAAAGAATGTAAGGTCGAGTCAAATTTGAACACGAAAATACCTACTGCACAATTTCAAATTAAAGTACAGCAGTTACGGCTGCCACGACAGAAGACTGAGAGCAAATCTACTGGCTGTGACGTCGAATATGGCGCCCTCCCATTTTTCCATTCCCCCGTTTTTTCTCCCTTTTGCAAAACGCGTTTAGTATCAAACCATATTGGTTTTGGAACTCTTTTGATTGAAAATAACACTCTAGCTTTTGATAACACGTTCTTGCATTGTTAAAAGTACTTGAACCTGCTTCTTCGAAGTGGAATATAGTAGGCACTATTCAATAGCGAGCACTGGAATACGTAAAATCAGCACTAATCGAATTTGCTTATTAGGTTTTGATAACTTTTTTGCCTGTTTGACGTGAGTGCTGCTGCCGTTACTTCTCTGCTATTTCTACTGCCTGCTTCTTTGGTTTACCCTGTCTGGTGATTGCTTCTTTGATTTCTATCTCTGGCAGTTGCTTCTTTAATCTTTGTCTAATCTCTGGTGTCGCCCGTTCTTTGGTTTTCTATGCTGCTGTTGCTGATGGTATTGCTTCTGCTGTTGCTGCTGGTGTTGCTGATGGTATTGCTGCTGCTAGTCTGGTCTCCTTTGGTCTACTATTTGTGGTGCATGCTCGTTCTCTGGTATATCTCCGGTGGCTTCGTATTCTCAGGTCTATTTGTGGCTGTGGTAAGTGGTAAGTATTGTTTTTCTTCTGGTCGTAATGACATAAAGCTTCTCTGGACGTTTTTGTTATTACTTCCTTTCTCATGATAATGCATTCATGATGTTTTCTTTGTTACGCTTTCTTTTTCTTTTGTTGGCTGTGATACGATCAGCTCAACGGATGCTTACAATGTTGTTGCTTCGTATGTACGAACAACGAGCATGATGTGCTGCTATATATCGGTATTGCTGCTGTAATACTACTATGTTATATGGTCGTGGATTGTTGTTTGTGTTGCCTCTGTGGCTTCATTACATGAAACAACATTTGGTCATTATGTTGTATTGTACACTTATAATACTGCTGTTGCTCCTGCAATTGTACGTGTTTGTGTTGCTCTACATCCGACTATTACCATGCACATTGCTCATGTATGCATTCTTGTTACAACAACAACGAGCTGTTCTGAACATTCTCTGATGTTGTGTTTGTTATGCTTTTCTTTGACTCATTGCGTATGAGTATTTCTTTTTTGCCTTCATACTCCTGTAGTACTCCTGTAGTACTACTGTAGCATGTTCTTTTCTTCTGTTCCTTTTTTCTTTTATTATGTTTCTTTGAAGCATACATTATTACGTTGTTGTGGATGTGCCTATCGCTGAAGCTCGACAAGACTTTATCCGAGACTAGGAGATGGATAGGCTGCCTCCATTTGGTTATCGCTACTTACTTTAGTGATGATTGAGAGTCTCAACGCTAGAATCTAAAAGCTAGGTGGTGTAAGTAAGGCATGCTCTAGCACCTGGGGGAAGTTTGATGATAGCAACGGCTATATTGCTATATATAGCTGAGCTTAAAATTTTGCCTCGCATCAAAACAGGGGGAAACCCTCGCAAAATTTTTTTTAGGTCAGCGGAGTTTTCAAGCAATCTGATTGGCTAAGAGGTTGAAGCAACGAAGGGTTACAACTAGTTGATTTGTTGTCGATCTGTCATTTATTTTAGTTTTACGTTTGTAATAAAAGGATGACCAAATGAATCCAATTTGAAGCCTTCTTGATTGATAAGTAGGATAAGGTGCAGTTGCTTGCTCCAGTATACATTTAAAAGTTTCATGCGATAAATGTTCTTTAATTATATTATACGGAAACGCTGTAGTGTAGTATAATAATATGCTGATATTTACGACGCTGTCTTGTGCTAGTTTTTGGAGAAGAACGAAGAAACACAAAAAGGAAGAAACACGCATCTTTCATGCAAGTTCTTTTCAAAAAAAAAACGTCTAGTCCAAATAGCTCACCGGATTTGTTCATCAACAAGAAAAACATGGAAAAGGTGAATACCACACCCCAGCCAATACTATCTGTTAAGCACAAAGGATAAAAGGATTATTATTTGTAGCTTATAAAAAATGTTCAATATTATAAAAACAAGAAAAGACTTATTTGAATAAGATCAGACACAAAAAACTAAAGATTTATTGATGAAGACAAGAGTTATTCTATTTATACTAAGTTCTGAATGCCAAAGTAGCAATTTATCTTGTACAACGCTTATCACATCTGGTGAACCTCAGTATTTAGATAGCTGAGATGCACTTTAATTATCATAGCTTGTCCATGTTGTTGCACAACACAGACATATCTACCCATCAAAAATACCTTAATCTTTATAGACAGTTGTGGTCCTTCTGGCACAACAGTCGTTCTTTTTTTTTCATAGCTGTTACATGCAATATCCAGCATGATATTTTCCGCTTGTTTTGCGACTTGATTACAGCCATGGATTCTCTTCTTGATCATTTGAATCCTTCCCTCCAAAATACGGCAACTGTACTGAGGCATCATGGGGCCTATCTTTCGAATCATCATCGTGATATGCTCCAAATAATGTTCGCTGATCGGAAAGAATTTTGCTGAGATGTGAAGACGAAGAAATTGGTGCCACTTGGTGACTAGTTCTTCCAATTTTTGTATCTCGCTCTCAGATATATCCTGCTGCAAGCATACTGAGCAAATCAGGGATATTGTACTTAGGGCTTCCTTGGCAGCTTCAGAGACAGTAGGATCCAAATGGCATAAATCAACGTGGTCGATAAAAACTGTGGGCACAAAGTACTTCAGGAACACCAACCAATCTACTCCTCGAGCTGTCCCTCCCTTGCTGAAGACATCCAGGAAATTGCCTTCGAAGATCAAAGGTGATATTCTTGCAAGTTGGTTCAAGCAAATGCTGATCTTCTCTATTTGTCGCGGCTTCAAGCGAAGAATCGATTCCTTGTCCGTAAACATTTTCTTGATTCTTGGTGTCATGTTTTGTCCAAACAAATGAAATTCATCCAAGCCCACAAATGTTGGATCAATGAATGATGGCAGGTTTCGAAACAAAGAAGGCCTTTCGATACCAAGTTCTAGTGCACTGGATTTGTATTCTTCAATTGTTAGCAATCGTAGTGGTCGATCTTCATCATTAGCTGCTAGTTGAAAAGAAATAACACCATTTTTGCTGATGCCAATGATCGTACAAAAACGGCAGCCTTGAAGCGACGTATGGGATGCGAGGAAATTGAGTTCGCTGACGCTGGGGATATCACCAAAGGATCCCATGAGGTGAACTTTGAGCGAGATACTTGTTGAGTTGTTTCTCTGCACCTGTAGTCCATCACGAGCCAATTTTTCCAATTCGTTGACAAGGTATTGGAGGTAACTGTCTAATCTCTTGGTGTTTGGGATAATGGCGAAATCAATCATCAGGAACTCCATTTTGTATCTATAGGCAGAAGGAAGGCTCAAGATTTGTATCATGACCAAGTTCAACATTGCACCGCCTTTTTTGTGTGATTGGAATCCATCTACGTACAGGGACAGGTCAATGTCGTATCTATTGTCGAATAGATGTCTGTTGTTCACTAAATTTTGCATTGTATCGCCCTTGAACCTTGCTCTGATGGATGAATCCTCGTCATCAAGCACTCTGATGAAGTTTGGATTTTCGAACAACGTGGCAAGTTGTGGACCAATTGGTAGCATCTTGATGGTTCTTCTGGGGCTACCATCAATATTGAATCTCTTTTCAAAGCACACTGGACATTCGTCCCCATCCTCTGGTGGTTGAAAGGCATAGCAATACCTGATGCACACATCGACTGTATAAGGTGCAAAAGAAGTGACCCTTTTCCTAGCAGAGCTGGCCTTGAATGTTGAGACTATAGGCGTTGCAACTTATCATAGTAAATGTTAGCGCTTTGAAACAACCAACTTTGTTATGGTTACTTACAAGGATACGTTTGGTTGTGCCATTGAACAAGTCTTCGGATGCTTGAGTTTGTCAAGTTTTCTTCCCTGAAGATCTTGTGGATCTCAGTATTTTTAGCATCCAGTGGTGGTAATGCCTCGCAACTGTCAGACATCTGATTGTCACTATAGTTAGCGCCGAGTCCATCAGAGTCTCCAAAGTCATATTCTCCATCGCTACCAGGTTCACCATCGCTGTTTTCTTGCTGACTATTTCTTTCAATGTAAGATCCAGCCTGAGTATCATGTTCAGTTCTTGCTTTCTTTCCTTGATACTGATTAGTCTACAGTTGTTGTGTCATTTGAAGAGTGCCAAAGTTTATGCTGTTTTTCATGTCTATTGCGAATTCTTCGACAACACTGGGCACAAAAAAAATGGCATCGTAAATAATATTAGAAATAAAGGTTAAACACAAATCTGTCTGGATTGTCTTTTGTGCTCCTTATATTGCATGCGTTTCAATCTGCATGATTGAAACATCAATGTCTGTGATAGCGGGTGCTATTAATTATTGGAAACATTACTAGATCAGTTTTTCTCTGTCTTTCATAGATTGTTACGCATTTATCGCAATTGATACAACCATCTCAAAGCACTGCTCTATTTTACACTTTACACTAATTACTTATTCAAAAATGGATCAAGCACAACAACTATTCTTACAAAGATTGGAGAACATTGAACAGGACTTGTCCAATCTTAGCAAACAGGTCAAGGAATGTAATGACAACCAGACCGAAGTAAAAGCTACGCTGCAGCACATTGTTCAACAATCTACCTCTTCGAGCACGACCAATGTTGCGAGACTAGATGGAGTGATATGCCGCCCAAGCAAAGCAGACAACAAACATCTGGAGGAGCTTTCTGTTGAGCTATGCATCAACGTCCTTGAGGAGCATCGATTAGGTGGGGAAAACCTTGATGGCAAGAAGGTCTGGGAGCTTGTCAAAGATGCAGCATACAACCAGGCAAAGAAAACTGACAGACAGTTCCCGAATATCACTTTCAGCAAGCTGGACGACAGGTTTCAAGCCTTGTTGGTCAAGACCGTCATTAACGATGTAGCCAAAAAGGGCGTTGACATCTCTGGGTTCTTCAAAGATTGGTTGCCGCAGTTTGCTGTCTCCAAATCATTGTCTGGCATAATCGATTACAAATACAGTGCCAGGCCAAGCAATGACACCGCAATTCACGAAACCCAATTCGATGATGATCTGGTATTTTCTGAGGGATGATCCCAAGCACAATCCGAAGAAGATTCTGTCGACGATGACGAAAATTTGATTGTAGACAAGATCAATTTTCATGTTTCTCGAAATACTGGATCACAAAAGTAAATGCTGCATAGAGAAAAGTACTCTTTGATACTAATCGTAATATTATAGAAGAATCAGCACGCAACATATGCCTCTAGTAGAACAAGTAATTAAGCTTTCATAGATATAGCGCAGTAACTCACATTTCTTTTCCATTTTATAATGTGCACTATCACTATAGCCAATGCAGCCATCCCCAGTATCAAAAAATGTATCTGCATCAAACAAATCAAAGGCAAAGGAATATGAAAAGCACAGAAGATATTCATCACCAGAAACGCAAGATTTGCAAAGACAGTAAGTCTCTTATCATCGCCCTGGAGTTAGCCATTTTATGCTGATATTCTCTCTATCTCTTAAATTGTAGAAACATAAAGGTAGTCATAAGGCATTGATATCATAGATGGAGCTACTTATCTTTGTGTATTAGGGACCCAACAATAAGAGAGTGCGCAAGTCGTAAGGAATTCTGATCTCTATGCTTATTCTCATTAGGCTACGCTTCGTTGTTATTGCCCGTAATGTAATATCATCATGTTTCTCTGTAGTAGTAGCGCAATTATTATATGTCAAGAAATAAACAATGGTTTCTATTGTAATAGCACTAAATGCTATTATATATCTGATTTATTTTTTTATGAATATTTTGCAAACCACCCTAAACTACATGAATTTTTTGAATTTTTCTGAATTAAGTGAGCACTTTTCCGAATTTCTCTGAATGCCATTCAGAAAAATTTCGACAAATTTTTAGAAATATTCAGCAATATTCAAATCTTTTTTAGTCACAGTGGAATGATGATCCATGGTGTAGTGAAAACAGGTTTAAATAGATTTCACAAAAAAATATAAAGCAATAGTAAAATACAATGGAAATCAACTGTATTTTATTTGTGTATAAAATGAACTGAAGATCCTGGTGTTGTAAATCTGAAAGTACGTGAGAATGGATATAAGTTTATTTTCGTAAAATCAGATGAAGAGGAGAGGGAAGAGTGAATGTCTACTGCTATTTATATGTATGATTTATGGATTGCTTACACACCCGTCTAGAATGGTGTTCTCATGCTAAGTTTTAGTGTGAATCCTCACTTATGCTAAATGGTAATTATTTCAGATATAGATGATCAGTCTAAGTATCTTTAGTTGCTCTTGACAACGTTGATTACTTACATTCCTTATCTTCTATCTTTTGACATATAGAGAATAGCTTACTGAAACTTAGCTTATGTGAATATCATGGTTATCGTTTACAGGTTGATACAGTTTATTTACATATGCTCCATATGTGCATAGTTTATTACTGAGTTCAATCTACGACATTGTGATTCAGGAACAGTTAGATGTGTGAATACAACACCTGGAATTGAGTAAAAAAAGAAGAGTATTTATACATTTGCAACTAGCTTGTAGGATTAGTGATGATAGAGAGCAATAGATGCTGCTATTGCGATATCTGGCAAACGTTGCTGATGTTTGATTTAAAGTGGTAATCAATGCAAGAGCACTGGCCATAAGGGTCGATTTGAGTAACCTTGATGGGCTTGGGTGAGCTATCGTCATAGCATGATTTAATGTAACCTTGATGGTTTAAAGTGTGATATTTGTTATTGAAGTACGGAACCCTTTATCTGGGATATTGTGCAACTATGGCAGCGGGGCATAGTTGTCATATTTGAATATGCTTGTTATTGATTTGATTCTATTTGGATAAAGATTCCATCACTTATTACGACCACCATGGGTGTGATTGAATACACTGTGATCAGGAGTGATTCATTCACACAATGTGCGATATAAGCATGCATCTTTGCTTTAGTATTTTTAAATGGGTTTTTGATGTACATTTGAGCGCTTTCATTAATAGATCCAAATAACATGAATTTGAATGAGTGCTATTTGATGAACTTTGGTTTTCAATCCAGTTGCGTTTGGGTGGCTATTTCATTACATGATCTTTGTCTGGGCTTTGTCTGGTCTTTGTCTGATCTTTGTCTGGTCTTTGTCTGATCTTTGTTTGGTCTTTGTCTGGTTTTTGTCTGGTTTTTGTCTGATCTTTGTCTGGTCTTTGTCTGGTCTTTGTTTGGTCTTTGTTTGGTCTTTGTTTGGTCTTTGTTTGGTCTTTGTCTGATCTTTGTTTGGTCTTTGTTTGGTCTTTGTCTGGTCTTTGTCTGATCTTTGTTTGGTTTTTGTCTGGTTTTTGTCTGATCTTTGTTTGGTCTTTGTCTGGTCTTTGTTTGGTCTTTGTTTGGTCTTTGTTTGGTCTTTGTCTGATCTTTGTCTGGTCTTTGTTTGGTCTTTGTTTGGTCTTTGCCTGGTCTTTGTCTGGTCTTTGTCTGATCTTTGTTTGGTCTTTGTCTGATCTTTGTTTGGTCTTTGTCTGATCTTTGTTTGGTCTTTGTCTGGTCTTTGTCTGATCTTTGTCTGGTCTTTGTCTGATCTTTGTCTGGTCTTTGTCTGGTTTTTGTCTGGTCTTTGTTCGATCTTTGTTTGGTCTTTGTCTGGTCTTTGTCTGATCTTTGTTTGGTCTTTGTCTGGTCTTTGTCTGATCTTTGTCTGGTCTCTGTCTGGTCTTTGTTTGGTCTTTGTCTGGTCTTTGTCTGGTCTTTGTTTGGTCTTTGTCTGATCTTTGTCTGGTCTTTGTCTGGTTTTTGTCTGGTCTTTGTCCGATCTTTGTCTGGTCTTTGTCTGGTCTTTGTTTGGTCTTTGTCTGGTCTTTGTCTGATCTTTGTCTGGTCTTTGTCTGATCTTTGTCTGGTCTTTGTCTGGTCTTTGTTTGGTCTTTGTTTGGTCTTTGTCTGGTCTTTGTCTGGTCTTTGTCTGGTCTTTGTCTGATCTTTGTTTGGTCTTTGTCTGGTCTTTGTCTGATCTTTGTCTGGTCTTTGTCTGGTCTTTGTTTGGTCTTTGTTTGGTCTTTGTCTGGTCTTTGTCTGATCTTTGTTTGGTTTTTGTCTGGTTTTTGTCTGATCTTTGTCTGGTCTTTGTCCGATCTTTGTTTGGTCTTTGTCTGGTCTTTGTTTGGTCTTTGTCTGATCTTTGTCTGATCTTTGTCTGATCTTTGTCTGGTCTTTGTCTGGTCTTTGTCTGATCTTTGTTTGGTCTTTGTTTGGTCTTTGTCTGGTCTTTGTCTGGTCTTTGTCTGGTCTTTGTCTGATCTTTGTTTGGTCTTTGTCTGGTCTTTGTTTGGTCTTTGTTTGGTCTTTGTCTGGTCTTTGTCTGGTCTTTGTCTGGTCTTTGTCTGGTCTTTGTCTGGTCTTTGTTTGGTCTTTGTTTGGTCTTTGTCTGGTCTTTGTCTGGTCTTTGTTTGGTCTTTGTTTGGTCTTTGTCTGATCTTTGTTTGGTCTTTGTCTAATCTTTGTTTGGTCTTTGTCTGGTCTTTGTCTGATCTTTGTCTGGTCTTTGTTTGGTCTTTGTTTGGTCTTTGCCTGGTCTTTGTCTGGTCTTTGTCTGGTCTTTGTCTGATCTTTGTCTGGTCTTTGTCTGGTCTTTGTTTGGTCTTTGTTTGGTCTTTGTCTGATCTTTGTTTGGTCTTTGTCTGATCTTTGTTTGGTCTTTGTCTGGTCTTTGTCTGATCTTTGTCTGGTCTTTGTCTGATCTTTGTCTGGTCTTTGTCTGGTCTTTGTCTGGTCTTTGTCTGATCTTTGTCTGATCTTTGTCTGGTCTTTGTCTGGTCTTTGTCTGATCTTTGTTTGGTCTTTGTTTGGTCTTTGTCTGGTCTTTGTCTGATCTTTGTCTGGTCTTTGTCTGATCTTTGTCTGGTCTTTGTCTGGTCTTTGTCTGGTCTTTGTCTGGTCTTTGTCTGATCTTTGTTTGGTCTTTGTCTGATCTTTGTCTGGTCTTTGTCTGGTCTTTGTCTGATCTTTGTTTGGTCTTTGTTTGGTCTTTGTCTGGTCTTTGTCTGGTCTTTGTCTGGTCTTTGTCTGGTCTTTGTTTGGTCTTTGTTTGGTCTTTGTCTGGTCTTTGTCTGGTCTTTGTTTGGTCTTTGTTTGGTCTTTGTCTGATCTTTGTTTGGTCTTTGTCTAATCTTTGTTTGGTCTTTGTCTGGTCTTTGTCTGATCTTTGTCTGGTCTTTGTTTGGTCTTTGTTTGGTCTTTGCCTGGTCTTTGTCTGGTCTTTGTCTGGTCTTTGTCTGATCTTTGTTTGGTCTTTGTTTGGTCTTTGTCTGGTCTTTGTCTGGTCTTTGTCTGGTCTTTGTTTGGTCTTTGTTTGGTCTTTGTCTGGTCTTTGTCTGATCTTTGTCTGGTCTTTGTCTGATCTTTGTCTGGTCTTTGTCTGATCTTTGTCTGGTCTTTGTCTGATCTTTGTCTGGTCTTTGTCTGGTTTTTGTCTGGTCTTTGTCTGGTCTTTGTCTGATCTTTGTCTGATCTTTGTCTGGTCTTTGTCTGGTCTTTGTCTGATCTTTGTTTGGTCTTTGTTTGGTCTTTGTCTGGTCTTTGTCTGATCTTTGTCTGGTCTTTGTCTGATCTTTGTCTGGTCTTTGTCTGGTCTTTGTCTGGTCTTTGTCTGGTCTTTGTCTGGTCTTTGTCTGGTCTTTGTTTGGTCTTTGTCTGATCTTTGTCTGGTCTTTGTCTGGTCTTTGTCTGATCTTTGTTTGGTCTTTGTTTGGTCTTTGTCTGGTCTTTGTCTGGTCTTTGTCTGGTCTTTGTTTGGTCTTTGTCTGGTCTTTGTCTGGTCTTTGTCTGGTCTTTGTTTGGTCTTTGTCTGGCCTTTGTTTGGTCTTTGTCTGATCTTTGTCTGATCTTTGTCTGATCTTGTCTGGTCTTTGTCTGGTCTCTGGTGTCGTTTGTTCTCTGGTTTTTCGATGGTGCTGGTATTGTGGAATACATCCACTATGATCTGCATTCCGACAGTTCATCCAGTTACCAGATTTAGATATAAACTGTATGTACACTGGATTAGATGTACGATATCGATTTATACTATGATCATGAGAAGATATGGACTTCAGATACGCTAGTACTATAAGATTCATACTATATAAGATATAGGCTATAGATGGCACCACGGACATGGATGGCACTATAGACTTATACTTGTATTCCGACATTGACTACGGATGTTTACCATATCTGGATAGGCACCAAGATTAATGCAATATGAGCTTGTTGCTTCAGATGTGCACTTCATGATCCACGCTATAAGACACATGCTTATATCCGTGATACTAGCTACAGATACTTTATGTACTACAGACTTGTACTATATATGAGACATGCTATAGACATGCATACGATATGCTATAGACATGCCATATATCCAGATACATGCTAAAGATGTATGCTTAGCGATATACACTCAGATATGTACTATTAATATAGACTAAGAAGACTGTACCTATCGGATACATGCTACTAGATCGATATTAATTATCCTTATGGAAAGGATAGATCAGGGTACTTCGGATGAGAGTCTAATTATTCATCCAGACAGAGCTAAATCATGATTAGCTTGCTGGAGTTGTCTTTTAGCATGATTAGACATTAGTTGATCTGAGTTGACTTATTTGTCATTCTAATTAATAGAACTTTTATCCATTGTTATAGTATATAAGAAGGATCATCTACCTGGCCAGTAGAGAGACTTCAGTTTACTTTACACCTGTCAGTTTGATAATAAAATATACCTTTATCAAGTTGACATTACTGTTTTTTTATTCTTTTTTTTCCGTGAATTTTAGTCTATCAAGCCTCAAATTCCACAGGTATTGCTGCTGCTGTTGCGAATCCGGTCTTTCCTGGTTTACTGTCTTTGGTGCATGTTTTGTTCTCTGGTCTATTTGTGGTTGTGGTAAGTGGTAAGTATCTTCTTTCTTCTGGTCGGAATGATATAAAACTTCTTTGAACGTTTGTATTATTGCTTTCTTTCTCGTGATAATGCATTTTATCATGATGTTTACTTTGTTGCGCTTTCTTCTTCTTTTGCTGGTTGTGTTGCCTCTGTGGTTTGACATGAAACAACATTAGTCATTATGTTGTAGTGCAAATTTATACCACCATTGCTTTTGCAGTTGTACGTGTTTGTGTTGTTACTCTACATTCGACTATTTACCATGCACTTTGCTCATGTATGCAATACTGTTGCAACAACAACGAGCTCTTTTGAACATCTTTGATGTTGTATTTATGATATGCTTTTCTTTGACTCGCTTTGTGTGAGTGTACATTTTTTGCCTACATATTACTATACTCCTATAGTAATATGTTCTTTTCTTCTTGTGGAATACATCCACTATGATCTGCATTCCGACAGTTCATCCAGTTACCAGATTTAAATATAAACTATATGTATGTTTAGAATAACGAAATATAGACAGAGTAAATACAATTAGAACTGAATATATTTATTATGTTATTCCAAGATTGAATAAGGATCAAAACTAGTGTAGATATCAAAAGTATTTATAGTTATTTGACAGTGCCGCAGCAATAGGACCTTGATCTTGAATGCGGGATAATTGCATAAGCCTTGAACCAGTTAACGAGGATGTGTTGTATAAGAACTCATAAACCACCAGTCAAGGATAAACCACAAAGATGATCCAGAATAGAATGTTCTTCCTAATAGCTTTGACGGAAGAACATTTGTCGGAATTGAAACCCACTTCCAGGGACGAAAGGCCATAGGCTACCACTCTCTAGGAACCAGGATATAGATTAGCCATTTGATGGCACCACTCATGTTCCTTCGTGCTGCTTGAATAAAGACCTCTCACTTCTACTATGCATCTCAGCTCATTCTCAGATCCTCTTATGTAATATACAACGCCTAATACATTTGCCTCTCAGAGATGATCTATATCCTCAACATAGAGAAAAAGGGAGAAGTAGTATATGTTGATAATTCAGTCTTTATACATGAACGAGTTGTAATCTGGTTACGCGAGATACAACGTAATTTGCTGTTCATCAAATCAATAATCACCATAATAAGCTTTTGATCCTTTATTTCCCTTCTCAGTCAGGGATGACCCTAATTTTCTTCATTTATCTGTGGTGTGTGTTATGTCAAAATACAATGTAAAATTGAATCTGCCAAAGAATTACACTTTTATTGAGAATGCATCCCAAGGATGCATTTATATACTTTTCATTATGCTAGGGTTTACAGCATGATGATGAACTGTAATACAAATAGGTTTACTATCTACCCAACAATTGATTTGTAAATCATGATTAGCATGATTTACCCAAAGGACCTAAGAATAGCCTAAAACCTTTAGTGTGAGACCTTGCTATGACATTTGATATAACAGTGTGTGTTATGTCAAAATACAATGTCAAATTGAATCTGCCAAAGAATTACACTTTTATTGAGAATGCATCCCAAGGAGGCATTTATATACTTTTTTCATTATGCTAGGGTTTACAGCATGATGATGAACTATAATACAAATAGGTTTACTATCTACCCAACAATTGATTTGTAAATCATGATTAGCATGATTTAACCAAAGTACCTAAGAATAGCCTAAAACCTTTAGTGTGAGACCTTGCTATAACATTTGATATAACAGTGTGCTCAGAGAATATAAGGCAATAATGCTGCCTGTCAACTCCAATGCAAATAGAAGTTTTTTATTGTAATCCTACTACAGCCGCATGTAATATCAAGAAAGATTATTACCTGAATGTTGCATGTCGAGCGATAAATTAAAAACGTAAAATTTGTCGCCCACCTGCAATATACAAACGTAATGGATGGCCTATATTCTGCATACTCGCGCTCATCATTTATTTCCTAAATGTTGTATGCTTTAATCTTTTTAGAATGAAGAAGCGTAGGCATGGTAATAATGGAATATTCGCTAGGTTTTAACCATATTCCTCTGCGTAGGTTATGTTTATTATTTTAAACTGATATTTGCAACCAAGTCATTTACATCTTAAATGCCGTGTTGAAAAACTAACAGTTGATTGAATCAAAAACTACCAACCAATTGTTCGATTAAGGTCTACGATGATGTATCAGAAACGATTATTATTATAGTATTCTAATGTGTTCATGATGCGAAACCCTTCTCCTAACCCTCATTTTTGGTGTTGTCCCTTTGATGACAGATTTTTAATGATTTCAGTTTACATCCAGAGCAAAAGAACGCTAAAATGCAACTTGGCTTAACATAATTTATGATGGAGTGGATGCTACATATGCATACATCCACACACACAGAGGTATTCACATCGTGTCTTTATAAAGATCGACATTACATTATACAGCAACAATAAGAAAACGCAGAAATATTTCCCTGTGATCTGTACATTGCATAATATATTATCTAAATTATACATAGCATATGTTTAAGGGGAAAGAAACACACATTAAGTGTTAACGTCAGAAAAAGTAGATTGAAATCATGATTTATGGAGGATAAGCAACCATGATTTATTCATTCAAATGTAAGCTAAACAAAACTGGCGCCTGACTCTATTTTCTATGAAGGAGAAAAAGTACATATTACAATTATTATTAATATTTTCAAGGTGAAAAAAAAAGGGGGGGGGGAGGTGGTGGAAAGATGATTGCAGTAATGGTATCATTGTATATATATGTAAGACCTTAAACAGACAACTTGAGTTGACTCTGATATGGCTCTATTTTCGTTACACCACTTTCATATGCATTCTCTTCATCTCGATTCAAATGAACCGAGGTTGTAGATGTAGTTGATGTTTGTTGTTGTTGTTGGCTTTCTTCATCATCTTGATCATCGATACCAGCAGCTTGATCTTGTACTTTTTGCTCATCTCTCTTTTTTCCACGTGAGATCCATTTCTTGAGAATTTCCACTTCAATATTACCCAAAATCAACTGTTCAACGTGGTAGAGGAGCAACGGCGTAGAGAGAACTCCAATGGTGCCTGGATCACCTTTTTGATACAGCACATTGATCAAAGGCACGCCCATAGCAACAGTTTTTGTGGCACCACAGTACTATACAAGAGAATTGATACGTCATGTTATTCCATTGTATCACGCATTGACTCACACAAACACACATACCATTACTGCAACAGTATCTTCTCGAGAATAGCGTAATCTATCCAACCATTTCAAAGGACCAAAGATGCGCTTCGAGTAAGGCAATCGAGCGAGCGCAAACGAAAAGACAGAGAACAAAACGTAGAACAAAAAGTTCAAGATGACAACGGCAGCAATGTCTTTGCCAGCCACTGCAGAAAAGGAGCCAGCATGAACCGCATCAGAAAAGACTGACCAGACCATCAACAACAAACAAAAGCTGCTAACATCAGACAGTCTACATTTCACTTTGAATTTTGCAACTGGTTCAGTAAATAACATCTGAATGGCTTGTCCAATAACCAGCGGTAATAAGACTGTAAGGCCCAATTGCTTTAAGACCATTATGAAATCAACCGAACCTCCTGCTGTATTTGCGCTCTCATCCTCTGGTGAAGCAGCCAACAGCGGGTCCTGGAAGTAAGAAACCAGCGCTGGTGATACAAAGATGCCTGAAAGAAAGAATAAGAGAACATAAAAGAAGATATTCATCACATCATGACGTACCAAGAACATTGCCTAAAGCAGCATTCATCAGTGCTTTTTGAATGTAGATGTATATAATTAGAAACTGGTATCCAGATGATGAGCACATCTCAAGATACACCTACCAGATGCTTCGTTTCCATTTGCATTTTTCGTCATGACCACATTGGAAGAGACGGTGGTTGGGGTACTGGCAGCAATGACTACACCAATCAAGAGCAAAGAGTTTACAGGCATATGCAGTTTGAAGAACAGGAGGACGAGGCCAAATACAAAGAACGGGATTATGATGAGATTGATGGTTTGTATCAGGAAATGCAATCGCACTCGAAGCAAAGTCTGGGCCAGTATCCTTGTACGTAACGACAGACCTGATATTAAAAAGATAACAACAACGGCGCCTAAATCAAGAACACTGGTTTGTATAACATGTCTTTTTACATAAACAAGCGCAAGCATACAACTTACCCCACTTTATACTCCATTCAGCTCGAATGTAACCGCCTTTTCTGCCTACATTTGGAAATTGCCATGCCAGTAAAATGGCAATTACTAAACCAAGCAAAAACCAATACTTTAGAAAAGCAGATTTAGCTATCGATTTAACTCGATTTAAGGTTTTTTTCAGTTTGCTCTCCTCTTGATCCGTCGGTTCATCGATGCTGCTGCTGGTGCTGCTGCTTGCTGTTGTTTCGATTGGAGGAATCACAAGCGATGTCTCTGATTTTATAAAAGATGAACTTGATTTTGTCTTTCCCAAATGAGATAACTGCAGTTCAAAGGGCCTTGTCAAGGTGGAGAAAGTGACATCACTTGTAAAGGATGGTGCAATGATGGAAGGCGGCCTTTTGGGTGGGGCTGACATTTGATGCATAAGAAAGAGAAGAGGGAGAGAGAAGAGCAAGAAAGAGATTGAAATGAAATCTGCCCTGATTTTTATAGCCGTTCACTAGTTTTCAACAAGACAGAATAAGCTAGGGGATGTTACGTTGTTGTGCGCTTTGCATTGTATATACAGATTATATGAATGATAGGGGGACATGTAATTTTGCATAAACAAATCTTGTTTGTCTTGAACTCCCCCCCAAAAATGATGTGTTACCTGAATGGAAGATCCCACTTGGGAGATGATAATGACGATGATGATATTTTGTGTCTGAGACTTGTGAATTTTCTATAAACAAAATCTCCCGCGAACTGTGAAAAAAAAAAAAGAAAAAGAAAAAAAAGAAAACTGGTATAAATAGTTACCAGTGTTTGCACAGCCTTATCAAGCATTGATCTCTTTTTCTTTTTCTCTTTTCCATTTTTCACGTCCTTTTCCAATGGTGAATGTCATTGATAAAACTCGCACTATACAGGAGTTGCCTCGTTTGCATGCCCTCACTTTAGCCGATGATGGTTCGCCCACCCAAGATAAAACTGTAAGTCATGCAATCGCAATGCATTAAAATCTGTAGATGGAAGCTTGGCACACGAATAACAAACACGCGTTTTTTTTTCTTACTGTTAGTATGTCCGTATTCCACTCTTCAAAGGCAAAGTTATTCTTCGCATTATTCTAAAGCCAGGTTCGTTGGCAGCTGGTGGAAGACCTGTCTTGTATACCAATTATCCCATTGAAGGGTAAGTTCATTGCTGTGGGCATTGTGGCGAGAGAGAGAGAGGGAAATGCTAAGATGTTTCTATAGTGAATTTGAGAGACATACATTTCATCCTGTCAAGTAAGTGGATCAATAGCATAATGACCCAATCAACCGTGACAACACACACACACACACACATACACACAAGGACAGGCTAACATGTCGGCATATTTAGGTTCATCAAGGATCCCAATCTACTTCATGCCTATTGTGACGTTAAGCTTGATCTTCCTGGTGCTTACCAATACAAGGTAGAGTACACTGCGGATGATAACGCCGGCAAAGTTACTTCGGAAGTGGGCTATGTCGTTGCCGAGCCTCGTATCGAATTGCCTCGTGCCAACCCATCCCAACAAGGCGAATTGCTGCCTCTGGATGGCTTGATGATCTTATCCATGGTGCCTAAATGGATGGGCCCTATTACGCAATGGAAGAAACTGATTGACCAAGTGGAATATGCTGGCTACAACATGATTCATTTTGTGCCTTTGCAAAAGCGCGGTGATTCCAACTCGCCCTATAGTATCGCTGATCAACTTGCTTTCGATGACGATGTGTTTGATGAAAAGGACCGCAAAAAATCCAATAAGGAGAAGCTGGCTATTGTTGAAAAAGCCATCACCAAGTTGAATACAGAACACGGCATCCTTAGTCTCTCTGATGTTGTTTGGAATCACACCAGTAACAGCACCGAATTTCTGTTGAAACATCCTGAAGCTGGTAAGTGGATGAACAAACTAAGGGGGGGGGGTGGTTGCTTCAGTGATAAAGTCATGCTTGCTGCTGCTGCTGATACTCAAAAACTATTCTGACTCTCTGTAGGCTACAATCTTCACAACTCGCCTTATCTCGTTCCTGCATACGAGCTGGATACAGCATTGATTGATCTTTCCGGAGATATGGACAAAGTTGGCTTACCACGTGAAGTCAAATCCACTCATGATGCCGACATCATTGTCAATTACATCAAAGACCACACCTTCAAGGCCTTGAAGTTGTACGAATACAAGGTGATTGATGTCGCTAAATACGTTGAGGAAATTCGCAATGCGCTTAGATCTCGTACTGCCGCTGCTGCTGATGCAGATCCATCTGCTTTCAAGGATGTGGTTCATTTACCCGTCAAGGAACGCACATATCATTTCGGAAAAAACGTCATTCAAGATGGACATCTAGGCACTCGATTCCACAAGTCTGTGCATGTCTCCAAGGCAATTGGATTCTTGCTGGCTTTCAACAACATTTCCAGCTTGGATCAAGTCTCTGAGGATCGTGTGGATGCTTTGGCCGATTCTTTCCAGGGCTTGTTGAATGATTACAACTTACCTCTGTACGAAGAATACGATATGGAATGCAAGGTCGCATTAGACAACATCAAGGGCAGACTTGTCTTTACTCGTTTAGCTGAAAATGGGCCCAAATTGGGTAGTATCACAAAGAGGTAACACACACTGATTTGAAACTTGCTTAGTCTTTGCTGACCAATCTTCCCTTTCAAACAGCAACCCTGTCATTGAGACCTATTTCACTCGTCTTGAGGATAAGAGCAAGAAGCATCCTGCAGGTAGTATGATGTTGGCAAACAACGGTTGGATTTGGAATGCAGACCCTCTAGTTGATTTCGCTGGTCCCGGTTCCACAGCCTACTTGCGTCGTGAGGTCATTATCTGGGGTGATTGTGTCAAACTACGTTACGGAAAAGCGCCTGAAGACAACCCATGGCTATGGAAACACATGCGCGAATACACAGAGCAAGTCGCTAGCATGTTCCACGGTATCCGTATCGACAACTGTCATTCCACACCTATCCACGTCGCCGAGTACTTTTTGGACGCTGCTCGCAAGATTCGTCCTGATCTCTATGTGCTGGCTGAGTTGTTTACTGGGTCTCCCGAGAAGGACAATGCTTTTGTATCCCGCTTGGGTATTCATGCCTTGATCCGTGAAGCCATGCAAGCATGGGACACGCATGAGTTGTCTCGTTTGGCTCACCGTCATGGTGGCAAGCCTGTAGGTAGTATGGATGAGGACATGGTTTGGAAATTGGTGCCTTACGAAGGAGATGAACATGATCAAGTGCTTCGTATTCCTATTACCAATGGCAGTATGCCTCGCGCCCTCTTTATGGACTGTACGCATGACAACGAAACACCGTTCCAAAAGAGAACTGCAGAGGTAATGCTTTGTATATGCCGTGTTGTCATGCTTACTGATATCTCATGTATACATAGGATACGCTGCCTAATGCTGCTGTTGTTGCATTCTCTGACTGTGCTGTAGGTAGTGTCAAGGGCTATGACGAAATCTACCCTCGTCTCTTGGACATTGTCAATGAAAAACGCCATTATGATCCCAACCCTCAACGCGATACTGGCGTTATTGCGGCCAAGCACAAGCTCTTGCGTCTGCACCAAAAAATGTGTTTGGAAGGCTATCATGAAGTCCATGTGCATCAAGAGAACGATTACTTGTTGGTCCATCGCCAGCACCCTGGCTCTCAATCTGGCTACTTGATGATCTCTCGCACTGCTTTCCCTGGCCAAGGATCTGGCCATTCTCCTATCCAACTCCGTAAATCAGAGGCAGAATTCGAGTTTGCCTATTCTCTCAAGATTGACGGTCATCAAGCCAAGGAATCAGAATACCTGGAGGGCCTTCCCTGCCATTTGGAGGCTCTGGATGCACCTCGATTCGACCGCCATGAAGATGACAAGGGCCAATTCTTGCAAGTCGTGCTTCCTGATAGCTTCACACCTGGCTCTATCTGCGTAATCAAGACCTCGATTGGCGATAAATCTGACATTCTCAAGACTATTACTACCATGGACGATCATGTTGTCAAGGACCTAGACTTTTTGGCCACCAACGTGGTATTGTACCGTTGTGAAAGCGAGGAAACGGACAGCACAGGCGGTGATGGTGTCTACAATGTCCCCAATTATGGCAAGTTGGTCTATGCCGGTCTCCAGGGCTTCATGTCTGTGCTCAACCCCATCATTGCCAACAACGATCTGGGCCACCCTCTCTGCGACAACTTGCGTGCTGGTCACTGGGCTCTTGATTACACTATCCATCGTCTCAAAGAGTATCAGTCGCACTACCCTGCTCTAGAAGCCTTGATTTCTTGGTTTGAAAAGCGTGCTACCTTGATTAAAGAAGTACCTGATTTCTTGGTCCCTAAATACTTTGCCTTGATCGTCAAGACAGCCTATGACAAGGTCTATGCACATGCCTTGACATTGATGTCGCCTCTGGTGCAACACGGCGACACCTTTATCAAGCAGTTAGCCATGACCAGTGTACAGATGCTGTGCCAAGTGCCCTCTGCTGGTCTCACACCTACTAAATCCACACCCTCTTTGGCTGCTGGTCTACCTCATTTCACTGTAGGCCATATGCGTGTCTGGGGACGTGATGTCTGCATCTCGCTTCGTGGTTTGCTCATGGTCACTGGTCGTTTTGAAGATGCCAAGAAGCACATTATCGCTTTTGCCGGATCGCTTCGTCATGGTTTGATTCCTAATCTCTTGGATTCTGTTCGTCGCCCCCGTTACAACTCGCGTGATTCTGCTTGGTTCTTTATGCAGTCGATCCAAGATTACTATAACTTGGCTCCTGACGGTAAATCCATCTTGGAAGCCGAGGTGCCCCGTCGTTTCCCCAAGGACGATCGCTTTGTTGAAGTAGAAGAAGGCTACACGTACAGCAGTACCATTGCTGAGATCATGCAGGAAGTGTTTGAACGTCATGCCCGTGGTATTCACTTTAGAGAACACAACGCTGGTAGACAAATTGATGAGCAAATGACAGACAAGGGCTTCAACATTGATATTGACGTGGACTGGAGCTCGGGTGTCTTGGTCGGTGGAAACATCTGGAACTGTGGTACATGGATGGACAAGATGGGCGAAAGTCCCAAGGCCAACAACAAGGGCTATCCCGGCACACCTCGTGATGGTGCTCCTGCTGAAATCACCGGTCTCTTGAAGAGTTCGCTTCGTTGGGTCAACCAATTGATTGAGCGTGGTGAGTACAAATGGAAGGGTGTCGATCATGTCAAGACAGACGACGGTGAAAAGACCATCACATTCAAGTACTGGAACGACCTCTTGCAAAAGAACTTTGAAAGAGTCTATTATGTGCCTCAAGAACCATCTCAGGACAAGGACTATGATGTGATTTCCAAAATTGTCAACCGTCGTGGTATCTACAAGGACGTCTACAAGGCCACTGAAGCCTACACCGAATACCAGCTTCGCCCCAACTTGTTTGTCGCTATGGCTGTTGCACCTGAACTCTTTGATAAGGAGCATGCCAAACAGTGCATCCAACTCTGTCGTGAAGCCTTGTTGGGTCCTCTTGGTATGCGTACACTGGATCCTCTGGACCAACAATACAAACCTTACTATCATAATTCCGAAGACTCTGAGGATTTCCAGACCTCCAAGGGCCGCAACTACCACCAAGGTCCTGAATGGTTATGGCCATTGGGTTATTATCTTCGTGCTGCTCGTCATTTCGATGCACTTACAAACCAAGAGATTGCTCGCATCTTGCGTAAACATCGTGAGTATGTCAGCAAAGACCCCTGGTGTGGTCTTCCTGAGTTAACCAACAAGGATGCTGAATACTGTCATGATTCTTGTACCACACAGTCTTGGTCTGCTGCTACCTTATTGGATCTCTTTTATGATTTGATTGAAGGTGGAGAGGAATGTTAGTCTCTCATTTCCACTGTAGTAGTCATTTCAGTTTAAAAAAAAATAATACGTTGCATTCTTTTGTATAATAAAACATGCTTTTTGTCATATAATACATTATCTACACTAAAAAAGCGCAAGAGATGGTTGCTTGACAATGTTTGTTTATTGACGGAAAGATTACAATAGATATTACTGTGTGATGACAATGGTGTTATAGATACAAGGTTACTTTTTCTTTTTTTAGGATTTGTTGTTCCAGAATCCAATGACACTAGACACATTGCTGTTATTGCCATGCGTGGTAATGACCGGTGATGATGATGCATTGTTGCTGTTGCTGCCATTGGTATAGGATTTATCGTTTGTCAAACAAGTTCCATTGGCAAGAGAAGGGCCCTGATAGGAAAGTGGGCTCAGAGGAGTCCATTCACCATCTGATTGTAAAGAGCTTGGGAACTTGAGACTACTTCCGCCTGTCACTATATGTATATACATGAGCTCTTTGTCAGTGCGATGCTCCATCATGGGTTTACTCTAATTGGCACATACGAATGAAACCATCTTCCTCAAATGGATTGTGATTACTAGCGCGCGTCTTGTCAGCTTTAGGGATATCTATACAACAAAAAGATCAATACAAAGACGACAGCCTTGTCTACATCAACACAGTATCATACCTTGACCATCTTCCCACCACTTTTTGGTATCCGTACTTGGAGGAGGAACTAACATAATAAATCAGCAAGCATACATATAAACCAGCCTGTACACCACACTTACAATCAGTTGAGTCAAAGGAAAGGTCTATCAGTGTATCTACAAAGGAATCGGATAATTTGGTGGATGTCGTACTTGGTACAGGATGCTTGCGTCTGGGAAGCTCGGGGGGAGGTGTGGCGCGAACTTCAATCGAGCTCAAGCTCTGGTATAACTCTTTTTGTAATTTCACCTTGGCATCATGATCTAAAGTGAGAATCTGTTCATCCATCGAGTAAGCAATCTGTATAGAAAATGAGACGTCTGTAGTCTACTTACATCTGCTTCGAATAACGCAAGTACTAAGAAAAGCATGTGTATATACAAGTGAGTCTAGTGTATACAAGGTGCTGTTTTGGTGGCTCATTCGTTTACCTGGCCTATGATCTGATGTGTATAGTTCTGCACGAGAGTATTGGAGTTGATTCAACTGCGCCCCTTTGAATAGAATACGATCTGTCCAGCCGGGAATTCTCTGCTTCTCACTGCAGGGCATGTATGAGATATCCAGGTTGCATTCAACAGCACATGAAAACGTACCTGGTATCATAAACATCTGTTCCATTGTCGTACTTGTAGGTAGGCAAGAAAGTGATGCAACCTTCTTGATATCCATTGAATACCCTTCCTTGACGCATTTCTCGTTGAAGCTGTTGTTTGATTCAGTCATGATGATTTTACCAGTCAGCAGAAACAGAGATGGGCTTACCTGATCATTTCTAAACAAAGCCTCGATATTACCCTCCTTGGCGTATAAGCGAGCCTGTGGTACATGGTGTCAGTAGCAATTCAGCACACATACACACGATTGGTGCATTACCTCCTCGTTTGGTAAGGATACGCGATAGTTCAAATCGCTCACCCAGATGACATTACTATAACCCCGTTTGATTACTACTTTATATCATAGTTCATCTCCAACATACACACACACACACACACACACACACACACACACACTTACTCATGACTATCGATAGTTTTGCCTCTCAAGAAACGCAAACCTTCGTTAATTGTATGGTAATCAGCGTTGCGATCGTCTACATTGGAGTGCCCTGAAGCCAAATGTGCAGCCACAAAGCAGAAACTTGTGTCACCGTAATCCATGCGAATTGCTACAGCTCCCTTATTACCAGCAATGCCCATGATACCCGTCTACGCATACATACAACGCATGAATATACAACATGGCGCACCAGCACTTGCAGCATACTACCTTCTTGATCGAAGTCTCTACATTTCTAATTTCGTCCACAATGTCTGACTTTACAAATACAATAAGAGCAGCACCCACCAACTGGTTGGATCGAAGCATGGTGTACTTTGATTTAGCACCTGACCGGGAGTTGAGTGTTGTTTCAATTTGCTGCTCCCAGATCTTTCTCTTTTCTGCATCTGTTGCCATGACTTGTTGCGGTGACAGCTCCACAATCTCTTGAAAACCCACCACATAGATATCTGGCTCATCATCGTTCCCTAGTCGTAATATCATCAACCAACAAATTCAAGTGACCCAACACACAGACAACACTCACATCGAAAATGTTGCAGCAGCCATGGATCCAATAACTCTCCTTTAAACCCCTTTCCATTCAAATTATACGATCCACTAAAGATGGTAATACGCCGACTGCTGGAATACTCTTTGACTCGCTTTGTCAACTGCCGGGTCACATTGTCGCTGATGGGATCATGGATGGCAATGATGGCTTGATTTGCTAGTTTGCCCAGCAACTGATCGATAACCTCCTGCTTGGCTTTGTCTTGAAAATTGTTGATATAGAATCGATTGACAGATTTGGTGGCGTCACTCAGTACATTCATAAACGTCACTTTGCCTGTTCTCGTGAAGGCGGATTTCAAAGCACCTGTACCTGCATAAATCTTGGACAGACTGTCACCGTTTTCTGCCCACAAATGTGAATGTCGGGCTATGACTCGCTCCAAGTGGATGCGTCTGTCCTTGAACCGATCTTGCACATAGTTGATCAACACACGCTTGGATATCACATTTTGTACCAAGTTGGTTCTGTCCAAACAGTCCATGCAATTGGTGCGGAAGACGCCTTTTTGGGTGTAGATGATTTGATTGTCGTCCGTGTCCATTAAAAAGAATCCATAGTCATCCAGATAGCGAGCGATGTCGTTCATCAGCATGGCTACGTTCTCGTAATTGCCTCCTCGGCATTCAGCGTGCAAGTCGAAATTCATCATCTTTACTGCCTTTTCGTCGTAGCCCAGTTGATGGACAGCTGTGTTGAATTCATTGCTGAGTAGTGTTTCGCCTCCTGAAGTGTCTCTTTGTGCTAGTAGGTTGATGTTACACACCGCATGATAACGATCGAGTAGTTCATCGAAATGCCTCTTTACAGCTGGTTGTGTTGCAGCAGATCCTCTGGATATCTGAATCTTGTGTTGAACCAGTTGCATGCCCTGCTGTTCCCAAAACACTGTTTGAATAGTATAAATGAGGCGTGCATTGCAAGCGACTGTCATTCATGCTTACCTGGCACACTGCCCCTAATCTGTGTATACGAGTAACAAATTCTATCCGAGTACAACACCGTTTCAGTCTAGCACCACCATCATCATTAGCAGCTTGTCCTTTTTCGCATTCCAGTGTTCCATACCTCTACGAAATTGGCGACATGTCCATTATCATCAATGCCTCTTGTATTGAATCGAGTTCCAGCTCTTTGACAGCTTAGTTTTGAAATGACAGACAGCTCAAATTTCTCGTTATCTATATCCACCACTTCCACCCCCACATAACCTCTGATGGCAAATACCAAAAATCCACCACGATCAAGATCCATCTGCTTCTTTCTATCCAACTTTGATCTAAAATCCAATAGCCCTGATATCAAGAATTGGTTCCATAAAAAGTGCTCATCAAAGGAATGGACGCCCAGAGAGGCTTTTGAGGTGCTACATTTTGTATGTAGATGTGTCAATCATCCAGCCAACCATGACGCATGCTAGCCATCTCACAACCTACCGAGCTTGCACTGTCTTTGTCAAGTCGAAATCCGGAGTAAAGTAGAAGCTACCCACCGAGAAGAGCTTTTGCAATTGAGCGCATGGATGCTGTATGACATTGCCATTATTGCTGCTTGGCTGGTCCCAGTCATCATCCCAACTTGCTGGGTCCACAAAGTCGTCATAGTTGTTGGAAGATAGCGAGTAAAATGAGACTGACTGAATCTTGTAGACTTCTTCTCCTGCTCTAATTCTTCCGACAGAGATACAATCTGTGACAATGGCAACAAAGCATTCTACCCTCATTTTTGGTGAATTAGTATACCTACAAACACATGCTTTGACAACTTACCATTTCGCACCGTAATCAAACCCAAGCAACCAAACACTGGACGCGAGTTGAGTATACGCCATTGTTGATCTTCAAATTCGGATGGGCCATATAGTTTAGCTATGGCTCGACTGTTGGACCCTCCATATTCTTCAAACACTAATACACCCGATGGTGCTTCTTCTAATACGGTGGGGCGTAAAGCAAGTGCTCTTGGATTCTCTCTTAATAGCAAATGTGTTTGCATCTTTTTCTATTGTTGTTGTTTTTTTTCGGTCGAGAAAGTACGAGTGAGAGAGAGAGAGAGAGAAAAATGCCAAGAAGGATGAATTAGATAATAATTTATAAGGAAGAAAGAGCACAAGTGGCCCTCTAGTGCCAAATTGCGCTTTTTGAAAATGCCTTGCGTGTCTATCCATAAGGGTTTAAGAGTAATCCCAAAATGGCACGCATACGACATACTGATTCATGTGCATTTGCTGCTTAATGCAGCCTGCCTTTGCTTTTCTGTCATGCTCCACGTCTGTTTCCATGGGCACAATTCATGTTCAGGCAGACAGTACAGTCGCATAGCACTCAAAAAGTGCAAATCACAGCGTCATTTGAAGGCATTTGGCCAGTGATTCCTGGTGATAGATGTGGGTTTAAACCGCCAGAATAGCATCAGACTATCCCCCTCGTCTAGCGCAAACTTCCTGACACCGTTGCTCACGTTTTTAGGGATGGAAAAAATATCGATCAAAAATTGATGGAAAACCATGAGGGGGTACCTCATAGTTTTTGCCAAAAATCAAACGATCGCATTGTTGACACCAAAAATGAAGACTTTTACTATAATGTATACTAAATCAAAATGTTGCTCTCGATCCAACGCAACTTCTGAAACCTTGTTTGTGGTGTTTTTATATGTGAAATCTCTACATTTTTTGCCAAAATCTTCTTTTCATTCTTTCTTAAATTACTCGATAGGTTTGTTCAAAACACTGCTTATCATTGGTACCATTGGATGCGCCTTGAAAAGGACTCGAGGAAAGCTTAAGGGAGTGTGAGATGATCCGCACATTTCATATAGTCGAATCTGGCAAAACAGTTGAATCAAGTCGAAAACAATTGAAAAAATTGTCCAATCTTGAGACAGATGTAAATCTGGCTTTTAATTGATTTTGGTTCATGTCTACAAGCGCTGTATGCCGTTGCTACTATAAAGACAAATAATGCGAAAACTAAGCTAAGTCTTTCCTTCTCTTCACGGCTTTAAACCTGGTAGAATATAATGATTTGGTACAGTTATAAATGCTTACAGCCAGTTCCATGGCGGCGATAGAGGTGAATCAAAGTATAACAAGTTTTGTAGGGCTCTATTAGCAAAGGAGGGTAAGACCAAATGACACCAAATTTACTCATGATAAAGCTTACACCACCAACGATACGAAAAGTATCTCATCCCCACAAATTTACCTATGTAGAATTTAATCCGTTTTCCTTTTTGTTGTATGTATCTAATCAAATCTATATTGAAAAAAAAAAGTATATATAGGATTGCATTCATAGATGTTGCCCTTTTTCTTTTTTCCTCTCTTTTCTATCTGTATTCCTGCATCTCATTTTACATCATGACATTTTCTTATATACAAGGTGGATTTCTCAATGCGCTTCAGTCTGATGCAAGCGATTCCAATGATTTGAATCTGTTGTATCAGAGCCAAGTGAACGCTTTTAAAGAAGATACCCTTCCCAATGAGAGCTATGAAGACCATATGACAAGCGATTCAAGCGTCAATCAGGGCCATGACCTTGAAGACATTGTGTATCCTGATTATACGGGCCTTACAGTAGACGACTATGGTTGGGGAATCAACTGCAATCTGCTACTGAACGGGTATAAATCATCCCTTGCTTCTGGTACAAATCCCTTCTACGGTTCTGGTGTTGTGCCGGATTTGTATGGATCAGTCAACCAAGTCGATGAAGCAGCTTCAGCTGAGAGCGCCATTCAACCTGATTCCCCACAGCCTTCCTTCAGCTCAATCATAGATTACAGCGCTTGTGCATCAGATGGAGAACAAGAGATTACGCAGGCTATACCTGAGCAGCTTCCCATAGACGGAGATGTATCTCCCAACTACGAGTGGCGCCTCAACGAGCTGGAATGGAATGAATTCAAAGAGATACCCAGAAGCACTTGTAGTGCTTTTATCGGTGAAGACAATACCAATGCAATACTTGGCGCTTCACAACATAATCTGCTTTATGTTGACAGGCTGCCTCCGATGTTTGAGGATGATCAAAAGGGTAGAATTTTCTCCTCATGGCCACGCTACGGTTATGACAGCAATGATATGGCGGCTTTCAAGGTACGTATGCAATCTCACTGCTAAAAACTAGAGTTGTCTATTCATTTGCTCTTGTACATGCATCTGTTGAAGAATGTTGTAAGCGACAACACTTCTGGACACAAACTTCAATCTACTGCTGGCGCTCTCACCAAAGCTGGATCAATTGCTAACCCCACTGCAAACCTCAACAAGAGCTTCAGGGAGCATGCTATTCGTGGACCGCAATCCCAAGCAAACAGAGCTTCTCTGCTTAGAAAGCCAAACAGCAATATTGTTGGAAATAGAGCTATGCATTATACCAACACCAGATCATTGAGCAACTGGGACACAATGCAATATAACTCTCACATTCAATCAGTACGACAACCGCCTTTATTTGACTATAATAGTGCTCTCGCTGATGCTGGTACCAGCATTCAAGGCGCTTTTGCCCGTACAAACATGCTCAACAGCAGCACAGGACACTGGTTTACTGTGTGCAATCATGCAGATAGAGAAGTGGCCCTCATCAACGAGAACAAAAGATCGAACTACTTTCTTCGTAAAGATCGCAATGCATCAAATGTTAGAAAAGACGGTTATTAACAGAACAATCCATGAAGGCGCTAATCCAGACAAAGATGCTTCTATTATAGATATACTTGTATAAACTTGTAAATAATCCACAAGCATGTAGAATAGTAGTATTTTAAAGAAAATAAGAGAAAGAAGGACTTGAAATTTGAAACATTGTGGGGGGAAATCCCAAGTTCTGGCTGATACACAGCCAAAATGTAGCTTATTAGCGAGTAAGTGAATTGCACATTAGACAATTGCATCAGGGTATTCGACCACGATAGTTCAAAATTTCCATTCAAGGGGTGGGAGCTGCAGTTGTATTGTGGTCAAGATGAAGCGAAATTGAAAAATCAACATTACAGATTATAGTTGTCTATGCGCTTCAAAACAGCTGTAACAATTGCCTCAAATCAAGCATAGCAAATTTCTGAAGATTCAAGCTATCTTATCCCCATCACAGCTGTTTAGTCATGGCCCAGTAGATCATTGACCTCGAAACAGGCATTTTGCAGCAAATTTTGCATAATATTGGTGATCATCCAATTGCAACAGGACCATTCATTTGACGTTCAGATGTAAGGGGACAGTAATTCAAATTTTCAAATCCATTCCCTTTTTCGTGTTTTATAGAGTATGCTTAAACTGTCGCCAACTACACACCTCACGTACTTTATCAAGGGCATACAAGAAGCCTTCAATTGGAGCCGAGTCATTCATCTTGTAACAACGTAAATGAAGCATCCACGCGCCATCTCATCAGACGTTGATTGACTCGTTTTAATCACTAGTTCAAAAACAGTGCAACATACGCTGCTCAAGAGCTTAGCATTGAATGGCGTTGTTTATCTGGGCATCCTCATTATACTAGAAACATTCTACAATACGCCGGATCACCATTTATTTGGGTACTCTTACACTGTGAGTTCAGTGTGCTCCAAGAACAACAAACGCCGGCTAACATTACCTCTCTGAAAGGACCTAACAGGCTATCCCTTATATCTCATATGTCTCGTAGTCAATTCCAAGCTATACAGCAAAATCGCACAGCACCAAGCACCAGAGCAACAAATGACCCTCAATTTAGTGGCGTCCGTCAATACTATCATCTTGTACGGAAATTTCGCACTGTTCATCACATTTCTGAGATGCATTCCGTTTGTGGGATCCATCCTGTCGTTCCTTGTTTATAGCATCGTCATGTCTTATTATTGCTTCGAGTAAAGCATCACATTGCATCTGTACAATGAGACTTTCATCGACACTAACGCCTCAACGTAGATACAAGTGGATAAATCAGGATTGGACAATCGAGCAGCGCATGGTGTATGCTGAAGAGCATTGGGCCTATTGCCTGGGATTTGGATTGCCTGCAACGACCCTCATCTTCTTTCTATCAACACTGAGAGCAGGCGGTGTGTTTGCACTGATATATCCTAGCGTGAGTTTAACAATGCCATGGCAAACACTAAAAACTGATTATTGACGCATAGTACATTATGATGGCATCGGTTGCATCCCCCGAGCCATTATCGACGCATGTTGCGCATTCAGCTGATCCTTTTGCACTCCCTTTCAGAGTGCCTGTCTTTTTCGCCATTCGACTCATGAACCAAGCTATTATCCAGGCCATTCGAACATTAGGCGGATCCAAAGGGGCAACATATGTAGTGGAAAAGAAAAAGGACAACCTGGGAAAGCTCGTTTAAAATGGACTGGTTATTCTTCAAATCCTAGTCACCACCTAATAAGCAAACGACGAGAGATTAAAAAAAAAAAAAAAAAAAAAAAGAAACATCCAAATCAAAAAATAAAACTTTTTATTACAACTACAACTGCTCCATCATGCCTCGTGTTGAAAGAAAAGGTCGTGCCAACAAGAAGAGAGGAAAGAAGGGAGGAAAGAAGGAAGAAGATGCCCAAGCCACTAGCATCACTCCAGGAGAGGCCATGGACATTGATGCTCCTGCTCCCAACAATGTCGCTACCCAAGAAGGTCCCGGTGGTGTGGTATTCAATGATCAGCATTTCCAAGCTGCTCACTTTGGTGAAGTTGATGAAGAATTGCTTGGTTACTTCAAGAACGTAGAGCAAACATTAGACGATCCTCATTTCGAAACAGGTGAAGGTATGTTGGCAAACATTGGAATAATGCAAAAGGCCTGTATCACTCATGGGATCCGTTTGACAGATCAAAGATTGTTTGTCGAGAATGTGTACAGTGAAGTCGATGGCAACGAATTCCGTCTCTCCACCAACTACTCTTGCTCTTTGATTCTCGAGAAATTGCTCAAAGTGTCTGATTCATTCCAGCTTCGAGTGTTTATGGATAAATTGAGTGGAAAAACCGTCGAATTATTCGCTCATCGTTTTGCTTCTCATGTCTGCCAAACCTTATTGACTTTGGCCGCTGATGTTGTTGAGCGTGAACAATTGGAGGGTGTGTCAGCGAATGAGACATCTCCTCTCAAGGAAGGTGAAGGCGAGCTTTTGTCCATGGAGAAGCTCATCCTCGGTGTGTGTGAAGACATCAAGCCTCATGTCGGTGGCCTTATTTCGCAGCAATTCGCCTCCCACGATATTCGTATTTTGCTCTTTGTTTTGGCTGGTAAACGTATTGACGAATCTGGAGACATCAAGGGCCAATTGAGAAGTAAGAAGTCCACTCAGTATAAAAAGGAGAACAACGACACATTCACAAAGGTAAGTAGTGGGTGCGATGCATTGGCAGAGTGGCTGTGCTAATGATTATATTAGTCTAGTGTCCGTTTAACACCCACAAGAAAAGTGCCTGATTCGTTCAAAGCCATGTTTAGAACGCTCACTACTGAGTTAGCCATCAACATGTCCGAGACGGAAGTGCGCACCCTGTCTGTTCACAAAGTCGCCAATCCTGTGTTGCAGGTACAGTCCATTCTATTGATCTGTAATGGTACCTTACTAACAGGCGCTTTTCTAGCTCTTATTGGAAATGCAAGAGAACGATAAAGAAGGACAAAAAGCCAAGAACATCCTTATTGACCGTATTTTATGGGGCATTGTCACCGATATTGATTCTAAGGAAGAGAATAGGGACAGAGACTCGTGGTTTGAGACCATGGTGCGTGATCCTGTTGGCTCGCATCTCTTGGAGGTTATTGTCAAGTGTGCACCAGACGCTATTTACAGAAAGATCTTCAAGACGTATCTCAAGGGCAAGCTCGAAAAGTTCAGCATGCATCCCATTTCCAACTTTGTTATTCAAAACTTGATCACGCATGTCAGAAAATCCAAGCAACTGGATCAAATGATGGCAGAACTCGGTAAATCATTCGAGAAGCTATTGAAATTCGGCAAATATGGCGTCATTCGTAGTTTGGTGGACGCCTCTGTTAGAATGGAGTCATCTCAAAAAGCTGTGGTGGACGCCATTGCTGTGGCATTGCACATGACTGAAGATGCTCAGCGCAAAGAATTCGTCAACTGTTGTATGCGCATGTGGACATATGAACAATGGAATGAAGCATCAGAGGACGAAAAATTAGACTTGTACAAATTCCACCTGCAGGGTTCTTTGATTGTGCAAGGTATCATGAAGATGGAGGCCGATGTCAACGCCATTGTAACCAACAGCTTCCTGTCACAAAGACCTGACACAGTGTATCGATGGTGTTTCTCTCCTGCTGGTTCCAGAGCCTTTGAATCCATTGTCGCTTCACCCAATGTCAACGCCAAGATGAAGAAGAAGATTATGCGTGATTTATCTGGCAAATACACAGCACTCGCCAAAGACAAATTTGGCAGCCATATCCTGGATAAATGTTGGGCTGCTGCCGACATTGATTCCAAAGAGAAGATTGCTGCTGAACTAGTGAAACACGAGCATGAATTGGCCAGTCATTACATTGGTAAAAGCATTCTTTGGACCTGCAAGATTGATCAGTACAAGAGAAGACATGATGATTGGGTTGAAAGAGAAAAGGGCGCTGAGCGTAAGCGTGAAATGTTTAGAGATATTCTTGATGACACACCTGTCGACAAGAAGCGTAAATTTGCATAATTTCATAGTGTATACATAGTTAATAAAAAATTGAAACTGTACAAAAAAAATACTAAACGAATGGGGGAGTTGTTGACACACATCTCGTGAAGATTGGAGACGAAACACATTTCAAGTGTAGTATGAAGATCACAATGATTGTGTAACTTGCAGAAAAAAAAAGCGAGCTTTGAGGGCAAATTGCTCATGCGCTGGAGCAATGTGGATGAATTGCATCTCTGCGTTTGCAGAGTTGGTTGTGTATAGTATGCACAACTAAGCGGTAGAGTCATCTACAACTGACAACGCTCTGCATAAGCATAGAAAGAGATCCAACATCACACAGATCAAACAATGCTGTATTTCACTCCAAACACGAGGCTTGATCCAAGCTTCACATGCCGATTGATCTAAAACTTTGATGTCAGAGGGATCACATGAAAGTAATCTGTATTTAATAAGCACGGACAGGCTAAAAGAAACTCGTAACTAAGGGTTTCTTGTTGGCATTCAAGCGTTATTTTCACATGCAAATGCCGAATCTCATATAAATACGTCCCTTTGGTTTTGATGGCTGCTGAAACTCATCATTATATTCATCTCATAAAAAAAAAATGCCTGCCTGGACTATTGCTGTAAGTATTTTTCTCTTGAGATCTACTACAAACACAAGCTCACATTATATACATAGATTCCCGAAACCCCCTCTGCTACCTATGTCATTGTCAAGAACATCTCTGCTCAGTCATCTGAAAAGACAGTAAAGGAGTTCTTTTTGTTCTGTGGCAAAATAAGTGAATTTGAGCTGACAATGTAAGTACCTACCCATATTGCGAAGTTGAGTTCTCTATCTAACGAGAGCTGTCATGTGCAGGGATGATGATGACATTCATCAAGTCGCTTTGATCCATTTCGAGCGTGAATCTGCTGCCAAGACAGCTACCCTTTTGAGTAACGGTAAGAATCTTACATAAGAAAAAAATGTGTGCTATGACAAGATGCTCAACTATTTATAGCTTTGATTGATGATTGCCATATTGTGGCTACACCTTACTTTGAGTCCATTGCTGCTAGTACTTCTACCACTTCCGCTACACCAGCTGCTGAGGACAAGGAAGTAGCTGAAAGCGATGCTAACACAACTACTCAAGAATCCAAAGCTAAATCTCGCATCGTTGCCGAGATGTTGGCTAATGGCTACATTCTTCAGGATCAAGTCGTTGCTAAAGGTCTCGAATATGACTCCAAGTACAGTCTCTCCAGTCGCTTAAGCAGCTACTTTACTACCCTTACTTCCAACGTAAAGCAAATCGACGAAAAGTATAGAATTTGGGACAAGGCTGTTGAAATTGATAACAAGTTCAAGATCCAAGAAAAGGTACAAAATGCCGCTCAAACTGCTCAGACCACTGCCAATGCTGCATTGCAATCACCTACTGGTCAAAAGGTAGAACGCATTGCTAGTCAAACCTTTGCTCAGATTGCTGCTGTTCATTTTGAAGCCAAGAAGATCCAAAAGGAAAAGGGAGCTACTACCACTGCAGCTACCACAACAACAACAACAACAACAAGTGAATCTGTTGCTGCCGCCTAAACAGTTTTATCTCAAAGAATGAAAGAGACCATTCACAAATCGTCATTGCTATCAATAAAAGCCTATTATATACCATCAATATTTTGATTTTGTGTTACATAATGCTTGATGTGTGAGATAAATATTACTACCATCACAGCTATTGTTGTGATTTCGAAGAGACCAGAGGCAAATAGTAAATGTATTGACTTGGCTGTGCAGTAAAAAAGGGGGTTAAAAAAGCAGGTAGAATACTGTTAAAATCCTTCTTTATTTGAAATTAGGATAATGTGCAATAACATGTATATTCTACGCCTCTATTTATACTATTTGGTTTATATCTCTTATCTGGCAGCAGTTTAGTAGTTGCCAGTGATTCCATTACTTTATATATTTTTGTTGGGTCATTTAGTTGTTGATCTAATGGATCAAGAACGGTATTTCAGTATATGGTTCTTGAATCATGCGTAAAGAATAGCTCTTTATTGTTGAGCCTGTATCCTTTTTAGGTATATTTATGTAACAACACATTACAATACCCTTGACATTTACTTTAATATCTGTCATCTCTTATTTTAGAGCATTTAACCCTTGCTATCATCATGCTAATATTATTATTGTGCATGCTTATCTGCTGATGGTAGCGTGGTTTGATTGAGATGACATTTATTTTGGGCTTTGTTTATGATGGGAATCTAGTCTAGTTCACTTCAGGCACCAAGATTAATGCAATATGAGCTTGTTGCTTCAGATGTGCACTTTATGATCCACGCTATAAGACGCATGCTTATATCCGTGATACTAGCTACAGATACTTTATGTACTATAAACTTGTACTATATATGAGACATGCTATAGACATGCCATATATCCAGATACATGCTAAAGATGTATGCTCAGCGATATACACTCAGATATGTACTATTGATATAGACTAAGGAGACTGTACCTATCGGATACATGCTATTAGATCGATATTAACTATCCTTGTAGAAAGGATAGATCAGGGTACTTCGGATGAGAGTCTAATTGTTCATCCAGGCAAAAGCTAAATCATGATTTATTAGCTTGTTGGAGTTGTCTTTTAGCATGATTAGACATTAGTTGATCTGAGTTGACTTATTTGTCAATCTAATTAATAGAACTTTTATCCATTGTTATAGTATATAAGAAGGATCATCTACCTGGCCAGTAGAGAGACTTCAGTTTTACTTTACACCTGTCAGTTTGATAATAAAACATACCTTCATCAAGTTGGCTTTACTGTTTTTTTTATTCTTTTTTTTTTCCGTGAATTTTAGTCTCTCAAACCTCAAATTCCACAACAATAAAAACCAATCTAAATAACCCTGACCAGGCTTGGATAAGCTATTATAGCAATTAAAGCAGTTGTAATGCAACTTTGAAAATTGAAGGTGTGATATTAGCTATTGTAAGTTGTTTATCCCCTTCTAGAATGCTGTGCATTTGTGTTATCCAGATATTGTTCACTAACTCGAATGTTTTTTCACTAAATTGTTTTCACTGAGACATGAACAGTGTCCATTCTGAAGAACATTACAGGCGTGATTATATACTTTTATTTCCATTTGATTAAGCTTTTATTATTACAACAGATCAAATATCGTTAAATGGCAGATCAACAAAAAATCAACTAGCTATAACTCTTCGTTGTTTCAACCTCTGAGCCAATCAGATTGCTTGAAAACTCCGCTGACCTAAAAAAAAATTTGCGAGGGTTTCCCCCTGTTTCGATGTGAGGCAAAATTTTAAGCTCCGCTATATATAGCAATATAGCTGTTACTGTCATCAAATTTCCCTCAGGTGCTAGAGCATGCCTTACTTACACCACCTAGCTTTAAATTCTGGCATTGAGACCCTCAATCATCACTAAAGTAAGTAGTGATAACCAATTGGAGGCAGCCTATCCACCTCCGAGTCTCGGATAAAGTCTTGTTGAGCTTCAGGGATAGGCACATCCACACAACGTAAAAGAAGGTATGCTTCAAAGAAACATAAAAACAATAAAAGAATGAAGAAAAGAACATATTACTATAAGAGTATAGTAGTACGTAAGCAAAAAAGGAACACTCACACAAAAAAGTGAGTCAAAAGAAAAGCATAACAACAAATATAACATAAAAATGCTCCAAACAACTCATTGTTGTTGCAACAAAAATGCTTACATGAGCAATGTGCATGGTAATAGTCGGATGTAAAGCAACACAAACACACACAATTGCAGGAGCAACAGCAGTGTTATAAGTGTGCAATACAACATAATGACTAATGTTGTTTCATGTGATGAAGCCACAGAGGCAACACAAATAACAACCCACGGCCATATAACAAAGTAGTATTACAACGGCAATACAGATATATAGTAGTAGCACATCATGCTTGTTGTTCGTACATAAGAAGCAACAACATTGCAAGCACCTGTTGAGCTGATCATATCACAGCCAACAAAAGAAAAAGAAAGCGCAACAAAGCAAACATTACGAATGCATTATCACGAGAAAGGAAGCAATAATACAAACGTCCAGAGAAGCTTTATATCATTGCGACCACAAGAAAAAAGGATACTTACCACTTACCACAGCCACGGATAGACCAGAAGAATATAAGCAATCATCAAAGATAGACCAGAGAACGAGCAGGCACCAGATACAGTAGACCAGAACAGACCATATTAGCAGCAGCAGCAGCAGCACCATAGAAAAACTAAAGAATGAACGCCATCAGCAGAGAGCAGATAAAAACCAAAGAAGTTACCACTTATCACCACCACAGACAGACCAGGAGAGTACAGGCAATCACCAGAGAGAGACCAGAGAACAAGTATACAGCAAACACAGTAGACCAGGAAGGACCATATTAGCAGTAGCAGCGGCAGCAACACCAGTAGCAATAACAGCAGCAACACCAGTAGCAATAACAGCAGTTTAGAAAAACCGAACAACGAGCGATACCAGAGACCAGGCAAAGATTAAAGAAGCAACTGCCAGAGATACACACCAAAGAAGCAGCTTCCGGACATAATAAACCAAAGAATCAGGCAGCAGAGATAACAGAGAAGTAATGGCATCAGCACCCACATCAAACAGTCAAAAAAAATTAGCGAAACCTAATAAACAAATCCGATTAGTGCTAATTCTACGTCTTCTAGTGCTCGTTATTGCATGGTACCTACTATATTTCACTTCAAAGAAGCAGCAACAAGTCTTTCTGGCAGTGCAATACAGTGTTATCAGAAGCTAGAGTGTTATTATCAACCAAACGGTATCCAAAACGACCATGGTTTGATGCTAAACGCGTTTTGCAAAAGAGAAAAAAAATGAGGGTATGGAAAAATGAGGGTATGGAAAAATGAGAGGGCACCTATCCGACGTCACCGCCTGTAGATTTAGTCTCAGTATTGTACTATAGCAGCAGTAATTGCGGCCATTTAATTTGAAATCGTGCTGTGGTATTTCCGTGTTCAAACTTGACTTGATTTGACATCCTTTGAACGTTTTTATCAAATCTAACAATGAAAACTGTCGTTGTCACATCCAACTTCCTGACACATTTTTCGATATCTAAGAAAGCCGCATCGAATGATGCTAATTTCATTCAGCTTTTAGACCGAAAATAATGAGAAAATTCCAAAAATACGAAAACAGGTTTTCTGTGAATATTTCAAATTCTAGCATATAAAAGTCTCATACAAACAGCTTCTAGTGTTGCATTTCATCTTTACAATCAATTTGATCTAATATGTATCATAGAAAAAGTCTTCATTTTTGAGATGAAAAACGCGATCGTTTGATTTTTGAGAAATTTCCCTTGCTAATACTCATGAAAAAATGATGATTTTCATGCATTTGCAACGACCCAAAAAAAATGGAGATAAGGCATCAGAAAGTAAAGCGTGGCCAAAAGGAGGCGTGTGGTGCTATTCCGAGCGCTCAAAACGCTTTGTAGCATGAGTTATTCGTGCTTGAAAAAGGCTAGATCTGAGCAGAATTCGACCTAAAAATAAGGCTTAGTCGGTTGTGTTACCATACAAGTAAGTGGGATATTCTTCTATCTGGTGATCCAGATGTTCTGCATTGTACAGAACTCCAAGTGATGGACACTTTTATTTCAGTTCTAAGGCTTAGATTTTCTTTTTCAAATGCTCAATTAAAATGACTTGTATGTTGAGCATCAATAATATCATACAAATTTGAATGTAACATATCGTTTAATTGGGACGAGATGCCCATCAGAAAACCACTAGTAATTATCAGTGTGGAATCTGAGGCTTTAATAGACTAAAATTCACGAAAAAAGAATAAAAAAAACAGTAAAGTCAACAACTTGATAAAGGTATGTGTGGAATACATCCACTATGATCTGCATTCCGACAGTTCATCCAGTTACCAGATTTAGATATAAACTGTATGTACGCTGGATTAGATGTACGATATCGATTTATACTATTAGAAGATATGGACTTCAGATACGCTAGTACTATAAGATTCATACTATATAAGATAATATAGGCTATAGATGGCACCACGGACATGGGTGGCACTATAGACTTATACTTATATTCCGACATTGACTACGGATGTTTACCATATCTGGATAGGCACCAAGGTTAATGCAATATGAGCTTGTTGCTTCAGATGTGCACTTTATGATCCACGCTATAAGACACATGCTTATATCCGTGATACTAGCTACAGATACTTTATGTACTACAGACTTGTACTATATATGAGACATGCTATAGACATGCATACGATATGCTATAGATATGCCATATATCCAGATACATGCTAAAGATGTATGCTCAGCGATATACACTCAGATATGTACTATTGATATAGACTAAGAAGACTGTACCTATTGGATACATGCTATTAGATCGATATTAATTATCCTTGTAGAAAGGATAGATCAGGGTACTTCGGATGAGAGTCTAATTGTTCATCCAGGCAAAAGCTAAATCATGATTTATTAGCTTGCTGGAGTTGTCTTTTAGCATTGTG